TTCTACTGGTGGATTGCATTATGCATTTTCATTGGATAAAACCGCGAAAGCTGTACTACAGACTAGAATGCTGCCCGAATCTTGCCCTCGCCCATTTCCTTCTTCGTGAGAGGGCCGGTGCTGCTGCTGCTTTAGCCTGTGCAGTGGATGTGTGGTGGGTGTGCTTGGCCTGCTGACTGCGGCAGTGTTGAGAGCCTCAATCTGCCACCCCGGTTAAAGTTGCTGCAATGCCAAAAATGGCCCAAACTTGCAGGGGTTAGTTTTTAGACTCGTGCGCTCGAGCTCTCAAGAGACATGGCAACGAGATGGGGTTGTAGCTGATCCTGTATGAAACATCCCGGGAGCCGGGAGCTATAGTAGACATAGCTAGTGACTACTGCTTGCAATGGCTCGTTTAGACAAACATCCTCTGCGTATTCCTATTGGCAGCAAGTCAGCGTCTTGACTGCCGATTCTCAAGAACTCAACCATTCATAGGAATATGCCTTCAAGACTAAACGTTTATTGTTAGACAACGACTCCTCCCATGTCCGGCTCGCCCGGCGGCTGTCCTGTTCGAGTTCTCTAATAACATTGTGTCATTTTTGGAACTTTTTGGTTCATTCAAGAGCGTCGCTCTTGAATCATGTATTTTTCCACAGAATGAAGCGTGCTATTCGCGATGTCCGTCCCAGATTCCCTTGCTCCAGCCGCATCCCGCACCAGGCAAACCCCTAATCTAACATAGCCCTGAGTACCTGGATCTGCTCCAGCACGCTTGATCGACTGGTACCGCCTTTAGCCGTTTTCGCTTCGACACTCGTTTCATATTCGAATGCCTCCGCAATGTCTGCTGTGAACCGAGAATCAATGGCTTGCAGTTGCTCAAGTGTCAGCTTGTCCATCGGAACTTCCAGCTTTTCAGACAGTGCAACGACGCGTCCAGAGATGTGGTGAGCCTCTCTGAACGGACATCCCTTCCTCACCAACCACTCTGCGACATCAGTGGCTAGCATCGTTTTGTCCAGAGCAGCTTCCATCCGCTCTGGCCGCACCTTCAATGTAGCAATGACCCCATTGGCTATGCCTAGACTATCCGACACAGTCTGAACCGAATCCAGCATAGGCTCCCACCCTTCCTGGAGATCTTTATTATAGCAAGTGGGGAGGCCTTTCAGAGTCTTCCGAGTGGATAGTTAGTCGCTACTCTCGATACGCTCAAAGCCAAGGCAACTGGCTGAGATGTTAATATGAGGACTCACCATCATTAACCCAGCCATTTGACCGAAAGCACGCCCTGACTTGCCGCGCAGAAGCTCTAACGAGTCCGCGTTTTTTTTATTGGGCATTAAAGAGCTACCCGTAGAATAGGCGTCGGCCAGCCGCACGAAACCGAACTCAGATGTCGAATATATGATGAGGTCCTCAGCCCACCTGCTGACGTGGTTGGTGAAAATCGAGTTCCAGGCCAGGAACTCGATTAGGAAATCGCGGTCGGCCGAGGTATTCATGGAGTTCAAGGTTATTCCGTTAAACCCAAGCTCCTCAGCTATCATATTTCGATCGATTCGAAATGGATTGCCGGCCAAAGCGCCACAACCAAGTGGACTTAGATTGACCCTTTCGAAAACTTGGCGCAACCGCTCGAGATCCTGCTTGAACGCAGCGGCATGTGAAAGCAACCATTGAGACCACCGAACGGGCTGGGCACGCTGTAAGTGGGTGTATCCAGGCATGATGTAGTCGCTGAGGTTGTCAGTCAGCAGGGGGCCGCCAAGGCCAGAGGTGGGGCTAGACTTACATTTCATCAGACTCAGCACGTGTGACGATAACCCTGAGGAATGCAACGAGTTGGCTGTCAATTTCGCGGATCCGATCGCGTAACCACATGCGCATATCACAGACAACTTGCTCGTTGCGGCTGCGACCTGTGTGCAGCTTACCCGCGATGTCCTTGCCGATGACCTCTCCTAAGCGACGTTCGTTTGCCGTATGAATCTGGTCCATTGTGTTAGCCTCGAGAAGTTGAGTAGAGTTGAGTAGCCTCTCACATCTTCGTCATTCGGCAAGATAGCGAAAGTTCCCTGCTTCCATTCTTCCATCACTTGGAGCAAACCACGCTCAATCGCCTGAAATTCGTCTTCGCTGATGATGCCAGCCTTTGAGTTGGCCCTGGCAAAAGCAATCGATCCAAGGATATCTTCTTTGTAAAGAGCCTTATCGTACCGGATGGAGGCATTGTACTTATGCATGAGAGGATCAATGGCACCTGCGCATCGTGAGGTTAGTATACTGCATCTGAAGCTTGTTTCCCGAGACATTCCAACCTGTGAACCTGCCCCCCCAGAGCATGCCAGCTGCCGGGGCGTCCGCCTTTTTCTCGGCCATGTTGAAATATTTGCGAGTGGCGTTCGTTCGTTGCGTTCGTTGCGTTCGTTGCGTTTTCAAGGCCGATGAAATCAATGGGATCGATGAGACCAAGGGAGCATATGGCGCGTAATTGTACCAATTGGCGCTATCAAGGTCGAAATGTTTTTTGAGGAATGAAAGTTGGTCGATCAGTTGAGGGCAGTCATAGGAAAAGTTTGTGGGGCTGACACTGGTATTTCTTAGTACTTCGTACAGTAAACACCTCCACATTCAAGAAGATTAAGCCCTGAAGGAAGGAGCAATGATAATGAGGGGTAAATACCTTATATTATAAGATTTCCACCACTTAAAGTGGAGCAGTAGAATCTTTACCAATACAACATTCTACTTCCTAGTATTTCAAGTCCTTAATCTTCCTATGTGGATTGACCAATAGGGCCTATTTAACATTTCGAGAATGCTCGTGGCTTGTAGAAGCTTAATACTTGTAGTTGTTATCTGGGCCTTATCTACTCGTGACCTGTAATTCTGTCGTGTCCAACCGAGGGAGCCCGAAACAGAGGTCGTGGGGCACCCGGTGGCCACCCTGTGCCCGTCCTGCTTAGCGGCGGTTTACCGCCTGTTAAGGAGGCGAGGGTTCTGCCGCTCCTGAGGGCAAGATTCGGGAAGCATTACAGTTATACCACATTGGGCTCAGCCACCTTGTGAAGTGCCCCGCAATGGGATCCCTTTGATGAGTGTATCTACTCTAGGTAGCGTAGATAATAATATCTCTCCCAATACAACTGTCAATACAACTATCTCTTGTGTTTAGTCTAGTTTATATCTCATTTCACATTCAATATCATAGCACCGCTAAATGAAACGTCTCATCCGAAGATTTACTCATCCGCACGGGGAAAAGGCCTTAGGAAAAGGGATACCGAATGATGAGGCTTCACATGAGCAAAACTATATGTCCAAGTCAGCACCACAAGAAAAAGATAGTATGGGTAACTCGATAATCGGCGGGACTCATAACTTCTCGTTTGTCCCTGGCTTCTTTGAGGATTATGCCCAGATTGCAAACACATTACCCGATGGCAAAATCTCAACCCAGCCTGCTCTGGGAATATTATCTCGAGATTATGATAGTTTGGGTACTGACCTGCAATTCGATAAAGGCGCTCCTCAGTGGGTTCGATTTGAGAAGTACATCCAATATCTTAACCGGCAGCATATAGATGACGGTATATCGTACAAACTGATGTATGTAATAAGACACGGGCGAGGAATTCACAATGTGAAAATGGACGAACTTAAGATATCTGAAGAGACTGGGCAGCTCGAACTAGTAGATGGAATCCCATTAAACTGGAAAGTAAGGCACCATATCTCTTATTATCACCTATATTCTCTATTCGCTTGTGAAAAAGGCTAATTCTATCAGAATCATTGGTCTCACAAGGATGGAGACGACAAGGTAACATGGGCTGATGCCCAACTTGTGGATGAGGGAATCACAGAAGCAAATAATCTCTCCAAGTTATGGTTATACGAAGCTCAGAGAGATGCTCTGCCTTTACCAGGAACTATTTATACTAGCCCCCTTGCGCGATGTCTTGACACGACGAAGCTTGTCTATGCACCCGTCATGAAGATGCACGGGAAGCCTCTTAAGCCTGTGGTAAAGGAAAACCTCAGAGAGCGAATCACAGACCATACATGCGATAGACGAAGTTCCCGATCGTGGATAAAGAAAAATTACCCCAATTACATCATTGAAGAGGGCTTTTCAGAGCTAGACACAAGTTGGAAAGCCGACACATCGGAGTCACTTGAGCAGCATATAAAAAGGATACAGCAACTCCTCGACGACATTTTCGCACATGATACTTCTCCTATTATCTCGCTAACAACTCATTCCTATACCATTACAGCGCTCCTGGCGGTAATCGGGTATCCTAAATTCATGGTGAACGAGGGGACGATTGTGGCGTTATTCGTCAAGGCAGAAAAGGCAGAAAAGGCTGCAGCAGAAAGTTCAGCTTCTTGATCATCCGGCATGGATATTCAGCTACCTACGCGCGACCCATGAGAAATGTTGGTCAGATATCACATTACACCAAGGGAAAAGCAGTAGAGTCGGCGTATGCACTGCCCCGTTTCTTTGCTCGAATCCTCAGGGATTATTTCTGCGCCCCTCAATTTGATTGGACTATATCCTATATCTTACCGAGGAGCGTCTGTAGTGTGCCTTTTACTGCCCTCGGAAATGCCCCCCAGCTGCAGAATGGGTTTCAATGCGGTATCGATGCGCTGTATCAATAGAATTCTTTCATTTTTATGAGGCTCTGCACGAATTGCTCCTTAAGTTACCTTTCTTCTGTTATTTTTCTTGGAAACTTCATTATGAGTATTTTAGTATAGAAATAGCTAGAGTTACTTTACATTTCCCCATTCTTTTGTCGGGGGGCATCTATCCGAGGAGGTGCTAGTGATAGGTATAAACATTATATTTAGACCAATGGATATTCTACGAGAGATTTCGCGCTTATCTATAGACAGCAGTATAGAAGACATCTCACCGTCCGATATCAGCGTCTCACGAGCCCGCCCGCCGTCTCAAGCAGAGCCTGATTCGAATCTAGAGTTCGACCCTCTGGAGAGAATTGATGAAGCGACTCTATTCGATAAAATTCGTAATAACCAGTTGTTTCTCCGATCGGGCCCATCAAAGCCTATCCTCAATATAATATTCTTCCCTGAGGCGAAGTGGAGAGCGATCGCCCAAGATAGGGTTCGGCGCATCGAAGTCTTTGACTACCTGAGACTAGATAGTGCGTTACTGGCTTATCTCGTTTCTTCGAGGTCCGGCTGGTACCATGTGATTAGTGATGGTCGATACAACTTCATGATCAAGGACTACCTGTACATGCTTGCTTGGACCTTCGATCCGACTACCCTTGAAACACGGGCCATGCTCGCTGCTCGGAGTGAATACAGACACCGTTCCAACTTGAAAAATGGAAATGGAGATTTCCACTTGCCAGGACTTCGCACGGCGCATTTATATCATCCCCTCTCGCTCGCCTGCCTATGTCTCACAGACTTCGTGTTCTATTTCGACAGGATCATCATTGATGAAGGGTACACGATCGGCCATATCGAGAAGGATACAGGCCATGGGTTATGGGTGAGGGACGAGACCCAGACACACAATTTTACCTTGGAAACTCTCATGGTTGCCTCGCGGAACATTGCAAAGATCATTGGCATATTTGCTAACCTCTTCAAGAGTGTGGAAGTCACTCACACTATCGCCGAGTCGCTACAGGACGGGAGAACTTGGAGAGATTTTTATGGAAGACAAGATTCAGAGTCGTTAAAGAACTTCAATTATTGCACAGAGTCTTTCCGCTCAGCTGTAGGACTGCTGAAGTTACGTATGAAAACGATCAAGCAGTCTGGTCGTGTCTTCGACGAGCGAGCCAAGGCGCAGTCTAATGTGGTATGAGTTGTTTATATTTTCCTAGATCACCAATTGCCATATTGTCGTTATGCTTACTATTTTCTAGATAGCTACCCTCATCCGCCGCCAAGACGCCGTGACAGGCCATCGATTAGCAAAAGCTAGCAAGAAACTTGCGGAGGCAACCAAGAAAGATAGTTCTGACATGAAAGTGATTGCCATTATGACGATGGCATTTCTTCCCGCTACATTCTTTGCCGCCCTGTTTGACCTTCCGACGCTCGCCTGGGATCAACCACAAGTAATTACGAATAACTTCTGGGTATATTGGGCCTTCACATTACCTACAACGCTTGTAGTCTTCGCCCTATGGTATGTGCTGAACGAGCGGAAACTTAATAGAGAGGCAGATAGCGCGGAGAAAGAGAGTGATATGGAAAGATGTAATAACATATCTGATGATTTCTTCGGAAATCCTAGCCCGTCACAATTTAATGGGCCGGGCAAATCGAATACCCGATACACCCTTACAGGCATTTTATAGACTGAAGTACGCTTATACCGGCTGTAAATTGAGTTGGAAACACGTATGAATTGGATATATGAGAATCCCATAGCGAACCCAGGTATTGCCTAGATGCTTGCGCACGTAATATAAGCTGCGTAATAATGAAAGCAACCCTACTTTTATGAGTCTAATACGTAGATACCAGGTAGTCATATTATTTTGAAAGCTATGTCAAATGCCCTTAGAGAACGATTTACCCCCCGCCGCCTCGTCAAAAGCGATACACTCTTTCAACCCACACGCGATAAAGACATCTCTGGGACCGGTATTGGTCTTAGATTCGACGCAGATACCAGTATCCTTCAAGACTTTAGCCGCTTCCGTTACCGCCTCATAGACAGGTCCTAAGGCAAAGGCGGGAAGTATTATCATTCGATAGCCCAAATCCTTCGCTTCTCGCACGGACAAGACGGGAGAAACACCACCTGGGACGCAGTTAAAGAGGCACGGAGTAGGGGCCATGTCCTCGCAAATTTGTCTGCCTTGGTCTTTGGTCTTAATGCCCTCAAGGAAAACTAAATCTGCCCCCGCCTCGACGGCCTTTCTTAGCCGGTCTCTGGCAGCATCATAGCCCAACGAGTCTAGTGCATCCGTTCTGGCGATGATGATAATGTCCCCCTTCTCCTGCTCACGTGCTAGGACCGCCGCTCGAATCCGAGAGATGAACTCGGTTTCCGAGACAAGTTCCTTGTTCATCAGATGCCCACATCGTTTCGACTGCACTTGATCCTCGAGATGGAGAGCGGCGACCCCGGCTCTTATATACTGCGAAACTGTTCTTCCGACCATCAGGGGACCTATGTACCTGTTATGTTAGTCGCACTGGCATCTCATAGAAATTTAAGGCTAATATACCCCCGAAACCTGTGTCGGCATCCGCTACTAGTGGAACGGATGGATCTAATGAAGCTATCATGGCTGCATTATCCCTCATATCGTTCAAAGTAGCTATGCCCAAATCTGGCATCCCAATTCGAGACATTGTCGTTCCCGCTCCTGTCTATTCACGTTGTTAATATTGCCGAATATCGTGAAAATCTGCCTCAAGCGCTTTGCTTAGTCTTACCATATACAAGCAGTCAAAACCAGCCCCTAAGGCTATTCTCGCAGTGAGGCCATCGTATACCCCCGGGCTGACGACAATATTCCAAGGTGTTGAAAGAGCAGCACGTAGCCTTGATACGGGGGTATCTGAGGTATTGGCCATTGCGGTTGCAGCTTATGTTGGCATGTTTTAGGCTTTACTCCTATGGAAACCTCCGGCCCCTTTATGACCTAAGCTGAAGCCGCTCTGGCTCCGGTCTAAATAAAAAGCCAAGAGTAATAGTAAGTTAGCTGACATTGTCCCTAATATGTGCGGATCTGCGTGGCCTATATCCATTTACGATGCCCATGAACGGATGTTTACGCAGTTCGCCGAGTTGACCGACGTCTTGCCGACTTTTACCGAGATGGGTTCGGTGACATCGCCGCCCACTTACATGATGCCCGAACATCATAATCTAGCACACGAAGAGGCCGAATTAGACGCGAAGCCGATCCTAGATGTTGCTAGGTTAACCGCTTAACTATGAATACCCTGATAGGCTTATCCAGTATGCTAAGGCATAAACTACACCGACTCGCTATATTTGCAACCGATCGGCCAGTGAGACCATCTTCCTGGGCTAAATTATTAGATGCAACCTGACCAGCTCGTAGCCGAAACGGCTTCCCGTTTATGAAGATAATTTCAGCATGACCTGTCGTGGTAGATAGGTAGCCCTGTGCCGTTGCCGTCTTGAGCATCCTATATCTAGCAGACCCGAATTTCACCTGAAGACAATTGTATTTAACTTCTGGTCTTGCCGACTGTATATGATGGAGTAATGCCTATCCTAGATCAAATGTTCTTTAGCATGGCAGTTTCTAGTCACATTAACGACTTGCTCCACACGTCACGAAATGTCCACATAAGGAAAGACGATGGGTCTCGAGGTACGTTCTATCAAGGCTATGCATTTCCTTAGACGGAATATGAGCTAATAAGACGTATCGTGTAGTTTCAATAGATTTCGTACAAGACCTAGAGACTTTGGCACTCAAAGTGCGGAGTGCTGGATACCAGCGGGAAGGCGAAATCCTACAGCACGTAGCAAGCATTTGTCTGACGTCGCCGAACTATGGCGGTTTAGGTCTTACTCCCAGCACGCCAATAGCCGGAGATGTAGCATCTGAAGTTTTGCTATTAATTACAGCTTGTAAGTGAAATATAATCTCAAGTATTTTGCTTATACCTGGGCTGAATGGAGGTAGGGCTTGAGGCGCTGAACTCTGCCGATCGAGAGGGAGGAGTCGGTAGCAGAGTTATGAATTTTAGACCAGCGGATCGACCTCCGATGAACTTAACCGAAAAGATCTTTGCTATGCACGATGTGGACTCGAAGGGATATGTAAGGGTAGGAGATACTATCCGTGTTGCAGTTGATTGGATCATGGCATCAGAAGCATCATGGGGAGTAAGCTGATCCGAGCGAGGTCCCTCTTTGGATCACAGAACCTAATGACAAGATACTAGAGTATGGAAGCGACCTACAATCAGCTGGGATCCCCGGGCATATTCCGGAATGATCGGTTTTGGCTTGCCGGTGACCATGTCGTTGACCCTAGAGTCAATGCTCATCCTAGAATCAAGCCTCTCATCGAAGCATCCGAAAGGGCCAGAAAAGTCTTCAAGATGACAGACTACCAAGGAATGAATGTAGGCACTCGATTCAAAGCAAGATAAGTCCTACGACGAACTCTACTAACATATTACCAGTACACAATTATGCACACCGAATTCTTTAGGGAGCGTGCGCAGCCTGGAATGCTCGTCATAGGGTCCGACTCTCATACGTGCTCTGCCGGTGCGGTAGGGAGTCTAGCCGTCGGGTTAGGTGCTGCAGATGTGACAATGGCTCTTGTTATCGGTGAAATTTGGTTCAAGGTACCAGAAGTTGTTCAAATCCGATTTGTAGGGCAGCCACAAAGGGGTATCAGTGGAAAGGACGTGATACTCTATGTTTTACAGCAGCTCAAGAGAAACACCGTGGCTGCGGACAGAGTGGTGGAGTACACTGGACCAGGCCTAAGCCACTTATCACCAGATGCTCGATTCGCCATTGCGAACATGACCACTGTAAGGGGACAGGCCTATTTTAGTTTACCTAGTATATTCGCTGACCTTTCGTAGGAGTTTGGGGGCATCAGCGGCATCTTCGTACCCGATGATGTTACCAAGTTGTTTATTGACTCGAGGAAGATCGCACGACACAGAATTTCCTCCCATTTCATGCGACCCGATGATGGCGCCAGCTATGCCGAGACAGCTACCATTGACTTATCGAAAGTGCAATCTTTCGTCGCGAAGTATCCCCGTCCCGATGATGTTGTCCCCGTATCAGATGTACAAGGCCAGAGGCTTGATGGCTGCTTTATCGGCGCGTGCACGACGGCTGAGGAAGATATCATCATGGGCGCACTCATCTTAGAACAGGGTCTAAAGGCAGGTAAAGTACCTGTACCGAATGGAAAGAGAAAGGTTGTCCCAGGTTCGAGGCCAATCATAGACAGACTTGAAAAGAGTGGCCTAGCAGATATTTACAGAAAGGCAGGCTTCGAAGTGGGTGTTCCTGGATGTAGTTATTGTGTCGGGATGTCTGCAGATCAAGCAGGTCCTGGGGAAGTATGGCTATCCTCTCAAAACCGCAATTTCGAGAATAGGATGGGTAAAGGTGAGTGCTTGCTCTCGTCCTATTATTGTGAACGTTTTAATAACGAATATAGATTCCATCGGAAACCTAGCATCCGCTGCGACAGTAGCCGCATCATCATTCAAAATGGTCATCACAAACCCTCAGGCTCTATTAGATGCCATAGACCCAGCAAGATTCGATGCGCTCAAAGGACGGGGTTCGTTGCAGACAATATCAACGACGCCGCCGGGTTATGTCGAGCCAGCTTCTGTCGATCATTCGCGTGATTCGCAACCAAACGACGTAGTCTTTAACGATAACGTCCAAATGAGCAACAACATGGTAGAGACTGCGGGAGAATTGCATGGAAATAAAATAAAGGGTAAGATCCAGAAACTAGGCGACTTTATTGATACAGATGCTGTATGTATTTTCTATATCATAATGAGCTTTTGGTTCTGGCGTGTTCGAACGCGTTTGGTTTTACTGACGCGAATTATAGCTGGCGCCGGCGCAGTTCTTGGTAGAATCTAAAACCGACGAAGCGCTTGGCGCGCACTGTCTCGAGTTTACACATCCAGACTTCCGTCGAAAGGTCAAAGAGGGTTACAACATTGTAGTCGCTGGTAAGGCATTCGGTTGCGGCTCGTCACGCCAGCAGGCAGTCTCGGCATTGCTAGGTAGGTAACTAAAGTCCTACCCTTTCGCACCCTTTAAGAATGTGTCCGGACTTTGCTAAGTAAAATTCCAGGATGTGGGGTGAAATGTGTGATAGCACGGTCCTTCGCGTTTATTTACAGTCGTAATCAGCCCAGTCTGGGCCTTCTCGGTATCACCATCAGCGACGATAACTTCTACAGTCTTGCGCAGGACGGCGCTGAGCTAGGCGTCGACCTAGACACCAATGTGCTATATGTTGACGGTAGAGAATTCCCATTCCAGCTAAGTCCCATGGAGAAGCAGCTCATGAACTTGGGCGGGATTACGCCAGCTTTCCAGAAGTTTGGTAAGCAGCTATTCGAAGCACTATGCTCCGGTGTTACTGGTACCGCGAGATCTAGTCAAAGGCACAAGGAAGTAAGCGGTGGGCTACAATGGTAGATGTATATTATCAGTATTAGCACGATGATGGAGTAGGCAGAACATATGTTCTGATGAACTTGGCTACAAAAACAGTCGGAGCCGAGACGGGAAAGCCGAAAGACCCCTGAATTTGGAGTGTGGGGTAACTCGATTACTGTCGTCCAGTACGGATTACTGCTACGCGTATTTTACTTCTGTTAGGATCGCTATAAGAAATACTCGAGACGTATAATACTTGAGACGTATAATAATATAAAACACCAATCGTCATATATGTCGTAAGCTAGCTTCTCTATAAAAGGTATATATCACGGTTTTACTGAACACCATAACTGAAATCCCTATCCCCTTATTAACTCGGGAAGCTCGGGCTATGGGTAACATGAATCAATAAATCACCAGAACATGAGATTCAGGGAACTCGTCATAGTCTAAGTTGGCGTAAGATAGGACGGTATCATGCAGTCTCAACGTCGAAAGAAGGCATGCAAAGAATGCCGAACCCATAAGGTCGTGCTCGATCCAACCACTTAAGTAGCCAACGTTAACTTGACAACCAGATAAAATGCTCCGCAGAGCCACCAGAAATATGTTCCAGGTGTCGGCGCCTGGGACTCCTCTGTGTTCTCACCTCGGATGCACGTTCCCGGCGGACTAAGGCGCAATTACAACGTGAGCTAGAAGCACTAAAAGGTCTTGTTAACCAGCCTACCTCTCAATCGGTGGAGGATTGTAACTCGACAGCCGCGGATACACCAAGCCAGGATCAGGCAAACGGCGAGGCGCCAGTCTTTACAGGACCCTCGCCAGGTTTATCTAATGAGCCATCAACCATTCATTCTCTAGATATTCCATGTCTACCACGAGTTCTTGATGGGTGGGAATTGGGTAGCATTGAAATTAGCGATTGCTTCAAGTTGTAGGGAAATTACCAACTACCATTTATCTTTCATTGCTGTAGTTCTAACCGCGCGGGCAGATTTTTCCAAAATTATAGCCCTATCTTACCCATGTTGGATCAGCGAGGTAGCAATCCGGATGATTGTTACAGCAAATCCAACTTTCTATTCTGGACCGTCGTTTTCATCGGCAGCAGGCGATATACTAATGGCCCGGCTATCATGGACTTCCTAGCACCACGCATGAACAAAATGGCCCTCCTCGCGCTACAGGAAAGCGATAGCCCCATGGAGGCCCTCCAGGGCATCATTCTCTTATGCCATTGGCCCGTACCAACAAGCTCCATGTACAAGGACATGACCCAAATGCTGAGCGGCGCTGCCCTGCATCTAGCTATGCAGATTGGTCTTCACGTTGTAGGTACTGGTCAAGACTTTGCTCGTACCGTCTTACCTTCGAATGCCGACCGTTCTTCCAGAGCCTTCAGAGCCCAGCTGTGGACCCGATGTCTCATCACATACCATAGGTGAGTGAAGCACATATTATCCATTAAAGGGGTCAGCATGCTTACGTATGATAGCACGAGCTTGCGTCAGGGAATCCTACCGTTGATTCTTCTAGACTCTCCCCAGGTGAGGCTCTCGGACGTAGATCTCACTATGCAGCTTCCAGATGATCTCAGGACTCACCGACAGATGCACAAGATCTTGATGGAGGCGACTGGCTCTTTAGTGAGGCTAATCCCGCTAGTTGGATCCAACTCCCAGTCCGAACTGAACCCCTTTATCAGCCTCTATGACGCACAATTTCAACAAATAGCAGCAGATATCAGGTCTACTATAAGTAGGTATATAACTAGAGTTAATTCACCTTGCTACAAACCCACACTAATATCACTAGATACGATATACCTTCACTGCTATCGCATCCATCTCCTGGCATATCACTTCCTGGATTGCCCTAGTCCAAATAATGATGGGTTAATCAGCCTTTATATTATATCCTGCAAACTATTCGAGTCTTTGACTTCCCAGGATGAGTCCACCGGGTTTTCCAGGGCGTGTCCGGAGTTCATCTACAAGACAACACTCCTCGCTGCCATATCTATTCTTAAAATCCAGAAGAGCGAACTCGTGCGTCACGTTAACTCTGCCTCGGGCGAAAAAGCTTACTTTTCCGCCATCTACCTGTGCCAGAGGGCATCTTTTCAGAGCAATGACCTCGGTGCACGAGGCGTCACTATCCTCGGACAGATGTGGACGAGCAAGAATATGTACCGGCAACCGGATGGGCGCGTCGACAGCCTAAGTACACGTATCCGGAGCCGGCTATCTATGAGTGTTGTCTTCGACAGTTTTTGGTGGTGGCGGGTTGAGTTCAATGGGCAGACAAGCCCTTATCCGGAGCAGAACCAAATTTCGCCTGGTATGTATTGAGTTATGGCAATACGGGCACGTGTGGATCATTTCATACTGACTGGTAACAGCGCAACTAGATACGGCAGCGGGTTCGAACGTGTCCCGACAACCCGAAGCGTCCATAACACAAGCTATAGATTTTCCCCTGGATGGCAATATGGACATCATGCCATTGGATGAACCCTTCCCCGACTTTGACTGGGCTGTCAATTTCGAGTTTTTAGACCAAAACTAGAATCACGAGAGCGGTGCCGATAAAGACGAATCTATAATTGCTTATTCATATCACTGCGGACAAGCCGAATTGCAAAAATTGCAGACTTATATAGCTTTTGCCCACACTATATAGCCCCTACGCTAGAGGGTTGGCTGTAGGGCCTACCATGAGCCGACTAATGGCGGCGATATCATCACATTCATCCAGCGCGAGTACGACCTGCTCAATTCTAGACCTTCTTTCCTCGTCAACGATACCTTGAGTCACGGCGCGCCATTTCTCTAACACCTCATCATTGCTGAGTGGCGGCTGGACACCTCGCGGGGCATTTTGCTCATAACTTAACGGTGCCGATCCGTCCCTGAAAGTGATGGTGACCTTCGTCTTGGCTTTGTCCTGTGAAGACTTGGAGTATTCCGGATTATGCTCGCAGGTAGTGATATCGACCAGCCTCCAGACCTCGTCCCGGTCCAGCTTATCGCTTCGGAATTGTGCGGGTGTAACTTGCTCGTCTACTAAGTATACGGCGCCGATATACGCATTGCTCATCTGTGCACCCGTCGAGGTTAGCGGCCGCACAGCTTTCCAGCCGCCGTGGTGGTATGCGGGCTCGCTCATCTCAATGCGAATGCTCTCGAAGTTGGCAAAGTCCCGGGTTTGCTCGGGGTATGATCTACGTAGTTCAGCCATACAGTCGACCGTGCAATGCGTCCCAGCCATCGACGCATACGGTTTCACCATGATTCCCTCGATCTCCCATTTCACCCCCAAACCTTTAGCCACTTCATCAGGCTTAAACTGAGGTTCCATTCCATTGCCAGAGCTGAACATGGCTAAAAAGCCACCATATTCCCGTTCATAGACCTTTTTAATCCCAATATAGCCACCCTTAGCAAGCACTGCCGCCAGAAGTCCGTTCCTTGAGGCAAACGCATGCTGCATCCGCTTAACCTCGCTTTCAAATTGGGCAGACATCAACCCACCGGCCTGTGTGCATGCGATCCCCAGGGCATCTTCTATGGCAGCTGCCGAGAGACCAAAAAGCTTTGCTACTGCGGCGGCGGCTGCTGATGGCCCAAAGATAGCGCCCGAATGCCAGCCTTTGGAAAGAACATGGGTCCCCCAAAGGCCTAGCCCAACGCGCGGGCCTATCTCACAGCCTACAACATAAGCAAGCAGCAGATCTTTGCCAGAGTAACGTAATTCCGAGTTATCCCCCGCACTATGGCCGTAGTGTTGAGCCGCCGCCAGCAAGGCGGGCAGCAATACAGAGTTAAAATGGACAGGGGCATCGCGGTGCCAGTCATCCAATTCGAAGCCCTGTATAAATGTGCCGTTAAGAAGGACAGCAGAGAGCGGCCCGATCTTACGCTCCCAGCCAAAAACACTTACGCTACCACTTGTCGTTTCTAGGCCCAGGATTGCGGCAGCGGCTTTCTCAGACGATGGCAAGTGAGCGCCGATGAGGCCGCACGCTAGACCATCCAAGATGAGATATTTTGCTCTTGTTAGAATATCCGTTGGGATGTCCTTATACTTAAGGCTTTCCACCCAAGTGCATAATCTTCCTGTTGGCCCTTCTGGATCCATTGGAAGTTGACTGGGCAAGGACGTCATGTTGGTTGTAGATAGTGTTGGGACTTAATCAAAAGTGTGATACTGATAGAATAGGTAGACAGGTTGCCAAAACATCATTTCCGGCGCCTACTTGTGTATGAAGTATTGGTCTATATTACTGAATATCTCTCGGAGCCGGAACGGAAAACGACTCGTGGCTCACGCCGGTGGCACTAGGAAGATCAACCGAAAAAAACAACAGTCGGTCAGCTAAGTTGAATTGTATATTTCCGCCGTGACAGGATCCCTAAATATACATACTTCATGCGCTTCCTAAACCAACCACTTAGTAGGCTTCTGGTGTCCGATGCATCTGATGTCACCCCCCGGCGCGGCCGGTCGGCAAACTCGGCAAAGCAAGGTCCCATGTCGGCCAATATCGGCGAGGCACAACACACGGCCAAAGTTGGGCTTACAGTTAGTTGTATGCACATTGAAAAGCGGTATAATGATCTGTAAATATGCCTTAAAATAAGCGAAAGTCATAATAAAGAATTATCCAAATGCACTGACCACCTAAAAAGCACAGCCCCCCCTTATTAGGGGGTAAGGTTAAGACAAACCGATGATTCAAGCTTTGCATTCTATACACGTAAATCCAAGTTTCTAGGCATACCTATAGACGTCTATTATATCCGTTCATATGTATCTTCGCCTAATCACGCTGTGAACTTCATCGCCATCTTCTGCCCCGGAAGCTCAGAAAGCCAGCCCTCAGTATCCTCTGTAACTGTGTTCTGAACCGCACACTTGTTCATCTCCTCAACAGTCTGTGTCTTCAGTATTCCCTGTACTCCGGGGCTACCGCATGCATGGAACATGCAAGAATCATTCATAGCACGCTGCAAGGAATCTCCTTTCCATCCAAACACGTAGTCGGCATGCGTTCCGTATCCCAGGCTGTCGGAATACGACCAGACAAAAGGTTGCGATCCGGCTTTAGGCCACATGCCATCAAACTGCGTCGTATTCCACATAGTCTCGTACGCTACCTGAGGCATACGCACAGGGTGCGAAGCCGGGCAGGGACCCGCTTCTCGGAAAGCTCCCGGGTTGGTGTTATACTACGAAATGTTAGCACTATATCGAAAGGAACTCAAGGTCACTCCCAGATGGAAATTTCCGCATATGAAAATATAGCAGCCTTATACATACCATGTGAGACTGGTGGTCGGGACTATCAAGGTTCTTGCCGTCCCAACAACTCGGGAAGTGGTGAATTGCCATTATACCAGCAGGGCATGGCTGCTTTGGAAAATCTGGTGTCTCGCTGCCTCGTGTTAAGATTGTCTGCAGGCAAGTGTATCGAAGACCTTTGTTAGCCTTTGCGGCCTCAAGGGTATTCGTAGTAGGACTGCCGACTGTCATGCGGAAACCCTAAGAGTATATTAGTCAAAGTATTCCTCTGGATAAGTATAATCGAGGAGCTAATAGTTCGCAACTCACGGGCTGGAATGCGGTAATATACTGCTCTCCATTTCCGTCGAAGTCCTTCTGAGTATAGTAGATCGTCATGCCTCCCTTGATATCAGGAGCATCACGACCCTCGGTACCTAGTTGAGCATTTGGGTATTGCGGTACGCGCTTGTAGGAGCCATTCTCATGCCTAAAATATAGCACCGCCGTCCAGTAGTTAGAGAAGTCCTCGGTGTAGGCGCATGTTGTACAACTACCCTGCTCGCCAATATCCCCTGTCATAGTGGCATTGAAGGCATTTCCGCCGACAATCTGATGTACGTGAGCTGAAGGAATAGCGCCGGGCTCAACAAGCGGATCTAAACGTTGGACAGACACAGTTGAACATCCGAATCGAAGAGCGGCCTGGGAAAGCCCGGCCTGGAGTAGGAGCGAAAGCCACTTCATCTTGCCTTAGTGTTGACTGACGCCTACACACGGAGAAATTGAGTAGTCAGTTCGAATAATCTCAAGATAACAGACAGGCGTCGAAGTAAGTAGTTCCGTGCTCGCTAGACTTATTTCAAATCCAACCAAATGTCTACAGTATAAGACCTCACCGCCACCCATTCGGCCAAGATACGGCGCTAGGATAATTAGCCTTATATGTTCGGGTGGTGATGCAAGTCTTATCTCCCATATACGGCATATTAGTAAATTGCAATAATATTCATCAGCCTATCATGTTCAACGATGTGCAGAATCTAGAGATCCGGATAATTTATGTAGAAGCGAATTCCTGCCGAAATCCGATAGCCCCCTATATTTCATTCTAGATTCATTGAATGCTGTCTAAATATAATGATGCGTGCTTCCTAAGCATTACTACGTCTTTCATATTATACCAATACCACCAATTCCTAACTTCTACGTTTAACTGGTAGGCTAATATTTATCATGAATGAATATCTGAAAATGGACGACGTAGAACTAGGAATTGGAATTTATTCATCATTGTAAGTCTTTACCACTCCGCAAGATATTTAATATAACTAGAGAGTGCGAAAGGCCTTTCTATGTTTCTAAAACTTACATAAAGTCTCAAGAAGTAACTCATCGCGTAATACGAGTTTAGTATGTTTAAGCTACTACCCTGTCATAGATTCTCAGTAAGTTAAGAACAGTTTATGAGGGAGTGTAACCCTCAAACTTCGGGGATGATTTCCATCTTGACAGTGTGTTTTGTCAGGGCAGAACATCTGTAGAGTTATGTTAACTATCGAGAGTAGAAGGCATGAGATAAATAAGGTAGATCAGCATTACTGCGTAATTACGGCAATGGCCCACGATGAACGGAACGGCGTCGGTATGATATCGTAGACATCATCTCAATTATATAAGCTCAACTCCTGTGATATGATAGTTATTGAATTGTAAATAGTTTCATTTTATACTACAAGTCTCCAGGCCATATTCAACGTTGTTGACATTAGATGGAAGGCGAGCTACCATCAAAGAAATGCACCAGCGCGCCGTGGAAGGCCACCCAATCACACAAGCCGAGGCGTCGCAGCTCGCAGCAGCGGAAACGGACATTACCGGCTTCGGGCCAATTAAGGGGGGGGCCGGCAGCCATAGCTCAGAGCGAGCATGACAGACAACATAATTTCATCTCCAAGGCGAGTGAGATTGCACGCAAACCCGTAAACCAAATAACTAAAGAGGATGCAGCGCAGGTTCAGAAAGCAGAGGAAAGTTGTCGTCCATTACGAAGCACCTGAAAGCTATGAACTAACTAGCGGATAGGCACGGGCCTTTGGAAAACCTCCGGGAAAGGGTTCGACGGCAGCTGGTGTACAGTCCCTTGCTGATCAGAATGCGAAATCGAAGGAAGCCTGAAGAGAATGTAAATATCGGTTTGCATTGAATTCACTGATCGTTGATATAGTTAAACTATAAACATTTACGGATCCGTAGGTACTTTTCTACATACTCTTAGAAAAGACTTCAATTTGACCTGAGAAGATACGTTTTCGCGTAGATGAGCATGGGCGGAAGAAAATTATCTTGAAGCAACTATTTGAATTAATTATTTCCCGATCGTTTTACTCTATTATTTGATACAGTCGTACGGTAAACAAAGTACGTAAGCAATAAAAGAAAGGCAGCTGAGTTTCTGCAAAACGTATATAATAGACCTTTATATCTTGGAGAATCTAAGAACACATGCAATTGATATTATTTCACACATATACTCTTATTTCACATAGTTGGGGAATTAAATCAAGCTCGATGGAACGATTCCGTGGTTATCTCGAAAGGCTCACGCTGAACGGCCGATCTAAAGAGCGAAAGCTACCAGCGATGCCATCGCTTCCAGATGATCGACCACAGCCCCTCGCAAGAATAGCGCCATTCCCAGCGGCCACAGCAAACAGCAGATTCTTTAAATCATTACCTTCCGAGATTCGACGTCGCATTCTTGTCGAAGCATTCGGCGAACGTGTACTACACCTAGATTTACGCTTGGAGCACCCATTAAAGAAATACTCAAAGAAAGATCGTAACATTGCCAAACCGCGCCCTGAGCGACACGCAAACGCGCACCTGTTCCACCCGTCGTTACGTGACACTACCCAACCGCAGGAATGGACATGGTGGAGCTGCGTCTGCCATACCCGATTCCCGAACTGGAATTTTAATCTTGATCCCCCAGGGGTTAGTATTTTTGATGATGAGCCAGCGAAAGATGGCTGTCGCGACCCTTTCATGCTGCCACGATGTCTCTGCGTCCTCTATCCTGGCCATGCACCAGCCAAATGTTTCATTGGTGTTCAAGGCTGGCTGTTGGTTTGTAGGCAGGCATATATCGAAGGCGTCGATGTGTTATACTCCACGAACCGATTTCATATCGCCTATGCCGAGCTCGCTATTCGTCTTCCTCGGCTTCTGCCGCTACATCATGTATCGGCTATCACAGCGGCTGAGTTATCATGGAATTTAACTATACCGCCCAGTGAATATTTCTGTTGGGATGCCAACGATAAAGATGGGCTGCAAAACTGTGATCGACTCGCACTCTTGGCACGTCTGCCGCAAATCTTACCTAACCTCCGCTATCTATATCTCTCACTTCAAGATGTTCTACGCATGCGGGAACCTATGCCGGCAATTGGAGGACGAGAAATGTACGAAGAGATAGAAGAGGTTCTACGAAAAGTTGACGCTATGATTGTACGAATGTCGCGGCTTCAGGAGTGCCGCGTGGCCTTACCTTCATCCCTATACTCTACGCGTAAGCTCGTGGAAAAGGGTCGAGATATCGATTGGGGTCGCGGGATAGACCCAGACCCCGAGACTCTATGGAGAAATATCCCAACTTCCGACGTGTCTACTGACCTCAATACCGCGAATCGGTCTATTAGCGGTTATTGGATCGTCCACGGTGTCGAGGATATGTACCCACCGCCACTCCCCGAAGCGGTTTGAAGTTTGAGATATGGCAACAGTGAAGAAAACGGGACATTAACATGAGTGGAATCAAATAGTAGAATTATTCGCTATTTATCAAGAGCAATGCTACTTTATTTACGACGTTGGCACTGGTGGCCCGCTAGAAATAGTTGTTACAGGCCCTGCAATTCCGATACAATACCAATTATCCAGCCAAAGACCCGGACGGCAAAGGGATGGAGTGGAAAGCTAGCTTCCACACGCTTATCTTTGTGAATAATCGCTGTTTTAAAACTAACAAGGTCGCGATAGGCGCTGGTGGCTTTACTGACGGATGCGGGGGCTCTGGCTGGGCGTAGTTGATGTCCGAGTTTACAAGGGATAGCCGTATTGTATTTACATAGAAAGTGAATAAAATAAGCTGGGTACCTAATCTATCGACGGTTAGTTATTAGTGAAAGCATTATAACCTGGTGCTGTTTGATCGCTGTTTAATGGGTAGTAAGTAGACTTGTTAAAAGGTACAACTATCTCAGTCCTGTGATAAATTCAAGAATGCCCCTTTATCCTCGTATGCGTTATGGGTTAGAGCACTACTCTAGTATGGCCACGTTAGTTGCTCGTCGTGACAAGTCTACCTACCCATACCATAAGTCAAGACCAACTACCAAGCGCAGCATATTATTTTAACATAGGTAAGGCAGGCAATCGTCGCAATTGTTCATCTCGTGGAGGTTTACATTGCTATTAAATTATTTATATGAAAATTATCGTCCGACTCCAATGCTTTTCTTTCCTCATAACTACGCCATTCCTATCCGTTACATCGTAATCACCACACGCCCCTACCTCCGGCCCTAATGTTTCTTGCACCCACTTCCGGGGCTGGTAGGAGGTTTGTTATCCGGCCGCGCTAGACCTAAGCAACTTGCAATCTTATAGAAGATATCAATATTACCATATGTGCCCCCGAAATCGTTTTGGCAAGGTCCCATAGCGAAAACAGCTACGTCCGTGAGCGAGTGCACGCCTGCTGACTCGGAAACGGGAAGTGTGCCATTGACAACAAATCCGTCAGGGCTGTCCTTGGCGTCGACGAATAGGTCATTCTTGCTGAAGCCCGGTGTGTTGCTTACAACCTTGCGCGGCGCCTTGTGTATGCGATAATTCTCGCGGTGGTCGGGGTTGGCGCTGAGGCCCGCTGCTAGACTGTACCTTGGATCCCAGTTGACAGGGAAGTTAGGGCCAGTCCCATACGAAACCCCCTCAACCGGGACAGTGTACTGTGACAACCCGGCCTGTTCGTAAACACCAACGGCGCGACGCTTGTCACGATCGGTCTCCTGCGCGGAAAGGTATTTGTTATCAACGCCTCCGAAGACATCGAACCCATGGCCATGGTCGGCAGTAACAAGGACTAGAGTATTATCTAATTCACCTATCGCTTTTAGGTGGTCAATGGTCGCGCGTACTGTGTCGTCAAGCTCAAGGAGATCACCAAGAGCACGGTCATAGTCCAAAGCGTGCATCTGCTTATCGATAGACGCGCCCTCGGACATGAGGAAGAACCCCTTGTCACCACCGCGGGTATGTAGAATATCGATAGCCTTCAAAGTCATATCCTTTAGACCAGGAAGGTCAAGGGCAGGATTATCCGAACCTAGAGGGTCGTTCTTAAAGCTGTCCAAATTTTCCGTGAAGACATTGCGGTCTAACCAGACGGGGAAATGAGACTGGCAGAAAATTCCAAGAGCCCTGCTGCTATTACCAAGTTCTAATAGTGAAGTCTTGTTCAAGCTGATTTCATAGCCGGCTTTGGAAAATGCGTCATAATAATCTTTTCCCTCGTAGCTATCAGAATTCGGGTAAAACTGCTCAGCGCCTCCGCCGAACCAAACGTCAGGCCCGCCCTGGTTCGTCCAGGAATAGTTGGTGACCGAGTTCAATCCTTGGTCGACGAGGGAACCATAAGCATATCGCGATCGGCTATGGCCGGTAAGGGCAATAGGAGTCGCATCTGAGATGGCTGCAGTTGAGACAGCACCCCAAGCAGAGTCCTAATGCCTTATTAGTACAGGAATGCGTGTCAGTGACCAGTGCCTATTTACCCAAGTACGCTTCAGTAACTCAACAATAGTCTCAACTTTCGGGTCGTCAAAGAAATCGGCAGACGAATCGACATAGACGCTTAAGAAAAAGAGAATCAGCATCTGGCCTAACAGCATATTGGACAATTTATGCCATGGCTTACCCCATAGCGTTGACAGTGCTCTTGTGTCCAGTGTAAAGGGCAGATGCCGAGTTAGCGCTGTCCGTGATGAAACTATCGATGGAATGAGTCTAACGATAATTGTTAGTCTCTAGGGGACTCAAAGATTACAATATGCAAATCGGTTGGTATCATACCATCTGGTGTCCTACAACGGGGAATTTGTCCATCTGTAATAGAGACTGATATTTTCCGTTGATGCTCTTGTGACCAAGTAGGCGCGCAGCCGTGATCATATTCGTGGTCATACCATCACCTATATATTGTCAACATCAACCCTTTTTCTTGAGTTTCAATAACCATACCAATGAAGAGAATAACATTCTTGGCCTTCTTCTGTGTAGCCAGTGGTCGCACAACCCAGTTAGCTGTCGTCGTCTGGCCATCGTAATAGCTCAGCGTGACGACGTAGTTTCCCGGCTCGTAAATCGCGAGCTTCCGATAGATCTTAGACGCGACATTGACTACAGACGGCGCGTCCGCATCCTTGGCAAAGAGATCTTCGTACCAGTGGAAGTCCCACTTCTCTAGCTCCGGTTCGGCAACGTCGAAGAACTCGGCGATGGTCTTAGACTCGCCACCTTCCTTGGTGATAGTGACGGAGAACTTCTCATCCGGCTCGCCGTTGTTGAAAGCTTCCGAGCCGTTGACTGGAGCATGTACTTCGAGACGAAGGTCGAAGTATTGTCCCGGCAGGAAGTCCGATTGATCAGGTGGCAGAACGCAGCCTAGATCCGGACAAGCACCGAGTCGCTGGAACGTCTGGGCAGTGGCAACAGAAACGAACACTGCCGCCACAGCAAGGGAGCTTAGTTTACCCATGGTGGCTCTCGACTATTGGCAAGCTAAAAGTTGGGGCAGCAAGACATCGGGTCGGTCTCAGAGGTCTGGGAAGCTCCAGAGTTATATAGTACAAGTCAAGCTGAGCTTGCTATGATTATGCAGTGTAACCGTGCCACGAGCTTGGCCGTTGAAAGATCCATGATACCACTGATCCTGCATTGGAAGGTAGTCGAGGCCTTGGCTATTCCTGAGGTCGTAAAAGTCGAGTGGTGAGATCTTGGCAATGGAAGAGACCTGATTATAATTGGCCATTCACTTTATAGAAATCTCCGATAGTAAAATAGCGGCGGTGCTGCCGTCGAAGCATTGACCGCGTAGGAATCATAAAGGTAATTCATCGCACGTGCTCGACTAGCAAGCTAGTTCGTGCATCGATGATAGCTTGTCTACCTACGCATGAGGACTTGGCGGCTGGAATTTTATTATTGGTCCCTGGTTCCTGGATTTTCAAAGTAACGAGTTGTTCTTATAAGCCCTTACGAGCTTCAGATGAGCTGAATAGGAGCCCTAGATATGGTTGGCCAACAAGAAGGTATGCAGCAGCAATGCCAGTTAATATGTTGATATCGTGACATAATATGCGTCGATATGGTGAGCCCTCTTCAGCTTGACCTGGCGAATAAACAATGATCATGGGTAGCTTTCTTGATACGTAAAAGTCAAAGGATGTCGAAGTTCGATGTGGGGATATCTCGAGGGAACAAGGGTTCGGAAAACGTGGGTTGAATTGCCTACTGTGATTGGCCCCTTTCTTGACCGGGAAGATGTGGGTTAGCTTGGCTAACGTCTCCCGCCGCATGGGGCACTTAGGGCTACCCTGATCGTGAGATGTACACGTGCTAGGTACTTGTAGTATGTAGATATAATCAATATAAAGAAAAAATATTGGGTAATGCTCAATTGCCTTTATTCGTTTAGGCGCAGTTTACTACTCGAAAAGGGACGATTGACGCGATGATAACTTCTCTTTCATGTACCTGTATTGCTCTCCAGTGCCTAAAAATTGTGGTTAGTTGTTTGATTTGCAATTAAAATCGCCTTTACAGATATACTACATACAATAAGCCAATAAGGATGTCAACTCATTACATGCAGATATGAATCTTGGTTCCAAGTTCTCGGGAACAAACCCCAGTGATTGCGTGGCAGGGAAGTGGAGGCCACCGAATAACGACCTCGGCGACCGAATTATCCCACATCTTAAGTTAGGAGGTACCTACCTAGGTAGGTAGCTGGTAGTAATTCACTCAGACAACTAAGCCACCTATACCCAGCCGACTTGAAAATGGGCCGGGACGGATGAATGACTGCATAGCCATACCTCTCACCGAATGACGGTGCATCACAATTGCAGCGCGTAGTCTATCATCAAGTGTAGCGAGAAGTTGAGGTCATCACTTATAGAAAGGAGCTCACTTGTCAATTTCGGCGAAGCCCTTCCTATCTAACTCATCGGCATCAGTTTCAGCATCGGGAACGAGTGGGGTCTCTCCTCCCTCTGCGGTGGTTCCTGTTACAGCCAGACCTGCTATCTCTCCGGCGAGTGTCGAGTCTTCAGTTCCACCTTCGCCGTACTTCTCCCAAGCTGGTTGGTTAATCTTCGACTGCCCCCCTTCGGTCTTAAAATGGTATCCTCGAGCTCGAGGCCTCTCACCGGTACCCTTAGGAAGCACGGGTTCGTAGGTCTCGGAAAAGATATCACAGTCGCGTTCGAACGTCGAGGGTTCTCCGATAAGCGCAGCTCGGATGCCCTTGAAAAACTCACCCAAGACATGGTAATTATGGATTTGGAGGAGTGTCCATCCAAGCATTTCTTTGGCGTTTAGGAGGTGCTGGAGGTAGGCGCGATGATGCCTGGTGCAGGTATAGCATTCGCATCCATTTGCGAGGGGCGTCAGTGATACCTGATGGTCTGGCGACCACATGTCTATTCCTAGCGGATATGCGTCTGCTTTTACGGGTGGTGGTGGGAACGAGAAGGTAAGAGCGATTCCAGCATCCGAGGCAGCGTTAAGAAATGTTACAGTGAATATATCAATCCCTAAGCGAGTTTGCCGGAGGATCTCTTGTGGTGACGTTATAAAGTCCATGGAAATACGAGGCAGCGAACCAAGGGACTTATGATTGCTGAGGTCCGGAAGGATATCCGCATCATACACCGCAAGCCCGGACAGATGTTGGACATAGTCCTGAGATAGGCGGTTTAAGTATTCCCATTGCGTCGGATAAGCAACCGGCAACAGTGGAGCAAATAAAGAGGGCTTAGCAGTCTCGTTCTCACCATTAGTATTTCTTAATTTTATAATTTCGGACAGCCAGTCTTCTGTTCTCTCCACCATTCGGAGCTGCCTTTTCGGATTCGGAAGCTTAGTCCTAATATGTGAATTTCCGAACGTCAGATCCGCAAGGGGTATTGCAATGTCTGGCTGGAGCTTCTCGATAGCTTGGTAATATTCGCTATTTTTCAACTTCTGGAAGCCAGTTGATGTGTAAACTGAGACATAGTCCTTCCCATTACCCATAGGAGCAACTACTGCAGGATGCCGTCGAGCACCGAGCACTATAGCTACCGGTGTAGGTGTGGCGGTATACGCATGTAGAGCCTCTTTACCATCAACGCCCATGTTAAAGACGGCGGGTTGGGCTCTTCTCTGAGATTTTTCTATAACTTCCAATGATACTATGTTAACCTAGTAGTATGAATATAATCATAAACTCATTGGACTCACAGTCTTCTAAAGCCATATATGAGCCGTTGAGCTCTGCATGCTTGGAGATGACATCTGGTGTCATATGTGGTATTGCTCCTCGTGATGAAAGGCCAATATAGTTGGGCGTGTCAATTGGTTTTCGTTTCGGGAGGGTTAAAAGGCCTGCTCTAGGTGCCCCCCCTTCGACCGCTGCATTTTTCAGGACGTTGAACATGGCGTGTTCTAAAGATGACTCGGCCATTATTTGATACTAATAGGAGTAGAATGTTGCTATTTTAAGGTATAAAATAGACAGCTGATCTGCGTCTTTCTACTCATAAGCCAGAACAACCTTTTTTGAGTCGAAAATTTCAACTCGTGAGCTCTAAATTTGTCATGGTAGCGCCGTTTGATGGGTTCTCGTAAGGCATCGAGATATAATGTAAATACGCCCTGGAGTTGATGTAGGAAAAGGCAATATAAAAATAAGCAATAAGCAAGTACCTAGGTACTGTATCGATAACAGCCTGGAACTTGGAGACGTCACATTCTGATTGGATCACTTGGCGGAAACGGACTGCATGAGATCCACTTGTTTCTTTTAAGGAAACAGCTGAGATCCAATCATTATCTATCACCAACCCACCTGCCCAATGGGCTGGGTCTTAAGCCACTTCCTTCGCGCGGCCTTTTTGTTTCGCGTTCTCAGCCCTGAATCCAACCAAAGTTCCATTCCTTGGCCAACTCAGCTTGCCAACCAAACTTCCAACTCCTCTGTTACGCAACGACAACTTTCTAAAGGCTGAGCAGGCTCTCGGTCTGGCAATCTATTATATCGCCTACTTCATCGTCTTCGAGATTTCATCTCATGTATCCCTTAACGTTTGTTCTATTATACATTTAGAACTCGGTTTCTTTCGTAACCTGCTGGCTAACCTGGTTCTCACTGTATTATATCCCAACCGCCATATGTAAGCTAGCTCTTTAACAACCTCCTTCATACACCGTCCGGAGTGATTCCTTAGGTCACTAATAGACGCTACGACGCATTTAATAGCCTTATAATCATGAGTAGCAATCAGTTAGAAACTCGTTCAGTCTCTCCTGACATTGAACAGCAACGGCCGCGCAACGCTTCACCGGCACATCCGGACAATCCGCTCGGTGGCCCGCAACATCTCGAGTTCAACGAGGACGACGACCCTCCGACCCCGCGCTTTATGCAGGACCAAGGCGCTTGGAAGAATTGGAAATGGGTTCCATATCCCGCCCGAAAGTATGGGAAAGCCGCCTTTAGATGGATGAAGGGTCCGCAGAACCCCAAGGTCTGGAGGATTGAACCACTCTTTCCTACCGTCCAAGAGGCGCCACTTCGTCTGCTCGACAAATTCCTTCCCAACAAGAAACACCAAATATTGTTGTATATGGGCTATATCGCTGTATGGATTGTTGTATTTGCCATTGTTATGTGGCGGGGCCAAGTTGCTTCAGAAGTTGCGGGTTATGGCACCCCTATGGACATAGGATGTGGTGTCGCATACTGGAGTCGCAATAACGACTGTGGTCTTGATGGTGTCAACTGCAGGCCGTTCAACGGCAGCGGCTTTGCCTTTCGCTGCCCTTCCAACTGCGCCAGCTACCGGGTCCTCAATCCTCGAGCAGTAGGAAGCCAGGAAGTAGTCTACGCCCCGTTGGTCGTCGGTGGACCGCCCGATCCCGCCAACGAAGAGAACCCAGTCTACCGAGGCGATTCTTTTATTTGCGGATCTGCCGTTCATGCTGGTCTCATATCTAATTCCCTGGGTGGTTGTGGTGTCGTCAACTTAGTAGGACGGCAGCAGAACTACATTAGCACGGATAGACATGGCATCCATAGCGTTGCCTTCGATTCGTACTTCCCGCTGTCCATTACCTTTGAACCGGGGATCGAATGCAAGGCTAGAGACGTAAGATGGTCGCTACTAGCGGTTTCCGTAGTCTTCAGCTCCGTATTATCGTTGTTTACTGCTTCGTCATCAGTATTTTTCTTTACCGTCTTTGTTGGTATATTTTGGCAAGTGGGTATGGCTTCCGACCCGCCGTCCTACACGTCAATCTCCGGATTGTTTTCCAACATTATGGGCAAGTTTCTTCCCGCCATGTTCTGCGCTTGGGTATTTTATGACAAAATGGGTGTGCGACGAACTTTACAAGGCTTAACGGCCCAGGTTGAGAAGACTGTTCTGTGGCTAGGTGGCTGCTGGGTTGGAGCACTTACGAATTACACTTTCGATTACATACCTATCCAACGCCTAACAGGGCACGACCTCGAGCAGCAACCTGGTGCCAAGGCAGCTCTCGCTATCATTGTCATCGTACTATTTTTCATTGCTGTTGGCCAAGTCTGGTGCTTCCGACAAGAAGGGAGATTGATACGGATTCTCAAGCTGTATGCGCTGTTCATCTTGGGGATTATCATCTGTCTCGTGCTACCTAGCCTTAGCTTGCGTATTCATCACTACATCTTAGCATTGCTCCTGGTACCAGGTACCAGCATGCAAACAAGGCCATCTCTTCTTTACCAAGGTATTCTGATAGGGTTATTCATCAACGGTATAGCTCGCTGGGGATTCGACTCTATCTTACAGACCTCGGTAGCTTTGCAAGGTGATGCTCAACTGGGGTCTCCTCTTCCCGCTCTCCTCGCGCCTATCATTAACACCACTGTTTCAACAATCACATTCCAGTGGCAACCTCCGCCGGGATTGCGATACGATGGTATCAGTGTGCTGGTCAACGATGTCGAAAGATACCGTGGTTTCTTCGCTGATGAAGGCTCAGACCGCTTCGTATGGTCTCGCGACAACGGGTCGAATTATAACGAGTACTTCCGATTTGGTTTCATGTCGGGTACAACAAGCGGAGATTATACCAAGGCTGGTATCTGGACAGAGGACCTTGATTGGGTTGATCCTCAACCAGGGCCTTCAAGAATCAAAGCCCGAGATTTGGATGGGTCCGAAATAGAACAGGTATCGCGTGCCGTATGGAAATGAATTATGATCGTATTATGATAGCCAATCAACACAGTTAATTTTATGAGCGAAAATATGGTTCATCATCTACCATTTTACAGTCAAATATCCAGAAACCAGTCCAGTCGTCCATCCATTTCGTATCAGCTTATGATTTTTCTAACCGACTAATATGCAAGTACCTACCTAACGAAGTATCGCGTAACTTCCCTAAGAATGGAATATTATTGCCTACATCTATCTCATATTCCTTTGGGGCTATTTTACTTGGTTTCTTCTGTATGGTTACATACAGGTTATGCGCTATTGGAGGTCAGCATCGACCCCTATTTCGGTGATAACATATCATGGCATGATAAGACTAAAGCCGCATCTTGTTTACTAGGCCAAATATTAATACAGATCCTATATAACACCATCTATGCTTCTCATAGGTTGTACGCAATCCTCGCCTATCCTACAATCTCTGAAAAGGGTAAGGATATTGCCATCGATATACCTGTCTATTCACAAGTCTTGACTATATAATCCACAGTCTGGTTTCCTGTTGCCGGGACCTTGGGTTTGAAATCGAGATAAACGAACTTCACACATCGCGAACACTATTAGCAAATGCATCTTTCGTCTGTACTCTAGGCAAGCATAATATGAAAGATGACGTACCTCTCCCTTTTCCGGAGTCCAATCGCCGTTGGTATCGCGGTAGAAAACTAGCTCGCCTGACTTTATATCACGTATCTCGGCGGTAGTATGCGTGAGTGCTCCCTCTGTACGCCATTCGAGCTGATAGCACGTTGACTTAGAGACGAGGAACGGTTTCGAGCACCTCGTATTGCCTTCCGAGTCTTTGCATTTCTCGACCGCGTAGTCCATTACCGATCCTTCGACTACAGTACGCGCTAGATTGATCGAAAATTGTTAGTGAGAATTACGAATCCATTGATGTAAGAGAAAGGGACTGAACGAAGGCGAAAATAAGAAGATAGACATACGTTCTTTGAGACTGCCGGTTAGAGCCAGTCCTGCGGTTAGGACACTTTGTGCTGATGGAATATACATCTTTGAATGATAGATAATTAAAATTGGTAAATGATTGAGAGGCAAATAGTTTTGAAGTTGTATGATGTTGAAGAATCAAGTTGTTAGTTGACAAGTTGACTTAGGCATGTAAGTATTCTTGGCCTTCGCAACCACAACGTCATAGACTATTATTATTGGCTATCATAAACCTAGCACAACTTCAATGCAAGACTTTTAAGGTTCTTCATCCTGTATGTTTCGGCCCTTGACGTCTTTATCGAATGTTATGCATTTCTGAACCCTTTACTATGAAAGTTTTATCCGTTCTTTTCAAATGGATTTCACAGCGTTCAATGCCGGCATGATACACAACTCGTTCGTTTAACCAATTGTGTAGTACTACCATATAGGGGCGTCTTGCTCGGCCGAGAATATTTTATATTTTCAAGGAGCTTCTTATGATATTTACATGACAGTATAAAAAGGTCGACATAGTAACTTGTTGCTTCTGCTTATCCCCCGTCGCTGATCTCTGAGACCATCTTGACGCTTTGTTTCTCTACTCGTGACACCACATTCCTATCTGTGTGCCTTGTTCTAGAAAGCTTTGCGCACCTGGGTGTACTCGTCTCCGCGTACTGGAGGTCTTCATGTAGTCGACTCCGCGACTTGTGTATCTAGAGATATACGCTCTGCTACTAGCTTTGATGACAAGATCAAGTTGATAATTAATATAAATGTAATATGATTCCAAACTTGAGTTTTTCGTTTAAGTATGCTATTCTTGCGACTACCTAGGCGTTTATGTGAAAACACTGATAGAAGCCAAGCCGGCAAGAAGCCCAACCTTCAAGTACGGCGTTTCGTTTAAAAGTATAGTTATCCACCCTAAGTAGGGCACATAGCCTCGAACAACCCCGATAATCTCGTCCCTATAGACGTACTTCCGACTGCCGGGATAGAGCGCAACATCATCTATCTCATTATTGTCGCCCTTTGTGAGAATCAATTGCCTATGAGACGAAATGGTTTAGCACTGCGTAGACTGAAGTTTAAAGGACAGTCAAGGCTCATCTTACTCTGTAACTCGGCTTCCTGGCCTTGTTCCCCATAGGATCTTGATTGCTCTGTGAACCATTGGCAAAGGTGCTTTAGAAAACCAGACGACAGGAATGTCTCCTATCCGGATCTCGTGCTCCAGGTTGGATATAATGATAATATCGCCACGTTTAAAGGCCGGCGCCATCGAATCCGACACGACGACGTGGATGGGACAGGGAGAGTTGGTGAGGATTGATAAACCTTTCCATAATATGAATAGAGCGCTCATTACGTGCACAATGGGTAGTAGACGCCGAAGCAAGTTTCGCATGATGATTAAATATGGTGAATATCAAGTAACTAATACAAGAAACAAGTCTACCACCACCTAAGTGAAGTACCTGATTGTTCTCTCTACATCTGTAGGCAATTGTGTATGTATAAATTCAAGGTCGTGTAAGCGCCGAGTTTTACTGCCAAGAATATTCTACTATAAATCTGAACGCTCGAATTGTTTGCTCAGCTGGAACTGTAAGACTTCTTAAGACTTGCTAAGTCAGCTTACTTATTGGCTACATAATTAGTTGGGTTTAAAAGCAAACCATCATACAGCAACTCCTAGCCTAAGAGGGTTAATAAGGTGACTATTTTCAACGTAATCAGTAACCAGTCAACTCGTTTGGGTCACGCCGCTGAATACGGCATTGTCATGTTTGCTGGCGATGTCGTGGTGGCAGAAGGTGAAGACTGAGGGGTTGGGGCTTAAAATCGTCGGTAGAGAGGTAATACACCTATGTAGGTATCTACCTAGGTACCTAAGTATACGTATTTTCAAAGAAAAATCGTAAAGATGTAGACCGTAGCGTGATATTAGGTTAATTGACACTTAGAGCTATTGCCTACTCTATTCGTTCAAGATCAATGCTTCGTCTCTGGTTGAGCATCGGGCTCTGTCTACAGAGAAGGACGATATGCTATCAATCTCCTCACATAATAGGGTTAAGATTGGTTGAACACGAAATGATCAAAGAATTCCGACGATACGAGGTCGTGATAAGCCTTGCTCGAAATTGTTGTACTAGTCGCTTTATGTAATCTGGCTATATACATGCTCGGCCGGATCACGAACTAGTCGAACGGTGGTGATCCGGTGGGCAGCCTTATACCCAGTGACGATCACGGTGATTGACTGGGAAGAATACTACTCTACGTAGGCGGCCGTATTCAGCCCTAGCTATCTCACGCTGAGTTAGGAAATTTCTTACGACCAGGCATCGATAGTCGGGCGTGTCCGGCGGAAGCTAAGAGGCTGATTGGCCAAACTGTAGGATGCGAGCGCGCTGTGAATGAGGGACTTCCTGACGTTCTCATTTTGCGATTCCCCAGTCTCAAGGATACCCATTGCTCTGTATTTCGGCAATCTGCCTATCTGATGTCATACCTCATCTGAAAAGCCTTCTGGATCTTACATGGTCTAGACTTTGGGTTTCCATGAAAGCAACAGGGCTAGTAAAACCTGGAATTTGGTTAGCTGGAGCCTTTTCTCCGCCCTGTACCTGAAATAAACAAAACTGAAAATTTCCAGCTAATATTCTAACGTGACGGCTTTCTTAATCCCTTTTGCTGATGGAATTTTGCTGAATACTTCCTGTCTTATATTACTTAGATATTGGCCATGATTGGTGGACGGCCTAGGACCAGTCTGGTGCTGGGTACGGTGCTTTTTGCGTGTATTCTCCTTACATATCTGGGCTCTGGGTCCGCTCGAAATCAATGGGGCTCGACTCCGAGTCCCGTGAAATGGACCTCGTCACCGGCAAGCCAAGATAAATCGGATGTATTCAATAGAACGCTTGGCGTGAGTCTTGTCCCGCCCAACACTGGTGTTATTAGCTGACTAACGGCTGTACATGCCGAAGTTTGAGAAGGTCTTCGTCATAGGGCTCCCCGAGCGTTCGGATAAGCGCGATGCGTTAACTCTAATGTCTTCCCTCACTGGATTCAGGTTAAGTTGGATTGACGGCGTTGCTGGTAACACCATCCCAAACAAGGCTCTGCCCTTCGTAAGCTCTATACTTCCGACCGATACTAGCTGCGGGATAACTAATAAAGTTGGCCTAGGGGTGGGATCGAGAAACGATGCGGGATAGTAACCTAGGTTCCTGGCGCGGCCACGTAAACGCGATGCGACGCATAATCGAAGATGGAATATCGTCGGCGCTGATTATGGAGGATGATATGGACTGGGATGTCAATGTTAAAGAACAACTAGCCCAGTTCGCGGCTGCGGCTCGTTCCTTGCAGTCCGGATTCCACCGAAACCAGACGCTAGAATCGCCAAGCCCGTACGGTCAAGATTGGGATATGCTGTGGCTAGGTTCATGTGTAACAACGTTTGATGAAGACCTCCCCGAAGACCTCCAGATCTCGTCCGAGGAGCGCGACTTCCGTAAGGTCTTCGTCTACAATGACCCGACGGTACCACCACCGGGGCATATTCTAGGCAACGGCTCCTTCAGTTGGGACGATTATCCCCCGCACACCCGAATAGTATATGTGCCTGGCGATAATGTGTGCAGCTTCGCATACGCGCTAAGTGCAGCTGGAGCGCAAAAGGCGCTGCAACATATGGGACTCGAGGGACAGCGTAAACCCTTTGATAACCACCTCAGTGATTTATGCCGTTTGCGCATTAACGGTATGCGGTGCGTGAGCATAGTGCCTAGTTTATTCGTGCATCACCGACCGAAGGGCAAGATCAGCGGCGACTCGGACATTAATAAGGGAAGTGAGAATGAAGAGATGCGTGAGGTGGGATTCACGGAGAACATATTATATAGCACGCGGTTGAACTTGAAAAATTTGGTTAGAGGGTTGGAGCCAGAGAAGCAATGGCTAGATTGATATTTGAGCATATAAATGCATGGCGTCGGCGTATATATAGGAGGTAGGTAATAATTGAATGAAGCCAAGACCATCCGGCAGTTTTGAGACAAACAAACTGAGCTAGTACAACAGTAGGATACTCGGCACACACATTCAGCGGAGGCATTTAATGTTTTTAAGGGTTTTAAGGATAGAGTTTACGAATATGGCCCTTGCTTCAAGGCACGACGATAAATATGAGTTGTAATTGTACGTTTGTTACTATCACAACTTGTAAGTCCAGTTTAGCGGTGTTGAAGCCCTGGAAGAGCTGGGTCCCGTATGGCTTCAACATCCCTAATAATATAACTTCTAACTCAGCCAAGTTCTAAATAATGCATCGTGGGTTCCTCTTCAATTACCATTTTATCATCTTGATTCTTATCATGTAGTGCATCTTTGATCAGGAACTTCTTGAGAGAATTGAGACTAAACATACCTTGGCTAGCCACTTTCTCTATCGATAAGATATGAGGACTGGATACCTATAATTTTGGTAATGACCCACTTTAATAGATGCAACAATTGAAGGTTGGAAAAAAATAATTTCGGAGCTTCTCAACTCTCAACCAGATTCCAAAATACGACGACCACTCCGAATAACAGCACACGCAACATACCGACATAGGTATTTTATACATTCGCAACAACTATAACCGGTAGAACACCTTGCTATACTTTATCCAAAGCGCAAGCGATCTTGCCTATCCATTTCAAGGGCCGAACGGATCGAATAAATCCGTAAAGACGAAAAGGAAAGAAAATACACAACCGTCAAGATGCATCTCATGTACACCATGGACGAGAGCGGCAAGCGCATCTACACCCTGAAGAAGGTCCTGAACGGCGAGGTCACCAAGTCGGCGCACCCGGCACGATTCTCTCCCGACGACAAGTGGTCGCGCCAGCGCGTCACCCTCAAGAGGCGCTTCGGCCTGCTATTGACACAGCAGAGTGAGTCCTACTTCTCATCTATCTCTCCTTTCAATATATCGATGAGAGCGAACCCTAGAAAAGAAGACCACGTATACTAACGAAGGTCATCACAGAGAACAAGGTTGCTGAGAACTCGCGGTGAAGCACTGTACACCCCCTATAGTGATGTGAATAAAATATCAAAATCGGCAAACTGAGATCTAAAAGATTTGGTTCGGCTATTCGAGGTTGCAAATATAGTCCTGCATCGGACTGGCGTTCATGGCGTGTGATTCGGAAAGAAAGGCAATCGACTTTCGGGATTATGGACTACCTACGACAAGCCATCTGCCCGATGCCGTCCTGCGTATGGGTAGCTGGGCCTTGCAAATTCTATTATACCAGTTGGTGTTCTCAATATGGAGTCTTAACTCAATTTCTTCGTATTTGATGGATATTTGGAGGTGTGTGAATGAATACGGTAACCTAACCTACGCCAGCAAGGACACCAGATACGATAGTCAAGCAATCTTGTCTTAATGAACTGTTTTAGCATTGCACTGAGGTGTGTTTCCGAAGTGCGTAGTCCGTATCAAGCCGTACCATCAATCCCGTTTTAAATACCGAGCCCCCATAACACCTGTATGCTATATCACATTCCATTCATGTCTATCTTTTTCGCGAATTCACATTCCTCCCCGCCCCGACACGTATCCTGCCGGGAGCTCCTCCACTTCTATCTCCCGTTAAGATGCTTGGGAGATAATCCTCGTCCATAATATCCCTCTGCTTTGTTTTCTTCTGGTCCGTGGACTTCTTAAGATATTCCTTCTGATCCTCAGCAAAGATAAGCTCTCTTCCCCAACCTCCCTTTCCACCTCCCGGGCCACGTGCCTTTCCGTTTGAAGAGCCGTGTACCGGCTTCGGCACGCTGTACACGTTGCCGCGGTTGTTCCACTGGAAGTTGCGCTTGAGGTGCACTGTAAACTCCCCCGCTGCGTTTGTCGAGCAGCTCACGCGTGTTAAGGTAGGTTGCCCGCATCGTGGGCAGAACTGCTTTCCCATGTCCCGCGAAATCGCGAAGCATCCGTGACATCGTAGTACCCACGTCTTGACGCGCGTGATGCGTGCTAAGCTTGGCGACACTAGATTGAGATTTACCCGCAGCGCCACGTTCTGCATCGCGTAATCTGATGTGAGGAGTGCTACCTGCAAGAACTTTTGGATCGGTTGCTCCGGTCCTGAGAGCTGGTCTTTGGCTTGGTGTTTCTTGAGGTTCGATGGCGTGATCCAACCGTCTCCATCTTCATCTTCATCCTCTTCTTGCTGGTCGGCAACTTTTGGTTCTGATACTGCGGCATCATCTGGTATGGTATCAACTGTAGGTAAAGCGGATGATTCTAAGCTGAGAGAATCAAGGGCTTTAGTGACGGTCTCTTGTTGAATAGTCGGCTGCTCTTGTATCTCGGATTCGACGTTCGAATTCTCGTCTGGGTCACCTCCTTCTAACTCGATTTGCCCTACCTCGTTTTGGCTATCAACTTCTTCTGGCTTCTTATCCTCAGAATTCTCGCCATCGTTTTGTTCTGCGGTCTCACTCTCTTTCGCCTGCTGCGTAGGTGCCTTTCCATTCAGGCCTTTCTGTCCGGGTGTCTTTCTTAGACGCCAATCGCCGCCATTTCTTTCGCACTCTAGTTCGTATGTTAATGCGATCAGGTGTAAATCGGGTCTGCTCAGGACCTCGAGGTCTCCAGTGCGCCGCGCAAAATCGGTGACGAACTTGATGCTTTCGGGGCGCGGGCTGCGCAACTTTATGAAAGGAATTAACGTTGTCTCGACTCGCGCTCTCGTTGCGGCATCTCGAATTTCAGATATGACCGACGGAAGCGTGTATAGTTCGTAGGCTTGAGCAAGGAGGGTGCTGACGGGAGGATCGTTCTTAATCAGAGGGCCTGTGTCGAGAACGAGGGAATGGATGGGTTTTGAGGGTGCGGATTCTGTATCTGCTGTTGTATCTACAGTCTCCACGGCTTTTACCGCTTGTTGAAGTTCTGTTGTCGCCATATTTCCACTTTCCAGCATATGTCTAGATTGATACAGCTATATCACGAATTCGAAAGATGGTGGGGTTGCGATTTCGTCTTGTGAATTTGGTGGTGGGCGGCGTGGGGCCCTGAAAAGTTTTGGCGGGGACATCGGGCAGAATCTTGCATTTGACGCCCGGGCATTCAACCTTGAAAGCCCTGCATAGGTAGGTACGTACCTATGTATATGTACCCCAGCGTCTAAGTACACGTACGTGATAAGAGCATCGTTTCTTTTTCTATTATTTCATCATTCCAATATAAGGTAGGTAATTATATGCTTGTATAACTTCATCTATGTCCACCAGTTGTAAACATTATATTCACGAAAAAGATCCTCCGTATTGAAGATTACGACCATTTCCAAAACAAGAGCTCTTCAACTCGTATGAACTACACCCCTGAAGACATTCAACTGAAGCTATTAATGTCAATAGCCTGGATATGGTTAAGCAGTAGGGTTATTCTCTTGAAATGGGGATAAGTTCAACGTCAAACCATTGCTGTGATCACGTACCTCGCTATCGGAGTAGTCCTCAATGATAGTTGCATATAAATCCGCTCTATAGACTTTTATCTTTCGATTCATCATACCGTATATACCATATGTCAGGCAGATATGGACATATACATTGCCCGAGGATTTGAGGATCCTTTCTTCAACTACCGTACTGATGTATGTACGAGTAAACCACCCCTTAAGAACATCCCAGCTAGCTCTTTGAACCGCTAAGGATTTGGACGTCCTAGAAAAGAACTTCGACGGCCCTAGGCTATAGATATTGCATAGTTGACCAACTGGTATCCCGCCGTGGTATGGGATTTCGATAGTCTTCATGGTAGATGAAAACAAACCAAGAGCCGAAAAGCAATGTCTACGCCTAAACTCAATCGGCCGACCACTCTCACGCAATACCGACTAGTAGGTTCGTCTCAGAACTTGTTAGGATAGTCCAATCCAACTAATGTTCGTAAGTTCGTGCGGAATCCCAATCGTCGAATCAAGCAGCTGAATATTGAATCCCTTGAATTTGTTAGGGGTCGTATCTCGGTTACGCGACTGTAAACTCTTGGCTTTCAGCCAACTAGGAGTCTGGAACATGTATGATTCTCGCCAAGCCCATCTTTAAGACCGACAAAACGTAGGAGGGTGCCGCATGATGGGCAGTTAATCCGAATTCTAGTCGTTTCCCCAGAGCGATGCTGATATATAGTATCGACAGAATGTCAGTAATTCCTAATTCTAGGGCTCATTGGTACCATGGCCTAAAATACCCAGTCTACCCCGATGTTTTAGGGTGCATATCTATCGATCAAGAGACTAATTCCGGAGCACTAGGAGTTTGTCTTGCTCGTGGTATTAATCAAGTAGGTTTTCTTGCTCAGAATAGGATTGGTGACTCCACGGAGGACCAGCACAGCTATGCCGGGTTTCTTGGGGAAATATCGTAGTCTTCTCATATTAGCCCCTTTGGCTAATTCAAGGTGGTAGTAACCATTAAATTGCCAAGCCAACCCGGTGAGATTGGTAACGTAGTTCTCGTTAACCAATCAGTACCTAGATATAGCAACTTGTTTAAAGAGTTCAAACCGTCGTTTGTGAGTACTCGTTATTAAGCCAGTCGCTCGAGAGCCACGATGCAGATTCGAGGCCGCTATTTCCGAATGACTCGAGATTGAAGTCAAAGCCATCCATCGCACCCTCAAAGGCGTTATTATTATCTATTCCATCTGGTGGCATCACAGGCGGTAAATTCGACTTCGCTATGTTAAAATCTCCAATAGGTGTTCCCGGTAGCGGAGATCCACGGGTATGCTCTTGTGGTGGACGGGGAGTTGAATGCTGAATTGGGGTTGGCATTGAACTGCCTTGTGGTGAGGTTATATGAGCTGAAGGAGATAGAATAGGGATATTAGTAAATCCGCTTTCATCGACAACTTGCATTTGTTGAATCGGGTTGTGGCGTGGCAGAGCATGTTGGGATATAAGATTGGAACCGTTGGTACTGGGGCTCCCTGGGTGGTTCGGTGCGGCATTTGTAGTGAAGCCACGGGCAATCAGTTTTTCAAGATCATTGACCTAAAGTTACATCTGTACTCAGTAAACCATCATGCAATATTCTGGGGTGCAATAACTTACAATGGCAGCGCCAGCTGGGACGTGATCCATCGACTTCGCAATCGTTAGGCATCTCATACCAAGTTCGTGTACTTGGTTTGATGTTAAACTGATTTCCCCTTGGTTCGTTTGGTGAGCAAAGTAAACAATCCGAGCGCACTGATAAGCGCAGCCGGGTAGATCAAGATCAGTGACCGGGAGGCCTCCGTCAAGCGACAGAACAAGTTTAAAAATATCCGACATAGCCAAAGCGTGCTCATAACATTGACGCATGCAATATGACACGAATTGGGGGTCTAATTGGTTTAAACCCGACTGTGGCAATGCCTCTTTAAGTCCTACTAGGAACATTCGGTAGAGATCGCAGTAGCACTGTCGCCACCAGACATGTATCATAATATAAACACATAATCGTGGTGAGTAAGCTCGCAATTGAAGGTTGCTTTCCGAGAACTTGAAAGAGGCCGGCAGGTGATCGTTGAAGCCAGCTAGTTCTTCTGATAATACCTTGACCAACTCTGGCAGCTGCGCCAGTTCAGACTCGGGCATGCCTAGCACATTCTTGGTGCAATATAGGACTCTGCTTCTCATCCATAGGAGTCGCACGTGGAGCGCGAGCGAACCAACGTCATCCGGGAAAGGCCGCGTGGGGACGGGCCGGAGGTATTCAGTTACTTGTGGCAGATCAAATTCGAAGTTGCGCTCGGTGCAAGGAAGTTGAATGTGCATAGATTCGGACGGCATCAGTGTAAAATCCGAACACCCGCCATTGATACCGGAGTCGATAGTCATAAGCGCCCACATCAGTCTCCTCCGTGATTCTCGCGCTAAGAAGCATAGATTCGGATTCTCATAATTCAGGCGGAGAGCATAGGCAAAGCGAGTAGCCGTTGCCGCCAACATAAAGGCGGTAGTGAATTTGCGCGACAACATGCGGTGTTTCATAATGAGGACGAGGGCCTGTATCTTAATAGTCGACGGATTCTCGAGGTCCTCAAGTACCATCTTCTGACATTCGTCGATACACCTAGCCCCATACTCTCGAGTACCAGGGCCCAGGTCTATGATAAGTGAAGTGATGCCCACTAAAGCAAGAAGCAGAGCTTTATCCATCATGCCAGCATGATAACGTTGCATGAGTGAAGCACGATGAAGGAACGAAAAGATAGGGACGTGGTGAATTTGACGAAAGAAATTACTAAAGGTCCGCTGTATGATACCTTCATCTGGAAAAACAAACCTAAGTGGATTGTTAGTTTATACACGAAAGGGGAAAGAGGTGGGCTATCGAATGCGTACGGTTCATTGCTGGATGCTGTACATGTCGAGGGCCCATTTGGTTCGAAGCTATTCCTATCGGGCCCTCGAGGACCATGATGAGAACCCTGATTATCCTTACTCATCATTACTCTTTTCTCCGGTGGTTCGGATGAGACAGACTCAAGTTCGGAATCAGTAGCGCCCTGATGGGATTGCTGGGAGACGCCGCTAACGCCTCCAGATCGCTTCGTCGGTTTGTAGACGCACTCAATGCCTTGAGCTTGACATCTTGCGCATTTCGGGGTTTCACCACTACATCTAGCTTTCCTGGAATGGCAGTTGGCACAAGCTAGTCTAACACGTCTTCGCGGAAGGGTGAAATTTGTCAAACCCTCGGAATCCTGGCTGGGAGAGGCGGCGTCTTGAAATGAGCACGTGAATCCTAACCGCTCGCAATTCTGGCAAACGTCGCGACGACCGTCACAACGAACTTTGCGCACTCTGCATGGAATGCAGGTCTGACTCGACTTCTTGGGATTTCTGTTCGTAGGGTCGGCCGCAGCAACGTCTGCTGCGACCTCAGCTGCTGTGTCCGCGGCCGCCATCTGCACGCTCATATCTTCCAGATCCATTCTCCCAGATCTTGAGCCTGGACATGAGTGTTGATAATTCGGAATTAGAATGAAATAGGAATAGCTAGCTTCTTCACAGATTCTGGTTTCAGAATGCGAAATGGCGGTATTGCGTTATTACAGATTGTGGACATGTTACACCTATCAGAGTCACGGAATATTGGTGCAGGTGGTTAAGATTGGAGGGAATTTCACGTTGGGAAATTCGGCTCTGGTAAATTGCGAAAATGCCAAATGGCGGGGACCGGCGAAAGCGGCCAGACAGCCTATGATTTAGCGATTAGGGATTAGGCCTGTCAGACTACTCAGTCCCAGCCATAGTGGGCCGCCTCAGTGGAATGTCTAGGCGGTTTCAGCAAGCCAACCCACTAGACTCCCTATAAACCGGCTCCGGCACTAGTTAGTCAAATAAATACGTCATTAGATAGAGGCTCAACTCTTGTCTACCTATAAAATTAATAAGTGACAAATACTTGAACATATAGGTATTCAGGTACATAGGTAGGTAATTATATTCATTAAACATTTGATCGTTCGTTGTCAGCATGTGGCAATTATATTTTCTTCCGTATTAGTCAATGGGCAGTTTAGAGTCAAAACCATCAGCCGTTATATAAGTCGGCGGCAACAGCCTTTTTACCTTATATCTATAGTTTCAATCAAATTACACTCCAGGAACCCAACTAGGATATACCCCAATTAGATCCACGTGCGAGACTCTTTACATATATAGACACAGGAACTCACGATCTCTTCAGCCATGCGTACTATGACCAAACCTTCTTGGCGTCGTTTTAGCTTCAAAACTATTTTCTGGGGTTTGCATACATTAGTGCCGCTCTAATGGAGCGGTGACTAAGATTTACGACCGAGGATATTCCTCCCTCTGTCCCTTTCACTTTCCCTGGTTCCGGGGAATATCTCCTGCGAAATTCCCAGGAGGTATTGGTAGAATTGGATAAAGCGATCAAAAAACGCGCCCTCCATCATCTTAAATCACCCAATCATACTGAACAGCACGCACGTCAAACGGGATCAATAGTGTGTCATCTAGATCTCTAAGCACCGATAACCGCGCCGACAACCGAGGGCCGGTGGAGTCCAAGTTTTCATATTTAATCGATTCTGTTCTTTTGAGAAGGCTAGAATTCCATTATTGATCCTAGTTCGATCCTATTTCCGGAGCTACTTTCTAGTTGAAGATAGAGACAGTTTGCACGATCATCTCGCCAAAACCTTGAGAGCTTCATCAGCCCTGTATCACTTTTCGTGTAACGTCAAGTCAAAGCGATTAGAGGCAATTAAGACGATCTTGAAAGGGGTTGAAAGAGAAGATGAAACATTGCGAGGTAATAACTACTGCTAGTATTTAAGATCTTATAAGTCGAATGCATTTATCATTAGCCAAGTTGTTATATTCATAGACCAATAAGGTCACATACACAACAATAGTTGTCAACTTAAACCGTAGTCTTACTAATAAGAGCCCAACTTCGGTCAACTAACTTATTAATCAAGCCTCGAGTATGAAGACAATATCAGAATTTGACATCGCATCGCAATAAAATAAGCGACACCACAAATAAACGGTATATCATGTCTGCCTAAATTTCTATATCGTGAATAATGAGATGCGCTAGGTATCTAAGATAGCTTGATTTTCTAACCGAGCTTCTTGATAAGACATCTTACTGTATCTTATAGTAGTCCCTTGACCACCCATTTCGACAACATAATTCACGTTTCAAGGTGGTATGCTCAAGGTCTTTTAACTTTCTACTATGTCAATCATCGTAGTATTTTGAGGAATGTAGGCTGTTGAAGCTGTTCGGCGTCAATTATATTTCAATGCTACAGCAAGCAATAAGAAATCCGAAGAGTCATTTCCACAGTTCCTCTCGTTATCAGTTTCAATTATAATCACATAAATTAAAGATATGATAAGAATCCCATTCGCCCCTTGCTCGTCAGTTGCATAACATTCAGTATTAACTTGAAACGGAGTTACCGGCATATTTAAGCTGGTGTATTCACAAGGTTTTCCTTGGTATTCGGGTCTTGAGGCAATCCTTTAGCTGTCTCCTCTTTAAGTCTCCGCTCCCTTTCAGCTCTCCCTTCACTTGCAGGATCATAGTACGCTATACGTTGTCAGCCACATAATACAATCAAAGCTCATTAAATATTTTATCATGTTTAACTTACGTTTCTCCCCAAAGACCGTCGTGCGAATTCCCCTTCGAGGCGCTTCATACGAGCCAGGGATAACCCGATGAAGTACACATCTGTTGTCCCACATCGCCACACTACCAACTTCCCACTTCCATCGGACAGAGTGATCATCTGCGGAATGAAGGTGGTACTGGAAGAAGTCGAGGAGCTTGTCGGACTCATACTTCTTGAGCTCGGCGAACCCGGTGACGAACCCGATGTTTACGTTCAACGCCTTCAATCCGGTAACCGGGTGGGTCCTAACGGCCGGATGATGCGAGTCGATAGGGGGGCGGTTCGGCCCAACGCCCCACAGGTCCAAAATTGTGTCGTACTGCAGTCTTGAAGTGTGCACTGCATGTAGGCCTTCGACAAATCTTTTCATCGCGTCACTCAATGTGTCATAGAGACCGTAACCGGAGACCCAGGCCGTGTCCCCTCCCACGGGAGGATGCTCTTCCATTCGGAGGAGAGAATACGAAGGGGGGTTAACCTCAAATGAAGTATCGGCGTGCCACTCCCCCGAAGGCCACGGAGTATACTTGAGCAACTCACGGTGGTCCTCTCGGCTGCCTCGGATCACGACGTGTCGAACATCCTTTTGGGCAGGATGTCGGTCTAGGGTGCCATAATGCTCGAAGAGTTTTACTTGCCCGTCAGTATTTAAATCTTGGTTGCGGAAGAAGACGACTCCACGCTCATTTACAAGCAGCGCAAGCTCATCTAGTTGCTGTGGAGTTAATTGGGAAAGCTGCACACTCTCTAGGACAGTGCCGATCGATTCTGTTAAGTCGATAGCTTTAGCGACCGAGAAGAGAGCTTTCTTCTCGGGGTCCGCAAATGTAGCACGGTCCTTCTCCGGGATTATTTCTTCTCGGGCGGGCTCTGGCGGAACATGGTTATTGATTTTCTCAGAGAAGTGCGGATGGATGGTGATTGGGAACCCAGAGTCCTTGGATATATGCTTTAGAGCTTCGAGTCCAGCCGACATTTCTAGTTTATGGTATGAAAAACCCTATTATATTTTGCTGTAGGCCTCGATGATATCAACTCTTATATATTTTATTAGTACTGCCACAATTTTTTCGACCAATCAGATCTTTAGAATCGCCCCGCAGTTGGCGACTTTTTCCTTTGCCATTCTATCGCATAAGGTTTGAAACACATGCAAATAAGATGAAAAGGTCATGCAAAACGCGCTCTATCCAACGATACCAATTATTAAAAGATTTATACAATAGTATAGTAGGTCAATTGATTTTACAAAAAATTCATCGGACGTGCCCTAAGGTGTGGCTAGCCAATCAGAAAGGCCAGACATATGTGGCGTAAAAGGCACTCTTGAAGCTAGGCACTCCCCGTAAGCGCCTGCGCGAACGGGTAACGCAGCTAGTATCAGAATATTATACTCTGCCCACTGTTGCTTATATGTATATCAGCTCTCTAGGTGGAGTTGGAGACTACCTAATATGACGTGCGTGACAGATCCCACCTATCAAATGCAAGATTGACAATAGATCGATAGATAGCTTACCGTGAGGTTGCGTCCGTCGATGGCGTTAGGCACGCCTAAGATCACATCAGTCTTCATTCCCCCCTTCATCGAGCCGCAAATTACTAAAACTCCCGATTAAGAGTTCTACAGCGATAGAACACTAGGAACTTGATGAAACGATCGTCTATCTGTGGACAACAGACAGGTGACTCATGCATAACAATATTGATCTCAATAAAATACTACTATAGGTAGAGCATAGTCTATTATAATAAAATCTCAACTTGCCAATGACTGAATTTCCAAAAGCTCTTGCCTGCAGTACTAGACTAATGTAGCTACGTTAGGTAGTGAATACTATCAGTGAATTTAGTTTGAACCTTCATCCTTTCGTAGATCTTCCCCCTGAATCTCAGCGTGACTCTCCAAGTCGGATTTATCGCCGTCGGCACCAAAATCTTTGATCACCAGCCAAGCCGGTATTATGGAAACACCCCATAAACCAAAGTTTATGTATGGGCCGCCAACGGCTGCGATGATAGGAACTGCATTTAATCCATAGCTGACAGCTTGCCAAGCCGATTCCGTTCCACGCAATAACGCCGCAAGACGAATCGTTTCTTGCGGACTGGACGATATTTGACCAATAATGAAGTACGAGAAATTATAGTTAAGCTGGAAGCCAGAAACGAGGAAGACAAAAACACCGAATGCCCTTCCAAATCCGGGATCGTTCCAGTCGAAAATAGGCTGGGTCCGGTGATACTCAGTAACGTTGATCGTGAGCCACAACCACCAAGCACCTTGTAACGTCATGATAACTGCGAAAGCGCGGCGGGACCTTGTCTTAAGAGCGATATGGTGCTGGTCTAGCCATAACCCAAGGAGGTTTCCGCATATAACCGCTACAATTCCGGAGAGGAATGACCCAAGAGCTCTTGCGCGCACGCTAAACCACAGAGCGTTATAGGTGTAAAATACGGCTTCCGAGTAGACCCCTTGACCTATCCACAGAATAATCAAGAGAAATTTCTTGGTGAGAAATGTTTTTGTCGTGGTCTTGATTTCTTTCCAGGGATTGTCGTAGATAACAAGTTGGACGGGAGTACCATCCCGACGTTGGACCTTCGATGGTCGATTAAGGAGTAGAGCAACCAGCGTCCCGCTTGCCTGCAGGGCAATGAATACGATGTATACCGTATAAGAGACTTTTCCAGCCCCATTGCGATCTATATTGAGCCCTAAATTCACAGCTCCTCCCAAGATCTGTCCAATTCGAGTCCACGTTAACCAGTAGGCGACCATTCTCGCTCGATTGCGCGGCTCCGGATAGGAAATGGCGATTGCTGTTTCTGCTGCCCAGAAAATTCCAGCTGATATGCCACAGAGGGCAGCCCCGACAATAACAAGCCATTCGACACCATATCGGTTATTCAGATAGAGTCCGGCGCTATACGGGGCGTAACCAATGGTGCCGACAAATAGGGCACCGGTGATTCCAATATACTTGACAACACTACTGGTCAACCAGCAAGATACTACCATAAGGCAGAACGTGAGTGCATTCCCAGTGTTGACGAGGTAAGGCGATTGGGAACCACCAGCCCCGAGAGAGTTCATTGCTCCCCATAGCCCTGGCGCAGCAAAACTGCAGAGCCCAAGGATTGTAGCATTGTAAAACACTGATCGATACCATTTGACTAGAAAATATTAGCAAGAATATCATGATTGCGTGATGGCTTCACACTAACCTCTGATGGGTTTTTGTTCAGTATTCCCAGGACTTTGAGCCGCTGTATCTTCTACATCCGCCATGTTGACAGTCTAATGAATAGGTATCTAGCTAGACAGGTGAGAAATCGTGGAAGTTCCTGGCGAAACAAGGCTTCTTGAATATTTATTATCTAAACTTTTCCATCCTGATTCTGGTCGACTAACACCCCCGAAAAGACTTCGTAGAACCCTTACCGGACAAATCGCGCCTTACCTTCGGGTTAACGCGTGATACTACCTAGATCCAAAGATACTTAGATAAGCTTTATCGCACAGATCGCCAAGGACAATAACTGATTTGCTCATTTTGATAGTCGTGGAACAATACGTATGCGCGGGTAAGCACGTCATCCAGCCCCTGGAATTGATCATCGACTATATCCCGATATCTAGGCGGCCTTCACCTCAACTTCATACTCCTCATCCGAAGCTAGTCCTAGTCAACTATAGTCTAATGTAACACTGCGTTGGCAATAGGTAGTCCTCGGTCCTTTATATGAAATAGTTGTAGCATCCGAACTAAAGCCCCTAATAGGGGCCGGGTGTCTCGAATATCAACATGGAGTCTTAGCACTAGTAGACTATTATGATTGCCATTAGTTATAATAGAATTAATGTTTATGACACATTCAATTGTTATTTCGACACTGTTACCCATCATCAATACCTAGGTTTATATATTTACTGACTGTAGAAAATTGCAGATTCTTAACGCCACGTAATTTCCACAGACCAATGGATAACGAACAATGTACTATGTTGTATAAGCCATTGCCTCCTAAGTTTTCGCGATGGGCGTCTATAGTACTATACCAACTCTACCTAGTTCTTCTTTCTTTTAGTAGGAGGGTATCAAATTTTATTTGGGGCTAGGTAATGCATGAAGAGATACGACCGTACTTGGATAATACATTCTAACCATGTTTTATAGGATCGATAAATGTCTTGATATTTAGACTAACGTTATTTGAATAGCTTATTGCTATCATCTTCATTCGTTCGACTTAATAGAACCAGTTTCGTACCAAGCCACTCTGGTCTGTGGCGGTGCTCAAGTGAAGGAAAGCCACTTTATATGCATTTACTGAAAGGTTAGACAGCAACCAATCTGCGGGCCAAGCCGACGAATGTTTCTTTTACCGACATGTTCGTAATTCAAGAGTCGGAGGTGCCGAATTAGACATCGTTTGCTCTCGTTCCGTTAAGATCTCCGATAGTAAATAAAAGGAACCACTCATTATTGTTACAATTTTCATCGTGAGCCATTCCGTCGACCCCTATTTTCCAAGACTAACTTCTGCCACAAGGTTCAAGGAACTATGGCTGCCCAAGAAAAGAACCCAGCTGAGCTTGAAAAAGCCACTTCTTTAGCTCATGTACCCAAGTCTGAAGAATTTGACAAGATGATCTCTGGGATGCTGTGAGTGCTTCCCTACTGGCTAGATGACGTCGTCGTCTTTTATTCGATTTAGCCAAGTCTGAAGTACGGCGAACCCAATGGGTATTTTCGCTAATACTACTCCACCACTTAGCTATGATGCCCATGATCCTGAGCTGTCGAAAATACGCTTCAACGCTCGGAGATGGATGCACAAGTACAACAACTACTTCCCTGACGACCCGGAAGCGGACTTCGAATCCTTAACGGAAGTTCGGAAGAATATGCTTAAGCAGTTCTTGGGTCATGTCGGGGATGAAGTTTTCATCGAGCCATCACTCGCCGTGGACTACGGATGCAACATTCGCCTTGGGGATCGATTCTACTCTAACTTCAATCTGACTATTTTGGATTGCGCGCTAGTCACCATAGGCGATCGTGTTATGTTCGGCCCGAATGTGTCGATTCTAACAGCTACTCACGAAACTGAGGTGCAAAGTCGCAGGGACGACGTTGAGTACGCCAAACCCATAACTATCGAAGACGACTGTTGGATAGGCGGCCATGTCGTGATCCTGCCTGGTGTCATAATTGGCCAGGGGTGCACTATTGCCGCTAGCTCTGTAGTAACGAAGAATATTCCAGCATGGAGTGTCGCGATGGGTGCGCCCGCACGGGTTGTGAAAAAGGTGACTCCTCTTGAAGCTCATAGTTGAAGGGCTTCAGTCGGTTCTATACTATTTCTGTGTGCCTAGGTAACCTAGAAGGTAGCTAAATAGATTTGGCAATAGACATTATTTATATTTCTACCACCTAGCTATCACCACATGTCCCCCTTTTGAATTATCCCATGCTATATCACCATTACTTCCATTTATATGAGGTCGAAATACCGAACATTTACACCAATACTATTGAAGACTTCGGGATGCACGAACAGAATGGCATGGCCGTCTTCCTTCAGTTGCTCCCTATAGTCGGAGAGATCTATCGGAAGATTCCTCAACCTCGGGTCCTCGAAAGTAATATCCCCCGAATTCATATCCAGAAAGCCAAACGTGGCTTTGTGAGCATGAGTGGTTAAAAACATTCGAACGTTTTCAGGGAGGGGCCCTAATAAGCCCTCACCTATGCGTAATCGATCAATGTAGGCTTCGCCTATGAGAATAAACTGGCCACTGCCCACGGGTCGAAGAATCATAACTCCATTGCAGCCGATTAGGACGCAAACATGATCACCAACTTGTGTATGTGGGGGAACAATTCCAAAATATCCGCTACTGCACCGTGCGAACTTTTTGCCCCCTATGATGCGAGTTCGTTGGAGGAAATCGTATTCAGGGCTACCTGGTTTGAAAAGATCAGGATCGTAGCATGACCCTGAATAAAGTTCCGTAACGACATTTTTGGCTTCCTTCAAACCTGGCAGCGTGATAAACGGGATGTCAGTGAAATCGCTAGCAACACACCCGCAAACCAGAGTTTTAGCATAGGTTTCCACTAGTTCATCCGGAAGCTGGTTGCCCTCTATCTGGCTCATATCCTGGGTTAATAAAAGTTGGCGATGAATATTGAACAAGTCTTCCAGAGTGGCGTTAGAAAGGTCTGGAATGTGATAGACTTCCATGATTTCTGTAGATGTCACACCTGGCACGCGGAGTACCCCATCCATCGGGGATTCTACATAGGTACCCAGCTTAGAGGATGCTAGAAACGGTTGTTGGCATAGTTGTCGAGCTGTTACCGCTTTGGACCAATTAGGAACCCAACTTGGATGTGAAGCATTGGATTCGAAGTGACAGTCCCGGAGTAATTCCAGGAAACCAAACTTCCGGATCCATCTTAACGTTACATCTTTATATATTTCTATCCACGATTTGCCGTAATCCGGAACCGGACAACAGTCCCTATCCGCCGACGTCAAAAGCGACCGGATCGCGAAAATCTTATCCCTAGGGTCACGACATATAGCCCCATCAAAGTGAAGACGTAGCGATATTAGAGATATGCTCCTTCTCGGAAAGATGAGTCCGCGTATGAAATGCAAGCGCTGTCGAAATGTGTGGAAGTAATGGAATTCGATAGTGGGTTTGACGAAGAGGCATAGCAATGCTCTTCGGAATGCTATCCAGCTCGTCTCTGCCGTGCCACATTGCAAGATGGCCTGGCTATTGGCAAGTAATATCTCCTGCCTGATCCAAAGTCGTTCGAACAAGTTGCGATGTAATATGTGGTATATTGCACACATGTCTCTTGTTACCACCGGTAAGACACAATTCTGATCACTAATCGTCGTGTCTGTGCAATGCTTTGCCGGCCACATGTTTACGGGCTCCCAGTTCACGTCAACTTGAGAACCAATATAAGACATAAGGTTCATTGCGTGAGAGCTATCGTTGTTTTCTTCGCCTAGAAATCCAACAACGCGACTCGCTGCTCGAAAAATATCTCCCATCCTCATGACTTGCTCGCCCTTTTCAATGTTATTTGACTGGTTAATGCATATTGCGTCGACCCATATGATCCTGGGCTCCGAGAGTCGGCGTAGATATCGTAGGGCAGTAGACAGATTCTGCGTTACGGGGAATATAAAGGTCTTTTCCGTGTCTATTATAATCCGAATGGCTTCTGGATCATCTTCTGACCCCCACACGTAAGACAGAGCCTCATATCTAGGAGGATTAGTCTCAAGGAACTCGACGACAGTCAAACTGATTTTGATCTCATCTTGCCAGTCTCCAGGATGGATGGTGGCTATTCGGATAAAGCCGTTCTCGGGAAGGGGATATTCGACGTAAATAGCCATAACTGTGCATTACTAAACATCGTCGTTTGAGAGTATGGCCTAAGGGTGAATTTGATGGTTACCAACACCCAAGACTCGAGAAATTATTTTCTGTTATTCAACAAGGCTTGTGTAACCTGCTTCATTGCCTGAAATGAAACCCTCCATGTATGCCCAACCCCCCTATTCGCTTCTGAAAAAGTCGCGATGTATCCTTTGTGTTTTATTTTAAGCTAAGGGAGCATAAGTACCTACCTATGTACGTATTGAATTTCATTTTTTCTTAGAAATTGAACCTATATTATATTGCTTACATCGTCTAGGTATGATAGTATGAGCTACCCGATATTGACAGAATAGGCTTCCAGGATTTAGGCATTATTATTATTCTGATCTATTATAGCTATTTCGTTCAAGTCTCGGATCCCAAATTTCGGGTGTGAAAAGTACTTATTTACCTATCTCCTAAGATACGAAGACTACTATTTGTGGGTATTGAGCCACGAATCAGTCAACGTCGAGATAGGACGTAGCATGACACTGAATCAGTCAGCGGGGTATTTGGCGTCACTACTCTTTACCTTTTCCTCAGGACATTAAAATATAGCATCTAACATTCTACTGTTGATGTACCTTAGTAAGAAACACTCGTAAGAAGTTGGGTAATTGCGTCTTGGTTTCTGGATATTCGAGTAATTCATCCGCTTGCCAATATGGATACACGACCCCAGCCGCTTACTCAACTAGTCTCTCATTTTATTAACCGGTATGCTTTACTCAACTTCTATATCGTAATTTATTATACTGATATACCTGTAAAGTTCCCGAAACAATCAATCCTCGGGATGGACTAAGCTTTGGAACGATGACAAGAGCGGTTTCTGGGACCGTATGGGCCCATCGCCCGCTCTCATCGACTGGATCGAGTCGCAGTCCGAAATATCGCAACCTTCTCCTAATTGTCGACCAATTGCCCTCATCCCCGTAAGTGAACCCCTTAAGAGAACAGCGAGATGTCATGTTATCATTCATTTCATTGACCTTTACAATGGTTTGAACGGAACAGGGCTGCGGGAAAGGCTACGATGTTGTTATGCTAGCTCTCCACGGTTTCGACGTATATGGCCTAGAGGTCTCACAGAAGGCTATTCAAATAGCGGAAGTCAATGCGGCAGCCCAGTTTTGCGAGCCATCTAGCTATAACTTTGGCTCGCCAACAGCGAGCCGAGCAACCAAATGCCGAGGTAATGTGAAGTTCATCCAAGGCGATTTCTTCGAAACAGGCTGGGAAAAGCAGGTAGCGACCGAGGACTTTCATGGCTTCGATCTAATCTATGATTATACTGTAAGTTATTTAACCTAGTGCATAACTGCCTACCGGTCTACAAAGCAGATGAAACGGTGGAACATTCGTTAGAATATTGGATGTAATCATGATACTGATATATGGTAGTTTTTATGTGCCCTCCCACCTGATTTACGAAAGGACTGGGCTCGTCGCATGTGCGAGCTTATCTCCCCAGCCGGGGTACTTGCCTGCCTCGAGTTTCCATTATATAAGGATTTACGAGCTCTTGGTCCGCCTTGGGGATTAGAAGGTGTTTATTGGAACATTCTAGCTGAAGGTGGCGATGGTGTCATCTCTGAAAATTCAATTCAAGAGACTGGGGCACTAAAGGGGCCGTTTAAAAGAGTGGTCTACTTCAAACCACCACGATCGTATGAGAATGGGAAAGGCACTGATATGTTTAGCGTCTGGAAATTGAAAGGCTAAATAGGCTTAAAATGTACTGACAACATGAGGTGTAATTTTAGCTTATACGATGAAGTATGTGAACGGACTTTGAGTTGGGACGTAGGAGTGAAACTTCGATGAATGCGAAAAGGGATTCGGATTTAATCAACACGTACGACTGGTGATATCTCCGACTTAAAGGTCCGTGTATGGTGGACCATTAGTGCAACTGTGCCAAAATCAAGAAAATTGGTGGTATTATGTTTAATAGGGTAATAATAACGTTAGGGGTATAGTGTAGGTTTAATTATTTGCCTTATATATATAATTTATAAGGTAATATATATTTCTTTTAAATTTAATAGTATAATAACTTTACGAATATTTATTTAAGTTTTTTTTAAAAGATATTAATATTTCGATTAATAAATAATAAAAATTATGGTTTAAATTATATGTTATTTAATTTAATATTGGTAAAGATATTAAAAAGATTATAAACGTAGCTATATGGGCCACTTTTTTAAAAGGTTTAAAAAATTAACCAATTAAATTAAATTGTTAATTTAATGTTTAATTATTTTATATTTACGTATAAATAATAAATATATTTAAATAATTTTATAAAAATAATAATTTAAACGTTATAATTAATATTATTTTAAAGCTTTAATTAATGTAAAAACAATAATTTAAGTTGTATTTAAATCGGTTTTTTGGCTGTTATGTTATAATAGAATTAAATAGCGTTTATTTATTTAAAAAAGCAAATATGTGATACCTTTTAAAAGTACCTCGATAAAGTCGTTTCAAATAGATTCCAGATATTTTAATAGTAATATAATATTTAGTATATATTGTATAAATATGCATTTTGGTCCATTATTTTCGCATTAATTAAAGCTATAAAATAATACCAATTGTAACGTTTAAATTGTTGTTATTGTAAAGTTATTTGAATGTGTTGTATATTGTGTATAAGGTAATTTTTTATATTTTATCTTGTATATATCCTGCATAATGTACTGTGTATTTAGTGTTCTTTGCTATATTATCCTTTTTGGAAAATTCCGATTTATTTTATTGATTTTGGCACAGTTGCACTAATGGTCCACCATACCGTGCGCAAAAGCTGACGTATTGAGCCAAGGCAGATGTTAACAACTTCAAAAATTCTGAATGTTTACATCGATTTTATTATTTCTCAGGACTGTTTTTAAAAATCCATCAGACTAAATTTCAAGTCTAACATCTTCTACTCTTTAGTGCATTTATCTGAACCTCGTTACGATGCATAGAATATGAGTTTCTTGCCACCGCAGGACTCGAACTGGCATATTATCCCCCCTAATGTCTCCTTGTAAAACTTAGAACGTTGGACGCCGATCGCCGCTCTAAGACATTAGATACACCGAGATGGAGAGCCAACAGAAGAGTAAGCGGCACTGCTGGGAGTGTCGCCGACGCTGCTTAGTCTGCGATTTCACAGAACCCACGTGCCAAAGGTGTTCCGCATCGGGGATCGAATGCCCAGGATACGGTGATGTGAAACCAGTAAAACTGAAGTGGCTCGCGCCCGGAAGAGTCATATCTCGGGGTCGGAAGCGGAACAAAACACCATCTAGCGAAGTTGAAAGTGGAATGACTGAGACTGTAACAAAACGAGTACCCAGCGAAACGATATCAAATAGGCATGTACTCATCCCACGAGTTGAGATAAAGACTGAAGTCTATGCTTTAGCTGAGTGTGCCGAGTACTGCAAGTAACTGATCAAATGAAACAAATCGATGTTGATGGACTGACCTGAATCGGTTAGTTAATTCTTGCATATACCAAGATCTACTTCCCCTTTGTGAACTCGGAGATAATCCTCATATATACCCTCTTTCGACCAAGCACCTTCGGAGGGCCTCTTGGGCCCCAGATTATCTACGGCTTGGTATGATCTGCATGATATTAGGCCACCGAATCAATCGTACGAGGGGCAGTCCCGAGTCCAAAGGGTTGATTGAGAAGTTTTATCTTTACTGGGGCCTTGCTATCCGATCTCTTAGAGATCATCTCGACATAGAAGATAAGCGTAAGGGCGATACCATCATCGCCGGAGTACTAACACTTCTTCTCGTCGACGTAAGTTAATTATCTATTTTATGATGTTGGTAACGTGCGATGTTAAACTATATATCATTACAGGTTCAACTCGGCACCTCACTCAATTGGAGGTGTCACCTCGAGGGAGTCTACGAATTAATGATGCTGCGTGGCGGCTTTCAGGCAATGACTAGATCGAAAGTCTTAAAGCCTCTATTACGTTGCCTCTGGGTGTATGTTATCCCAATAACCACCATAAATGAAAGCAATACGAGCACTAACCTTGAATAGTCTTGCTGTGATTGGGAACACAACCTGCCCTGCATCAGATCTCTCAATGATAGGTTCGCAACTTGACGAAACTGATTTCTTACTCGAACAATATAGTACAGCAATGTCCCCTTTTCACATGTGCCCTTTGCCTCTATTCGCCGAGATCATAAAGGTTAACCATCTTCGAATGCGGGCCACGGAATACATCAGTACCGGAGCCGAAGAGCTTTCACACGAGGCGTATAAAATACTACAGCGTGTTCACGATTTCCTGCCAGAAAAATGGGCAGATTCTAAACGTTCATCTGAAGACTGGGTGCTTATTGGTAGCATATACCGGGCTGCTGTAGCGATATATCTAATCTTGTCTCTGCAGAGCTTGTCCGTTCTGCATATGACGTCTGAGCTGAGAACTTGTTGCACCATGCATGGCGAGCTTCTACAAGTTCTCATAAGCGATGGGATATCGTCTCCGAGAACCCAACGATTTATGCTTTGGCCGCTAATCGTATTAGGAGTATATGCTGCTCGTGGCAGTCCAGCAATGCGTGTATTTGTTGTAAGCCGACTACCGGAGCTCAGTCGCGATCTTGGTACCTCCGTGCCATTGATGGTTAAACATGTACTCGAGTCATTTTGGGACTCGGGTGAGAGTCGCTGGGATGCTTGCTTTAACAAGCCGTATATATTTACGATGCAAATTGCAATCGATACCAACGGCTTACCCCATACTACTAAGATTATAAGTTAGGGGTAATAAAACATCTGAAGAAGTCGGATCGATATTTACCTGTCATTCTATATATGGGGCTGTGGACAATTGGAACTTGAGAACTGTAAGTGAACTACATGCCGACCTAATGAATATCTCTATGTACTTCTAACAAATAAAAACCACAATTCTCAGGCCAGCCTTATCTATCTCCTAATCCGAGAACCCCGGTCCCCAGTCAGCCCCTGAGCCAGCCATGGGCATTCATTACAAATATATTATAATACATAGTTAGCCTCCGGATAGTATGTCGCCTATATAATTCGCTCTCCCCATCCAAGTTACCGAGGCAACTCCATAGGCCAAGCCTTGAAATTAACACCACCCAAAATATATTCCATAGAATAATTATACTAGCTAGGGCTACATCTCTAGCCTTTAGTGTCCAGAGCCCGGGTATTGGTCAAGCTCTTCGAATCCTCGAGTCTGCTTCTTTTTGCGGAATAAGATGCCGAAGGTCAATACGTTCGCCGTCTTGGCTAGGAGCGGCCGGTCATCCGATTCTTCTTCTCCATAGACTTCGGTCCCGTCGCGTGAGAGATAGATGTGATGTTCCTTGGGCAGAAAGCGACAGGGATTCCACACGTTCCATAGAACCGAGTTGATGAGCATGAGGGTTGCCTCGAATATATAGAAGAAGACCTCATACCGCAAGATGGGACTCAGGTTTCTAAGTGCCTCGATGTTATCGAGGTCCACGTTCGTATTTCCCGTATGCTCCACCAGTCGGTAGATGCATCGTACGAGGATCAACGCCATACTCACGTATAACGTTCGAAGGAGAATCCCAACACTCTTGACTTGTACATTCGCTCTTGAGCATCGCCGATGGAAGAGACCGGCAAGGCAGATAAAGATGGCAATGAGACAGAGCTGTATTATGAGAGCTGCTATTGTCAAATTACTGCCGAGAGATTGCGTCGAACTCGAGGACGACGGGTTCGCGGATAGTGCTACACCCAGAGAGTTCAGTGCTTCGACAAGGCCCATGAGGCCACCGAATATAGTTAAAACTCTAGCAGGGGGTAGGGGTGCACACCAGGGCACATAAGAAAATATACGGCCGAGGACATGGTAGTTGGCAAGTTCCAGGAGTGGACTATAATATCTAATCAGCGGAGGCCATAAGCGATGTGTCAACAAGACTAATAAACTTACGGGCATACGAAGATAAAGACCTGACTAAGGATAAACACCATCAGAGGCACTTTAGTAGTCACGCTATACATGTAGTCATAGGCTCCATATTCGCGCATCGCGTAACCGACAGTGAATAGGACCGCACAAACGGGGTGCAGGCCGATTAACTTCCAAGCTTCATAACGACTATTATAGCTGTTAGGGGTGATCGAATTTGTTTTGGGTGAGTATACTAACTAGCATTGCCAAATATGGAATATGGCTGAGAGGGCATATGCAATGGCGAAGAAGATCGGTGCACCTTTATCGGGAGCATAGACGTACAAGCTGTATAAGACTAGGTGGAGTTGTGTTAGCAGTATACCCCTGATTGGAGTTGTAGAATTCTTACTAGGTTCTCCAGCTGCCATCTTGGAAGGGTGGAAATTTTAGACAGCCGTAATAGAAGTAGATAGAAATGAATGACAGATGAGGATCTATATGTCGAAGATATAGGATAGATCCTCCTTGTTGACTTATTTGCCCGGTGTCTAGCGCGTAGTTACTGTTCAGTAGAGATGAGATATCCATTCTAAATTCTAAAACGAAGAGAACTAGGAAGCTTTATTAAATACGATTAAGTCAAGAATGCGAGAGAAATAATTAGAGAAAAACACTGATGGCGCCCCTCGCAGCCTCATCTAATGTCTACTAGGACGTAGCCATCGTCACTTTGTGAAGCACGGCGCTTAACCCAAATAAGATAATAAAAATGCCAAGAAATGGGATCTGTGGATTTCCTCTAGATCCCCACAATGGCGGTACGTATGCACTAACCCCAGATGGGCAATCCAGATGCCAAGCTGGGCGGTATGTCGACCCGGGGCTGTCCGAAGTAAATTCAAGCTGAGGCGGAGCGGATAAACGGTAGTAGGCAGCATTATAAGAAACTGAATGTTAGGCTATTCAACCATATCACTTACGTGTACATACTCTCCCATGCCGTTTCATTAGCTTGAGTATGTTATGTCTTGTTTGGTGTTGCTAAGAGAAGAACAATGCGCTGAGGGAACCGGCATCATGCATATCGCAATATCATACGATTAAAGCATATAGGGGTAGATTATATGCAACTATTGAGAAATCATATGTATTGGTGATCCTCCTCAAGTAACCCCTATTCTTTCGTAACGCTTTCGGCTCTTGTTAGCGCTTACTTGCCGGGACCGATATCCAATATCCAATTATCAGCACCCAATCTTGTATCCCATCCTTCTTTCTATGTTAATGTGTCCGCTTTTTCCGGGACATACCCGTCGAGTCACGGTACTAAAGTCGGAAGCGGATGACAACTCAAACGGGGGTCCGTTGCTCAACGTTGCTAGTACTACCGAAATTTTCAATTATAATATGCCATTCATATCGAGATAGGTGAATAGTTCCTTAGTAGCCTTATTGGGTTAAGTATTAGCCACGTCCAGAAATATCTGTACAATTGACCGGGACCCTTTAACCAGTTTCAAGTTCGATATACTTAAAGACTTAACAGTGGAGGTAGGGTAGCTATAACTTGTATTCAGGTCATAGGCTATCAAAGCATAGGCGGATTTTGTGCGGTGTTAAGTCCATAACTCTTTTAAGTCGCAATGGCTACCGACCTACTTTCACTAAGGGGCTTGTATGGAAAGCTAGAGGGCTATGGTTAAGACCGGCCAGCTACAATTTTATTAAAGATGCTTTGATAAGAGCTGAATCTAATGTTCCAGGGCCTCGTGATCCACATCCAAAACACTCAGCCAGGAGAGACATAGCCACTCTGCTGCAGGGAATATATTTGAAGTCCTAATGGACCATCTCGACGAGTCCTGCATGAAGAGAACCCCCGAGGCTAGATTCCCACCTATCATATTCACATAGTAGTTGGACTTTCACACGCGTCACTTCGCATGAAAGCGCCGAGATTTTGACCGACTTGCAAAGGGTCGTCTTCCAGATCTATCGAAGAAGGTTCAGGTTCGTAGTGTATATCTAGACGTGGCTCTGTTCGCGATTAGGAGGGTGGAGCGGGCAGCATGATCCAATGTACCCTTTTCACACCTAACACAAGGTATAAAGTCCTACGTATTTCGGTCTAAAAGTCTCTCGGCCGTAGAAGACTCTGGAATTCCTGGCCGTATTCCAACAAGTAGCAGAAGTAATAACTAGCCCCTTTAAGTTGCAGTGTCACCTAAGCTTCTAATATGTGAGATCACAATATGCTAATACAGAACCCTATGTCACTAAAATCGAATGAACCCCCTCCGCTAAGTAAACCAATTAAGCAGAGAATACTGATAGTTGTGCCCTAACGCCACTATGTACAATACTCCCATCCCCTATTCCACTAGTTACTCGAAATTACACACCCTCACCCAACAAACTCCGTCCTCCGCAACCTACCAGGTCCTACCTAGTCATCAAGATATTTCTCCTTGCAAGTACTTCTCAGATGTACCAGATTCCCCAGCTCGTCGCAAGTCGGTGGCTTACGGTCCAGCGCATTAGCACGCTCTCTGAACTCTTTCTCAAGCTTCTGCGCCTTCTGCGTCGAGTTCAATCTCGTCACCTCGCAGATGTTCAGGTACGCCAGGTCGTTCTCGCAATACTGTACCGAGTGCCATACATACTCGAGCTCGTCGGCTTTGCTTCGGATGACCGACCCCATCGTCTTTGGCCTATCGATCTGGTATTCGTAGTCGTAGTATATTGTGATTTCCTCCCCGGTCTTCTCATCTATCACCTTTTCTAATCTCACGTCTAGGAGTTTGCCATTGGAATTCAGCCAGCCTTGACCCTGCGAGCGAGCCTGGGCTTTCTCCGTCTCTACACGCCGATATCTCCCTACACGGTCTAGATCTCGTGTCAAATTATTGGCCGCAGCTACCATGTCCTCGGCGAACTGGCGAATTTGTGTTATTTTACTGAGCTCTTTGATAGTCTGTTGCACGCGGTGCTCCTGTAATCTGTTCTGCAACTCTTTCTGTGAGTTCTTCTGCAATCTGTCGTACCTTTTCAACTCGCGTAGTATACCATCAATTGTCAACTCTATGTCCTTCCTACTTATTGTTGTTCCATAATGGAGAGCCTCATACGTCTGGTGAATACCCTGGCGGACCATCGTACCGTTGCTGATCTCGTTCTCGTCGCGGAGGAATTTCACATAATATTCGGCGCAGGCCCGAGCAACATTACCGCGCAATGCACGGTGATAGTTTTCGACGTCTTGCCTTTTCGACCTGTTCGTGGTGAAGACGTTATATCGTATCCTCCGATAAAACCGTGAAACGGAGCTAGAAGATCGGGGATCCTGAGAGTCCAATGCGGCACTTCCGAGCCAGTCTGCTCTCTCTGGTCTTTTACTAAACGACTCGTAAATATGATCGAGTTCGTCGAGCTCTGATGCTATTTTTCTTGCGCGTGTGATAACCATATCTACCGCCTTCCCAGTCGCAGCGAGCACATCTAGCTTCTGCCCCTTAGCAGCCGCACGTAGATGCCTTTCCGCCAGTCTAGATTTACGGTGTAGGTGCACAAGTGTATTATATCGCGCCGCAATATGAGTTCGGACGCCTTCCCACCTTCCATCCTGGACGTAACTCTCTACATCATCTGGGAACAGCGAGGAGGCAAAGTAAGTCGGTAGTTCCTCTTGATAAACTTCACTTTCATTTTCGTAATGCCACCCGGGCCGAACTGATAGCAGCTGCGGCAGGTGGTAATTGACAGTGATATTGATAGCCTCAAGTAAGCCCTCGACAACCGTACCGTCAAACCATACCGGGTCTTCCGGCACAGCAGAGGCTTGTCGATGTGTCCACCACTCTCTAAACGTAGCACCGTAGAATGGAGATAACAAAGCTGAGCTTCCTTCTGTCGCTTTAGCCGCGCGGAGATAATAATTAGTTCGGATCGCCGGGTTCTGCACAATGTGCATATATCGGTCGAGTACTTCTACGATCGTCTTTGGGGATACGATCTCCTCTTTGACTTTTACGTGGTCTACGGCGTAGTAAGGCCGCACTCTACCGTCTTCCCATCTCTCCTTCCTTGGCCATCTTGATCTAATTGAGGTCGAAGGGTTGGAAGAGGTGAAATCAGCACCAGCGCACGACAGCAGGGATACGATGAAATAAATCAGAAAAAATAGCATCTTCTATCCAGTCCGGGGTTCTAAATGAGTGATACTATAATTTTTCTCACAAGCGAGGTAGAAAGAATTTCCCACACCCTAGATTCGCACTTTCAAACCAGACATGACAATCTTCAAGAACGAATGAGCATTATGAGGATTACAAAAACGGATGGAGTTGATAGCTTTAATTGAATGCATTGTCCAATTATAAGTACCGCATTCGGCGCATTCATGGCACTTCCATCTCACGAAGCCAGCATGAGGAACAAAGCAGCGAAAAGCATGTACCATTACAAAGACTCTAATGATGTGTTGGGTTATCACACCTTTCGTAAGTACAGTTTTCGGTAAAGTCCGCATAAGATAATAAGGTAATGATCTAATATGCTATACCGCTCCTATGGGAAATCTAGAATTCACGTCACGGCCCCGTGGTTTTACAACAACCTCCTTTAAGTAGCAGTCAAAGTGGACAATGTTTTATTGATTATAGGTATCAATAACTACTAACAAGTCAGGATCCACCAAGTCATTAACTGCAGAATGCAGAACGTATAGGATAAAAAAAGAAAACAACCTAAGTCGTCAACTTTTAAAGGGGGCTTTACGGTTGTGCATAGAAGCGTCAAGACAAATTACGCAGTCAACACATCAACACGTCAACACGTAACAAATGTTATAGACAAAACCAATTGTTCGCAAATATTATTATTGATCTACACAGCAAAGAAAGCTCAGTTCATCTGGCCTAAAGTAATTAGATTGGCCCCTCGATCCAACCTTAAACCAATAGTTCCACCGAAATTAGTCTATCATGGTCCATGGAACTTTCCTCGAGATGCTACTTTGAAGCAATCGCTCATAAGTAGATACATAATGCTGATATTATCAAGAATTACGTCGTGCTTCTTCCTCCTCTACTTCATCGGCCCAGCTTAGAGGCCCGGATGATTCAGGTGTGCAGATCTTCGGCTCCTTACTGTCGGTGGAACTCTCATCGATGCCGGCCTCATCTTCACTTTGCTGTCCCTTGGCTGCGCGAGAGAAGACTGAATTTGATCCGATAATTGTGCCGCTGGGGCGCTTCTTACCTCTGCGCTTCTGAAGACTTGCTGGGATACCCTTCTCTCTGGGCACCGGCTTGGCCGACTTGTTTGCAAGTTTCTGCTCCGTATCCAATTTCTCATCCTCTGCGGGTGTAGGACTATTCTTCGGCTTGCTCTTAGTCTTGCTCTTAGAATTTCTATTAAGCTTGTTCTTAGCTGTAACGTCCACCCATCCAGCACTATCTTTATGGCTTTCCGGCGTATATCCATTTTCTCGGGTAAGAAGGACTGCGGGTTCTGGCGAATCGATTTGTGGCGAAGACACGTTACTAGAAGTGGTAGCACGGTTTTCTTCTAGCTCGGGGCTTCGGCTTTTCCAAAAAATCATCTGAGTTCGAAATTGGCTCGGTTTCTTATCGGCTGGAAGATCCACGGTTTTGGGGTGTTCATCTACTACCTTGGCTAAGGTGGCGCCATCCATGATATCCACCGACTCATTTATTGCTTTGGAGCGGTACCTGCCGTCAACCTTTCCTGCCTTGGACTCTTCTTCGTCTCTTTGATGCTGGTCCTCGCTTGGATCGCATATCTCATGCTTCTCTACACCGGAAGTCGACTGTTCCTGGGTAATAGTATGCACCATACCATCAGCTTTGTTTCTACAGGGTGGGGTGGGGGAAAGTCTGATGATGGAAGGATCAAGTTCTGACAGGGTCTTGAAATTTGAGGTAGCATTAATTTCCTCTCGGGTCGGGCTACAAATGGCATCGGTGGATCGATTGGAATCGATAGAAGGACCATTCTCGTGAGCCTCCTGGGCATTGTTGACCGGCTTCGGGTGATCCTCTATTTGCTCTTTAACGCACTCAGCAAGTTTCTCAGGATTCTTAGTGGGATCATCGAGCTTCACATGATGGTTGTCCGTGATAGGATGGTTAACATCGGTGATAAGATTATCAAGCTGGCTCATAGGTTGGCGGGTCGTAGTGTCAGGCTGCTGTATTCCTTTGACAGAACGATTGCCCTTAGAAGGCCGGTATGCCTGTTTAGAAGATTGATTGTCTTTCTGAGGTTCGGATTTCTGACTACCACCTGCTGGGTGTATAGGCCGGCCGTGGGGCACACCACCAGTCTGCTTCAATGCCTGCGGAGGGCAGTAAGATGGTTGTAAATCCGGTGTCTGCACAAAACTTTTGTGGTCATCCTGACGGTCATTTGGACAGTCCATCATAGTAGACCCAGAAGGTTCTGTTTGCTTCGTAGCCATGCGGGTAAAGGCTTGATCACTACCAGGGCCATAGACTTGGCTAATAGAGATAATTCCCGTATGGATGGAGTCTCGCAATTCAGCATTGTCGCACTCAAGTTTCGCAATTAACTCATCCTTAGCAGCCAAGTAGTCCTCATCTGCCTGGGTAGCGACGGTAATAGAGCGAATGTTCTCCCTTAACATCGCAACAGAATTCTGGAGATCTTCAATCTGTGAGTCCTTTCCAGCTAGAGCCGCCTTTGCTTGAATCAAATCGCCATTTTTGCGAGACAGATCCTCCTGCAAGGTCGAGATAGTAGCTTTCATGGAAGCGAGTTCAACATTGAGGTTAGTCATATCTTGGACGCCTCTGGCCGGAACTGTGTCTTGCTGTTTCAACTCAGGCTTCTGATTCACTAGCTGTTTTGCAGCTTGTACTTTCTGAAGGTATTGACCTTTGAAGGTAAAAGGAGTAGATACCGAGGATTTGGCGGAATGGATTGGTGGCGTCGTTTGATGTTCGATCTGGTCTGATCGGGTGATTTGCTTCTTGTTGTCGCCTTTGGCTTTGAACGTCATCCTCGTATTTACAGGTGAAGAATCGCGAGGAGCGGTGTCATGATAGGTGTCGTTCTGACGCCGGCTCTTCACGACATTTGCCCATGATGAGGGACGGGAACCGGATGCACTATCCATAGTTGGGTAAACAATAGAATGGTAGTACCTGAGAATTGTTAGTTTTGGAGAGGACAAGTGCTGTTCACTATACCAGCTTACCGTCAAAGAGCAAATCAAAACATGAAGGGATTGAATGGATGATTCCGGACTACTGTAGCTCTTTCGCAGGTAAAAATGCCTGAGGTGGATAGGAGAGCAGCTAGGAAGGTTAGCAAAATAGAAAGAAGCATTGAGAAAATATGAAAGAATGAATGTTAGCCAACGTAGGCAAGGTGATAGTAATGGGTTCCCAATATGAAAGAGGGAACGTTGATATACACACTAACATATGTATACCTAGGTAGTTTGTGACTTACTTTAAGGAAGAGGATCTTGTTCCGTAATAGTGAACGTGGAGGCTGGAGAGAAGTACTAAGACAGTCTTGTGTATTGATAATGCCAATGGTAAATGTAAAGGGGGAAAAGGCCAGCTGTTGGAGAAAGTGAGTAGCTGAAAGCTCAGTATTGCCCAGGCAGAGAAGTTTCTATCGCGTTCTCAGGGGTACTGAAACAGCCGAAATCGAAGGCGCGCAAATATTTACGGCGGGAAGATCGGTGATGGTGCTTGCTGAAGGGAACTGATGGGATAGAAAGAACTATCGTTGGCAAAATACAGCTGTAACTCCCGAGACAGAGAGAGAAGAAAGAATGGATAGAAACCACAGAATTGGTGGTTGTAGAATAGATAATTAAAGAGAAGAACTGAATTGGTTGAAGAGGTGAAATCTCGATATGAGGTAGCAACGTAACTACAACAGCTAGCACCGCAATTGATCGCACCTACCTTACGTACCTGAATACTTCATAGCAAGGCAGGTGCGTTCGAGGTGCTTTGCGTATGTACCTACATAGTACATGTAGTTCGTTAAATAACACTAGGGCAACACCTCATGACTTCCTAATTTGCAGACAAATACATTTGCCATTGATCATAATGAGGTACGTAGAGGTATCTCAACACTACCTAAGGCCACATCAAGTGAAAGTGACCTACAAGTAAGTACATATGAAAAACACCAGGATTCTCATTCGGATTCTCATTTCAATTCGCAAAGGATCATGTATTACGAGTTGTTACAGGTAATTGGCTATCGAAACTAAAGCACTGCTGTTATCAGATGGTTAGCAGATAGTGTAGTTTGACCTCAGTCGACTTAACTACGTTATGTCTCTGGGTATGACAAGACATCCATACTATTAAGACAGACGACGATAACAATAGTTAATAGCAATTCTCATCTTGCTATATATCTGTACTAAAACTACATGCAATGCTGAACAGTATCCGAAAATGTAGATCTCAAAATGAAACGACGTCGAGACGGGAGCAACTCGAGGCCGAGATTAACGACGGATCCTTCTTTCCCAAGAATGTTTACTCTGAGAGACACCCATAGCGACACAAAGCCGCCGTGACCATTGCATGATATCCCAAAGTTGGAAAGATATCAGCGGTCTGAATGCTCTGGTTATCTGAGGAAAGAAAAAGAAGGAAGAAGGAAAAGAGCCGCGTTCATTTCGGGATGAATTTTACTTTGCGGGACGTTTGTGTGCACGGACCCATCAATCACGTGCGTTGCGACTAAAGATGTGAGGCACTTTGGTACTTCGCTACTTCTTTTAGTTGCCGTGGTCATCATAGATCATATGCTATTTGATTGGCCCAACTAAGAGCCGAGGATAGACGTGGGATTGGCCGCAATTGGTTTTAGACTTCCTCATCTGAGAATCAATTATCCATTCAACCTTTCGCTATTGTAAACCTCTGGTGAGGGCATCAACGTTAGTCTCAAGTCTTTGGTCAAACGTGACTGTACTGGTAAGCATAAGGGCCTACTAAATCTATTGCAACGACACAATACCTTTACTTATACAGCATCTAGCGCCGTCTGAATCCATAGCAAGTTAGAATTTCCGTCGCATACCAGTATCCTAATATCTCCGAACAATGAATGCACAGAGAGTTGGCCTCCGGGCTCTACGGCAAGGTACTATACCGCAGTCCTATCTTATTCACTTGAGCTTTATCTAGAGTCCTCGTCCCGGTGCGATCATGACTTGCGATAACTTGTCAATTTGCTCCTCTGTATAAGAACGTCATAGATCAACTTTGCTAACCAGCAATCACTTGAATAGCCGCCGTCAAGAAGCCCAACGCCCTCTTCTTTGAGAACCTCCCTCGCCTTGCCCTAGCTACGAATGCCGCAAGCCTACAGATCAGGTACATCCCGTCCATTCCGAATACTATATTTAATACCCCTCCAACTGCTTCACATGCTCCGCGCAAACTACCCTTTGGCAGTTATTAATTCCCCAGTCGCATCATAAAAATATCCAAGAGAAACCTACAATCCGCAACCTTGGAGAAGCTATGGACAAGGAAATCTTATAATCTTAAACTTCATCATACTAACGACCCTAATATAGAAGCGTATCAACCCAAAAGCTTTCCGAGACCGACGCCCAATCCCTGCTCGCGGCACAACGACGCCAGCGCCCTGTATCTCCTCACCTAACAGCCTACGACTATAAACAGACGTGGTTCGGTGCCTCGATCTGGACGCGTATCACCGGGCAGTCTCTTAGCGTGTCCTTCTACGCCTTCTCGCTCGCCTACTTAGTTGCTCCTCTGACCGGTTGGCATATCGAATCCGCTACTCTAGCCTCAGCGGCCGCCTCTCTTCCTCCCGCCGTCCTTACCGGCCTCAAGACTCTTGTCGCCTGGCCCTTCTTCTTCCACTTCGCAAACGGTCTCCGCCATCTCACCTGGGACATGACCTACGGCTTTAACAAGACGACTATCCAGCAGACCAGCTATGCCGTCTTGGGTGCTAGCTTAGTCGCTACCCTAGGTGCTGTTTTCCTACTATGATCCATATGAGGTGTTACAAGAACAAAGGTTACGGGATATGCTGGTACGGACAGTGGCTGGTGCGTTCGAATTGGGGGCGTTGGGTTGTGTAGACTACGTAGGGGTCATTAGGGTTAGTCTTTCGTCCATTCCATTGGCGACCGGTTGAACCTGATGGAAACCTTATGGATTGGAGGAAACCTGTACGAATCACTGATACGTGGATGTTGTCTGGAATACAATATGTATATTCCTTTTCTCTACGTGGTTTGTTTGCCGCTGTTCACCGGCTGCACGTTGAGTATTTAAATAGAACAGTTTTACTCGCGGCAAACTTAGCCAGCCGTGAAAGTGTCACAATCTCCGCCGCCTATTCCAAACAAGCAGTGCCGAAACGCCATTCACCTCTTAACAAGGGTATCAATCCAGACACCTGATCCCCAAAATTGTACTGTAGTGTAGCACTACCGATAAACCGAGCTTGTGCTTGTAGCATTTTTCCAAATCGCCAGGCGAGACTATTCTACTGAAAGTCGCGTGCATCCAAGATAGCTTGATTCAGCTTGTGATCGCCTAGGGCGGCAACGCGCTGGCCAATAATGTCGCCCAAGAATGCCTTAATCTGGCTAGCCTCATTCTCGCTAGAAAACCCATTCATGCTGCCATTAGCCAGAGGAATATCCTCTTCCGTTAAGAGCTGGATGACCTTCGTGATGGCACCAACTAAGGCTTCAAATTCTGCGTTGGGAACCTGCTCGTTCTTCTGCCGTAGGGGGATGAGCATCGAGGTCTCGAATTCTTTCAGGTTTCGTAGTAGAAGAACCTTGACAACATCGGCACCGCCTGCCTCTCCGAGGCCGCACACCGCACCGTACCAAACAGACGGTGGGAGTGACGGGTTAAGGAAGTTTTTAAGACATGTGCGGACGAGCTTTGGACGAAGCATCTTATTAGTGTCGGAATATTTCCGAGCAAGCCGTCCGACAAGCGTAGCTGCAAATTCCCTTAGACTATACTGTTCCTTGAGCGCGTCAACGCCATTCTCGGCACCGATCTTGCGGCCCAGTATGCATGTGAGCACAGGCGCACAGAGAGGGCTGGCATATGGCGAGAGGAAAAGTCGATCGTTATTTATCAAGGCGTTAGTAAGTTCCATCATCTGTCGCAAGACGAAGATGTCATCTAGGTGGTGTGTGACTTGGGTGGAGATGAAGTTGACAAAGTACGGAACAAGCTGGTGGATGCTTGGTTCGGAAGCCACAGACTCTAAGGCAGCTTCGCGCAATCGCTGTACTTCAATATCCGGGCTATCATCCATCAGAGCAGCCTGAATCTTCTCGAAGTATAGGACGAGTTCTTGAGACAGGATGTGCTTGACTGAAGGTTTGAAGTTAGGATTGTCCTGGCCAGAAAGAGCGGCGAGTGCAGGATTAGCGCTGGGACCTTTGGATAGAAGATCTTGCGCCCGCGACTCCGCTGTTGTAGGATTTTCTAGGGAGTTAGGCTGCACGCCCTCGACGGATAACCAATGCTCTATAGGTACGCAGTCAGTGTTTATTACGAAGCTGTAGTGATGTCTTCTAGCTTCCAGAGAACTTACTAGTAAAGGTTGTGTCTCGGGGGATCTTGGGTAGTGGTGCATTAATCAGCTTCTCGAAGTCGACCTCTTCATCTTCCACGTAGAACAAAGCTTGTGGACCCAGGCTGGCCTCGCCGTATCTGAGCGCTCGTGCAGAGTCATAGCCATACAATGGCTCCACGTCGAGAACTCGCAACGCCTGTGAGACATCCTGGACGGTTAATGTAGTACGCTTTGCAAGTCGCATAAATCGCAGGGCCTCGACGATGACTTGGCCAACCCGATACTCGACGTCCTGAGAAAGTGTTCGTAGTCCTTCGTCGCTCAACTTAAGAATACCGACCGATTCCGCGACATCCCTGACGCTCTCTTGATTCCATAGGAGTCTTTGCTCTTGGGCGGGCCCTTTGCTTGAAGCATCTTGAACAGAGGCACGGGCATCTCTATTTGCCGACATTGTGGCTAACGGATTCGCCGATAAAAATAATCACCTAGGTTTGAAGACGATATAAATACGTGAATTAACCCGAGAGGTGATCAACGACTTGCGTTACTGATGATTTTTAAGATAGAGTGTTCTCGCGGGTTGTGCGAGAAGTTGGTTGATGGCGGGAAGGCGACGCCAGAAAGAGTGAGAATTTGGGAGAGAAGATGGCTGCTTATATAGTTCTGAAGTAATACAGGTGGTTGGGAAGCGGCTAATCACCTAACACCTTAATCAGGCGTAATAGTAGCACCCTTAGGTACCTAACCTAATTTATTCCTCCTCGACGATGAGTCCGTGCAGCGAATAAGAGCAACAATCCAACGGCTAGCAACGACTTTACTGCGGCAGATGATTTACCAAGTGCGACTTGCGTGAACGACTTTGCGAACGACTTGAATACGATGCTTAATAATGTACCAGGCTTCGCGAAACTTGGAATTAGACCTAGCAACGCGTATGAGACGCCAGACAATAGATCAACCTCGAGGCGAGGATGCAACCCCAAAATCAATAACCAGTATGTAGCCCAGAGCCAATTAAATGCCCATTTGACGCGTATTTAGGTTATAGAGATGAAGGAATACTCACTATGCTTTGGGGTACCTAGCAGAGGAGAAGTCGATGAGATCAAATTAGATGAAGTGGACAAGGCTACATGAGTTCGATGTTCGAGAAAGTGATGAAAGTAAAGGAGCTTCTCAGCCTTGAAATTGGCAAGTGGTCGAAAAGTGTAGTGGAACCCTCCCCCCATTGGTTGAAAGTACAGGCTTAATCAGAAAAGGTACCTAGGTACATGCAGCTTAGAGTGTGCGAAGTACGTACCATATGTACATGTACATGTACCCCACCAACACAATCTTAAAGTTGAAATCTGATAAGATAAGATAAAGTTGAGATACCATCTACAACAGCATCAACACTTTGTCTACAAGCCCGAACATTTGCTATTTTCAAGTCATTGCATGATCCTAACTACAGGCACGGATATTCTTCCTTCATAAGATATGGTATTTAACCAAAATGGCCAACTACCAGTTTTGTATGGTCCAGTACGGTACAACGGTTAACCAGAACTTGGCTACCCGTCTCGTATCATCTAGTGGCTGGTTGCCAAAGATGCATTATGTGACGATGTCAAGTGCAATCGGTGTATAAAATAAATTCCATACTAGCTATTAGGTTACCTATTTATTTACGTAGTAGGCAATACCTAAATTCTATTGTAATTGACGGCGCCTAATTATGTAGTAGAATAACATAGTAGGAGTTGAAAAAGAAAATGAGGGAGGGTATTTTGAACCTCAATTTGAATCGTGAACCTTGAAATTGCCCACTCGCAGTCTTAACCACTGCGCCAAACAACGAATTCGAATGCAACCATGGGACATGTACCTCGTGTCGAGCCCACGTCCGGGCCCTCCTCAGAATCCCCTCTTGCTATGCCATCACTCGCCCACATAACTATCTCCATGGACCATAGTAAAGACTTCACAAATGGCAAAAAATACTTGACTCCAGAAGCTGACGGAACGAAGCACATATTCCATCCGGAGACGTGGGTAGCCAGAGGCGGTAGGCTTTACGGACCCGTACCAAAACACGGGTGTTTTGTCATCCCAGTAGATATCATCGAGGGATTACCCTCTAACCTACGATTCAGAGAGTACACGAGGTACAAACTGGGGGTATTTCGCTGCGGTGCTTCGAAAGTTGATGCTGTTTTTTACAATTATAAGGCCTATTTCGGTTCCTACAAATCCCCTAGGCAACCACAATTATGCCACTTCACCATGCAGCCTACTGTATCTGCCCTGTACACTCCCTAATATCATTTAGCACTTCGGCAATACTACAATTACGGCAAGTGAGTTCAGCTGCCGCAAATTTGTCTTAGAAAAGAGTCCAATCTTAGATCACAAGTCTACCGATACCAAGAAAGAACGCTTTGATACGTTCTTTGTACGAAACATTGTTCCAGTACTATTTTATACACGATTCTCTTCTCTTTGATGTCTTACTCCGGGGGCGATACCTGCGTCTCTAAATATATCGTGTAGGTAAGCTCAATACTATTTCTATATCGACATACTTCCAAGGTTTTACCATTGGATATATCAAAGCCCTAGCCAACATTATTGCAACAATACTTATTAATCCACCACCCCCAGATGCCCCAAGACTCATATTACACTCTAAGAAGCAATACTACTTGAAAAGAGCCACATACAGCTACCTTCTAGTCGTTATGGCAGGCTACGATTCGTCATCTGATGACATCCAAATTATAGGAGAGAGAAAAGTGGAGAGTCATATTGATAGAAGTTTTGAGACCCTCCAAAATAATAGACCAGCTAGGGTTGTTTTCTCAACCGCAGGTTACATTTACCCGCGGCCCGGTTTCCCGGATGACCATCTAGAGCCACAAGCTCTTACCACGCCTATCCAATATACACAGGAGGAAAGGTCTGCATTTCCATCTCAGTTCGACAATAACGATAGTTATGAATTATACGTCAACGCTTTCTTCCGCTTGGGGTTAAAGAATCCAGCAGAAGACATCTCAAGTCGTCGAGACTGGGACGCTGTGATAGCTTCTCGCAGCCTAAATTTAAGAGCAAACATCTGTATCAATGGCCCAGATTGGGGGGAAGAAAATAGATGGCTTACACGCTCTGAACTTGAGCAAGGTCTCCGTCTCGCAACATCGCATCCTGACGTATGGGTTCCATTCGGTTCTAGATTCTGGTCGAGTCCCTTCGATCACGGTAGTTTGAAATGGGATGGTGATCAAAGGAATGACTACTACTCTCACGACTGGATGATTCTTCCATGTAATACCGAGTCAGGGTTTAGTACGGGTGAGCACTGGCAGTTGGTGATCTATTATAAACAGTCGAAGACTGTATACTACGGAGACTCGTGCCGCCCCATCAAGGCGAAGACGGCTAACACGATAGCCATAAACCTAAGACACTTCCTTATGAACAACGGCATTGGTGATCCTGGGGTTTTACAAGCTATCGTGATAGTGCTACCATTACAGAGTGGGCTCTGGCAATGTGGGTATAACGTGATCGAGGCTGCCCGAGCGTTCGTCTACGAGAATGGACTTGTGAACTGGCATGATTCACCTTTATATAGAGGCATGTCTAGAGTTGACAGAGATTACGCTCTAGTTAAGAACATTGAGCGCTGGTCTAGGATCGGCTATCGAGATCATCATGACCTATGTGACAATCAGGTAGCTATGGATATAGAAACCAGAAAAGTAATATGAGAGAGTCGAGCAAGCAGTGCCAGTCCAATACCTATGATCAATTCTACCAAACTCAAGTCCTTAGAGGTAGGCCATAAATTAATATAATATTGAAATCTAAATTAATTCCACATTTTATATAGGTACGTACCTAACCACGATACCTTGTCGTCCTCATTGATCTCTTCGACTAATGCTGCTCTCAATAATCCTCAAGTACCTTTCACTCGTAATCGTCCCCTTCTCGAGTTTCTCTCCACAACGACGTAGTGCTTTCGCCAACTCTTCCTTGGACTTCTCGGCATCCTTCGCTTCTGCTTCTGCTTTCTGACGATGACACCGTTCTTTAGCCAACTCTGCCTTGATCCTTTTTAGCTAGCCTCAGTAACTTAGCTCATTGTATTAATTACATGATCAACTAAGCTATTATATATAACGATCTCTAAACTATAGGTAGCAAGCTTAGAGATCATTGTGGAACAAGAAGTTTACGTACATGCTTGTTGTATAGGTCTAGGCACCTAAGGTAACTATTAGAGCGAGAATAGAAATATTGCAATTGGCATACACAAGCCGTTGCTCCTCCCTATTAAAGGGTTAAGTACCCATTTTCATGTATACAGTTTATCAGATTTTCTTCCGCTCAGCTTTGGCCATCTCGCTAGAAATAGGCACGACGCTCTCTACCACCATATCCTACAGATCTAATTAGACATATACCAAAGACTAGAGATAAAAATAATACTCACAAAAAGCGGCTTGGGTAATAACCAACATAATAGCCGAAGCAAGAGTGCGTGGGTACCGGCCCAAACTATCCCAGTGGAGCCGTTCTCGATCTCTCTAACAACCTTGGTTGCGTACTGCCTCGAGCTAATAGCACCGGCTTGAAGCCAGCCGTCGCTAAAACCATAGATGAAGTCCCGGATGCCGTAATACTTCGAAGACGCAGGTACTTCGTCTCTCTGGTATTTAGCAAAGGACCCGGTCTTGACGGCACAGGTAATGAGAGTAACGGTCCGAACTCCAAGGGGCTGGAGTTCATGACGCCACGTCTCGCTGGCCATGGCAAGAGCAGCTTTCGAACTATTATAGACGCCTTATTTATTAGAAAAGAGTGCTGCGAAATATCAATCAAGTACTTACTCGTAAGCGCCATAGGAGAATATGCACTAGCAGACGAGTTATTCACAACGCATCCTTTGGCCTCGATTAGGAGAGGAGCGAAGGCTTGGAGCATAGCGAACGGCGCCCAGAAATTGAAGTCGAATAATCTTTTGCCATCTTCCATAGATGTATCTAGAGCTGGTAGAAGAATAATCCCGCCGCTGTTATTGATAAGGATATCAAGTGTGCCGCCAGTCTCCTTTTTCACACCTTCAACAGCAGCAGCAATCGACTCTGACGATAGTACGTCGAGAGTCAGAACCGTAACATTTGCCGAACGAGAGAGAGTAGGTGGGATTTTCGACGGATTCCGTGCAGTTGCAAAAACGTGGTAACCCTTTTCCTGGAAAACTTCAGCCAATGCCGCACCGATGCCTCCGGTGGAGCAGCCAGTGATCAAGACCGATCTCCGTGAAAAGGACATTGCATAAGAAATAGAATTTGGTTGATAGGGAATTGGGGTGTATGGATGCCATGATATGAATGGGGATTGTCGGTGCTTTTATAGAAATAATTTAGAGAATACTCTTGTAGAGTTCCTGTGAAGTTGTCGACCTAACGCTTGTAGATTTGTAAGTGGTATGAGTCTGAGTCGCGGCCTTTCCACCCCTGCCAATTCTTAGCCGCGATCCCCTAAACGGCAAACAAGATAGGTCTTGGCATTGAGAATCACGCCGATCGTGAGATGTGTAAGCAACGTCCTTCCGTGTTAAACAGTTCATCTCGTCTTGCGTCTCCTTTGCACCATTATCGATCATGGCTTTACTGCCTTTGGTGAACAAACAGAAATGCCAAGGCAGGTCAAGATGTCAGGTCCGGATGGATCCAGAAGGCCCTCCGCCTCATCAACCGGGATGCCATTCATTATATCGTCGAGCATCGAGAAGACCGATCCAGCCACTAGGAAGCTAATTAGAAGTCACGCAAGAAGGGGGAAAACACGAAAAGGAGTTCGCCCTGCCGTAGACCAACGATCGGCCAGTAGGACGACAACAATTATCCGTGCTCAGTCAGAGCCACTGAAACTAGAAGAAGTCGTTGAAGTTTATGCCCCGTTAATTCCTGGTCGGATCGGGTTAAACCTCTATTTCGTCAACTTTTCCGACGATGTAGAGCCTTTGACGCTTTTTAACATGGCAAAAGGTTCTCAGTCATGGCATTCTTACAGGGTATACATTAGCTAACCCTATATAAACCCAGTTACAACAGTATCAAGGAAGCTTACCTTCCCCTTAAGAGCAGCGATTAGCTTCGAAGGGGACGATGAAGGATGGGTCTCTCCATTCGGACGAGATGCCGTTGCCCTCCACATAATGGCATTTGCCGTACAAGGTTTCATCGACAGAGTCCTACGCCGTCAGGGGAATCTTAACCCCGTAGCCATACTGCACTTCCAGAAAGGACTAAGACTTCTTCGCGAAAGGCTATTGGGGGACGATGACCAAACGAAGATTTCAGACTCAACAATGAGCGTGGTTTTGAAACTAGCAAGTGTAGCACAATTCGACGGAGACTACGAGACCTCGAAGCAACATATGGAAGGTCTTCGCAAAATGGTCGACTTAAGGGGAGGCCTCGACGTTTTCGAAGGAACACCATTACTGCTAGAGATGTTAAGGCAAGGAAATGCAAGGACCCGTACTCGCTGGTATCAAACACTAACCCTTTATAGGTGTGACCTAGGGGTCGCATTGCTTAATGGATCGTGCCCCGTATTTTTCATCCAGCCTTCTGAGCCGATGGCAGAATATCCCGAGAAATTAATGCCGGCTTCCGTTGATGGGGCATTATCCCGGGGCGATATGAAACAAGTTGGAATCACCGAGGATGAGCTAGTAACGGCCTGGAGGGTCTTGAAGCGATTCTGCTTGTTCATCGATCTCGGGACCCAAACTCGACAGACAGTCCGCTCGGATATCATCTACGAAACAATGACTGCGGTAACATATCGCCTGCTCCACATGCGTTTCTCCTCCGGGTCGGCTGACGAAGCCGTACGACAAGGCCTTTCGGCGTTTTGTTATCACGTCTTCTTGCAATGGCAAGACATTAAACCGCCGTACTGTGACTTGGCTGTCGCATACCAAATCTCCATTTTCAGCCTTGTGCCATCTGATGCGGTTTCCTCACAGCTCATACTCTGGCTATTGATAATCGGAGCTATCTCGATCTTCAATATATCAGACGAGGTATGGCTAAGGGAACGTATAGAAGAACATGTGGGCAGATGCCATATTAAAACATGGAGAGAAATGCAAGACATACTGAAGTCGTTTATGTGGATTGCAGTGTTAGATGAACAATCAGGAAGGCGTATCTATGATTTTCTATTCAAATAAAGAATTTTATATACTCTTATGCTAAGTCCAGCCATCAACCCTAACGCCTCGCATGCTGTTCGTCTAAATCGTTGCCTTTCGGAGAAAATATCGTCATAACATCGTTAGGTTTCTCTCATCCATCGTATCATATTTCCCTTCAACGCCAATCTGACATAATAGCCTTGAATATCAAAAGAAACAAAATGCCAATTCGGTATAACAGCGGTAAGATAAATCCACGAACGGCGAAGAAAGCGGTTCGGTTCGATCATATATCAGTATTTCTATTTACCCTTGCGTTTACCGGGGCTCTTGACACCCATTAGTTTCGATGCAATCATGCTGCTAATCGTGGTTTCGGCGAACCCCTTGACCCCTTTAGATTTTGCTCGTCTTGGGTCCTTGTCGATAAAGGCGTCGATCGCTGCTGCACCCAAAGCAGCTGTGGCTATTTTGGCGCCCTTCTCGCCTGTCCAGCTGCCTGGGTCCTTGCGAAGTCTGAAGGCGGTGAGGCCACCCGCTTCAAGAGCTGCTCGAGCAGCCATTTGCCACCTATCGGCAATTTCGTTAGGTACCTTGGAAGATCCGACGCCGGATGACGCCGATTTAGATTTACGGCCCCGGTGACGCGGAGGAGACGGTGACGGACTCTGAGTGTATGAACTGGCTCGGGATCGTCGGTGGCGTCGACCTCGATCGCGTTCATAATCTGACTCGTCACTTACGGACGGAGATCTGTGTCTCCGATGCCTACGCGGAGGGTCATCGCTATATGCTCGCGAACGCCTCCTGTGAGGCGACGGGGAAGGAGTAGGAGAGTGGTGCCGATGATGATGACGGTGTCTTGGTTCCGAATCATAATGGGAGCTGCGGCGAGGATTATCGCGACTCTGCGAGCGGCCTCGGTCACCTGATCCGGCTTGTGTTGCAGCGTATAATGCAGCCGCTTCGCTAATGAATTTCAAGCCTTTCTGGCCTATAGACTTGGTACGTTGAACACCCGGCCGTTGAAGGAAGCCTTGATCTTCACGGTGTTTACTTCGAGATGCCTTTCTGCCGGTGCGAGGTGGCGAGGCATGTCGAGAAGTTCTATGGGGTGATGAGCGTCGATCAGGTTTTGATGGTAGGGTATGCGCTCTATCGCGTTCGGAATATCGAGGAGGAGGACTGGTGGTTCTGGAATTTCTCCTAGAGGGACTCTGTCGTCGACGTGGTTCAGGATCTGGGGATGTGCCGCGATGAGATTTAGAAGCGTTGGTGGCTTCATCAGTACCAACGTACTCGTATGCAGTGTCATTGATAGGCGAATTCGAATGGCGGTACGGGTCGTCAAAGACATAAGGATCGTCATGGCGATTGTGATGGTTGCGCGATCGAGACGCCATGGTTGGTGTTTGCGTAATAAGGTATGTTGAGTAGGTGGTAGTTGTTAAGTACCAGTTTCGAAGAAAGGCAAGCCGTAAGCTACAAAATGCAGCGCAGTGATGTGCGGCTTTTAAAAGCACAAGCAATGTATGCAATGTATTATGTAGAATAACACTGGGAGACCTCCCGAGGGGCTGCAGGTAGGGTCTTATTACGCAAAACTGCGCCTCGACGTATTCGCTGCAGCAAGTCGACGTTTACTGGTTGGTGAGGTCCTCGGAAAATTACAGCGTTGCCGATGTTGCTGTCAGAATCCACCGGTGTAGCGAATAGCTGTCGTGAACATCGAAGAGCTTTTAGAGGATTGCATAAGAGGTGATGTCAACTGGGATTACAGCTCTTCTGCTATTTGCAGGGGGCAGTGCGGGTTGAGTGGGATGGCTTGGATCGCCTGGATGGGAATAAGATGGGAGGCCTATTACACACATACAGATACAGACGCCAATCGTAGATGCTTAGCAGGTAGGCCAGGCTAGACTTCTAGCTTTATGCAATACGTATGACTGCGTATGATTGCTGGAGCTGTCGAGCACGCTACACTACATAGAGACGAACCCGTTGCCACTTAAGACGATGGACGATGAATGATGTATTTTCCCTCCCCCCGCATGATCTCATAGTGCTTCTTTACGTGGGCCAACGCATAACAGCAACGAGACAGGCTTCCCCTTAACTGCTGAAAAAATAACAGAAAGCAACGGATAGCTTTGCTCTCACTTGAGCTGACCCAAGTAAGGATGGAAAATTCGGAATAGATTCATTCATCTTGATGAAATTCGTACTGATGCTTGCCAAGCAAACGGAAAGGAAGCTCTTCTCGAAATCTGCGGCGGCAAATGACGCTAGTCGTTCGGTGAAGCCCGCCCGATGTTCAATATGCGGCAGCATCTGACGTCTGCACCTGGTATTGGACATATGATGATAGGCAACACAAGCTGGACCGTTGAAAGCTGGACCGTTCTAAGCTGTCAAACGATAAGGTCATACAATGTGCGATGGAGATGATATCTCGTGACGATTTTCAAAACGTGACAAGACCGGTACGATTATATCGCATATAGGTCCTACTTGTGTTAGTTGTAAGTATTGGAATTTGTTCACTGTCCTCGGCACGTTTTCGTTAAGGTTCCGTATTTTCTAGTATGGAAAAGCTCGCGTCGCAGGAATCGAAGGATACAACTGACTTGGGAATTGAATCCAAAATAACGCGTATGACATGGCTTGATCTAAAAAAGCCACATACGAACCCGGATCTACCCACTCGGCCCCGGCGGGATGGGTCCATACCCCTGACCTCAGTTCTTTTTACGCTTAATAGTTAAACCGGTTCCATGATACGCAGGTACAAATTCAATCTAATATCGTTCGGAACGCCATCATTTTACGAGTCAACATGATGAGATCAGTTGGCTCTATGTTGTCATCAACATAACAGTCTCCCGATTAGTTAAATAGGTAGAGTTTTGAAGAAGAAAAAACATGAAAGTGAAGTGTCAAACCCCATGATTAACGCAACATGACATTAATAGATGAGAGGTAGGCAACCTGGTGAAAGGCCTTGATATTAAAGAAACAACAACCGTTTGGTAAGCTATAATGGTTACTATCTAACCTAACACTACGAATATATTGGTACTAATAGAGGAACATTTTAATTTAAATAAGCAAGGCTTTTAGAGGATATGAAGCTAAACTTTCGATAGTCTTGTACAAACTTCATGATCAAGTCCAGCCCCTCCATAACTCAGCTCATTTACACAATCCATATGGAGCTATATGTCGCCAAAAATTCAGCTCCCAAGTCATACATCCACGTAACTCCCAGACTCAGATAGAATATCTAGTTGCCTACCTTAAGTGGCGGCAATACATCCCCCGCAATATGTTTGATATAATAGAGGTTGCGGCGCCAAGTGCGGAAGAAAGGCTAATACAACAGTCCGGTTAATTCCACCGCATAACAATCTATACACTTGTCGTTGACTTTTCTAGAACACCCAAACAGAATTTTCAGAGTAACGGCTAGTCCTACGCTATGCCGAATCGAATTACACCTGTTCAATACGAATGCAATATGCCGATCTGAAGATGTCAGCAGTCAAACAGACGACCCCAAGTCCATAACGTGGCTAGGATCTCGCTCGTCCGGAGCCCGGTTCTTTACAACAAGGTGTACATATGCAGGAACGGGTGGTCTAAGATACGATACGATGGCCTTGTCCATCGCAACATGAATCCCGGCTTAGCTAACAATACGGCAATAGCCTATGACCCCTAGGTTAATTTCAATACTTCTAGTACCGGCTCTATCCTGTGCCTTCCAACCCCAGATTCCGGGGCCACCTCTACCGGATGGAGTAATAAATTGCTAGCGGGACGAGATACCGTTTGCGATTTTCGTATATGCCAAGGCATCTAACTTCGTATCAACGTATCCGTGATGTAGGTACGTCCCAGGATGGCATTTCTAGAACTACATAAAGCCTGCCCTGCCACAACCTCCATAGCTACGCTGTTTCCGTTAACCAAGCATAAGTAAATGTTCAGATATTAGCCCTTCACAATGCTATTCAACATCATTTTCCTGGCCCTTGGGGCTGCCGCTATCGCATTGCCGGAAAAGGCCGACTGTCCTCGCATCAGATGTATAGATGGTGTTAATAAATGTGGTTGGTAGCCCTCCATGAAATGCCACCGCTCTATTGAGCCATGAGATGAAAAATTAACTTTCCTACAGGAATCAAGTACGGCAGATGTTACGATATGTGCACGCATTCTCAGCCGAGTCCTCCGCCATGCCCAGAGATTACATCGGCCCCGACGACGTTGCCGCCGGTAACATCAACAGCCTCGCCTTGCACTAGTACGGGAACTGTTTGCGTCGATTATCTCAGGAGCTGCGGATCGCCTCCTACTGCCATCCTCACCTATGGAGGGTATGTACCTGCTACTAATCAAAGAAGAGCGCATGCCAATCTAACGTTTATTAAGGTGCTACCCAGCCTGTGGCCCTACGCCGACTTTCTCACCACCTCCATGCCTAGAGCCAACTGAAACTTCTGCTGCATAAAATTAAGACAATTATAATGGATAAGATATGACGGTCGTTTCTTGTTAGTTGAAAAGTCAAAGCTCCTCAGGAACACTTTCCTAACCTCGCTCTGCTTAAGGTATGTTTGGTGTTGGATGCATGCTAGGTCTGACAGAGACTTGGCTTAGAAAAAATGGCTTATATGTAAAAACGATTGGTTTGAATTAGTTCAATTTATTCACTTTACGTTGACTATAGCCGACCCTAGTGATATCTTGAAACTACAATATACAAATATGAAGCGGACGTAAAGGGGGGAATGAACAACAGGTATCCCAAGAGTCAACCACCAACTCGTTTTAATGCAATGCTAGATTCCCTCATAACATCTACATCACATCAGGCGACTATTCACATCCAAAAGCAAAAAGATCTATCAGGCACATTATATACATCAAACGTTATATTTACACTATATACACTGATAATAATAATAAGTTGATCAATACTAGCCGGGTCCGCCAGCCCCGCAAAACACCGGGAGAAGAATAGCAAAGAAACAAACCAAAAGCCTAAATATAACAGACAATAAGATGCAGCTTCATGCAGCCGTGGCATCACCAAACCCGTCGTTTACGTCCGTTCGTCTATAGAATCAACCAGCCATTACTCGTCCTCCCCCCGCCTTGCCGCTAACTCATTCATCCTAACCGCGCCCGCGAACTTTTTTAAATGGGACAAAAGGAAACGAGCTGGGTATATATATGTTCATGCGTTTATGCATGGATGGATGTATATATGGAGTTTATAGCATGAAGATAGCGGCGAGAACGGCGAATAAGCCGGTAGCGCCCATGCTAGCTACTTGAGCGACGGCGCCGCCTGTGGCGATGGGAATGGCCGGCTTAGAGATTGAGCCGGTGGGGCTGGGTGTGGTGGTTGTGTTTGCGCTGACGATCGGGGTGGTGATGGGGGCTGGGGGTGGCGGAGGCGGGGTGACCACGGAAGAAGTAGTCATGGAAGAAGTCGAGCAGGGCGGCGTAGTTGTGACGGTGACGATCTCGACGGGGGTGGTGGAAGAGTCGGTCTCGCATGAGCAGGGTGCAGTCTCGGTGACGGTGCTCTTAATGACGGTGGGGGGAGTCTCCTTAGGAGTGTCCTCGGGCGGTGGGGTCTCCTTGGGGGTTTCCTTGGGAGGAGTGGTCTCCTTAGGAGTATCCTTCGGGGGGTTACTCTCCTTGGGAGTATCCTTAGGAGGGTTGCTTTCCTTCGGCGTCTCCTTAGGAGTCTCAGAAGTCGAAGTGGGGGTCTCCTTTGACGAAGTGCTGCTTTCCTTAGGTGTCTCCTTGGGAGTCTCTTTGGGTGGTGGAGTCTCCTTCGGGGTGTCTTTAGGAGGTGGTGTCTCCTTGGGAGTGTCCTTCGGCGGGGTAGTCTCTTCGGGGGTCTCGGTAGAGCTGCAAGGTGTCGTGGTGGTTATGGTGATCTCCACGGTTGTGTTTTCGTCACACGGCGTAGTAGAGGGAGTCTCTGTAGGAGTCTCTGTAGGGTGGGTTGAGCAAGGAGTGGTGGTTGTGATGGTAGTCTCCATGGTGACATAACTGTCGTCAGAAGGCTTGGGGGTTTCCTTCGCGTCCTTGCACTTGTCGGGGGCGAATTCGCCGACTAGGCTGGACAGCTTGTTCACGACCTGGTCGGCAACGTCCTGTGCGATATCACGTCCCGCCTCGGGGACCTGGTTGACGACACCGTCGACGAGAGACTTAGCAGCACCACCGATATCCTGAACGGCACCACCAACGATGGAGCACAGAGCCCATTTCTCGAATTCCTTCTTCTTGTCCGTCACATCCTTGAGCAGGTCCTCGGCCGCGGGACCTAGCGGTGTCACGACTTCCGTCAGCCCTATCGCGTCGACCAACGAGAGCTCACCGTCGCCGCTGGTTAGCTCCTTTCCACCCTCCGTGAGAAGTTTGACGAGGTCCTTCGCGTTGTTCTCTACACCTTTAATGTCAGAGCCATCGAAGGCCTTAACTGATCCATCGAGTTTCGCGATGGCATCGGAGACCTTTCCAACAATCGATTTTATACCGTCGATGTCCCGCGGCGCTACCTCGTTCGTCCACACAGGCATCGGCTTAGCCACGACGCCCGTTGCGGACAGAGCCGCTAAAGAGAGAACTGATGATGTCTTCATGTTTGCGATAGAAACAGTAAAAAGAAAAAAAGAAGGGAAGGATTCCGGATCTCTAATAATGAACGCAAAACCAATGGAGCCGAATGACTATGAAATGAGTGTCTAAGACGGAAAAGAAAAAACCCTACGAAGAAACACAAGTTGAACTATCCGCCGATCATCGATACGGCCGTCTGCCTTGGTGTTATATACGGACTCGACGATGGGAAGACGGGGCTACGCCAAGCCGTCTGACCTTGCTGCTGGGCCGCCTACGGACGTAGGACAGGGTATAGCCAGCTCAAAATTCATCGTTAGAGGTCTATAGGATTCTAACGCCGAGAAGGCTGGCAAAGAAAGTAACGTAGCGTAGCGTGCTAGATGGCAAAAATAACTTCGCCGTCTAGGGTGTAACATGGGTACTAGATCAGGATAGGCTATCGCTATTGTCTAACGAGCAATCGCTTAACTATCGAGTAAGGTGATCTGGGGAAGATCTAATGATCGTTAATTCCCGTGCCTGACTAGAAGGACACGCATCTTGGCGGTAGGTATTAAGGGGAGTGGAAGTACAGTTTGGACCCCCAAACGGGAATCTCGATATGTGGTGGACCATCTGCGACGCCGCGAACTGCCTATATAGGTCAACCGGCACACAGCCTCATGTTGACTTGCTTCAACTTAATGGGCCGACGCTAGAAATAGAAATAGACAGGCAGAACTAACTCAGTATTAATGGCAATTTATTGAAGGCTGCTGTCAGGAAAATAATAATCTTTAATTGTACATGCTACTCTGTACGTTGAATCTATCTCTAGTGGATAATATCTTCAGTGGCTACTGTACTCATCAACTCGGTCAACTTTGACCTACATGACGAGATAAGATAGATTCACTGTTTGTCACATTATGACTTATCCTACAGAGGAATGAGAGGACAAAAGAAATGAGGGTGCAGAAGGATCTATTATTTTGAAACATGGCTCTCTGGATCAAGAGAATCCTTCCAGCTTCTGATGGCGGGGCTTGCAAGTAACAGGGCTTCCAGGCCAGACCTACGGACGAGCACCCAATAAAACGGGGAAGTCCAAAAGGCTATTGCGAGTGTTGGCATCGATAATGAATTTATATTTCCGCATTATACAGTATCTCTTCGATCTAGTCTGTGCTGAGTTCTCCGGGGTGCCATGCTTGTTATTGATAAAAATAGAGATAATTATAGAACCTCGCAGGTAGAAGCTAAGAATTAAGATACCTAATAAAATCCCCACTGAAGGATCGCGAATGATTCCAACCGAAGCTATTGATTCAGGTGGAGCTTGTGCCTCTTAGAAAATCGCCATTTTCGTTTCGAATAGACCAGATCAAGTAGGTGAGTGAGACAATTTGAAGATATGTGAATATCTAACCTAACCTAATTGCAATCGAATGGTGCCATCGTCTCACGGAAGTCTTTCGCCCTTTCTCGTGGCCTGCGCGACCTCAGACTGCGTCGTATCTTCCGCATATCTCTTATACGCAGCGATATACTGCTCATCAGCGCTCCAAGTATCTTTGACGCTCTGGCGCTCAACTATCGCGTCATACCATTTCCTCCATCTTTCCCATATTTTCTCTTCTTCCTCATCGCCGGCCTGTCCCGAGGCCGGAATGCCCACTCCGCCGGGCTTGTAATGATCGATAAGGAAGAGGCGCTTCGCCCAGGGTGCAAGCATAACATCTACCAAGCTGAATGTACGGCCGAGAAACCACGGCCCGCTATCTTCGCCATCTTTCTCATTTTCTAGAATCTCTTTTACGAACGTCTTAATTTGGCCGAGGAAACCTTCTCGCGCTTCTTCGATGCTATATCCCTTATCGGAAGTGTGTTGCAGCACTCGATAGAAACCCGGTACGATCTTACTGCTAATATGATCAATCCAGAGTCTGCACCTAGCACGCTCGTATGGGTCGCGGGGTAATAATCCAGGTCCATTTTCCTTCTCGTCAGCATACGCCTCGTCGAGATATTCGCACACAACAGCACTTTCGTACAATGGCTTCCGCTTATTTCCTTTGCGTTCCGCATCCACAGGAACAGCTAACGTAGGAACAAGTCCGCGCGGGTTGAGCGCTAGGAACTCGGGTGCTTTAGCATACGGATTGATCTCGACATATTGATGCGGAATGCGCTTCTCGTGCAACACGATCCAGGTCCGTTGGACGAACGGACAGAACCAACCTCCGTATAGCTTAAGGGGATGTTCAGCGGCGTGCTCCGCTGCAAATCCAGCTGCCGCGCCGGTAGCGTTTCCCGGTAGCGAGGTATCCACTGTCGCCGGCATGATGCTCTTTTGTTTCCTAAAGGTTGTGTTAAATTGGTTAAAGTGATGCGATTGGAATGATCGTGGCCGTGGCCGGTGACGTATGAGCAGCACTCGCTGGATGGTGCTTACTGACTGGTCCCTCATGAGATGGTTGAGGATGTAAGAAGTTTGAATAATAAGTGAAAGTTACATGAAGCATCGTTACGATGACATCAACACGTAACAGCGGTAGGTCGCGGTTAGTTGCGGGGGGAGTGGGAATAATAGAATAATAGTGACCACTAACACCACTAACACCACTAACACCACTAGGTTAACCATTTAGCAACTCTGGTATACCCGTCGAATAATCAATATAATATTAACAATTAACCTAGGTTAGGTATCTAACATTAATGCTACTATTATAATCCTCATCATTATCCTCATCATTGTCCTCCTCATTATCCTCATACATGGACAACTTAGTTGGGTATCATCCGCTCCGCTTCAAAAGCCAACACTCAATCCACATGCAGATCTCCTTAATACCCATCTTTAATTATCCTCTTCCACGTCCCGCGACCCGCCAGTCTCCTCCTAGTCGCCGTCTTGCGGTTTAGGTCCGGAATGACGTATTCGCCAGGCCTCTCTACCCGCACCGTCTCCCAGAAGTCGTAACCACGCTCACGACGTCGTTCTGCTCTCTGCTCGCGCTGCTCCCGTTGCTGCTTGCGTCGCTGCTTCGCCTGTCGCGACGCCTCCGGCTCTAGTTTCGCGAGCTTAGCTGTACTCTGCTGCACCCATTTCTTTGATAGTTTAAAACACCCCTTAGAGATAGTCTGCACGCGACCGCTAAAGGCTGCCAGAAGCGTGCCGCCGATGAGCGCTACGGATACGGGGACTATAATGATACCAGTTAAGTAACACACCCGATAATCTACTATTTGCGTCCGAGAGGAGGAAAAGAACTTACGCGAGATGGCGCCGATAAAACCAAGACTGACAAAGTTGTCGTCTTCACCTCCCCACTCCTTAGTATTCATACCGAACAGACTGGTAAAGAAACTCAGCGGCAAGAACAACACTGTAAATATCGTGAAGATCATGACTGAGAGGTTTTGAGAACTCGCTAGCTCGGTCTGTAACCGCGACCACCGTACTTCATCTACTTGAGCTTGACGTTGTATCATCTCTTGGAGTTTCTCGTACTACAAGCACTTTGTTAGCAGCCGTTTCAATATCCCTATCGTATACCCTTAGGTCGGATGGCCCTTACATCTTTCTTGGTGTTATCCACTCGCTTGATCATGTCGTGTACCTGTTTCTGATACTCCTGCAGCCGTTTCAAGGCTTCATCCAGGAACCCCCGACCATTCTCGGTAAATGATAGGAGCTCAGGTCTCTCGTAGCTTTCCTTCATCGCCTTAATCGCAGCCTTCTGTTCCGAGAAGAGGTTCATCATCGTGTTGAGTTCATCATCCATGTCCCGAAGCTCAAGTAAGGCGGATGTGTTTTCGCGGTTTTCTCGTTCCGACTGCTCTAGTTCTCGCCTGTGACGCTGCTTTATGCTCTTGGATCGGTTGTCCTCGGGCTCGTCTGAATCGGAATCTTCAAAGATCCTATCTCGAAATGTCTGCATTCGGAATCGTTTCAGCGATGAAGTCATCTTTTCGGTCTGTTGGTTGTCAGTAATTACTCTCATAAATTTTCAGATGCACGAATCACCTACAAGTATCCCAATAGCCTCTTCAAATATACGGAATATTTCTAGGTCCGGGTGGGAAGTCCTATCGAGCAACACCGTAACTGCATGCAGAGTTATGAAAGCGGCGAGATCCAGTGCATTCTCACAGCGACCGCTTAGGTCTCCGTTCAACTCATTGTATACGCTGTTTCTCAAATCCGCCTGCTGGAATAGCGGACCTTCCGTCGGATATGATTCGCGTTTCGGGAAGAAGGTCGTTAAAGTCGCTTTCAGAAATGTTAGCGAATCATACATAAGTAACATGACCCATCCTCTGTAGCAACTTACTCGTATCAACCGCCCAAAGCCATAGCTGGTCGACCATAAGGACATTGCCATCGATAATGTCGTTCTCAAGTTCTGAATCACTCTCCTCCTTGTGAGTCGCTGTATCTGCGGTTTTTAATGTGTCCACAGTCGACATCAACCGACTTCCAGGTGAAAGTGCGCTCACGGGTTCTTTGCCGTCACCTACGTGATACATATCTCGCTTTCGTTTAAATGGGATCGCAATCCTCTCTTTGGTAAGCTTGTACAACATTTGGTCGTCGTCTCGCGCGTAAGTATCCCCGAGAGCCGGATAGCCATACTGATCTAGGGTTCTACGCGTATTAAGGGGTGGGTCGTGTCCGATATACTGCCAGATCACCCGCGAGTCAAGCGACTCAAGCTCGGCAACATCTCTCGGAACAGGTCTTGCTCTACCTTGATCCATCCTCCGCCTGATGATATTGCGACGCCGCACTATATTTACATATGTATCAAAGTGAAGATACGGTAGATAGAGGTACAGGTGTGTAGGAGTGATCGCGGGGCTAGGGCTCCTACAAGCTCGTCCTGGAGATGGCGGACGAGGTGAGCCTGCTATGAAGATTAGTAAGGTCGGTCTGGCTCTCGTACATTACTACGAGATGGGGTGTTGATCCCTTACCGGCCTCTGAAGGAACAAAAGCACACCCAGGCTTGACATACGAAGCATCTAAATTCGTGTGTCGCCCTTGAACATGCCTATTAACCCAGTTTTCGTTGCTAAGGAGTTTTTCAAAATTTCGATTCTGCGTCTCGGAGAGCTTATCGAAGATTTTCTAGGGCATATTTAGTAAAGTTCAGCAACGAGATAGAGTAATAGCTGTACCTTGACCCAATGTGGATTGTTGAAGGGCAGATGAATCCACATAAACTTTCTTCTGGCAGGGTCCGGTCGAGAAAAGCCAGCTCCCATACTCTGCAATGTGGAAGCGTGACTAACACCACCCTTCGACTCAAAGGAATCTTCCCTGCTAGCGGTTAAACCAGCCCCTGCCGTCCTTGGAGAAACATCAGCCCCCTGAGGCTCAGAGCTGGTAGTTCTGGCCGTCTCGGTACTACTCCTAGAGGATGGACGATGGAACCCCGGGGTCGCAAGGGCAGGAACTGTTAGCCCACGGCTTCTCCTCGACGAGAAGGCTGGGGTAGGCTCCGTTGATGCGCCTGATATCGATGGCCGCGAAGAAGCATGGCTTGTCACGACGATCTCAGGTGACTGGCCGGTCTTGGGCTCATTCTCAGAGTTTTCGGGTGAGCTATTCGGCCGGACCGAGCCCAGGAGCATCTGACCAAAGTCCTGTACGATCCCTAATGCGCCTGCAATCGGTGACGGGCCCGATAATGGACGCCGCGGTCGTAATATGCCCCGGTGCCGCCTAGCTGCTACAGTGTTCATACGTTCCTGGAGGCACTTCTCGGGGCCTTTCTCAAGAAAATCTTTCAAAATATGTTTCGAGATGTAGAGCCTGATTTCCTGACCGGATTCACCTTCAGGGTCTCCGTAAAAACCGATCAGTTCGAGCTTGATGTTTTCGCTTAACCTCAGCGGCGTATGTTCGAAATTGGCGCTTAGCTCTTCCGCCTTCCGGACCGCTGCTCCTAAATCAGCTAAAAATGAGTGCATCGTTCGGATGTTGCCAAGTCCGAACGAGGCACAGTGAGCGTGATCGCTCTCGAGAGATAAAGCTTGCTCTCCTCGATTCCCGAGCAGTCCTGATTTAATGGATGTTAACGGAGCGCTAAAGTGGACTTCGTCAATGTCAGAAATGCCGAGGCCGGACAACTGCGAATCTACTGTCTCGTAAAATGTCCATATACGTAACTCGCTAGCAAGATCCATGAACTGATCATGTATCTGAAGCAACGACTTGTTCCCTAGCTTCAACTCGCGAGCGATAGATCTGGGAAGCGGACTTTGCAAGAACAGTAGTTGCTGGATGCTGTCTCGTAGATGGGACATCGACATGTAACTCGAGCCGCGATGCGGCGTAGCTAACACAGGTCAGTAACCGCACATGCTAATAACATACACGAAGATCAGGCAAACGGAACCAAAGCAGGCTTACCAAAGAACGCGATGCCATGACAATCGAAGATCAGAGACCGAAACTCGGGCTTCTGGTTCGCCTTGACCAAGGCCAGTTTCGCAACAAGTCCACCGATGCTATGACATATAAAAAAGATAGGCCTCGATTTTGACTGGCTCGCGCGGATCTTTGAAATCTGATCAAGCAGGTCATCGGCAGCCTGGTCGAGCGTCATGCCCTCTACCAATTCACGGTGACGGTAAAGCATCACTCGTGCCGTGCTAACCTCCTTACGGATGCCCTGCCTGATCCACATCTGACTCGCCTTGGGTAGGGGACGGTTAATTGTAGGTGAGAGAATGCTGCTTTCCGGTAGCTCCTTGACAGTTGAGTAGTGGTGCAGTTCATTCGATATAGGAAATCCAAAGTAGTCCTCCGTGAGGGGATCTCTAGCCCAGGTATCGACAGGAGACGCGCCGACGCAGGGTATGGCGATAATATCGACCGTAGTCTGATTGTAGCCATGCCCGTCAATGTCGCCGTCGATGTGCGCGAACCCTGGCTCCGGATTCCAATGCGAGTAGCTACTATCGATAGATCTCTTAATATCGGGATCATCACCACATTCCGAGCCGTCGCTATGTGATGCTCCGTGGTCACTAGTAGCTCCGTGTTCGCTAGTTCTGTTATTCGTATCAGGAGCGCTACTGGTAGAGCGCGTTGTCGCATCTTGCAACTCCAACTCAGCTTCAAGACCCAGGCCACCCGAGTCTTCACGACCGGCTTCCGCCATCTTGACTTGGGCGATCTCGACTCTGCTTTATTCTTCACGACACAAGCATGCTAGGCGTTGGTTTTCTAGTCGCGCATTACAGAGACCACATCAAGCTATGCGCGATCGCTCAAAGTCGCTGACGATTCAAACTAGCCGCGATATTTCGTGTAAGAGGATGGCCAGAAGTCTTATAAAATAGCGATGCGGACTCAGCCTTGCATTTATCACTGCCTACCCTCCATATGCATTCTCCCGTCAGCTGCTTTGGCTGCGGCTCTTCTCCATCGAGATTTCCCCAGAGTCACAAAGTAGGTGGATCTCTGATTGGTCGACAAAGGCAAGACATGGTGGCTTCGGGCGTAACCATAAGATGAAGATCCTCAGCTGACGGCAGGGGTTCGATGCGGTTGGCGGCCAAGGCGGTTATACGGCAGCTAACCCTTTTTACGCATATATTTGAACAAGCACTTGATCATGTATTTATAAGTGTGTGAGGATGGTTTTATTGGTTTGATCTCTGAGCATTACGACCTACTAATTGCATAGACCCCGATCAATAGACAAACAATGATCAAGGAGACAGAAAACAGATAACGAGGAAATCTTCCACTTATGAGATAAGCATAAGTCAAATATGATATCAAAACCAGGACATTATGAGTGTTCAGGATTCGCGAAATTCCGAATATCGTTACTCTTAATGAAGATAACTACAGCAAGTCATATTATGTCGACAACGATTCATTGTAGATCGTCATGCTTATATTACGTCCTCTGGCGAATAATTGTAAGATATCTTTACCAGTCTAGCATGATCGGCTGTCAAGGAGCCTTGGAATGAGGTGAGATAAGTAAGATCTAGTCCTTGTTGCACACGTGAGACTCTAACACTACTTCGTACCTACTAAACCATTTATGTAATGAAGCCATTGGCTAAAGTCTCACAATGATTTCTTACCTATATACATTCAAGGCTATTCGATAGACGGAGAGTCATACACCGAGTCCTAACCTATGCATTCTTCTCACTTGACACTATCTACCTAAGGTAGGTTGCTGTGCCGTAGGAATACATGACCATATCTATGCATTGATCTAAATGTGCCTATCTCCGTAGTTAACTAGCTCCGGTTGACAGATTAGGAAATACGGATTTCAGTCGGACGGATTTCGGACGAGACAGTTTGGTATGAAATAATAGGCTGGCTAGACGACGAGGCCAATACGTCCCAGACTCCCGACAAGTATATAAACGGGCTTCCTAGGCCTTCATTTAATATACATAGTTCTTCTTACAGCCATTGGCATTTTAGTAAAATAATTAATGATTAATTGTCCTCCAAATTTGCTCCTATCTTAGGCAGTCTTATTAAACCCGTCACTCGACATGTCGTCACTTAAGCCAATTATCCTCTGGGGACATAACTCGGGTCCCAACCCCTTAAAAATCCATATCATCCTCGAGGAGCTTAACATTCCCTTTGAGCATAAGATAGTTGAATGGGAAAACATGAAAAAAGAGCCTTTCATCAATATCAATCCGAACGGAAGAGTGCCAGCAATTGAAGACCCGAATACCGGGATAACGCTATGGGAGGTATTCAAACTCTGACTTCAAAGATCTACTATTAACGAACCTAATCGCGTTTCTCTCTAGTCGGGTGCTATTATTGAATACATCATCGACAACTACGATAAAGACCACAAGCTAAGCTACGGTACTTCTCCCGAGAAGTACTTGATCCAGCAATGGATCGCCTTCCAGATTTCAGGTAAGCCTGGGCGATGCTTCACGTCCTCACTAAGTTTTGCTAAAGTCTCCCATAGGACAGGGGCCCTACTACGGTCAAGCCGTATGGTTCTACCGGATTCATCATGAGAAGCTCCAGTCCGCAATTGATCGGTACGTCAAAGAGATTGAGCGCGTAAGGAGTGTTCTCGACACGCATCTCTCTAAGTCACCATCTGGGTGGCTTGTCGGTGATAAAATGACAGTTGCGGATCTCAGTTGGATCATGTGGGAGCAAATTGCAACTTTCCTTATTAGCTTCATGGACATCAATCTGGAAGGAAAGTACCCGCACTATGATATCTGGTATAAGAAGTTGCTCGAGAGGCCCACCGTACAGAAGGTCTTGGCTATAAGGACAGAGGGCCTTATCCAGAGTGGTCTTGTGAAGGCGGAAGATCTTGCTAAGCGGGCCTAAAGTACATAGAGCACCCATGTACCTCTTAGGATGACTCTGATGGTGTTTGTAGAGGTTTGGAATATCTATGCAGCTTTGAATAAACTGAAGGATATTGCATTTACTATGTGGCGAGATAATGGGCTTGATCCCAGTCAACTATGTTGTGGTTATTAAACGCGTCTGAGACTTAAGTTTCGAAACTCTGCAATGAGAGCCTATATAGTACGTGTATAAGCCAACCGATTAATTCGAATACTCGGCATACTGCGTCGCTTTGGCTCACGAGTGAAGCTTTCGTGGACTACTAGTCTGGGGACTTGATAATTCTAGCCCGTTCCTAACTCAATTGAGGGCAGAATCAAAGATAGTGACGCTTGATAGGACTAGAAGAGAATAATTTAGAAGAAAACTGAACTCCCGACGGACGTAGGAATACTCGGGCGGAATCCGGACTCCGTGTCCGGCGCAAGTATCTGCTTCGGACCAGGAACCGGAATCCGAATCCCGATAACCGCATTACTTACCCCTTAACCATTGATTGACATAAGGATAAATCGTACCATAGTTACCTCCGGAGTTAAGAATCTGAGGAGGTCATCTGGTATATAAGAGTCTAGAACCGGGAAATAGATACGGACCCGGGCGAACTACGCGACCCGGCGGGGACGGATCGGACGTTTCATCTAGTTGGACTACGCATTGGAGTGAAACGTCCTGGTCTGTTTTACATATTTGATCTAAATGATACGTTACCTGTATTATTTTATAAGATATCTTAAAATAATACATCTTGAATTAAAAATAGAACAAGCCTTTATTTATCAGGGAGCTAGAATTGAAGCAGATGCTCCCAGTGCTTAGCTGGTATTTTATCTGCAACGACAGCAAAGACGATGCAGATCTCAAGATGAAGGGGTCGGCTTATCTAAAATCGCATGTTTCTCGACTTAGGCATAACGGATCTTACGACTACGCTCACAGGATCTCTCCGTATGAACTGACGATGCTAACATCAGTAAGGGATAAGGAATCCGTCGCCAACTTCTACGTACTTTAGGTAGACATACTGTAAACAAGCGATTTTCACTTTCCCTTACATGATTTGGCACAATTATCATCTGTTTCTTGTACAATGATGCTTCGTAAATGTGGTTATGTACTTAGTAATAATACATCATGGAGTTGGCTTGCATGACAAGAGGATAGTAGAACTAGAGTGAAGCCAGAGTCGTAGCAACCCGCCTTGCTCTTGCACTGAAACATGACGGACGACCTCTCAAGTAAATTACTTCAAAGTCCTCATTTATGCCTCTACCCTAGGAGGATCCGTCTTTCCTCCCGCTCCCGGAGGCGGCATCTGACCACCCGGCCCAGATGCCTTATTCGCCGCCTCCGCCGCCCTACGCGCCCTATACTCCCTCATACGCTTCGCCTTCGCGGCGCGCTGCGCATCCAGCGCCTCCTTGCGTCGCGCAATCTTATCCTCACGCTCGGCCCGCATCTCCAGGGCGATAGCCTTCGCTCGTCTGCGACGGTGCTTCATGGCTACTCTTCGGCTGCCCATCTTGCGCTTCTCGGTACGTACTAGTGTACCCAGACGCCAGCTCTCTTCTGCGTAGGCGTAACTACCGTCGTCCCTCAACTTGATTACGCGCTCGTCACGCGGATGGGGCTTGCGTCCGTAGCCCTGGCGTACGACCTGCGTCGGGATACCGGAGGCGGAGAGAGCGGGCTCAGGTTGCGGGGGTGGAATAGGGGCTGCAATCATGTTGAGCCGACGACGGCGCATCGCATGTGTGGGGTACGGTAGCGTATCTTCTTTGTTGAATACAACTCCGATATACTGTCGCTTCGGGTGTCGCGCGGGATCTCGGTAGTACTTGACGTAGCCCGAAGCCAGGGCGAAGATGGTATGGTCTCGGCCCATGCCGCAGTTCTCGCCTGCGAACCATATCGTGCCGCGCTGCTTGTAGATGATGTTTCCGGTGATCACGTAGGAGTCTGTGGCCTCAGATGTTAGTTACGTTTGGTTTTCTTCCCACACACCAAGATATCCATGTATATTCATGTCTTCGAGTGCTGCCCCGCGTTCTTAATCGAAAATCGAGATCGGAGATAGACATAGTAGAGGGTATATCCAAAACGTACCACCGCTCTTCTTCGCGCCCAGCTTCTTCGGGATTGTGCTCGAGTCTCGTAACTTGTATGCTCCCTGCGACTTGACCGCAGCATTTCTTCGACCTTCTACCGCCGCATTGTTGGCTCCTATCCTTAGCTGTCCGAATACGTCTCGTAGCTGTCGTATCGTGGTACTAGGTGCTCTCGATATACCGGAAGTAGCCGCCACTATGGGCCGCTGCAATTGAGCGATCCTCATGGTTGCAGACGTCGTTGGACCGCCGTTTAGACCGTTGTCGTTCTCCCGGGGAAGTTTTGGTATCGCTTTTGGATCATGCAAAAAGCTCGGGACCGCACCCACAAAATTTAGACTTAGTCAGCCGCGATAAGTAACCGACCACGATAACGATAAGTAGTGGAAAGTTGCCAGCAATACCAATTCGAGCCTACGTAAGGTGCATTAAACCACTTACACCTCACGATAGTTAGTTAGCAGTCGCCGGAATAAGACGAACTCAGATACCGTTGCTTCAATTTCTTAATTGTATAAACCAACCCATATAATCCATCACAATGCAACTCCTCCCCTCCCCCCTACATATCCTCCTCCTCGCCCTGCTCTCCTCCGTCGCCCACGCCCAATTCGGTTTCTTCGACCAGATGTTCGGCGGCGGCGGGCAGCAGCAGCAGCAGCAGCAGCGCCAACAACCACAGAACGTGCCCAGCGACTCGTCCATCTACCGCTCTAACTTCGACCGCATGCACTGCGACAACTACCTTTGCCCGGATACTCTTGGTGAGTTTTCCTCCCATGACTTATACAATTTTATAGACCCTTCGGCGGAACGAACATTGGCTTATAATTATGAACTCACTTGTGCTAACTACTTGACTACTAGCTTGCGTGCACTTCCCTCATCACTGCCCCTGCCCGTGGCCCGCCCACGAGGACAAGTTTGAGATGGGAGACGGGCACCGAATATGCGTATCTAAGGGAGGATTTAAGCCTGGGGAGGCCGGAAGAAAGGTCGAGCTTGCTCGGAAGGGACTGCTATGATTTAATGTGTTGAGCTTTATACGGTTAGCGCATCATTTCTGAGAGTAGAGCATATAGAATGAGACCCCAGTGTCTAAGCTACATGGTCGAGTACTCGAGACATGTCTTAATCGAGTTTCGTCCCGTTCCGCTATAAGACAATGAGAATACGAATGAATGATATTTCATCGAGTTTGAGGTCTAAGCCCGCGCAGGTAGAGCATCTATAACTACAACCATGATCAACCGGAAATAACCATATCTCGCCCAGCCTAATAGTAGGTAGTATGTCGCTCGCCCCTCCAACACCTAAAACACATCTATTGTGCCTCTGACAAGATGATAAAATCAAGAGGCAGTCCACCTGGCCATTAAACTCCGTCCGTCATGCATGTCCCGTCATCGCACCCATAACCGTCGTTGTAATTTGCTTGCCCTTCTCTCGCCAAAGCTAGTGGCGTTCCTCTTAAGAGAAGAGCTGCTTATCCCGTATTCCTAGTCGCCAGCTCCGGCGATAGCGCCGTTGATGGTAGGCATCGGAGGAACCTCGTCGTCGTCCTCGAGCTCGTCGAGAGACTCGGGGTGGCCGAGGAACTTGGCGACGTCCTTCATCTCGTAGTGCTTCTTCCGCAACGCCTCGAACTTGCGATGCTTTTCTAGTTCTTCGGGGGTCAGACCGAGGAGTTCATTCTCGGCGTCATGTTGCGGTGTGGCATCCTCGTCACTAACATGGACCTTGCTCTGCTTGCGCCCGGCTCCAAAATCACCTTCGGGGATATCCTCTTCGGGCTCTCCTAATGATAGCCCGGGAATTTCCTCCTTCCGCGAAAGCTCTCCGTCGAGCATCTCGTCGTCGTCGTCTTCCGACGGCTCGTAATGTTTGGCATACGGGGTTTTGGGTTCCGTAATCTTCATCGTGGAAGTACGCTCCTGCTCCGTCAAATAGAGATTCGCTTCGTCCCATTTCAGGCGTTGATTGTTATCAAACATTTCTTGGTCTGGGCCGTGTGAAGGGGTACGCGACGATTGGCGCCGCGAGCCGGGGGGGCGGCTGGCCGCGCTCGAAGAGCGACGATGGCCGGCATTTGTTTGAGTATTTATGATGGTGATCTCCTTGTCAGACAAGTCCTGTTCCTTAATCGGAGATGCGGGGGGTGGCGATTTTTGATATGAGTTCTTTAGAATACCTAACGGGAGGAGATCCAATTAGTACGACGAAGGCTAATCCAGAAAATATGCGAAATCGTAGAATAAGGGTTAGACGGAAAGGTATGACGTACCTCTGGGGCGCTTGATCTCATGGTTCGGAATATGCATGGCCTTGGGGCTCAACTCCACGGTCGCCATTTTTGGAACTGTAGGAAGAGAAGGGTTTTGGTAAGTATGTTTAGGTAGCCGTTGATAGTTGATCAGAGTGTATGAAGGATGGAGATAGTAAGTTTGTCTGATATGTAATGGCTTGGGGGTAAAATATGGAGTGTGTGGGATGGGAAAGTAGGCGGAAGTAGCGGAAAGCAGGCGGTAGTAAGGACAGTGAGAGGGCTGGAGGGACAATAGCAAGGGCTAAAGAAGGTTGGCAGGTTGGCAGATTTGTGGAGGTTAAAGTTGGAAAATTGGCGGCCGGACGCGGGGAAGAAAGTGACCAGGGAGTTTAGGAGTTTGGGAGTTTGGGACCCTGCAGTACAAAATAGTGGGTTCTTTCGGGCTCTCGTGTGCTTGTGATTTGATGCGATTTGACTGCTAGAACTTTGCCCGGGATATCGCTGGGTATGCTGACCGTTCTTATGATGATGATGATGATCGAGTATTGCGACTATTGCGCCGGTGGGGTTTGGGGTTCTGGACTATGCAGTCTATGTAGGTTCTACGTAGGTAGAATCTTTTTGATTTATGGGTGGTAGGGCATGTGTTACCTAAAGCATGGGATGTGTAGCTTTTTCTTTCCTATGGTGGAGGGTGAGAGGAATGCAGGTAGAGTATTATCGTATTATCGTATTATCGTGTTGGCCTATAGTTCCCCTATAGTTCCCCTGATGGTGTTGTCGCCAAGTCGTGTGTCTAACTGTCTTACTTGGTGGGGAGATCTTGTGATCGAGGGGAAAGATGCGAATCTTGCTATAAAAGATCGAACAAGGAAATGACAAGAAGAGAATCCGAGGCTATTTTGCGACGAGGGGTTATCGAGTCGAGTAAAAGTAAGGTGAGGATGATGCGACGATGTGCTACTCGACAAGTCGATTTAGTTCGAGTTGTTAGTTCGAGTTGTTAGTTCAGGTTGTTAGTTCAGGTTGCTATGTTAGTCTGGTCGGGTTGCTCTGGTAAAGAAGACAAACATCTAACATGCTAGCATGCTAGCTAACCTAATAACGCTATCGTCGTCGCTACTATTGTCGCTACTACTGCAGCTGTTACAGCATTGGAGTCAAGTCGTATTATTAGCCTTGCTGGATGCTGAATGCTTGCTTGATGCCCTGCTACAGAAGGTGCAGAAGGTGGGATGGTGGGTGGCTAGGCGGTAACTACATAGGTACATACATGTACATATGTACGTATTTCGTACCTAAAGGAAGCACGAGCCGCCACTACGGAGAGCAAGCTTAATAAGGGAGTGATCATCCCACCATCTCACGAGAACTTTATGTCACTATTTCCACGTTTTAAATCCCTTGGTACGGAGTCTTCCAGCGCATATCTACCAAGCTTTAAAGTATTCGACGGATCATTCCAAGTATATTATACTTCTCATTCGGTAAAAATCTGCACCCCCTGCGGGCCAAGCGTCACTTTGCTCACCTTAAGGCTCGAGCTTCTTTTCAGATCCACGGATGCTTCCCGAAAACCCTTTAAAGCGGTAAACCTGACATCATATTTCCCTGACGCCCCGTTTCTAAGTGACCTCATGATACTTTTATTGTCTTATCGTTACTTCGGTCGGCGTCGCCAGCCTATAACGGCGTTACCTAAGCTATCTTCGCTCATTTCAATGTTCCTTTATCCACTTTGTCGGACCTCGTGCGAGGCGTCACGGCGTCACGGCATTCACAACGTCGAGTCTAAAGAAACCTTTCGGGTCCACTCCGACCGACATCGAGTTGGTGTCAGATGCAATATAATAAATATATAATAATACAGGACCCTCAAACCTGTCCCCATCTAAATCACTGCCAATTCAAATATCTACCTACCTAGACATCAAACATTCATCATTATCGTTAATATAACTCTCCCTATAATTGACGTACATGCGAGGTACGTACGAATGCGCCAATCCGTGAACTGCCTTGCTTCTTCATCTTCTACTTGCGACAATGACCCTTTCCATTGAGCCGGGTGTACGGAACTCATACCTCCTAAATTTACTCGTCCCCCTTTAACGAGACGATAATTTTACCATCGCATCATCTCGCCCTCTAATAAGATATTTTATTTTCCTCTGCCGCTGCACACGCTCGGAACCTCTCCCACCTGAAAAATATTTATATAAATCAGGGTCCAAAGGGTGACTGTCTATCTCTGCGCATACTACATAATTAACGCACCCGTCCCGTCCTACCCCCGGACCGTTTTTCGCAGGGTAAGACTGATATGTGCGTGCTTATATGTAGGTTAGGTATGTATACCTCTGGCGCAACGTGGCGGCACGCACGGGAGTAGGGCGATCGCAGATGTCCAAGGACGAGTAGAAACACCAGTCGCTAGCACATGCTTATCCGGAGATTTTTGCGGCTCGAGAAAAGAGACGTATCAAGCACCCCTAATGCTCTGCCGATAATGCATGAATAAGACCCCTATCATCTCAAAATAGTAGGTGAGCCAGCCAGCTTGAAAACTACACTGGCGGTAGTTCAGGGGTCTCACGTAGCACGGCAGTAGATACGGCAGCAGCTCCGTAAAGCAACCGACCATGGTAGGCCGTTCATATCGACCCGGGGATCTTATCTTCTGCCCACTATCTAGATGTACGCGTTGGGCGACCCTGATGTCTTGGGTTGTTGGTTTGTGTTTCCGGCGGTGAGCCAGTTGCCGAACTCTGATATGAGATGTGTAAGCCTTATACCGTAGCAGATGCGACAGTGCCATTATATTGTTTACGAGACGAAAGCCCGTGCATTGCACACTACTCTGCACGGGTCGATAGTGATTTGATGACATGGTTGGCTAATGGTGTCGAATATTATATGTGCGTCAAATTCCCGAAGACCCCTATTTATCGCGATGGGAAGTAGGCATAAAGTACATACAGTGAGCTAGAAGCGAGAAGTACTTGCAATATTCTTTCAGTCGTGGTCTTTTTTTCTTTTTTTCTTTTTTTTTTACTTGTGCTAGCTTGGCCCCTATGATAAGTGTTTATCATTTTGTTAGATCTACAGGATCTTCCATTATGGGTTCGGGAACATATCTACTAGCCCAATAGACAATAACTACGCGAACGAGATTAACCCTAGTATGTCAGACACGGCTGATAAATATATCCTTACATACAAAGTGGTGTAGTAGTTGAAAGAGACTAGAAGGCTATTCTTTAGATAAGCGATTAGGCACTGTCGACTCTTACTGCCCGTCTTATGGCTCATCGCGTGCTGTAAATGAGATTGTATATATGGACTTCGTGGAACATACTAGTACCGGAACCAATCACTCCTGGTCCGGATAATCGAGGCCCTCGCCAGAAATTGCATGAGCAAAAGGAGGAAAAGGTGTAGTAACATCCATAGCTACATGACTACCAGTCCCACATGAAGTACAAAGTCCCTGCATATAAGACGATATATTCGGCGTCGCTCTGTTGTCATTAATACGTGTTATCCATAGTTGCTCCAAATTGGCTAACAGCCTCACATCATCATTTATACCCCGGAGTAATATCGATCACTGCCATATGCATAGAAGGGCCAACGTACAGATTCTTTCAGCCTTCTTCGAGTCGCGGAGCTATTCCTAACTTAGAATAAGCAAGCAATGTCGACAATTTCAGCTCATATAAAAGCTTACATTGCTTATCTACATAGTCGTACTGTATCCATCGAATCATACCCAGCCATAGATAATGAGTAACCGTAGTAAATACAACCACTACATATGATAATTTTGTATCTGCCGTCAGATAAGATGTTGGTGTGTAGAAATCTTGTTCTACATTTTAAAATATGAGAAGTGATTACTTTATGGGGATCTAAGCGTATATCTACGGAGCATCCAGACCGCCGGGCGACGACGGGGTGCTTTCGACGTTACACCTTACCGAGTTTATCCCGTGGTATCTTACTATAGACCAGTATGCAAACGTGCTGTAACACGGCATGCTACTACCCAAATCCGAAAACGGAGCTAATCATCACCATCCATTTCGTCATTAGCTCTCTTTTTCTTGACCTCCCTTTTCTTAGGGCGGAGCCATTCCTCCATCCCAAGGGGCCAGTATACTCGGTTATTAGGGCCGCCCATCCCAAGTTCCGACTCCGGGATCTCGGGCGGCGATTTCAGCTCCTCCTCCGCATCCTCTCCAGCTTCGGTATCTGCGTCTACACCTTTCTTGGTCTTGCGCTTCTTCTTGAGAGGTTTGGGTATCGGTCTATTTTCATCTTCGCGCTCGTACGGGATAACGTCGTTAAAACGGTCCCACCCAGGTAGTTTGAAGTTTCTCATTAGATCAAATACCGCCTGTTCCTTGTCTTTCGCCTCAATCATGAGATCTGTGTCATTCGGACACGGCGGAAGGGTCATGACACGAGGGCGATGCTTCCGCCGCTGCCGTGGAGTGATGGCTTCCGAACAAGGCTCGCTGTAATGCATTTTTTGTGTAATACCTTTTCTATCCCAGGTTGCTCTGATCCTTGGGTAAAGTTCTATAATATCCTTAGTCCCCTCGCGGATTTTGCCTTTGTCAAACATGATATTGTGATGATGGAAGTCCAAAACTAGTGGGATATTTAATTCCTCACATATCGGAAGTAGGTCGTGCACCGTCCATGATACGTCATCGTTTTCTAATACCAACCTTGCCTTAACACTTTGCGAGAGGTTAGTATAGTTTTTCCTAAACCGATCGAGAGTAGCCTCTTTATCGCCAAATACGCCGCCCATGTGCAGAATCATGACGGCATCCTTATCGAGCTGCTCGGGCAAACGTAGAAGTGTTAGCATCTCATTATGGTATTCAAGATCGCGAATCGAATTTCTAACAACCTCGGGCCGTGGCGAACCGAGTTGTGTGAACTTTCAATGAATTAGCAATGTCTCTCTCGTATATGGGGTAGCTTGACGCACCTGTCCAGGATGGGTGGTGAGCCGATGGCCTCGCTCAGCTGCGACTCTTCCAGCTTCAGCAAGTACTTCCGAAGCAAACGGCGCTAGCTTATAACCGTATTCTTCATGGCTGGCAAAAGGGAACATTTCTGAACTTAAGCGCATGAATTTGATACCATACTTGTCATTCCAGCGGATCATCTTTACAATATCACGTGCGTTGGCGAGGCCAAGTGCTTCAACATATCTCTGGCCCCTGGCTACATCAGCCGGCTGGTTTTTGTCTGGCCGATTCTTTCCCGGATGTTGAGGCTGGGACGGATCTTGAAGGGGATGGCGATGTTCTAGAATGGAAGCTATTCGGCATGTTCTCGAACTGAATATCGGTGGGTTTGAAAGTCGCAAATATGTATTAAGGCAAGCCTGGTTAATGTTAGAGATTGTATATTGCGCAATTACCTACACTTAATCATGCTCGGGGGGATTCACATAGCCCAATCTGCCTTTCCACGGTAACGGTAGATAGTCACTGTTAACCGGGGGTGCCCGGGACCCTTCCTGCTCGAAGGCGTTGGCATCGGCCTCCCTTGGGGATCCGTTACCACCCTCCTCTCTATCACCTGGTTCCCCGTCCTCGTAGGCTTCGATTTCCTTATCCACACTATTCTTCTCACCATTCTCTTCCTTCTTCTTTGCTACATTCTTCTTTTTCTTGTCATTGTTGTTTCTTAAGCTATCCCTTTCAAGTTCCGCTGGGATGGTATCCGGTTTACACTTTTCGAATCTCGGAAAGAAAGTTGAATCTAGGTTCTGTCTGTAGGAATCATTCGGGATTGAGCTTGCATAAACTGCCGTCTTCTGCCGCTTGGTATCATCCCGTAAAGTATCCTCCATTTCACGAAGGCCACCAATGGCCTCTGTGACATCTGGCTTCTGCATCGTTCTCTTCTTTGGTTGAGTCGACGCCGAGGGCGGACTTCCTCCGTTAGCTGTTGCAGCATCAGGCTGTGATACATCGCCCTGTTTCTTGATATTACGCCCTGATCTTCTGGGGATGACACCATGTTGCTCCTGTTGGATGTGCTTGTCCGACTTGTCATCTTGCTGCAGAAATACAGTTGATCTTTGTCTTTTAGCGACCATCGTCGAGGAGAGGTTATAATGTATTGGGGAATACGTGGGTATGCGATAGATGGTTGGTTTAAAGGGGCTGAGAAAGCGTTTAGATTCAGCTCTAGAGCAGCGAATCAAATGTGGAAAGATGGACATGCAAAGACAGGGTAATAGGTAAGAGAGGCCACAGCTATTATGTGAACTCGTTTGATCTAAGATTTGGGCAAGTAGGGTACCTGGGGAATAAGAGATACAGCTCAGACATTTACAAATAAGAAAAACCAATATGGATGAGATCATCTGCTATATGCCATGAAAGAAGCAAGCTGGGCGGAGCCGCTATTCTGGACAACGCCAAATTCCTTTTTCCTTCTCCATCGTTAATTAGTTTGTACGACAGTAGATATTATCAGATTTTACTATGTAATCATTAGATTAGTGAAGTGAGAGACGATGATGTGCGTCATGAATTGGGTCTAGCCACGAGACCACGAGGCGCAAAGGAGAAGCTTGAGGGAAGTTTTGCTCCGTCTTGGATGCTTCGAACATGAACTATAGTGTTTACGCCGGCCATCCTCGTGTTGCGGTAGCGGGCCGGACCATTTCTTGCGACTGCTTCCTGTTTGAGTTGGCCATAGAAAAAATCCAATAAAACGATTGGAATGTATTCCGATCTTAGAGCGTGTTAGACGTGAGTTAGGGTGAGGTCATTTAAAAGCGAGCGATGATCGATGAAATCATCTTAGTGCCGATCGAGATGGCAACTTCTGGGGTCCAAAGCTAAGCTAACTTTTAAACGCCGTCGTGGTAGGGGTCAGGTCACGTGAAACACGTCTCTGCAGGATACATGTACCTGCAAGATCGTAAAAGGCACCTAACGTAAGCCACGCCGCAAGCTGTAATAAGTGGAGTACGTGGTGTAAGTGACCACCAACAGCTTGCAACTACATCTATTATGACTGCGCAAAGAATGTGAAAAAGCTATATGCAAATGGTTACAATCGTATATTAAAAATATTATTAATGTAGTTTTTATATCCTTAATAGCGTCGTATAGATTAACCAAGAATTAAACATTTAATTGTGGCTCATACATTCTCCTAAAGCAGCAAGGGCTTACAAGGATTTACCCGTCCCTCGTCAACTTCAACTCTTATATATTTCATTAGTACTGCCACAATTTTTTCGACCAATCAGATCCTTAGAATCGCCCCGCAGTTGGCGACTTTTTCCTTTGCCATTCTATCGCATAAGGTCTAAAACACATGCAAATAGGATAGAAAGGTCATGCAAAACAAGCTCTATCCAACAATACCAATTATTAAAGTTTTTATACAATACTATAATAGGTCAATTAATTTTACAAAAAATTCATCGGACGTGCGCTGAGGTGTGGCTAGCCAATCAGAGGCCAGACTTATATGTGGCGTAAAAGGCACTCTTGAAGCTAGGGACTCCCCGTAAGCGTTTGCGCGAACGGGTAACGCAGCTAGTCTTCACATCATTCCAGTTCATGTAAAATCTCACATTTATAAGCGATTCTATTAAACGACTGTTTATGGCTAATAATCCAAAGGGATTTCAAGCAGCTACAACCCATTTCTCGTTTGAAGACATCATGTATTCCCAGCCGTGCATCGCCTCAATTAGGTTCCAGCTTATCGGCCGTGTACCTTGTCAACGGAACACATTCTTCTTCAATACCCAATACATCGCTCTGCTCTATTCTACACAGGTACCTGACCCATGCCCTCTTTTCATGCCTCTCAAGCGATGATAACCCACTACGACTAGGTATCTAAGACTGGTTACCAGATGACGGCAACCGGCAGTAGAGCGGATATACGATAGTCTTCTTCCACCGTCTCCTCTTCCGCCTCGTAATACGGAACTCGGCAGACTGGACACCTGTACTCTTTCCGCAGAAACCACGTAGCTAGACACTTGGCGTGAAATACATGTCTACACCTCTTCATCTTCAATACTTCGTCATCGATCGGCTGTGTAGGCTGATGTTTCTTTGCAGCTGCGTCCGAAGCCACTGTGATTATCGTAGCAGATCTCGATATACCGTCTCCGGCCTCTAGATCCGTATCGTGGCCGGTTGCTGGTGTGGATGGGCGAGTGTCGCTAGAGTAGAGGTGCGCAAGGCAAATCGGACTGTCCGCAGTATTAGACGCGCGGCACGAGTGCAAGATAGATTTCGGGAGCAGCCTGACCATTCAGCATCCTCCGATTCTGTCAGTGAATTACGGGCGTGCCTCTTCTCAGTTGCGCCCTCTAGCTGTACCAGCGCCTGTTGAATCGAATCTGGCAGGCCAGGCTTCGAGTGTCTCCTATTCCTAGTCAACAGGCGAGCTAGCTTCCCCTGCAGATCGAGCCATCGAGTGATCCTATCCGAACAAGATTGTCAATACGCTTCAGCACGTAGAGTGATCGAGAAGTCAATAAGTTATTAGAGTGTCAGCTTACAGCGCTGCGACGACTATTACCCCTAAAAATGCTAGGATGAATACGACAATGGACTTCCAGGTAATTTCCATTTTGCCGGCTTACATATAGAGGTCGAGTTAATCAAATGCTGAGTAGCACAGTGAGAGTAGCAGTCGATGTCGAGATGTTTCGAGCGGGGGCACGCATTCCACAGCTCGGCGAGTACAGAAACCTTAAGTTTCGGCAATCATCGAATGTCTTGAGGAGACGAGACTGAACTCCGGACCGAATTCTACATATACTCCCCGTGCCGACAGCCTGACAAGCATCCGTACAGCTTGTTACACGCGTTAGTTCCGTATAGCAAAGTATAAGTCTAACTTGCTTATCCCTTGCTTTGTCTACTATATGATGTATATTAATAGATTGGTAGCGAGCTGGTCTTAACACGCTAGAACCTGGGTGAACCAACAAGCTGTAGGAAACCGATACCAAACCACAGTATTGCTATAAATCCTATGAAGGAAACATACTAGAAACTACAAAACTAAGGATCATGAAACTAATATCCCAAACTCCATTCTCGCATGCGGAAGCAGGAAATAGTTCGCCGTGAGGTCTTTATTATCTAATTACCTTATAGTAGGCTACCTGTAAGCTCTCTAAACTCTTCTAGCCTAGGTTGCACCTTATTTTCTAACCTAGTCCCTGCATTTTCGCGCCTCTCTAACACGACATAGCTAGCAATCTGATAGGCCGGCCAGAAAGTAAGACATGAGATCGACCCCGCCTCAGCCTGCGTTTAACAAGAATAGCCAGGCCTTGTGGGCGGTCAATGCCCCCTTAATTTATTTTCCGCGCTGCCTAATGGTTAGGCTATCGGGCGGGCACACGTGGCTGAACGCGTCGTCGGGAAAAACGTAGGGAGACGGCATCCCGACCTACATTAACCTTTCTACGTAGACGGTCGTGCTCATCCTTCACCTGGTTCTTTGCCTTTTCGCGTATGGTTCGGACTCCGGGTTTGTTCTAGCCTTCAACTTGTGCACCTTTTCTTGCACGAAGTTGACGGCTTCTTGTAGTAGAACCTTCTCGCCCCACCGCACAGTCACAGCCATCCTCTGCCGGCCTGAAACCTTATTGCCCGACAGCAGATCCAAATCGTACGCTTGGTTTGTAGTATATTGCGCCAGTCTTAGTTCGAGGGCACGATGTATAACCAATGATGTGATCTCGTCCCGTATCGCCTTATCTGGAATAGTAGCTGGGCTGATCTTCCTGATCGCTTTGAGCACTGCATGGAGCTGCTCGACTAGATCCGAGGGAAGCTCCTTAAAGGCCGGCTCATCCCGAAGTTCGCCATTGGAGTTCGGCTCCCCCGAATCTCGTTCGATGACGAAGGCGTCCTCAATTTCCTCCAGATCTAGCTCATTGACCTACGAATATTTAGCATCCCGAAGATGGTGAAGGTATTGGTTCCATTGCTTACCGCTTTACCCCAGGTAGATTCATCCAGTCTAAGCGTGTCCTTTAATACGGACAATACCAAGTCCCATGATATTTCCGTCACATCATATCGGGAGTGGTTTTTCGTCACATATCCGTAGCGCCTTAATAAGTCGCCATTTCCGAGCGGCCCATAGTAATTGAGTACCTCAGTTCCAGCGACAATTGGCCGCAGGGTAGTGACGGTCAAGCTATCTTCGCCGTGGTTGACGTGAGCCTGTTGATTGTCAGTACGAGCTCGTAGCATAGAATTTGCTAGGTATCATAAAATAAAATAAAATAAAGTATGCTTACGTTGAATTCGGCATCTGCATTCAATATATCAGCCATCGGCACCATGCCCATCATGAGGGTGCCTTCTTTATCTTCAACCCATTCCTCGCCATTCTCAGGGTCAGCTTCTTCGTCTTCGTTCTCCAAGTCGAAAGCATATGCCATAATGGTACTGCCCATGCGATGCGCCAGGAGCATCAACTGATCCTCGCTAAGCCTCCCGGATCCTTCTGGATAGAAGACATCGGCATGCTCGTTGATTATTGGCAGTACTCGAGTGCGGAACATGCCATCGGCCTCGTCTTTACCTATCTTGGACACAATCGAGCTTGCTTGCAGCTCGCTCAACTCTTGATCTGACCACCACATCAAGGTCTCAAATTGATCGGGAAGCACGTCGAAGTAGGGCTTCCATCGAGACTTGTCACCTTGAAGATACTCATATATCATGATGAGAATAAGCGAGACCCAGTTATCGGGAGGACCGCTGGTTTCGCTCCCATCTTCGTCGGCTTCATTATCTGTGTCCTCTAAGCCCGTCGTCTCGAAGACTTGGGGTATGCGTCTAGGGAGGTCAGAAGTCTCTGTGTTGATGATTGCTGCTCTCGGAATGGAGAACAGTACGGTATCCTCAGGGATGTCCGCAGTGGCAACTAAGAAAAGCCATTGGTTAGCGATTTGGGTGTGCTCGCTAAAATGTACTATTGGTTCTGCTTATCCCGCACCAATTCCTCTTCCGGCGCCGTTCGCGCGTAGATCTTCAATCTTGATGTTAGGATGGAAAGTCGCTCCAGGCCAGGTCCTAAACCACTCCAAAAACGATGCGGACTTGGCATCAAAAGTTGGGTCTGACATGTTTCCTCGTACGATTTAGATCTCTAATCGAATGAGATAGCCCTTAGATTTTGCTAACGGAGATATTTGATATGTCGCAAACGGTTAAACTGGTAAATTCAATGAAGTTGGGTTTTCATAGGTTCGGAGATGATTCGGGAATAACGACTCGACTGCGAAATCGAGGGAGGTACCAATAAGATGATGTACGTATTGGATAACTAGTTGAATTGAAGTGAAAGAAAATATTTATCTATCAAGGTCCCTGCAGCGCAAGAGCGATCTCCCGCAATCTTGCATACCAACAGATGTGCAGCGCTGCTTCTTATATTGGGATTCGCGCCGCATGTTATGTTTTTTCCTTAGCGGTATCTAAAATTAGTAAGCTGTAAGACATCATAATCGCGCTTTTACATTATCTTATCGCCGGTCTGACAGGAACGCAACGATCCACCATCTTGACGAATCATACCTCTCTTTCAATATAGGTTCGATTCTTCCTTTCCAACTATGCAGCGTGCTTCACAGAGAAAATGGCTAGACTAATTATTGGAAGGGTATGGGCACAAGATATTGGCTCTAATTACTCAGATTCAGACCCATTACCTGAATGCAGGACGGGTAGACAGGCCTATCTTAGGCATTACCTTACGCCTCTTAAAGAGACTTCGTATTGGGTTTGAAGATATTCAACTCTTGATACAATTCAGACTTCATAGTCCTATTCAGAGCCTAGCTACCCGCTGGGACCATCTGTCGAGCCCCCTACTTTTCCATCCTCCGCTGCACCATCATCATCCGCCATCTGCACATCTTGCGTACCCTTCTCTAGTCCGCCTTCCTTAGCATTATCGCCCTCGAGATCCTTGCTCTGCGAGAGGAAGTAATCAACAACATGCATATGGTTATTGAAGGCTGCCAAGTCCAGCGGAATCTGGTCCTTGTCGTTAGCCGCAGTAGGCGAAGCGCCTCGCGATAGGAGAAGTTTGACGACGTCAAGGTGACCACCTAAACATGCCCAATGCAGGGCTGTGTTTCCGAACGAGTTCTGTAAGTTGATATAAGGTACCTCCGTTTCCGTGCTTGTAGATGGTGACGCTTCATCTGAAGATGGCGGAGGTGCTTCTTCTGCTTCCTTGGATGGCTTAGAAGGAGCAGGGAAGTGTGAGAGTATCAAAGTGACAGTTTCTAGTCTAATATTAATAAAAAGTCTTCCGTAAATAATTATAATAAATGGGTAGTATATAAATATTGAAAATGTATAGTCGTCAACTTACTCGCATGACCATTTGCTGATGCCATATGCAAGCAGGTCGCCTTGCCGTCATCCCTGGTCGCCGCTATGATCTCGGCCCGTGTAGCACCCTCCCGATCAGCAAGCTCCTGAACCATCCCCGTGAGCTCTGCATCGTCGCCAGTACGGGCCAAGTAAATGAGATCATCAATCTCATCTTCCGATAATTTAGGTGCCATTTCGCTTCTTCCTTCTGTAATTATCTAAATATTTTAACCCGAAACCAGCATCGACGTCCGGGTATTTTGTCCTGGTCCGTGCTCTTGGTATGAGTGGTGGAATTGGAGAGCGAAATGAAAAATTTTAGTTGCTTTAGCACAGATGCTTTTTGTGGGCGAATCAGATAAATTTCGCATGAAATTTAGAACCTGAGAATTTTCAAAAAGGGTTTTTGAATTCTGTATGGCAAATTGCTCCGAAATTTAAGACTTTGGTGAATTTCTAGTAGCAATATCTTTTTCATGATAGCGTTGAGTTGGGCGTTTACCTCTCGAATTGGGTCTTGGAGTCACGTGATGTTCTAAAAACTAAGAGTGTAGCTTTGCGGAAACCGACATTAGGGGGGTACAATAGTTTCTTCCTGAAAAGCTCCTTTATACCACAGCATAGAGCCCATCTAAAATCTCTCTTGGCCACCTTGAGGTCCTATATTTGATATCTCACTTGAAGACGCGTGATGGATTTGAAGTCCAACATGATGAACTTTGGTGCTAGCCAGGTCAGGTATTGTTAGATTTATTGGTGATAGTTTGATAGCTTCACATCCAACCAGCTTGTCATGTCTCCTGAATCATCCACTGCCTGTATCTCGGCTTTAATATTCAGCATAAGCATTAGCTGTATCTCGTGCGCCAAGCTCGGCTCATTTGTACTTTCAACAGGGTGGTTATCAAGTCTGCGTAGGAGGCCAACCGCTTTCCGTCGGTCAGAAGTACTGAGGTGAGCAGTGACTTCGACTGGAATCGCGAAAGCAGAAATACTAGGTGTTGAACTGGATGAAGATGAATCCTGACTGGACTGGGGAGTGAAATCATCAGATGGGCTGGTATGAGACGAATATGAATAGCGAGTGTGGCTTAGAATGTCACGGCTCTTTGGCCCAAGCCACGAAATCTCCGGAATTGTCACGTTTTCCTCATGACCGAGTCCCTGGCTACCGCATTTGTAGGTAAGCATGATGGCAATACCGCTAGGGTCAAAGTCGACAAGCGCGTAAATAGGAACTTGCGGGAAGGATGAGTGTAGAAGGTGAAGGAATTGTCGTGTCACCAGGTCTGGATAGCCTTTCCCCTGGAAATAATAACATGAGCAAAGACTTTAAAATACTGCGCTGTGAATATGATGCCTTACTGTAACAAGAACTCCTATACCTGCGTCGGATAGCCCGCAGTATCCAGACGCGGCCAGCCCACGAAAGGTAGCCTAGTAGAAGCATTAGACAATGACCAGCGAATATTTGGATGAGGGGACTTGCCTCCTTTTCGATAACCATGATCCATTTCGTTTCCCCAATGTCAATTCGACGAATGGCTTTAGCGTGCGGAATTAGGGTACCCTAGTAAGATCCATTAGCTAACTAGTCACCACATTCCTCGCATTGCACTTGGGCCCTCACATTATTATCAGAGCTACAGTCAAGAACGGAGTGGTTCTTTAACGTGATAATAACGCCCCCTGCAATCAGACCTTTATATGCGGCAACCTACTTCGATACTTAACCCTGAAACTTATTCGAACTTCATCTGAAGGATACATACAACACTCAACGCGTCTCTACCAACTCCGAATGTAAAGGCGATATCGTCGACAAGATTATCAACATACTGCTGGCTGCCGAAAAGATCTGGATTCTGGTAGTAGATATTTCTATAATCGTTTAGTAAATCTACTTGATACGTGAGACTGATTTAAATGACAAAACTTCAGGCAAGGAAATAACAGACCTTTTCGTAATGACGTGGTCAGAAATGAGTGCTTCGTAGCAAAGATGAAGAATCTGAAGAACACATGCTTGAAATAGGGAATCAACATCTTTAGATTACCTATCAAGATGCAAGGTTCCTTGCGCGGTATGAACTTACTAAATCTTTTTGCCTCTGCCTCCGTACTTGCTGGGAACCGGATGAGACTTTCATTGCCCGTCCGGCGATTACGTAGGGGAATATCGAGAACTCGATTCTCGCTAAGCGCGTCAATAATTCTTTCTAGGACATCTTCAATCTTAACTATAACGGCACCGGCTTGCGCATTTCGTGTAGCATCACCACCAAACGTGACGATGCTATTTGATTGCCTGTCCATTGTAGTGAAGCGTGGTGTAAGTGAAGAAATATTTCAGTTCTCTTGGCCATTTCTGCTATGACTTAAGAAGTGAACTGCATACTATAGTATCTACTGATTGCTCTTGCCGGATTATAACTATGACACTGATGTTGATCTCAAGGCAGTCACTCCTGCCACCAGCATACATGTAGTGCCTACCTGGGTATGTACATCAATGTACACCAATATAATACTACCACGATATTCCCTGAAACTTCCTACATAAGGCCTAAGCCCTATGGCTTACATATCTCAAGCTTATTGGCAATCGCAACCTAAATACCAGGGACAGATCACGATTATCTCCACCTATTATGCACGAACCCTTACGATTCAATTTCTATAGATTTAGCGTTGCCGCCGATCTTATTTTTCTTCCAATTAATCTCCTAACCTAGAGGAAGGAACGTAATCATGCCGAATTACACTGCATTATGCATGGGATCGCAAAGAAAGCATTGGATATGGATTTTATTTATCCTCAGTTCATCGAATGTCTACGTGGTTAGACATGCGCGCACTATAGACACTATCTAGTAGTAGCTTATCTGTATCTTGTGAAGTAGACGCTAGTATGACTGGCCATGCAGCCAAAGGAACCTGCTATGTAACCTAGGACTGAGTCAGGGGGTTGCCGTCCTTGTCGCGCTGCTCGCCGTACTTCTTGAGGCGGATAGCTGTAGAAAGGATGTTAGTGATTGTTCTACGTAACTTGGTCTTCACGGAGATTTGATAACGTGACAATCCTCAAACGAGAGGAGGAAACCCTTAACAGTCAATGATGAAATAAAGAGACTAACCTTGGATAGCAATAAAGCCGGTTGTGTCCTGGGGCGAAAAGCCCTCTAGAGAGTCCATAGATGCGGCCCTAAAAGATTAGAGTAAGTAACTTTCCTATTGTACATAGGGGGAACATAGGCAAAGCGCAATTCTGCCAAGACTATCATGGGAGCATGAAAGTCTAGGCAATTCTAGTCTCCAGAGGGAAGGAAGGGAAGGGATTTGGAGTAGCTTACTCTTCAGAGTAAAGGTTGCTGGCGTTGCTGGAGCGGCCAAGCACGTATACCTAATGGCCCAGGTTAGTTATTTGGCAAAGACTAGCCATAGACGAGACTCACATTTCCTTTGTATGCTCTCAGTCGCACAACACCGGTTGTATTTTGGGATGAGAAGACAATAGAATTGTCAAGGAATTCCCTCTCGGGGCTGAAGTAGAGACCGTTGTAGAGAAGGCGGCTCCACGAGTGCGTCACGAACTGGTCACGTAATTCGCGAACTCGGCCGTCGAGGACTAACCCTTCAAGATCAAGATGTGCAAGTCGCGCAATAGTGCTGCAAAATAATTAGTAAGTGTTGATCAGGAGGGAGTTCAATAATATGGTTGTAGGGCTGGGATGAGGAGAACTCACAGTCCTGGTGTATCGTAGCAACCACGGCTCTTGAGTCCGACTAAGGTCAGCAAAGTTAGCATATCTACATTTATTCACCTTCCGTTCTAATACTAACTGAAGCGGTTCTCAACAATGTCGATTCGGCCTACACCATTGTCGTGGCCTATCTTGTTCAAGAGCTTGAACACGGCCACACTGCCGGTAGTCTCCTGGCCTGCAAGGATAACCTTGACCGGGATACCCGCTTCGAAGTGAATAGAGAAATCGGTTGGCTCGTTGGGAGCATCAAGAGGATCCACGGTTCGGGTCCACAACTCCTTACTATGGTGAGAAGGTTAGCGGTGTCACCTATGCTCAGATCATTGAAAGACGAATTCCGGTCTAGGATGGTAATAGCAACGTGGATAGGTAGAAATCAAGCTTTCTCTCAACGAGTTTCGCTTAGATATTAAATATGATCGGGCGATAACTGGCCGGGGTGGAGATAAACTTACGGAGGGGTGTGGTCGGGATCTTCGAGAATACCAGCTTCGTACGAGCAATGCACTAGGTTGTCTATACGTGATCCGGTTAGCTTCTTGAAACTACCGAGCGGTTGGCCAAGCTGCATTTTATGGAAGTTGCATTATGGATAATCTAAAAGGTAAGGGAACTGAAACCAATGGGACTCTTACCGTCCTTGGACCAAGGTTCCTTCGGGGTCGAGCTCTGTAGTCTGTTAGCGTCATCTAGTGGTTTGATTATTTTTGGCTGGTGAGGAATACGTACAACGGGGATGTTCTTCTCAGCTGCGTAGCGAAGTAGGTCTGCGCGGCCCCTATAAATAAGTATCAGTATCCTATGTTCAGATTTGGTTATGGATGCAGCATTCAAGTCTTAGATTACTAAGACAGGGGAAGCCTCAGCTCCGGACGTGGCTGAATAAGTCTAGAACGTAGTGGGTGGTGCTGGAAGACTAACTCTATAAATGATTGTTAGAAAGCATACCCATTTTAGATTTTTAAGAGGCGATGGTGCATACGGAATTTTGCGCAGAATTCTGGTAGTCGCCAGGGGGCGATGACCTTCAGAGAGGGCCTCAACGCCGCGAAAGCTAGCTCGAAGCGAACTTGGTCGTTGCTGTGTTTATTAGCTAGGAAGAAATGGACGGGGATGAATATAGGGAAAATACCCTTTGCCCTACGAGAATTAGTATTTCTTGCCTCTATGGAATGAAGTATCGAAGTGGTATACTTACTGTGCATCCGTGCGAAACGAACTACGCATATCATGATAGGTCAGCGTGTTTTCTGCCATACTCTTCGGAAGAGGATAGGGGCGGATATGCTATGTTTGAGACTAGAAGGACCAACTAGAGGTCCGCTCTAGATCTATTACGGGATAGAACATTGAGGTTTTGACGTACGTCACAGTTGTTCTCGATGGCTGCCTTAACCTGGGCTTTCGCAATGATTGGGCGAGCTAGAGAGGTACCCAAGAGGTCTAGAAAGAGGTTAATGGTTATACTTTAGATTAGAAAAGGACTACGTACATCGATCCTCGTAGATGGCATTGCATTGGATTGCTCTGTGGATGACCTTCTCCACGAATTCCTCTTGGAGATTCTGAATCCAATGTTAGTAATTTCGATCTCAACGGGGCGTACAAATAGGGAGCAGCATTGTAGTGAAAAAAGGGGCGAAAGAAAGGGATGTAAATACGTCGATTATCATGCGCTCGGCACCCAAGCTTAGAGCCTTCTTCTCGACGGCGGCCCAATCTTCCTCCTGACCAACATCCGCTAAAAAGCACTAATTGTATATTAGACTCGAGCTGCAGTTATGCTATACAATATAGTGAACTTACGACGACAGTATAGCCCTCAGAAATCAGCCATACTAGGATAGTCGAGGTATCAAGGCCTATATAACTGATGTTAGCAAGGTCTGTTTAATACTAGGCATTGGCAGAATGGTCATCGCCGTTATGTTAACGATGACCTCGTCCGTAGACCATTGTAGCCATAAAACAACGCTATTTCGACTCGAATAGAGAGCCGATAGCGGGGACATAACTGGAGATACTGACCTCCGGAGTAGGCGCTACATAGACGGTTAGTTAAGGTTCGAATAGCATTAATAAGGGAAAATACTCACAGACAAACACGACCCTTAGACATCTTGAGCTGTTCGTTCCTATAGAATTGTATAATTGGGTACTGAACACGATGGATGTGGATAAAAACGACTCGTAAAGAAGGTGGGATGCTGTTTTATGTATGTATTCCAAGTCTAAACGTTTAAACGTTTGTGTGGGCCGAACTTATGACTCAGCCTAAAGTTTGTTTTTTCCTACTAGGGCTCGACACCAAATCAGAAGTGTCTCATGTTTCAATTGGTTGAAGATAAGATCGGATAAGATATCTTTAAGACATTTACTCCTCTAGGTCGTACAGCTCTATTATACACTAGTACCTTTAATGCTTCTTGGGTCGTAGATTACGAAAACTATGAATAATAGTATCTCGAGTTAGCTTACCTAAGGTAAACATCTTATGTAAATCATTCCTCTTGCGATCTTCTATCTAATCATCTATATTAAGCTTCGATGCAAGGCTCCGGCTAAGCCCCGGGTTGCCCCACTGTAAAAGCGGTGCGGAACAGGGGAAATATAGTGGATGAGTAACGTATCGTATGAGTTCCTGAATGCCGCGGTAACATAAGAAATTGTTGAATTTCGGTTAGGTTACCCGCGATTCTCTCCCTTGCAACTCTTCTCTTCAACCTCAACCATCTCCAATCGCTAGTATCTCCATTTCGCTAAAGATGGTTGTGACGACACGGTCTAAGAAACGCGCTAGCGATGATACCCCCGAGACGACAACGACAAAAACGACGACGACGAAACGCCCGAGACTCGAAGATAAGACCGACTTGACGCGATGGCGTATGCTAGACGAGAAGGGGAGACATACTTGGCACTACTTAGAAGACGACGAGGCTATAGAGAGGTGGCCGCAGAGTTATGCTGATAAGTGGTATCTTGGATTGGACACTGTGAGGTTTCCGTCATTCCGAATATTCCTATCGCGCAATGGCGTCGCTTGAGCGGTATGGCTGACTGTTGCATTCGTTATAGGGGCTCCCCACCCTACCAAAGCCAAATAAACCCCTCGATTCCGTCGTCAACGGCTTGACGTTCTTTGAGAAGCTTCAATTGCCTTCCGGCCAATGGGGTTGCGAATATGGAGGGCCTATGTTCTTATTACCGGGTATTGTGATTACCTGGTACGTGACGAAGACGACGATTCCGTGGTATACCGCGACGGAGATAAAGAACTATCTATTCGCTAGAGCGAACCCTGAAGATGGAGGATGGGGCTTGCATATAGAAGGAGAAAGCACCGTTTTTGGAACCGCGTTGAATTATACCGTTCTTCGTATTATTGGTCTCGACCCCGAACATCCGGTCATGGTCAAGGCTCGAGGGACCCTACACAAACTTGGAGGAGCTACATGCGCTCCCCATTGGGCTAAGTTCTGGTTAAGCGTGCTGGGTATTTGCAAATGGGATATCGTCAACCCTATACCCTCGGAGCTATGGCTACTACCTGACTGGGTGCCCTTTGCCCCTTGGAGATGGTGGATCCACATGCGCCAGGTCTTCTTACCTATGGGCTACATCTACGACAAGAAATGGTCCTGCGAGGAGACCGATATCATTCGCGCTTTGAGACAAGAGTTATTCGTGGAACCGTGGGAGAAAATCGACTGGATCGGAAACAGGAATAGCATATGTTCTGTCGACAACTACCATCCCAAGTCCTGGCTTCTCAACACCGCCAACTGGTTCCTCGTTAATATTTGGAACCCGTACCTCCGCACCAAAGGGCTCGCTGAGAAGGCCCAAGATTGGGTCAGCAAACTAATCGATATGGAAGATGAGAACACGGACTTCGCAGACTTGGCACCAGTGAACGCGGCAATGAATACCGTCGTGTGCTACATCCGCGACGGCCCAGGCGCATACTCGGTCAGGAGACATATCGAAAGATTAGAAGATGCGATGTGGGTCAATAGCGAAGGTATGCTTTGTAATGGCACCAACGGTGTTCAATGCTGGGATACCTCTTTTCTGATACAGGTCACGACGGATGCGGGGCTCGAGCAAGATCCTCGCTGGAGACCGATGTTAAATAAGGCGTTGATATTTCTTGATAATCAGCAGATACGCGAGAACTGTAAAGACCAAGACGTCTGCTATCGGCAGCAGCGAAAGGGTGCGTGGGCCTTCAGCACTAGGGACCAGGGATATGCTGTATGTGACTGTGTTTCGGAGGCGTTGAAGTCGGTCATCCTTCTACAACATACTCCTGGCTACCCCCAGCTTCTTGAAAACCAACGCATATTTGACGCCGTTGATACTCTTCTTACTTACCAGAACAAGTCTGGTGCTTGCTCGTCGTACGAGCCGACGCGAGGGAGCGAACTAATGGAGATGCTCAATGCTGCGGAGGTCTTCGGTAAAATTATGGTCGAATACGATTACGTCGAGTGTACGACAGCGGTAGTCACCGCGCTCTCCTTATTCCAGAAGCACTGGCCTGATTATCGGACTAAAGAGATCAAGGGATTTATTGGACGATCGGTCAAAGCGGTCAAGTCGTTCCAAAAACCAGACGGATCATGGTATGGCAACTGGGCCATATGTTATACCTACGCGACTATGTTTGCCCTAGAAAGCTTGAAAAGCATTGGTGAAACTTATGACAATAGTTCTCACTCGAAAAGAGGTTGCGATTTCTTAATTTCCAAGCAGAGGGAAGACGGGGGATGGTCGGAAAGCTACCGCGTAAGATCATGAAGCCCTTTGGATTTCACGTATGCATATGCTAACAGCCTGTAGTCTTGCGAAAAGATGGTATATACCGAGCACTCATCGGGATCCCAGGTTGTGATGACAGCATGGGCCTTGATAGGTCTCATGAAGGCGGATTACCCAGACATCGAACCCCTGAAAAGGGGTATCAAGCTCATTATGGATAGACAACAACCGAACGGCGAATGGAAACAAGAGGCGATCGAGGGCGTGTTCAACAAGAGCTGTATGATCTCATACCCGAACTACAAATTCACCTTTACAATGAAGGCCCTCGGAATGTTTGCGACGAAGTATCCGAACGAGAGGGTAGTATAATGGGTGTAAGTCAGGGTATGTGATAATTGCTATCGTGAAGGCGATGAGGCTGTAATGGGTAGACTGGGTGGGATAACTAATTAATCCTAATATTCTTAATGCCACATATAATATTTTGGATTTTTGGTGACAAATCCATCAAATAATCTTAGCTTTGGCATTGGGATAGCTGTCGCGTACGTCATCCGTCCTTGTGCGGTAGCACTGACGTAGTTGGTATTACATTATAGAGTGGCCCATTAATTTAGATTTGTTCGTTCATTAAGAAGGTCCAAGTTGAAAGTATCGCAGATCTCCAGACCCTTGATAACATAATTTCTAAAGCATATTTGACTATGACTATATTAAATAAACTAAAAGATCAAATATCAACTCGTAAATGGGATGTCTATTTTTACGTAGAGTAAGATAGCAACCTTGATGCATGTCTAGACCCTCGGGGCGCTAGGCGGTGAGATGTAGCTTAGCTTTAACTTTATACCGCCTACCATCTTTAGCTATAGATCCAGCAGAATCGCGGAAACCCCACTATGACTAGTAGCTTCTACGGTAAGCACGCTTTGGCTCTGGCTGAAGTAAACCAACCTAATTACTTGCTATTTTGCAAACCGAAGCAAAATCAAACAACAAACTTTATCACAGCTATGATAATTTAGATATTAGAAAGGGTTACTCTTGGGTCCTAGCACAAACATTCACCAGGTATTTAAACGACCTGTTACCCGGAGTTCTTGTGTGATTTAATCTCGTTTTCGTTCTCGCTGTAAGAACCTTCCACTCAGTCAAGATACAACCAACCCTCAATACAACCCCACCACAAATTCGTGATCACCTACCATCTGCCAAATTCGGCCGCAGAAAGACGTTATCTTTGGTGTCAACGTCACTCGTCGTGTTCCACTTTAATCAGTACTACCTCAATAAATTCTTTTCAAGTCAGGGATCGCCACAATGTCATCCGCCGCCTTTGCCGACGCAGGTACCAAGGCCGTGGCCGCTCGCAAATACACAGAAGGAATCGAGAAATTATCCCAGGCTCTCAAAGAGCGGCCCGCACCTCTTTGGCTACTCGAGCGTTCCAAAGCGTACTTGCGAACTGATGAACTCGACCTCGCCTTGCGCGATGCCGAGCAAGCTTTGCAAGTAGCCTTCTCGCGGGCTAATCGAGAATATATGGCCGAGGCCCAGATTAGACGAGCTATCACCCTCTTCCGCATGGGTCGCTATGCAGACGCTGATATCTGCGCCTTTTGGGCTATCAGACTGCTCGAGCAATCCAAGGCTACCGAAGATGACGGCCAGCAGGATAAGGTTGACGAAAATGGAGATTATGTCGTGCGTGCTAGTGAAATTAAGAATGCTGAGAAGCCGGATAAGGACCGACAAATCGCTGCTGCTATGGGCGGCGCAAGTAATTCGAAAACCACCACCTTAAAAAATCAGGCAACTTCGTGGCGTCTGCAAGCCTTGAATAAGCTGGAGAGCTTACCTGCCGGACATCCCGGTTTGAAGGTGAACGTCTCGAAATATCCTAAGCCGTCCGAGCTGCATTCTGCCACATCTGATGAGCATGATGCCAAAGCTAGTCCGGTTCCATCCACGAAAGACCAAGGTCGCGATGAAGGCGCAAAACATGACGCCTGGGAGAAAGTCTGGAAGCAATTTTCGACTGCCTTCGTGACAAAAAGTATCAGATCGAGCTTCTATCAGACAGACACTACCATCAATGCCGACTTCTTCGTAAAGAACGTGCCTGCGGACCGTTTCGCCGTGTCCACCCAGCCTCAGAAAGTGGTTATGGGACCAATCTCAAATACCGACTCTGGCTCTGACTCTCTCCAGCTCCAGCTCCACCTTTGGGGCAGGGTCAAGCCTGCTGAAATCAAACACACAGTTAAATCGATGAAAATCGAGCTAGTCCTCAAAAAGGAAACGCCAGGCAAATGGCCCATGCTGCAGCGGGAGGATTCCGACGGATTTACTAACATTGCGGGGAACACTAAGGTGGCCCCCTCGTTCCAGAGATTCTCCACCCTCATTTCTCGCCTGGGGTTCGTATCCGATCCTGTCGAGCTTATTATGCCTAGGACTTTACAACGCTAACATTTTTTTTAGGTATCATCATCCCGATGACCTCAAACTTCCAGATGTTAGTCTCGACCTGGATGCTTGGTACGATGCTCTCTTGGGCAAGCTTGCAGCTGGTCTAGATGAGCGCGAGGCATCTTCAGAGATCCCGAATGCTGCACCCGAGGCTGCATCGTCTTCTACGAGCGCGAGCGGCGCCACTCAGCCCAAAAGTAACCCCGCGCAAGCTAGCGATCCTGTGCTTAAGCCTACTCCAAATGCTAGCGAGGCATCTTCGACAAAGACCGTCGGTAGCGCCCCAGCCTACCCTACTTCTTCGAAGAAGGGAGCAGTGAATTGGGATCGGATTGGCGACGACGACGGGGGTGACGAATCCAAAGAGGATGCCGATGTTAACTCGTTCTTCCAGAAGCTCTACAAGGATGCGGACGATGATACTAGGCGTGCCATGATGAAGAGCTACGTCGAGAGCAACGGCACATCGCTCAGCACAAGCTGGGCTGAGGCCAAGGGCAAGACGTACAAGACTCTACCACCCGACGGCGCCGAAGCCAAAAAGTGGGATGAGTGATACCCTACGTGACTGTCAGCTTAGTTTGTGTTTTTCACGCGCATGCTTTTGTTACGAGCAGATAGCAAAAAAGGGATGGATGGTCGGAATGATACCAAATGTAGTTACTCGTCAATGCAATTAATAATACGGCGTATTACGACTCTAGTCGTACGTTTTATTCCAAGCTCGGTGCGTTAATACCACGAATTGTTTTGGCTCTGATATCGTCTTTACCAGAAATCTAACGAGCCCACGGTTGGGACCTTTTGACGCGGCGAGATACGCATGTTGGTTTATCTGTGCCTCTTCAGGATATACCTACTAGCATAGGCAAGGTAAGGGATAAGCCAGGGTGTCACAAGACTATACAGAATCTACGGATCCGTATGCGTAATTTCACTAAACTAGAATATCTACGTAGCCTCCTAGGCCTTGCCGACGAACCAGGTGAGCGGATGCCACAAAGTTGTACGGAGGAATGGTGATTGGATGTATTAAAAATATCTATCCACCCATAACCACGGTCTCGGTGCCAAGCTTCGCTAGGGAGGGTGTGGGCACGGATACCACGTTTTACGTAGTGCTTCTCCGGCATTTATTTTATCACCCTTCTCTACGGCCGCCCCCGGGGTCATCTCCCATGGAAGTTGGAAATCCAGCCGGTCTCGTTTTCAGTTGCCGACACGTCCTCTGGTAACCCTTTCTGTTACCCATGGGTCTTCAGCTGGTTATCCTTGCCGTGGTGGAATACTCCCCGCAATTCCCCAACGTTAACCCGTAGACTCTCCACATAGCGTCCAGACCCTCTTGTCTGAAGTTCTTCATCGACGGCAAGGAAGACCATACCAGAGGCTTCGGCAATTCGCTGATTGGTCAACTTGGGGTTCGCCGAGGTTAATCAGCTTGAATAAGCTATGGGCGAACGCGCATCGCGCATCACGCATCAGGCGGGATATCGACGAACTCCTGTATTATTTACCCGGCCTCGTAGTAGGTACTGTCGAGTAATTCATATATCCAAATTGCCCGGAGATCTGGACCACGGTGGGATCGTAGATTGTTGAGGACCCTGGGTCTGCTTAATGATTCTGATTAATTCGCCTGATTAAGCAATTACTTCATCAGCAACCTCTTGACATCACTCACATCACTCGCCTTGCTGTCATCTATTTTTGTTCCTTATATTTGAACCCCACGACGACTCCTTCAACAGGAGTAGCGTGTAGCAAATATACGCAAGGGAAGTTCTCAACACGGCCCATTTGCATAACTCCTATCGCCTAGAGGCGTCTCTCTAGACTTGCCCCCATATATTTTTGTATACCATCTTCCACATAGGCTCTTCATCATGGGCGCCGACGAGGTCACGATCTCCCCGACGAGGACCATCGTCCTCTCAGCATGGGGCATCTTCAAGGAGCAATGGCCGCTTCTCATCCCACTCTTCATCGTCCTCCGGATTTTATATAAGCGTTATGCTTCACCGTTACGCGAATATCCCGGTCCCTTCGTAGCCTCCTTCACCCGTCTCTGGAAAGTCATGTCCACGATCTCGGAGCAAACTCATCTGCACCACATTGAACTGCACCGCAAGTACGGCCCCATCGTGCGCATCTCGCCCAACGAGCTCTCTTTTTCATCTCCAACAGTCGCTCGTCACGTTCTCTCGGCCGGAAAGCGCTTCTATAAGACGGACTTTTACTCGGTCTTCCCGCCGCCAGAGAACCCGGATATCTTCACAGAAATTCGCGAGGATGTGCACGCCATGAAGAAGAAGGTGGCCAACGTGCCGTACTCGATGGCCGCCATGCGCCAGCTCAGCCCTTTTATCGATGACACCATCGACTTCCTCGTTAGTCGGCTCGACCAGTTCTGCCCTGACACTGCCATCCCCGGATTCCAACAGGCTGGTCTCCCTGGCCGAAACACCATTGTTAACCTTGGCGACTGGCTACACTTTTTTGCCTTTGACGTGCTCGGTGAGGTGGCTTTTGGAAGGTCGTTTGGCTTCTTAGCTGCCGGCGTCGACAAGGAGAACGCCATCAAGACCATCGACAACAGCCAGAAGTACAACGGAATCGTTGGTCAGATCCCCGAGATCGATTGCCTGCTAAGGAGGAACCCGCTCTGGAGGTGGATTCCCGCCTTCGACCCTAACAATGCGGTCGTCACCCGTATCGCCCGCGAGGAGATGCAGAAGCGTCGCCCCTTCGAAGTTGAGCGCGATGGCAAGGGTGCTAGCGGCGATGGTCGCGAGGACCTCCTATCATCGCTGATCAAGGGCCACCTGAAGGACAAGACAAAGTTCCACGAAGGTGACATCTTTGCTGTGACTCATGGTGCTATGTAAGTATACTTGCCCATTTACCCCTATTCCTGGTAAGCCAAGACCAAAGGGCCCAGTCAGCTAACGACGGATACAGTTTCGCTGGCTCGGACTCGACTGCCTCTTCCATGCAATCCTTCTTCTGGCATGTCCTATCTGCTCCGAAGGTACTTGCAAGGTTGGTAGAGGAGATTGATACGGCGGCACGTGATGGAACGATCTCGGCGCAAGGTAACATCCAGTGGACTGAGGCTCAGAACCTACCATACTTCCAGGCATGCCTAAAGGAAGCGATGCGCATGCGTCCTGCGGTCGGTGTTAACATCGCTCGGTACGTGCCCCCGGAGGGCATCGAGATTGAGGGCCGCCACATCCCCGGTGGTACGCGACTCGCACTCAACGGCTGGGTTCTGCACCGCGACAAGGCCACCTTCGGTCAGGATGCCGACTACTTCCGTCCGGAACGCTGGCTTGAAGACCCCGAAAATGCCAAGGTCATGGAGAGATACATGTTCCAGGTATGTTACAATGGAACCTCATCTCGAAACATCCGTGCACTAACTAACATCAATAACAGTTTGGCGGTGGTGCCCACGTCTGCATCGGTCGGAACCTGGCGCTACTCGAGATTAACAAGGTGATCCCTCGCCTCCTCCGCGACTTCGAGTTCGAGCTGGTCTACCCGGGCCGAGAGCTCAAGGCGAAGGCGACCTTCTTCGTGGTCCAGGAAGGCCTCGAGGTGTACATCTCGCGAAAGCAGAGCGAGAAGGAGACGCAGCAATAAAAGCTTAGACTCATACCATAGTTCTTCAAAGAACAAACTTAATGATGCTACTGATAATAGTATCGGGGACGGCGGGCAACGGCGTTGTTGTGTTAGAGCTGGGCTCGCGGCTTACGAAAAATGCTTTACTTGGGCAGCATGTTTTGCATACCATTTTACGCAGCGTTTTTGTTGTTCCTTTTTTCTTTGGGAAGGATGTTTATACGGCACAGAGGTTGTAGATGGACGAGATACACGCGCGGCGCGTTATATACCAGAAGATGTTTGGCAAATTGCTTACTGTATTATGAATATCTGAGGCGAGTTGGATGTAACTAATGACGACGTTTCGCTATTAGAAAATATTGCGATAGGCGGAGATAGTTACACAGACTCGGCAATAGGGACTAATATCATGTTGACTTTCCTTTTTGAGATTATAATAGCTCAAGTCATAGTATCAAGAAGCAGAGCTTCTTTCTGGAGTCTTATTGCTTATACCTAGGCCATGTGTTGATTGTCGAGTGAAGTTGTTGTGAACTACACCGTCTCTCAACGCCCATTTTGCGATATCCAATCAAACGGCGGACGATTCCTACGCTTTCCCAATGAGGGGATATATTTTGGCTCTGATTGGCTCTCTTCCCATGTGCTACGAATCCTGGGGATGCTCAAGTAAGTTATCCTCTCTTAATTGAAAGACAAGTTCTAAGTTACTATCTGCCCCTATTCCAGTTTACCCAAGACGATATCTACGGCAATTGTCAATGAAGCCACGTCGTCGCGATAATCATACGTTGTCGAATGTCTAGGTAATATGTATGTTACCTTATGTATGTGTTAGGTAACGAACATTCACGAAGATAACGGCAGTTGAGTCCCACCTATATAGTCGCTTAGGACCTTAACCCTGTATATAGTGCTTCGCATATTCGGTAGGTTGATCCAACGAGTTCGGCTCGAATTGGACAACTTGAAATTCTTGCGATCAAAAAAAATTCGACCGAATTCGGAGATCGAATTGCGATCTAAGGCCATGACAAATGCGACATGTGAAGAGCCTCTTCGATTTATAAGATGCCAAGCCAATCCCTCGTCGTGCTACGTAGCAATATCCTCGTTGGCCGGATGATTTCTGCGCAGAGCCGCCGAAGTTGGACCTGGGAAAAGCAAAGGCCAAGAGTCCATTTATCCGAATCTCAACCACGGCTTATACATGTATACATGATACCTACCGGGGCACCACGTTCATTCGCGAGCATTCGATCTTATCTAGACAGGGGTCATATAGTACTTGCATTAATCATGCAGCCTCAGGATAAATTAGGGGGTGTATTCCTAGAAACTCCATCCATCTCTCAACGACACAAGTAACATACGAACTCGGGTGGGCCTACATCGTATCCCACAAAGGATGCGACGGGACCGAGCGGCTTGCACAACCACCTCCATCACCGCTACTTAATGCTCATCACATATTCTTAAACGAATCCATCCACATCCCATCGCAGCACGTCGATTCTAGACATCGCAGAGCGGGGTAGGCAACGCCACAAGCGGCCGGTATGCAACATCGTGAGCGCTGTTCAGACATCGCCATATCAGTTCTCTCACATTATGCTGGCGAGGTTCGTGCGGTCAGCTCGCTTATAAGCAGCCTGATCCTGTCGGAAGTGAGCCGGCACGATAGCAAGTGGGTGTCATATTGTTGGGGATCGCGACCTATCGGCTACGCAGCAAATCTCGCTAGGCGGCATAGGCACTACGCAACGGCGAACCGTTAAAGGGGCTAGAAGCTAGGCCCACGAGGATGGTAATAGGCCGCGACGGCGGGCCGCTGTGGTATCCAAAGGTCAATATTCTACGCACTCGCTGGATAAGCATTCTTCCTGGCTGCGAGGCATCAACGATAGCTGGCATGTACTATCATGCCTAGCAGGAGTTAATATGGGACGTAGAAGAGGGAGCCACTCACGTTCATAGCGGTGTTTGCCTCGGCCGCCGAGTCATGCGAGCAGGTGTTCGTCGTCTACGAATACGGATTTGCCGACATTTGAGACGGGAATAAGGAGAGCTGGTCCAGTTTTTGGGTGGATGCGACTGCTTTCGGCATATGTGGATCATCCACGACGATCCATGTTGTCTAGAACTGTTTAAGGGGGTGGATAAGCATCCACATTGTCGGTATAGAAGGTTAGAGGTGCCGTTCGTCGTTCTATTCTAGGAGGTCGTCGGTATAGCCGGCATCCGGACTCGGTAAACCTTTACAAATTCAAGCTGCTATTTATGGATATGAATCTATAGATGCAGGAGATTCGAGATTGAGTTCAAAGGCTTAGGATGGGGTAGACATATTACGTGGCGTGTGGATAATCGCGAGCGTTACATGGTAGGTTTAAGTAGGTCTTAGAATACTGTTACTAATATTATTGTATGTTCCTAGACTATATCCGTTTCTACCTGTATATATAGACTACGAAATATACCAAAAGGCGCTCTGGAAAAGTGCGGGATCAAGATATACAATAATTTGATGTCTTTTATGAACCCTTGGGCTAGCAGGCTTTTACAGTCCAGTCATAACTGAAGCCCGAGAGCTTTAGAAAAAAGGGAATCATTTCAAACACCAGTTCTAATCAAGGAAAGTTGAAGAAAGTAAGTTCGTATTTTCTTACATTGGGAGGTAGTTATCAACATCGAAAGATGGAAGGGTGATGTCTCGTAGATATGTAAACAGTAGGAAACATCTTTCCATCGTACTGTGAAGAACTAACATGCATGTGTTACTTAGGACGCTCATATAAATTCATTAGACGCTCTCAAGCAACTAGAGTATAATATGATCCATATATGGCCTCAGTAGTAGGCTGCAAGATACAACTGTTGACTGAGTCTAGAACACCAGCAACAAAACTAAGAGTAACTTATCGAAAACAGTAGAATGGTCAGTTAACCAACTTGACGATCTTAGTTGGGCGCTGAGACCTACCTACTGCTGAGTTACTGGATCCCAATGCCTCGATCGGCGTACATGGCGAGCCCCCATTGGTTGTATTCTTACAGCAGCAACAGTCGTAAAAGAATGTAGTCGGCCATTAATTTAATGCCGCCGTGCGAAGAAACATCCGCATGCATGAACCATTATTTGTGGAACCTGTATATGTTCAGTAACTAATTCAAAATGGATAGCGTAATAGTTGCTATAGTATGAGTAGTACGAAAGAACATCTTTATCTGTATTATATTCTCGGACTCAGTGGATAGCCACAAGACTGGACGTCCGGTATCCTCTCGTTTATGAATTATCTGGATGCCCCCTTTAATAGCCCATGTCGAATATGGTATGCTGTGGTAATAAGGTTTCCTATAGCGATGTTACCTGGTTCATCCGACGTATGAAGTCTACGGGCAATAATGCGATGTACATGATAGAATATCTGACGAACCACGATATCCCCTTTACTAGAAACTTGACGGGTTAGAAAATGGAGGCAGACAATGCTCGAATATCACCAGACCGACTGATGCCGGAAGCATCAACTGGTTCACCGGGTTTGCACCTTTTTTAATTCACTAACGGGCGTACATTTCGCTTTGATGGCTTCATAGGAGGTCGAAGCTTGCCTTGCTTGCCCTTTCAATTCAATTCGGCTCTGGCGTATCCCGGTAAGCGGATGGTAAATGTCCTTCTAAAGCCAACTTGATCTGCTGGGCCATCGGTCGAGACCACCAGCGCTGCTGTTGGATAACGCCCCCCATTACCCAGTAGTTCTCCATACGTAAGTGACGTTTCCATACCCCGCGAACCTCTCCCTCGGCGTCTACACCCCATGTGGCGTCTAGTCGCGCTACGATATCCTTTGGACCAAGAATATCAGTCTTGTTTGTCATATCAGGATCCGCTTCACCAAGTACTCCTAATGCTGTTGTACGGACATCTTTATCAGCGAATCCCGTACACCAAATGACTGCATCGGTATCGAGGACACTGCCGTCAGAAAGGCGCAGTCCAGTTTCGGTGTAGCCTACAGGCTCGACACGCCCACGTACGGCAACTTTGCCTTCAGCAATAAGATTGGTGCCGCCTACATCAACGTAGTGTCCACCACCACGCTCGACTAAGATGTTTTGGATATCCACTGATGGATCCCTACTGTCAAGGACTGGGAAGCCTGCTTTAGCCAGGGAGAGATAGCGGTCCCTAGATGATGAGTCAATGGACAATAAGGAGGGAGAAGCCCATGGCCGAACTTACGGTTCTTGGGAGGCAAGGTGAGAGAATAGCCCGTGCGAGAATTGCCCGTCGAGAGCTGGAGGCAAAGTATACATAAGCCGATCGGCTACTTCGAGAGGAAGTTTCTCATACGCTCCAAAGCCGTGCGGATTCACTACGTATTCGTATGGGTAGACGTAAGTTGGTGATCGGGCTACCATGGTCGTTTTTAGTCCTGCAGCATGACAGTCCTGAATGATGTCGAATGCAGTATTGGCTGAACCGATAATAGCTACGGACTGAAGAGACTCAGACATTAGCAAAAAGAACGATAGAATAAGAAATAAAAATGCCTCAAGGATGAATATGACCAAGGGTTGGACCGTCTGCTTACCCTAATTCCTTGCTCTAATAGAGATTGCGCATTACGAAAATACGCAGAATGGATACTAAGACCTTTGAACGTATGCTGATCTTCTAGCGCTGGGAGGTATGGCTTTTGAGATCCAATCCCACTGGCTTGAACGAAATGCTTGCTTATGATAGTCTTTCCTAGGCTCCCATCCGCAGCCTTAAGCTTAACCGTCCACTTCTTTTCCAAAGTGTTGAAGGAAGTCGAACCTATCGTTGTCGATAAAATAACATTGAGATGGAAGTTTGTAGCGTATTGACCTAAGTGCTCCGCTACGTCGTGCTTATTGAGCCGATAAGGGCTTTGCAGCTCCTTTCTGTAGTCTTCCCGAAGAGTATGAGCCTTCTTGTGGTTATAATAAATGTGGTAAATATATGATCTTACATGCATATGGCATCTCGCAACTGGAAGTCGGCACGTGGAACTTGAGACAGTCGTAGCGATTTCTCCAGTTATCGCCGATTTGAGCATTTCGGTCAATGACCACACTCTCAACACCTAAGGCTTTGAGTCGCGCGGCGGTCATAAGACCCCTAAGAATAATAAGGAGCTGCTTGAAAACGTAGGTACTTAGGATATGACTTACGAGCTTCCAGCACCGACAATAAGAACGTCAGTCTCAATAGTATCGAGCCCATCCAAAGCCTTCTTGGGTGTCGATAATAAAATCTCATTCTCCGGATACCCGACTATATTCTCAACCCAAGTCGACAGGGCCCAAATTTTCCACGAAACTGAATCCGTCGCCGCATTACTTTTTACTGGTAGCAACAGCATTTTGCCTACGCAACTCAACGCGGGGGATGTCGTGCGGAACGATATCCCACAATCTATGAACATCTTCAGAATAATGAATAAAGTTCCTAATGTAGCAAGTATAAATTGGCGGCACTCACCATGACCGGGCTTATCTCAACGAAGTGGGCAGCTCCGATTATTTCAACGTCATTAGAGATACCCCGAAGACCTTTAGTATGCAGAAGGGCTGCAGCCACTGTACTGGGTGTTGAAAAAGTACGCAAGTGACCGGTAAGGGCCACTATATCTCGCCAATATGCCTGCTCGGTGTAGAAGCAGCTAGCTAGCCTCTTCACATCGTTACTGAGTAAAGCATTACTGAAAGCGTCTATAACAACTTTGGCCTGGATAGTAGGAACGTCGCCAGTGATTGCAGATGGATTAATAGTACCCGGAGGAATCCTGGGCAGGGGCTTGTAGATGTCCTTTCGAAGATCGGCTTTAGGAGGCCACTCGATGCCTGGTGGGACTACTCCAGGGCTACTGTCTACTATAGAGTGTTAGAATGTTTCTTGACATGACTTCAATTCGTAAAATGAGGTATCGGTTCTTACTGGAAGACATCTTAGGTAGTGATGTCTCAAGTGGAGTCACCACGTCACTCAAACCGGAGAGGGGTGATAGTCTCTTATAGAGCAAGATCTATCTAGCAGGCTCAGAGGGGGACTCAAAGAAAGTCTAGTAGCCTTGAAATACGGATAAGCCCTATCCCTAGCTTCGGAAACCGAGCTTTGTTTCGGTTGATCGAAGCTTGGCTCGTACAACCAATCAACAAACAACCAGAATATCAGTATCTACATGCCCCCCTTACAGTCCACAGTCCCACAGTTTTCGTATAACAGGTAGGTACCTTCTAAAAACTCGATTTTAAATCCTTAATTCATAATGTTATACACTTAGATCTCTGGTACCTTATATGACTGATCGTATTTTTACGTGACTGTCAGCCAAGTAGACTTTTGAATATCGGCCATAACGCATCTTAGTAGAATTAAGGGGTTCTATATTTCTCGGCCTAAGGATGTGATCTTTTAAACTGCCCTTTCAATGCCTAGGTTAGTTATCAAACAGTGATGCCTAACTCGGTACTGACTGTACGGAGCCTAAGTCTACGTAAAAGTTTCATGGCTCAATTCACTCATCACAACGTTCGAAGTGTTCCATTTCAAGCAAATCACCGATCACCCCTTGCCCAACTCGACACATAATTATGATTAATATGTACCAATGATTGAATATATCGTTATAATGAGGATAGGATAGCGTACGCGACAATAGAAAGATACAATGCGGCCCTGAAGAATCGTTTCAATTCACCATCTATAATCATGACTGGGTCATTTTCGCTGCACTGGTTGTGCCACTGACAGGCCAGCCCGAAAACCAGGTGCTGATACCCACTTGAAGGCAGGCAACTCAGGTAGACTGTATGAATTCATCTACCTTAGGTTAGGTACTTAGGTACCGACATACCTGGCAATGGGAACATCCACATTAACAGTCCGGGAGTCAGTTGACAACACGCCTGTATTTCGTTTGGCATCATCGGCTTGGAAATTTCGACAACGTTGCCTAGTGACTACTTGGATTTCCCAATGTTTGCTTATGCCAGGAGTGAAATACGTCCAAGTCAACTATTTTCGACTCACAACTTAAAGGATATTGGATATACAGACGTCCCCAGCTCACGATATTATGTGTATCTAAGTCCTAACACAGTGATGTCTCTCTACCAAGAGTTTGCCGCTTCTACGTGATTCAAGATGGTATGTAATTTATAAATAAATAAATGTAAAGAAATAGGAATAATATTTACTATTTAACATAACTAGATTTCTCTCCTTTCTTCCGCCTGGTATCGAGCAGAGCTAAGATCTACATCCATTGATACCTACGAACTAACAGCCTGGTCGCAATTTATCATCATGGATTTTCGAGTGGGTGACTTTAACCTCCCAGTAGGGGGAAATTCCGAATTCCGAATGGAAGATTTCGATCCTCAAATGGAAGATTTTGATGACCAGCTGGGTGATATCGACTTCTCGATGGAGGGTATGGATTTCCAAATGGCAGACAACAATCACCAGGCGGAGAATATGGATTACCTATTAAGCAACTTCGCATACAACAACCCCGATCCTGGTAATGTGTCGGGCAATCAATCCGGTCGTAATGTCAGGGTACAGCAGGCGTCGGAAGGAGAAGCTAGTGTTCCGTCGAGTCCAGATTCCCAGGCCTTCATTAACTACTTTGAGTGGACAGAGAACAATCTACCCATTGGAGTATCGTTCGACCCGAATGCCCCGGCGGTTACCCCTGAATTCTTGCGCGGATGGACTTACAGGCCTGGACAGCCAGCTGAGCGCGCCGAAGATGAGAATCAAGTTATTTTCGTGGGTTCGCGTGGGACTGGGTACCGCTCCGAAATGGTTACGCCTGGAGAAGTTGCCGAGAACGAGCTCGCAGTTCGTCGATCGTCTCGTCGCAGAATTGCCCCTCGAATTCCATTCCCTAATAAGCGACCAGAATGGGCGATGCTCGCGACGGATTTCAAAACCGTTTCTACTATACCGAACGACGTCTCTTTATGGTGTCCTTGTTGTACACGAATACTTCAGAGTAGCAGTTTCAGAATGTCATCTAGGAGCTATACTCCGATGGAGACATGCATGGATTGCAGGAAGCGACAGGTAATACCTCTGAATGGCATGGTTATCTGCTGGAGCTCGTCTTCGGATCTCAAAGGCTGCGGAAGATTTCTTCCCCGGGCTAATTTCTCCAGCTTTCACGATTACGCAACCTTTACGGGTATTCTATGTCAAGATTGTAGAGCTTTCGGTCCAGGTCGGGCGAGATTCGAGGGTAGATATATCGAGAGGGGGCCATGAAAGATGAGAGTCATGATGAAGCCTCTGAACTAGAGGCAAGTTAAATGTCAAATTATAGCCGAGGGATTCATAAAGTGAGGGAGTTGATTGGAGTTATCTACAGCGGGAAATTGCGAAGATTATGGATACCTCGTATTACATGAGGTCTCTATAGGGGTAGATGAATATTTACCTAGGTATTCACTTATTGAGATGTACTTATGCTGACCATATTTTTACGTGATGTGACTATGGCAATGCCAGTCTTAAGAGGATATTTATCTCACAGCTTTAACGTACCTACGCGGATGATAGACTTATGGAGGCGTCGGGGCTCGTACGCGGCTAGTACAACCGCAGCAAATAGAAATAAACGAATATAATAATTGTTTTACAAAGAATTGCAAATACAATAATATGATTCATTGATCTACGTAGCTCTTAGACATGCATTACTTGTTGGATGAAATAGCTATTAATTGCGCTGTAAGAATCATAAGTTGAGGTCTCAGAGCCTAAACAACGATACCATCTTGCACCGTGAAATATCGAGTATCTAACGTAATGATATTTATGCATATTTATATTTATATCGTGATATCCCAGCTACTTAATAGTCTTCCATTCTTCTAGCATCTCTTCAGCATCTCTCCAGTCTTCGTTTGATTGTACTCCATCTTCAATCGCAAACCTAACGAGCCTCCTTGCCAGCCGATACGCAGGGTGATATGCGAATCGCCTATAATCTTTCCCAGCAGCTATTTCAAATGCTCTCTTGAGTTGACGTCCTTCCGCCGTGGGTGGAACGTCATTAGCTGTTCGCTCGTCTTCATCTTCGTCATCTAACCAATTCCATACCCAGAGAGGTGGCGCGCACGCCATAAACTTTGGTCCGAATACAGCGCTATCCCAGTCGAGAACCGCTGATATTATAGGCTGCTTTAGGTCGGATGTTGGGTTGATTAATATGTTACGAGGAGCAAGATCCAGATGGGCGAGGCAGTAGTCGACGTTGTTAAACCAACCTCCGTCTTCCAACTCCCATACCATGGAGCAAAGCTGGCCCAAAAGACTCAGCTTGGGTGATGCCTTAGGGAGATACTTTGAGATACGTGCCATTTGATCCCCAAAGTTGTTTAAGAGTAGATCGCGTACTGTTTGCGTAGTGGCTTTGGTATTGCTGTATGGTACTGCCAAATTATTACCCTCGGACCTATACGGTATAACACTGAACTCTGCCCTGAGGTCGTCATCGAGCGATGAGAAAACTAAAGAGCCAGCCGTGTGGCTTCTGACGGCTAGGAGCTGGCGGAAAACGTTCCCGAGTTCGAGTGCGAATCTTAATTTTCCGATGTGATCAAGCTTAGGAAAGCCCGATAATACGTCAACACCTGCAATACGATTCTGGATCATGTAGGGAGACTCTAATTCGTTTTCTGCGGTGTGCTCGAATGTTATGACTTTGGGTACTGATATTTTAGTATGCCTCTCTAGAAACTCGAGAGAGGCGACGTCGCGGTCTACGTGTGCATCTTTGTGTCGGGGAATCCGTAAGATATATTGGACTTCGGCGGAGTTCGTACGACTATTTCCTCTCCGTGTTAACCCAATGATTCGGTTAAATCCACCTCCTCGCAATCTCTCGACTATTATGTCGTTGTGAGTTGCATCGGGCCAAATATTATTTAGCGCGAATATGTGGACGCTGAACCGGAACGTATCGAATGCCTCTTGATTCCACAGAACCGTTGATGTTAAGGAATTTCTGGACGATCCCGAATATGCGCTCTTAGAAGAATCTGATGATGCCATTTTCGTTGACGGATTATTTGGGTAACTTTCCTACACCACTTGGGAAACAGGGCTTATAAAATAGAAGATGGGCTAGAACCTGGGGTGCATCGGAACAAACTCTTTGTCAAGAAGTAGCTAAGACTATATACTATATAGTAACGCTGTCAACATTTGAACTAAGGTTAAACAATTGTCTATGTTGGTCGCTTTGTACATGTCTAGGTTAGCTATTATGATCCAATGACAGATGTGATGCTTTGGCCGTGAGACATTCCTTTGTTCTTCGTTAACAATGTTTAGTCGGACCACGAAGCTTCCACGAAGCTTCCACGCTACGGGAACTACCACGAAAGGAACGTCTGTGGGAACTAAGTCAATACTATTTTTAGATGTGTAAAACTTTATGTCATGAGCTTAAGTTTACCCGTGCCATATAAGCAGAATTCAGGGTTTGTCGTGAAGTATAATCCAATCTCAGCACAGGCAGCCTCATGAGGATAGCTTCTATTCTACTTTCCTTTCGAGCAAAGCGAACAGTATCCCTAGCAGGGGCCGCCGGAGGTATGATATTGAGTATTCGAGCTAAAACCTAAGCTACTGGCTTTGGTTTTCGACGCACTTGGGAAGTTTCGCAGGCAAATATTTTCAATTAACATTATGATACAATCATGCGGTATATCTTACCATCGTGTATTTCGCGCAATCACCAACCTTTTGTTTGTCGTCGTAAACATACCGCGATTCTAGGTATAATCATTTAGACAATATCATCACCCCTCCGTGCGGTACCGCTCCCAACCGGCTTCCGCTGGAAACTAGTCACACCGCTATGGCGGCTTGTACCGTGCGCATTACCGCCGTAACCCAAAACTCCAGCACCCCATCCGGCCTTGCGTGTCCACAGTGCATCCATAAGCTCGACGCTGTCGTAAGTGTAGAGACATGCCTGTCCGCGGTGAAGGGGAACGTGGTTCCAGCGCCAATCCCAAATCGCGGCGTAACACATGCGGTACGCGGAGAAGGCCATGACGGTGCCAATGATGCCGCCCGCCAAGACATCGTACCAGTGGTGGAACTCATCGATCGTCAACGCGCCAGCAATCAGCGTAGCTCCTAGTACCGGCGCATAGGTCGCTACTAGCTTCCACATCGCCGGGTGGTAGTTTGAGAAGACCTTTAGCTTAGCGTTCAAATATATCGCCAGATAGATAAAGCCGGCGAAGGCCGCTGTGCTGTGACCGGACGGGAATGATTCGAGAGAGTCATTGATCTGGTTCTCGTCACCAGTGCAGATCTCTTTGGTGTAGTAGATGTTGGTGAAGCCAGCCCCGTTATAACCAGCGCCCTTAACGCCGGGAGCGTTGCTAGCGAGGCTTACGTCGGGCTTGCACACGGCGAGGAAGTGCGGGCGCAAGCCACCGATAAGCCATTTCAAAAAGACCTGGAAGACGGCGGCGGTGATGAGCGAGTATAGAAGACCGATGATACCGTTATTCACGTCCCAAAAAGATCGGATCCGAATTTGCATGAGAAGAATAACGACAATAGGGACCAAGGCCGCGAGTAATGCTGCAAGCCAAATTGGGATGATCTCCTTACGCAGGGGATATGCGAATTGCGGATATACGACCTCGCCATCGGAGAAGGTTACTGGGAATGATCGAGTCGGAGCTGGTTTCGCCTCGTAGACCTATAGATGTTAGCATAATGATCGTGATCAGTGTTGCCCGCAAGCGTCAAGATGATGAAAAGGGAAAGATTTGGTGATTGAAGCTAGTGTGGGTCTATGGGTCTGTGGGTCTAATCTGACAGTCTGATAAGGCTACATGTGGGGTAGTGCAACAATATCACACGATAAGCCCCATTATTAGCCCCACACGTATCCAGATGTACTATTACCTAGATCCCGTATCTTAGAGATTCCCTTAGGAACCTTCTTAATACATCTCCATCTCAACCATAATCCATACACAACGTACAGCAACAATTAGAATTATGAGGAGCAAAACATACACCAAGCCCTATCGCGCCCATGATAGTCATGGTAATGATATCGAGCCACGTAACTTTGAGCCACTGGCCAAAACTCGGACGGACCGCCATAGGATAGGCTACGGTATCTTTGACATGTCCGGCCCGATGTCCGTTACTATTTGTCCCATCGGCACGACGACGGTTGAAGAAACTCATGTTGGCCGATTTATTATATGTTAGGCGTTATGCAGGAATGCGGATATGGCGTGTACGAGAGATCTTCCTATTCGAGTCCCGATAGGGGATGCTCGAAACTCGCGGAGGGTGCAAAGGGACTCTAGTAATGGTGTACGAAGTTAAGACCGAGTGAAGAACGATTGATAAACATTGGCCTGGCCGGTTATAAATATCAGTTGCAAATGGATCATGACGGATTGTGAAGGGTATGTCAAAAGTTGACGTCATGATTAAACCCGTCGAGCCATGACGAGTTCAACGCAAAACTGTGCTATGCTAACAAAGATGAGACGGCCCGGGGTCACATCGTTCATGTTAAACGAGTCCAATCGTCTACTTTCGAGTTGGCGAATCGAAACCTGGAATCGCGATGAGTTATGCTCTGTTGGGTAAGTTGAGCATGGTGCTGTATCAAATGTAAATATTGACTCCATCTGTTTGGTAGATCTGATTCGTCAACCCCAGAATTGAGCGTCATGGACGAGAAAAACTTGGCACGACTTGGCAAATGCTTGTCTAGTTGCCGGATCAGGTAATTAGCGACTTAGAGAGTAGCCTCGATGCCATCACGAGAGGAACGCTTTAGTCCTGTTTCTAGTTATCATTTTCTATAGTCTTAATACACTACCAGATATAGTCTCATAGGTTTAGACACAATGAGGATTTGCAGGCTAATAATATCACCAGTTATTCCAAGTGAAACCATCATTCTTGATATGCAGCATAGTTGAACTAACTTTATAACGTTAGTTCTGCCAGAAGGATCACCAGGGTCCCCTGAGCCGTAGTGACGGGCACTAAAATCGAGGCCTAGATTCCGGAAAACACATTCCTCAGGGTGTTCCCCTCTAAAGTACCTGGAAAACCGTCCAACAAGGGTCAATCTTGGTTCACATATTTAGGGGATTAAATAGTTCGGCCACTTAGATGCCTCTGAGTTCTATGAATGCATTAATAATACAAGCGAGTCTATAGGATATCATTCATCCATCGTCGAGTCGTTAACACATGTAACTGATGTACAACGGAGCCGCCATACAGATTCGGCATCCTTATTCGATGCCGAGCTACTTCGCATACAGCTTTCGGAAATGCTCGCTTCCTGGTATAAACTCCGGGCGTTGCCAGCTAAACTCCGATACGAAAATCAGACAAGAGAATAACCGGTACTTAACTAAGGAGGTAGCTAGCTCTACCATGCCGTGTGGCCACCGTCGATGACAAGGTTGTTCCCAGTCATGAAACTGCTAGCATTGCTTAGCAGAAACAGGGCGGCACCTTTGAATTCGGTCGTCTCTGCTAATCGACCCACTGTGAAAGTTCGCGTTAGATACCATTACGCATTCTGAAGATGGAGAGATGACATACTCATGTTCTCTTTCTCCCAGGTCTCGCGGAGACCCGGGACTTCCTCGAAGTTCTTGAGAACCATCGGCGTTAGGATGTGGCCGGGACTAATGCAGTTCACCCGGATACCTCCCGTGCCGTCTTTTCGAATAGGACTAAATTCCATCGCGAGGTTACGGGCCAACTGAATAACTGCAGCTTTTGAAGAGTTGTATACCTGTGTTTCGAGTCAGTCATATGAAAAGGGGGATGATCTGGGTTTACTTACAGGTGACAGGAGCCCTTTATTGGCGATGCTGCCAGACATGCTTGCAATGAAGCACATGCTGCCGTGGATCTTGTACTTGAACATCTGACGGGCCGCGCTCGTAGCCGTCATCATCACACCCGTATAGTTAATATCCATCATTCGATTTACCTCGTCCCTCGTCCTGACGATGACATTAGCATGCTTATTCTTTATCTCGTGTGGTCTCAAACAAACCATTCAACAGCCGGGGATAAATGCTGAACACCCGCAGCCGCAATGAGGCCATCTAGACGTTCGTGTTTATCGGCAATGGCTGCGATAGTCCGGTCAAGCCCCTCCGTATCTTGTACGTCTTGCTGCTTGTAGTGAAGAGAACCACCAAACTGATCAGCTCGTCGTGCCGCTTCGTTCCAGCCCTCATCCGCCTCTGGTTCGCGATCAAAACAGTAAACTGCAATTTATCATGTAAGCATGTCAAAGTTACGGAGACATTCTAAACGAAAGCGCAGACATACCGTTTCCTCCCGTCTCAGCCAGCGCCTCTGCCAATGATAACCCAAGCCCCCTAGCGCCTCCTGTTACGATAAACACTTTACCGCCAAGGTCAAAATCAGCCAACCGTTTCTGGCCGATATTTTCGCTTGGACTCGGCGCAATTCCAACCGTCGGATTTTCCCTCGAGTCTGGCGGCTTGGGAACTGTATTGGTTTTGCGATTGAATTCGGCCATGGTGCTTGAGGTCGGCGCTGTCGAAGTTGGCTTCGAGGAATGGATTGGTCTAACTTGCGTGACAGGAACGGTGGTGAAAGTAGTTTTCGTAAAGGTGGACGATGCACAGGGGCACCGCCTGCTGAGAGCTCTTGCGCAGAGAGACATGTTGTTATACGTTTCCTGGGTAGTAAGCGACTTGCGCGAATGGGAAGAAGAATGAAGATCGGTTTATTTCCATGAGCTGCAAGTGTTCGATATAAGTAGTCTTGGTCTTAGGGCGTCCAGTAGCCGGATAGGACGGCCCGCATACGGAAATGTGCAGTGATCGTAGGTCTACCTACCAATGCCAGCTTTTCAATACGGATGTCATCCGCGTAATGGCGCAAACGCCTTTCTCACCAGGACTTTGCCTTGCTAAAACGGATCCAAGTCCCGAGCAAACTCCAAGCGAGACTGATCAGTGGCTCCATCCTGACTGTGTCTCGCCTAACGTGTAAGCCGTGTGTATCAGCCAATCATCATCAATAGAAGATACCCCCACGGGATTTGCATCAAAACGAAGACGCAGTCCTGACGTCTGACAAGAGGCAAAGCATGCTATTCTGTTCAATTCTTGAAATCCCATCAAACATCTATTTTCATTTATTCCCGTCTCAGGGTCAGAACCAACCTGTCGGGGCTTAACCAATCTACAAGTGCTCAGATACAAAATACTACGGAAGCGAATATCAATGACGTTAAGCTAAGAGGGTACCAAATCTCATTCGAATCTTCTCCAGGTTCTATCAGATAGGATCCCTACAGCTGGTAGAGCTTCTCAGCCAATCGAAAGGCATACTAGTCGATACGTAGCAGGGAAGTAGGAAGAGATCTACAGCACCTGATCTTAGTGATCCCGGCTGGGTGTTTCTAATGGGGTCAAAAAACGTGCGTCATTTCGCCGGAATAAATGCTCCTATTGGACACCGCCAAGAATACCAGCAGTGTAAACGCAGGTCATCAGCATGAGACGAGATAAGAGTTACATATAGTTGATTTTGTGACTACATAGAGAGGTACCTATGATATGGAACTATAAGGTAAGAATGAAAAGGGATGCATGAACCTGTGGCCGAGATATGACATATTTACCGCGTGTAATTCGATACCTCCCAAGCTCGTAAACGATAAGAGGATTAACTATAGTGATATGTGATGCATTAAGCCAAGACGAGGCAACCCCGACATATGGTGATCAGTTACCGAATGGTCTTTTACTATGTTATAGTAAGTCGTTGTTGCTTTCGTTTTCGTCAGCTTTACATCACAACGTTTGTTACACGATGACTTCAAGTTTGTGTTTGGGGCTTGGATTATCGCATCTCCACTATTAAAATATCCACTGACCCGCCTATTAAGGTATTAAGGTAAGTGGCTAGACTCAACAATTCTCCGAGCTTACAAAACGTTACATCATGGGGCTACACCTCCACTGTTCTACCGTTGCGAATAACAGGTATGCACGGCAATAATCCCGGAACGGAAGCTCCGGGCTTATCAGACCCAAGATTTGCTACGATTCTATCTCAAGCCGGGGACGATAAAGTATAGCAATGGTGATACCCAAGAACACGGTCTTATAGATCAAGCGCACGCTTCCGTTAGCAAGCACAAGAAAAGGTTATTTAAGATTACAGACATAGATATAGTTAGAAGGCGTCACGATGATTTGGTTCCAGTGCAGATACACGTATACGGCGCCAGGATGTACATGGTTCCTACCCAATGTAATGCGCCGGACACCAACACCACCGTCAATTTTGGTCCCTGTGAAATATAATAGTCCCTAAGAGACGGAGTCTTATAAGTCAACCGACCGATTCCAGGCGTCCAGAGGTAAGTCGTCAATAAACCAATCTTCGTATTGATATCACTAGTTTTACCGCCAAACGCCATGCAATGCCCATTATGAATCGACACCGTACCGACAATGCGCTGGTATTGGATTATCCATTCCTATCCGTGTTACCGCCTGCCGCCTCGTCCGCCGCCCATCATACCGCCCATTCCCATACTTTCCATCATCTTCTGCATGTCCATACCGCCGGGCAATCCGCCTCCGCCGCCGCCGCCGCCAAACATCTTCGCGAGGCTTGCCATGTCCGGCATGCCACCAGCACCGCCCATACTCTGCAGTCGCTTCTGCATGGCGGCCATCTGCTGTGCCTTGTTTCCTCCTCCCATTGCCTGCTGCGCTCTCTGCATATTTTTCATGCTGCCACCCATCTTCTTAGCCATGCCTGCCATCATCCGCTGCTGGGTGAGCAGGTCCTCGACTTCTCTGACGCTGACGCCGCTACCGCGAGCCACCCTCGTCATACGAGTCGGCTGCTCGATGAACATCTTGCCGTCGCAGTCGAGCTCTTTCTCGGTCATACTATCGCATATGTAGATCATGCGTTTTAACCGAGAGCTTGACTCCTCATCATCCATACCTGCCATTCCCGGGAGATTAGACATGCCGGGAATCATACCGGCCATCTTGGATAGGGGTCCCATCTTCATAATGTTGCTGAGCTGGTCTCGGAGATCTCTTATTGTGAATATACCTTCCGTTATGTGCTTGATCGTCTCCTTTTGGTCGAGCTTCAAAGATTGAACGTGCTCTACCAAACCTGCCATGTCTCCCATTCCCAGTAGCTTATTCACAAACTGCTGCGGGGCAAATCTTTCCAGATCTAACATGTGCTCTCCTGTGCCGATGAAGACGATGGGCGTATGCGTTGCCGCGACAGCGGAGATAGCACCACCTCCGCTCGCGTGGCCGTCCGTCTTGGTGATTATGATAGCTCCGAAATCTGCTGCGTCTTTGAAAGCCTTTGCCTGCGCTTCAGCTTGTTGACCGATAGAGGCGTCAAGAACCATGATCGTCTCATCGGGTTTTACAGCTTCTTGAATGTCTACCATTTCCTGGAACAGCGCTGATTCCTGTCGGTGACGTCCGGAAGTATCCACGATGATAACCTCGAATCGTTCTTTCTTAAACTTCTCCACTCCCTCCCTCGCGACCTTGGCCGGGTCTGTCTCGGTTAAGGAGCCGTAGTATGGGATCTTCGCCTTGGTCGCGTTCTGCTTCAGTTGGTCGAAAGCACCGGCTCGGAAGGTATCGGCACAGACCAAACATGCGCGGAAGCCTCTTGCTTGGTAATGTCGCGCGAGTTTCGTACATGTGGTCGTCTTTCCGGCACCCTGTAGACCAACGAACATGATGACATTTGACTTGCCTTTTTTGGGCTTGAAGGGTTCGGCATGGGGATCGACGAGCTTGACCAACTCGTCGAAGACGGCTTTTTGGATTAATCGTTTCTTATTAACGCCGGGTGGGAGGTCCTTGAAATTGACTGTAGTACTAATCGAGTTTTTTAGTTTGCTAACAAGTCGCACATTAACGTCGGCTTCGAGTAGGGCGCCAGAGATCTCGTTAAGCATGGATTTGAAGGCCTGGGATGAATATTAGCGAATTCGCCCATCAGATCGCATTGCGGGGTGCGACACCGCAATAGAATGGCGCATACCTTTTCGTCGAGGTTAGGTGCGCGGGTAACATCGTGTAAGGCACCGCTAATGCGGCGACCAAGATCTTGAAGAACCATGATAGATGTCGGCTATCAAGCCGTCGCGGATCTTGAGGTAGTGTAGGGAGGTAGCGTAGGAGTGGTGATAGAAGGTTAGGTTAGGCGACTGTAGGATATGATTGATGCACTAAACTCTATTGACCAACTGCACAAGTGGCTGATACCGACAGACCCACAGGATCATTTTCGGAAAATCGATATCTTCCGCCCCCACATTTCGTTTAGGTTAAGGTTATCTTAGGTAAGGTCCGCTAGAAACTTAAATTATGCTTATCACAACCGGAGTTCTATTCATCCGAAATCTCTCAGCTAAATCCAACAGATGACAAATATTATAGGAGGCTTAGAACAAGATTCACTTACTACGCCAACATGTGCCGTAGGTATTGAAAGATTCTACAATTGTGACTGGACTACGAGCCTCGATGCACAATTGCTACCGGTCTTAAGAGGCCTTAAGAGCCACTACGTCCGGTAAATCCAACATGACCATTATTAGGCGGCTCGAAATACTCCAGACCCCTTTCTTGTAGAACCTTCGAATCCTCCTCCTTCACTCTCCACCTCCGTAGTAGGTTAGAAACACATAAATATGTCCACGAGTAACGTACTCTATATAAATGGCCTCTTTCCCCATCGACAAGTAAGCCTTAACACACAGTCTCACTAGACACATCCGACCCCTGAGACCACCTCACAACAAACAGTCAACAAATCGCAATATGCCAGTCTTCGACGAGACAGCGACCAGCGAACAGGTCATCGAGGCCTTTGCCTCGCAGATCAAAGGTCGCACGTTCGTTATCACGGGCGCCGGCCACCCTAGTATTGGGAGTCAGATTGCCGTCTCGCTTGCGAGAAGCGCCCCTGCGCACATTCTAATCGCATCGCGCACAGGCAAGAAGGTCGATCCAGTGCTGGAGAAGATCGCCGAGATCGATAGTTCTATCAAGACAACCTTCGTTCAAGTTGACTTGACGGATCACGAGTCGGTAAGGCGAGCAGCCAAAGAGATACTAGCAGCAGCGCCTAAAATCAACGTCCTTATCAACAGTGCTGGTGTAATGGCTATCAAAGACTACACTCTAGATAAGCAGGGCATCGAATTGCAGCTATCAGCCAACCACGTCGGTCACTTCTTACTAACGAACCTGCTCGCACCCGCACTCATCGCTGCCGGTTCCGAACCAGGTGGAGCGCGAGTCGTTAATCTCACCAGCTCCGGCTTTTTTCTTAGCCCCTTCCGCTTCGACGACTGGAACTACTCGGGTGGTAAAACCTACGACCATTGGACCGGGTACGGCCAAGCGAAGACCGCAAACGTTCTATTTAGCTATGGCCTCAATGAACGACTCGGTAGCCGCGGCGTGACCTCTACGGCTACTCATCCGGGCTACAACAACGACACTAAGTTAGGAAACCACCTTACTTATGATGACTACGCGGAGATACCCGAGGTCGTAAAGCGCAATACGGGTAAAGATTGGGTGTGGGAGTCTCCCCGATCAAAGACGTACACACAAATTGCTGCTACGTCGCTCATCGCAGCTCTGGACCCTGAAATTCCAGCCAAGTCGCCGGCTTACTTGATGAATAGCCAGATCCACGAGGCCGCCCCATATGCGACGGACCCCGAGAACGTTGAGAAGCTGTGGAAACTGAGCGAGGAACTTGTCAAGCAGAAGTTCGACTATTAGCTGCGTAAGAGATGATTTTCCCATAACACCGCTGGAGGAGCGCATGAATAAAATATCAACTCGATCGAGAAATCTTTAGCTCCTTGTAAAACTTCCCCGGACATTTCCTTCTGACATCTGGGGTATCCGGGGATTCTAGTTTCCGGTTAATTAAATTTCGTGACGCTGCATTTAGAGGCTACATATATTATACACCCCTACCCGGTAAATCTACCATTTACCGGGCACGTTTCTCCTAAGCGCCACCGGCTAATTAGGGGCTAGAGTAGGGATTAGAAGCTAAACTCATTATCATGCTCATCGGCTATATTAGTCTAAACTTTTCGCTATTTAACAGGTTAGTATTGAGTCGAGATCGTGTGACTTTGATATGACGCTGACGATGTAGGGCACGATGCGAGATTGAATATAGAAGGCTTAACGTCAATAGTAGCTCATATTGAAGTCTTTATACGGGTTTTACGATGAACGAGGGACCTTTCAAAGATGCGTAGTACCTATACAGCAAGTCAATCACTCTAAAAGCGAATATTTTCATACAACATTTCATGGGTAAATCACAATCGTAAATGTAACAATTAATTCGCCTCATAACGCCGCACCCCTACACCGAGGACACACTTTACCATTTTCACTTCGCTATCTTTTTTGTTTCATTTCTTTTCTTCGGCGTTATAATAATGATCGGGTTTAAAAATTAAAATAAGAATACTACTTGCACGGAATCATACCTGCTCAACAAGTGTAAAAGTGTTGATAATACGACGTGTCATGCAGATAGACAAGAAATGGAATTATAGAATGCCCGTTTTCAAAATCAGCGTAGTATATTACTCGGCCATATGGAGACCCTCATACTGCGATGTTTCCTTGGACTTGGCTCAGCTGGCTGACTTAGGGGTTAGTCAGTCCTCTGCTGTAACTATGAGTACTCCAAAAAACAAGGCCATAGCTGAAAACTTCTCAGATTGTAACTGAGCATGTATCAATGCATGCAACTCCTCGGAATACTACCTAGCGAGATTTCTTCATACGGACACCGGTTTTAATAGAGCATCGAACCGCCCCATACTTAGTGGTCGACCTTCTGCTTGTGATGGATATTTAGGTAATCAATTCATGCCTTTGTTAAGGACCCTGGCTAACATCTAGACAAAACTCTTAGCTATGGGTAGTCGCCCAGACTATCGTATTTCAACCGCGCCCCATTCATAGTAATGGCCGACGTGTTGCTTTCTCGGCCAGTTTGATCTCCTTCCGCGTCTAGAGATAGATACGAGAGCAAATTGGCTAATAGTTACATTATATTCGATTAGATGACCTGGGAGCAAATGGTAGCCTTTTTATTCATCAAAAGGCTTGCCAGCTTCTTTTTACAGCCAAGCCCCGCAGCGGAGTTGTATCCATGGCTCGCACATTCGGAGGCAGCTATGTCTTGGCTTCGGCAGACACTGACATGGTTACATGCGATATGAATACGCGCCGCGGAACGAATGCAGTGGCTAAGCGCTACTCGGTGTTTAATTGGACAGATGCGAGACGTCCGGCAGTTATGGTCGTTCAGAAGTGCTGCATCTAGTAAGGCAATATAGCTTGGATACGTTCTAGGCTAATCGAATCTGGGGTAAATAAAACGACCAGAAACTATTAAAGGATAGGATATCATCTACTCTAAAGTTTGCGTGAGTTCGAAGCAGATAAAATCCATTACAGCCCGGATACGTCGTTCAATCTCTCCCTTCTATTCAATTCAGCTACAATTGGACCAAACTCGAGTCAAGATGACGACCAGAGTAGGCATCCTGACCCATTCCGATGAAGAGAAGGGGCTGAACCGGTCGGACACGACCGTGACGATGCCGCCGGAGCTCTTCGAGAAGGTAAGCTACCTAATGCTAGATTCATCACTTCGTCATGCTCATAATTCTAGCTTTACCTTACTCCCAAAGTTCCTCAGGTGGGCGACTACAACAAGCGGTTCGCCAATCCGACGCCTCTTGGCATCGTCGGGTAAGTCTTACATAGTCCTGGAAATAGACGCACAAAAAGACACACTTTGGTAACTAAACAATTAGATTCGTGATTTCGACCTTTACTTTCTCCATGACGTTGATGGGCTGGGGAGGCGCTCAGGGAGCAACCCCTGTGGTGTAAGTGTCTTCTCCTATATCCCCTTCCCCCGTATTTTACCGGCCCCACAACGTATACCATCTGTTCGGCGCGGCTAAATCGTTTTACCAATCACCAGAGGAATATTCTTTTTCGTCGGACCTATTCTGCTGCTAGTCTCCATGGTCTTCGAATGGATCATGGGGAACTTCTTCCCTATGATGGCCATGGGTCTCTACGCCGTCTTCTGGCTGTCGTTCGGTATGCTACAGCTGCCTACGCTACAACTAGGAGAGCCCTACGCGACAGCTGGCGACCCGAGCGGCCAAATGTCACCTGAGTACAACTCCGTGCTCGGGATATATCTGATCGTATGGGGCTTCGCTCTGTTTACCTTCTTCCTTTTCACGCTCAAGGTCAACCTGGTATTTGCTATCATCTTTGCCTGTGCCACTTCCGCCGTTTGGACCTTGTCTAGCTCGTATTTCAAGCTTGCGGCGGGTAACTATGAGGCAGCAGCAAGCTTGCAAAAGGTTAGTTCTTTTTTATGTGTCTGTGAAACATAGAGACCACAGCTAATTAATCGCATAGGCTGGTGGAGCTCTACTGTTCGTCGTGGGAACACTGGGTTGGTATATGTGCGTCGTGATCATGGCTGGAGAGATGCGTATCACTTTGAACCTCCCTCTCGGCGATCTTACTCGGTTTTGGCCGCGCACGGATGTAGAGCTGGCAGAGGCAGCTGCGCATCGCGACTAATATACGACGATCGAAAGCGGGAATATAGAAGTGCCGTATGGCAATTGTGTTATGCTTAGGTGTCAATTATTAAATTCCTCCAGGTACCGCATTTACTTTGAGCTCTCAAAGAACTTGGCTTGTTTCGTTACTGTATGAATACGTTTCCTTGGATAGCCGATCGGGATGAATGCGAGATGAGGTGTGAATAATGTTGGTCGCGTTTACCCCTGTTTAGCTCACCTAGTGTTAGAAATACCATCTGTAGACAGTTTTATATACTCAGCGCGTCCGTATGTTGATCAACCGTTACAGCCTGAGTATTCATTCTCACAAGTAGAGCGCTAACATGTCGTCTAGACCGTTATCACTCCTTTCGCCTTCAATGTTAGTGTGCTCGCCCTTTCGTGTTGGAGCAACCATACTAGAAGTAATTGACTATTCACACTTAGACCCGCTTCATCTTAGCTACGGAAACTTGCCCTGTCTCTGTTGTCTAACCAATAGTGTTTCCCAAGATGCTACATCTTACACAGGGAGGCCAATGTATACTGTCTATACAGCCGCTACCGAGAGTTTCAAATGGCATACTTCACAATGTCGTCACACAAGCTTGTCTCTACAATCCCATCGCCCAGCCTTCCCAGCTGCTTTTACTCTTTAGCGCGGGTATGGGTCCTATGACCAGCTTGCAGTGACGCGCCGGTAATGTACCGTTTCGAAGTTGAAGACGGACATAGTAAAGGTACATATCATGGAACCTCTACAGCACGAAATCATCGACCATCTGACACAGGATCTCGATATTCCGGTTGGTGTCATCGCGCGGTACAAGCGTGATCATCCAATGGTTAAAAATATCGACCCTGTCACTATAGAGGCATGCGATGTGAACGGGAGTCTTTCGGTTCTAGTTAACGCAGGTGCATTCCAGGACGCGCTGACAAGCTTGACCTTTGCCGAGAACATGCCACTCTTGGGTAGTTCGGCAAATTTATCGGGCACATGTATGCTCTTCGAAACTCTAATCTGATGATATTAATGGGGATGCTATGCAGGGACGAAATATCGGGTGAATGGTATCAATAAGGAGCTAATCGACATCGCGGATATCGTAATCGGGCTGCTAAAGTGGTGGATTCATGGCCGGAGTTCCACGCTGCTGGATTTCAGTGGCCCTTCCGTGGAGGTAATCAGAGTTGGTGCTTGCTACGACGTAATCAGGGACGTACTCAAGCGTCGAAACATTGAGCTTCCACCAGACCCGGGAATGGAGTCACTGAGGTTTGGAAATCTGAGGAATCTGGATCCAGTCAAGTCATTACAGGACTTGATTACCCCTATTCAAAACCAGTAAATCGACTACAGGCTGAAAGCAGTAGTACTATCGAGCATAGCATAACCTCGTTGCTTTTATCTTTCCCGCTGTGTTAAGTAGATTCAGCCATGACCTATACTATTAACTACCTAGTGGTATCGACTATGGTGATAATTAAGGATTGAGAAGGGGAGTCCAGTTTTGATCCGGGACCTAGGGCTAGGTTTGTGGCTAAGTGTGTGGCTAAGTGTGGCTTCGTAAGGGCTCCGGCAGAGTGGGGCCTTCCCCGGACCGCACCTCGGTCGATATTAACATTTACCGAAACTTAATTCGATACCCCGATGTGACTAAGAATGGACCCATAATTTAAGAGCAACCCCGGAGATGTGGGTCTCACTGCGAGCGTAATAAAGTTGAGTCCTCAAATAACTATCATGAATGAATAGTTTCCACGTATATTGAGGTGGCTACCTATGTAGCGTTTCTAGGAACCATCTGAGAAGTATAATAAACTCGGAAGACTATTGGTGATTTTGTTGAATGAACATCCAAGTTTTGATGCGGGTAGGAACAAGCAAAAAGCATGTGAAGGGCATACACCTAGAAATCTAAGGGTCTTGCATGGGCGGTTCGGCTTAGAGTTCCACTCTACGGCTTCATCTAGGGTGCGAACCATGGTCTAATACTTTTACTTATGCCATGATACGTTAAACTCAACAACCGGCCATGGGGCCCCTTCACACCCCGCAAGACTATCTCCGGTTTGCGTCCAGGTATTTGGATGCGGTGAAGGGGAAATACCCACTCGTCTTGATAAGCTTTCCATATTCGATAATCTATTTGACAGCTGCGCCAGCTCCACATCGTCTAGACCGCGACCTGAAGCCGATGCATTACAAAAAACGGATATCCGGACGCATGCCAAGGCCGGACTCGCGTTAGGTGTAGCCGGCGTCGGCGCGTAAACTTAGTGATTGCTTTCGGAGTTTCCTAGTTGGGCAAACCCGTCCCAACACTATCGTGCATGAGGGAGAAATAAAATGTGATGGGTTATAGCTAACACTGGTATTCGTTCTTTTGTCCTGCGAAATTATAGACGCCTTCGTTATCGACCAAAATGATACGCCAAAAGAGCCGGATTTACGGCAATAGGCTGATCGCTATGATCACGCTCGTCGATGCGCGTAAGGAATTTGCACGCCTAAAATTTGCAGAGCCTGGCTGATATTCATGACTCCAAAGTCTCAAGTTGTTGGTTCGGCTACGATCAGGTATCTATTACATGCTAAGGACTTGGTAAGCAGGGTAGTCTGTTCTGACTTGCTACAGGGCGTTTTTGCAGGTGTTCTGGTATCGGAGAATTTCAAGGAACAGTTTCCCCAGGTCCGCGATGCCAATATATCAGGCATCACGTCAAGTTGCTTCTTCGTAAGAATTGCCCTGCTATTCTTGCTTTTGATTTCAGAGTGATTTTTCGTCGTGCAAGCAAGACTGAACCCGTACAGATTGGAGCCTTCCTAGGCTCGATGGCAGCTTTTATGCTAGGCGATAGACTCGGACGAAGAAAAACCATCGCCTGGGGTTTACTGTGCAACTTCCTGGGAGCGATTCTCCAGTTCACCGCGTGGCATCTGCCCCAGATGATCATCGGACGTTTGATAAACGGGTTCGGCATTGGATTAACATCGACTACGACTCCCGTTTTCCTATCCGAATGTGCGAAATCACACCAGCGAGGTAAACTGGTCGTTATCGGTACCGCTTCTAATGTAACATCGTTCGCGTTAGCGAACTGGATCGCCTATGCCCTATACTCTCAAAATGGACCATTCCAATGGCGATTTCCTCTCGCGTTTCAAGTCGTCTACTTCTTCATGATAGCACCAATTCTCCTTCTAGTCCCAGAGTCGCCGAGGTGGTTGTTATTAGCTGGTAAGGAGGAGAGTGCTCTCGGGGTTCTTAGCCAACTCGCCGGGAAGGATATTCCGATGAACGACGATACCGTCACGGGAGAGTTTCGCTCTATTAAAGTCGCCATAGAGCTCGAGAGAGAAGACCGTGCGCCAATAATGGATGTCCTTTGCTTCCGCGACAAGACGCATAACTTCCGTCGCTTGATACTGTCTTGCGGAACTCAGTTTATGCAGCAGTTCAGTGGCATAAACGCATTAGGTATGGTTCTCTCACTCACTTCTTGGACGGCTCTGATATCCCGATAGGATTTTATCTTCCTACGCTGTTGGCGGAGAATGTTGGTTTTAGCCAAGAAATGAGCCGATTGATCGCTGCTGTCAGCGGTACTGTTTACCTTGTCTCGGCATTCGGAAGCGTGATTATCATCGATACTCTTGGTCGACGAAAGTATTCATTTACCCTTAGGTCCCTATCCAAGAGTTCAAAGACTGCTAACATAAGTTTAGGATGCTACTATGCGGCTCTATCGCTATGGGAATATGCCATCTGATCGCCTCCCTGTGTCTCAGATCGAGCGAGCTCGATATTTCCGGGAAGAAACTGGTTAGGCTATCCCACCCTAAAGTTTTGAACCGCGCTTACCGTAGCTATAGATGGGAAACGTAACTACCGCGATGTTTATCGTTTTTCACGTCTTCTTTGGTCTGACGTGGGCTTGTGTTCCGTGGGTATACAGCGCCGAGGTAAACTCGCTGGGCTGGCGCTCGCGCGGTGCAGGAGCCGCTACAGCGACAAACTGGCTCGGCGGATTCGTGGTGACTCAATTTACCAAAGTAGGCATCGATAACCTAAATTGGGCCTTTTACCTAAGTAAGTACTTCGTCTTTTCGAAGCCCTGATGTGGACACTCGAAGGTTATGCTGACTACCTAAAGTTTTTGCCGTGTTCTGCTTTTCTTATTTCCCGATAGTGCTCTTGTTTTATCCCGAAACCTCAAACCGTACGCTTGAAGATATGGACTACATGTTTATACAAAATCCATCTATATTCGTATTGGGGAGACAGGAAATGACCCAGCGGAGACGGCCGGCAAGCTTCGCGACGGCAGAGGCCGACCGCATTTCGAGGGGATGAAGCAGAAATTTCAAAGGTTCTCTAAAGAACAACTGGCAAATTCAGATATGGCGATACCCAATAATGCAGAGTCTAGACGGGTAGAATCAAATAGGAATATGAATGGTAACCTGATACCTAGTTGAGACTTGTTTTTGCTCCCAGTAGATGTTGAAGCCTCATATTCCTAGTATGATTCATCCCCTAGCCACGATAAGTTTTTAGAAGAATGCAGGCATCGTGCATAGGTGAATTACTTCCGAAGGCCAGAGTGTTGGGTGTTATTAGCCTCCGCTCAATCTGTTCCAAAAAGAGCCGACATGAAGTTCGGCTATGGATGGAACCAATCGCAATCATTATGTATATGAGTCGGTATCTCCTAAGATGCATGTACGTCTATCATCTCGGTACCCTCGCGACATTTAGCCGAAACGTAAAGGAGGGCTCACGACGTCAGCGACACTGGTTACTCAGATCTCGACTGCAATATATAAATCTGGCGACGAAATTGACAACCGTCATGAAGTCCAATGGCGTTTGTCACCAGGTCGAAGTCGAATTTGAATTATAAACTGCGAAGGAATTATCCAACCATCCAATTTCTTCTGCAACATCACCTAGGACAGCAGAAGCCCTAGCCATGCAAGCCACGACCTACCTGCGACTATTGGCTATTTTAGCCATCTCGAGGTTTGTCGATGCGCGACCTATGAAGCACTACGAAGGATTAGCAGAGACATACATACAAGCTTTCGGGTCGAATATGATAGCCAACGATACTGATTCCGTGGCTCAACCTTCGTCCGTTACGTCTACCTCGAATGCGAGTCAGACCAAATCGGCATGTAAGCCGTTCAAGACGCCAGCAGCGCCTCCGCACTGCCTCATGATGGCTGGTGAGCTCGTATGCCACGGTCAGTCGCTGTACTGCAGATACCCTACAGATTGGGGTGTTGGTTATGATTCAGTTGGGGAGTGCTGGACTTGTTAAATCGCTAGTTTAGGAGGAACATGGATACATGGAGTTTTATTGAGGTTGAATTTGTTAAGAATCTCGTTTCGGCCGATGGCGTCAAATGGGAATACCCAACCCTGAGTCCGATGAGAGATCGAGCAATCAGCGAATACGGCGAATCGGAGTTGGCAGGGACTGTTGGTATTAGAAGATCGTTAATTAATACATAAAACTGTTCAAGTAAAAATTGCATAGTGTCATTAGGAGATAGGTATATGTAACTTCACGCCCTTTGCTCTAGTCCCGATGTTTCATAGTTCCCTTTAGACGTAGGAATGGTTCTAGCATCATTGCTAACCTAGATGAATGAAGTCAATCACTTTATGAATCCTGGTCCTCGGCCGTTGAGACTCGAAGTGATTATACTTTTCAAGTTACGCTCAGAAGAGGTGCAGTGTGGTGGATCGTATACCTTGATGGTCTTGCAGACACAGCTGAGTGTGGTAGCACCACCTTTCATCCATCCGGATCATTGGTGTAAGATCTGCACAGTACCAAAGATCAGAACGTGGGGAAGCTAAAACATAATAGTACAGTGCTTAGTTGAGCCGCTTATAGCTTACCTTGACGTCCAGACTCCAGAAAGACCATTGGACTCGGGGGTCTATTTCTGTTTGGTAGGTACCTAGGTAGTAATGGGATATTATGAGATATCCTGGACAAGATTATAGATAAATTAATTCCCTAGTAGGTACAAGTTGAACATTGGATTACTAGAGCCGAATTGAAAATGATCTCTGGCTTTATTAACATACTGACTGGTACCTAAGGTGACATAGTATTCTGAGGGAAGATATTCTGAGGGAAGATCTAAGCTGCTAAGGTGAGGGATTGAGTACCTAGGTACATGTGAGAACCTTATGTGGACCCACATAGCATCAGTCATGTGACCCTGGTCATGTCAAAACTATCAGATTAGTCATCCCTGTCATAATTACTAGCACATCACACATCCTCACCATCTCATCAATAGACTGTGCGGCAAAGACTTCCCCCAAGTCTTTCGACGAATATTAACACATATCCTTTAAGAACGGTAAGTAGACCACGCGCTATACATGCGATCCTCTTGCCCGGGGGTAAATTCTTCGTAGCAGATACTGCATTCAAAAGTCAGCAGTGTAGCTAAAAGCTGGCAGGTAAACTTACTCGTCAGAATAGTCTAAGTAGTTGTGAATGGGGTCAACACCACCGCCGGGGCAGGAATCACGGCTGCTTGGGCATCCACTCGTTGCAGAAGCTTGGGCAGGAGTGTCGTCTACCGAATCTCCGCCGTTGCAGCCTCCTTGAAAGGTATGGAAGAGATTCATCCAGTGTCCTACCTCGTGGACAACCGTACCCCCGAGGTTGTAGGGGGCAGCGTTACCCCCAGGGACGGAATTCGCTAGTACGGTGCAGCCGTCGAGGTAAAAATCCGTCGATCCATCAGCAACGTTGTCTGGGAAATAGCAGTACCTAGCAAGAATGTTAATAGCTTCTCTCGTATAAATTTGTAAGGAGTGATCAGGGGCTTACCCAAGCAATCCACCGCCGAGATCGCCAAGGAAATAAATATTGAGGTCAGAGTAGGTGCCTTTGCGAAGCGCCCTCTTCATCGCAATTTCGTTCCCATCCCCAGCCCAGCTTCGATTTATGGTCCAGTCCGTGCTAACCAGGTTGAACGTAATGCCATGTACACCGTAGTCCGCGTTCATAACGTCAAGCTGGTCGTCAATCATTTGTTGCTATATACGATTTAGCACGCGAAGCGGCTGGCACGATATTCTACTACTCACGGTAAGGTAACCATCGTCGAGCGACGTAGACGCCGCTACGACGTGGAAGTAGGTGTTCACGCTGAACGATCTGAGGGCCCGGGATTCGCCCTTGGCACGCATTTCCCGCTCCTTTGCAAGCATAACCTGGGAAGCAGCGATTTGGGCTTCGGTAGGCTCGGGGGTACCGCAAAGCCTCGTAGAGTTTCCGTCTGCTCGCGGGAGAACATAACGGGCAGCAGCTGTGTAAGCCAGCAGGGCAGCAGCGGTGACGGACTTGAACAACATTATACCGAAGAATGGAGACTAGGGTTATTGCGAAAGAAAGATCTAATAAGATACCTGGTTGGTATAGGAGTATCGAGAAAGCTCCCATGGACATCTTATACCAAGCCAGACAGGTGAGCTCTCACCACACTCCGCCTCGGTCTCGCGCGAAGCCGCCGAGAACTCTGTTACCTGCCTAATCTGCGCCATCACGTATCTACTGCGTTTTTCCTGCGCAGAGATTTCCGCGATACCAAATGGTTGGTTCGTTACGTGGCTTCCGGTTGACTAATTAATCACCACCCCTTAGCATCTGACAGCAGTTAGTCGAAGTCCGCTTCGTAATGTAGGTCGCGGTAGTTCGCATATTCAGCTCTGACGTTCACGGAAGGCTTGAAGATGGGCGGTCTCGACTCCAAGAGAGCCTTGCTCGGAAGAGTAGGTTACCACTCCAGAGTGATAGTAGACCATCTATAAGGAGAAGCTGGATGAATCCCTGCCTTGCGCACCTGACAATCATTACCGCAATCGAATTCTCTGCCCTATCAGCTCAAGTACCGAAAGCAGTACGTATAGGGTTAGGTGTGGTAAGCTCGTAGCTATATCGCCTAGTGCTATCGTCCAGGACAGACTACGGCCTCTTGGCGGAGGGGACTCTGATTAGAAGCGAGCGCAGTAAGCTACCAAAGGTCAGGTAGTATTCTTAACCCGCTCGCGCTGCCCGACATTATAGCTGCCCTTCCTGTCACTTACCGACTTGCGACCGTCCAATCGGCGCCGGGATCTATATTAATGCACGTCACCCGTCTCGCCGCAGAAGATAAGATCGATAGCCCAGCTAACGCAAATCTGACCGCTTGCCTGTTACGGTTGTTACGTAGAACCGTTACCCTGGTTGCGGAGCAGCTGATGTGTTATCAATATAAATACCAAGAATACGTAAATGAATTGTCAGATGCGTCTTGGCTATCCTTCAAGAGATAAGGTATCAGTACCAGCTTTACGAGATGACGATAGATAAAAGCTGCTGCGGCATTCCTCAAGAGATACCTTGGATGCCAAGCTGCCAAGCTGCCAAGAATTGCAACGGTAAAGCTTGCCGAGCGCATTATCGTGAATAGCTCTACCGTTACCATATCAGATTCGATTTACGCGGGCAGGGGTTTATTAACACTCGCTACTCAGCTCGCTGCTCCTAAAATCGGCTGACTGCAGTTCGTCTACAAAAGGCGGATAAGCAAGATGCTGTATAAACATTTGTATTAGCTAAGGCAGCGACTTCGGATTGTCTCCGCGTTCGAATATACTTCTTGATAAAGTCATACAATCACTCATTTCTGTTTTCATAATGGAATTGTAATATCTCACACCTCTAAATAGCCAAAGCAAGAGGTCTCAATATTTAGGAGGAAAGTCGTTGTATTTAACTTCTCGCTCCTTTTTACCATCTACCCGACACCGTCGACATTATCTACCGGTGCTTATTCACTTGGCGACATGCGGAGATATTAATTTCCGCGGGGAGGATTAGACGCGAGAGCTACATCTCCCGGGATCCACGGTGATAATATTTTAACTACATCTAACCCTAATTGCTTTTCGTGAGCTTTATTATTCAATCTTTGCTGTTTGTTAATCTCCGATTATACTTGTAAGTTGTATGGCGAACTTGAAGGTGAGCGGATAGAGAATCATTCCAGCCAATGATCGGACGTCGGTTCGGGCTCGGGAGGTAAAATATATCCCGAGATCCACTCCCGAGCACGACAATCCAGACCGTTCGTACGGATCCGTAGACTTCTAGCATCGCCGTAACGTTGGTCCGTGACTTGAGGGTCTCCGCATATGGAATCCCCGCCGCTTAGTTTTTTTTCCCAGGGATTCCGGTAATCTAACGGTGATTCTCGGGCCGCGGTGGTGTCAAGCGCACTACGGTTGACCAGACAAGGTACTGTGCCAAAATAAAAAAAATAATCGCACACTAAACTAAAGTTGGTAAGGGGTCACTTGCCACAATTTAGAAAATATTAAATGTGTACTTCTAAGCCTTATTACGGCTTATTGTCATAAAAATATTGATTTAACCAATATAATGCAAAAGATTAGCCAATCAAATTCAATTGTCAATTCAATTGTTAACTACCACCCACATTTATACATTCAAATAACTTTACAATTCCAGCAATTACAACATTATAATTGGTATCATTTTATAACCTCAATTAAAGCGAAAATATCTATCCAAATTGCATGCTTATACGATATATTGTTGTTAAGATATTTAAAGTCTTTTAAAAACAGTCGTCTCAAAAGGTATCACGTGTACGTACAGGTCTCTGGGCTGATAGGTACTTAGGTACGGGGCGGCCTCCTACTCTTTTTAAGATGCGCGCCCTTCTATTGGCTAAATCTTACACCGCCCGTCTGGCAATATCCTTATCTTTATCCTTATCCTTATCCTTATCCTTACACCACATCTTTGTTACAGCTTCATATTCAATTCAATTCAATTCAAATGACAATGCAATGGCTATCTATCTTTACATATTGCTTTTACTTGGTCGCATACATTGATTAAAGACTATACGGTCGCATACAGTCATTCCGAGGCAAAAAGGCTGAAAACAAGGTCTTTTTGAATGATCTCTAATATATGTATGTATGTATGTATGAGGCTGGCTGGCTGGCCAATCAGGAGGTTGTATTGTATAAGGCTATTTGATTAATACCTTTTAAAAGACTTTAAATATCTTAACAACAATACATTGTATAAACATGCAACCTGGATAATTATTTTCGCTTTAATTAAGGCTATAAAATGATACCAATTATAATGTTGTAATTGCTGAAATTGTAAAGTTATTTAAATGTGTAAGTAAATATAATATTTAATAAAAGATTAAAATAAGCATACGTTTTTAAAGCATATTATATATAACGTTATAATATATGTATTTAGAAAAGATAATCTTTTTTTCCCATATAAAAGTGCGAAGTACCGTAATAATTCGAGCTAATTGCGCTAACCTGTGGCTAACTACCCTTTTAAGCTAAGCTCACGGATTTTTTTCATTTTGGCACAGTACCTTGTCTGGTCAACCGTACGCACCACGGAACGGAGGCAAAATTCTCACAATCGGATCTCGTACTTGAACGTCTTCATGCCGCTTAGCCACCCGATATCGGGTAACATCAACCCTTGGGCGTTACATTATCATCCCGACCCTTACATTCACAGGCTAACATTCACTTAGGAGCATTATAAGTAGTATTGATCTCTGAAATCACAAAATCAAGATTCCTCCTGTGTTAAATGCTAATTAGTAACTCATCCTCATTTAATAAACATGAATCAAACCATACGGTTCAAATTGATATTTGAAACATAGAGGTGCTAGATGCCTAAATCATAATGTAGTAGTTTTCTAGAATTATCAGATATGTCAACGATTTATTACAGGTATATGGCCGAGGTCACTGGTAGAAAATACAAGAATTGGCTACCCAATGGATTACAGAAACAGTCACTTGCTAGTGATTCGTGAAGCACAGAAGAGACCATCGTTAGTTGGATACCCTAGGTATACGTAGTCATTTCCCGACTAGACCTGAATCACTACAATCCATCGAATTGGGTACACCTAGAATTTTTACAACTTGGCCTTTGTACCCGCTATGAACGAAGTAGTAATATTTAAATCTTACCTTCTTCCCTCGTGTTCTTCACTTGTAGTTATATAACTATCTCCTACCCCTATACACCTTACATTAACCACCTACTTTTACCGGACAGAACCGCTCTATCCAACCTCCTACTGCGTTGCGTCTTCCTTTGCTGAGCCCTTTGATCCTGGACGATCAATTCCCTTACGATGGAGGAAAACACAATCCCTACCTTCTCTACGAATCCCGGAGCCTGGCTTTTGAACATACCGGAGGAGTTGACCATATACCTCCTTCAGTTCACTGACGATCACGACAAATTCGCCCTAAGTCGAGCCGGCAGTAATAAGCTCTACCGCATAGCAACATATGAGCTGTTAAGGACCAGCTCTCGAACGCGTAACTCGGCTCTCTCCTGGGCTTGTTGTAACGGGGATAAGACTCTCCTTCGCACCGTTGTTAAATTAGGAGCAGATGTTAACCACGTCTTTACCGACCCTAATCCGTGCGGAACTCGTCAGAGTCCTAGCCCTCAAACACCTCTTAACCTTGCAATAGGCCATCAACAGGTTAATATCGTCGAACTATTACTAGAGGAATATCATGCCGATGCCAACGTGAGTGATGCTTATATGGGACCTAGCCCACTAGAATGGGCTCTTGCTCCTATAATAAGTATACAGCAAAACAAGCTCTATTTTACAGAGCTACTTCTCGACCACGGAGCACAATACTACTTAGATCCTTACCCAGCATTCATAGATCGCAGCGCAGAAGTACGGATCTTTTACAATGACCACATACCATCTAAAGTCTTGGAACGAGTGATTGCAAGTTGGACAAGGGCTGACATTCGCCGGTATTACATGGCTCAGTATTTGACCTGCCTTCGGTATCTAGAGCAACCCGAAATCGAAAGTTTTACAAGCATTCAGCTAGAGAAGCTGAGGATCTTACGAGATGCAGATGCTACGCGTGGTGGCCGTTTCGAGCGTCTCCGTAATGCCCTAACATTTCGAACTATTAGCCCACCAGACCAATATCTACCTATAACAAAACGCATGAAGCTAGTAGCAATTGAGTTGCTCGATTATCCGGCAATAAATGAACCGGGCCCCTTTTGCGAGGCTACTATTTGGACTTTCGCCGTAAATCAACTCTACTATAGAATTCCTGGCTGCTCTAATAAGAAGCGTGAGGACATGCTATCTTTATTGCAGGTGATTCTTGACGCTGGAGCTGATCCTAGACGTAGTAGCGAGGCGGAGCGCCAATTCGAGTACACGAACAGCTACTACAACCGGTTTTTCGGGAATGGGTGGTTGAGTTTGAAAACGCCACTCTCGTGCATTTGCGCCTCGTGGGACCATTCTGTACCTGAGATTGACAAAGTTATCGACTTTCTTGTGCAGGCTGGGGAGCCTGTAGACGCTCAAGTAAGAAGCCTACAAAAACCATAGTGTTCTCGAACTAACGGTGAATAGGATAGGGGAGGACTCCAAGCACTGCATTTTGCCTCAAAATACCTCCATCCGCATCTAGTTAAACAACTAATTGGCCATGGCGCTGACGCCAACGCGGTTGATGTATACGGCTTCACGGCTCTTCACATTATTACAAGTCGGTTTGACAAACCCTTCTATCCAGGGAACCTGAGATACTGTAGTTACGAGACAGAGACCATGTGGCGGCAGAGACGGGCACTTACTGTTTCGACGCTGCTCGACCACGGAGCTGATCCCTCTATTGTTGATAACAAGGGATTCACACCATTGCACTACAGTTGTCGCTATGGTCTAGCAGAGATTGTATCACTTCTCATCACCGACCCACGAGTGGATATAAACGCGGAGACGCACGAGCTGGGGACGCCATTGCACTATCTTCCAAGGCTGTGTGAACCGTGGGAGTTCGGAAGAATTACTAAATACGACACAAATTCCACAGATCAACAGATTGAGCATAGGGTAAAGATTGCGGAAATCTTAATAAATGCTGGGGCAGATGTGAGAGCCCGAGATGGGGATAACTGGATGCCGATCGTGTACGCCCGAAGATATGGTTTTGTCGAACTCGTCAATGTTCTTTTGGCTCATGGGGGGGATGATGGTTTTGGCTTAGGCGAGGATGAATACGGCGACTCTACCATTTGAGTTGGTCAAGATGAGATATAATTCACCACTCGGATTCGCACGATTTGTACATTAGTTTACGAATACAACATAACTCATTTTATTTGTAGCGGAAACGGCATTGCAGTGGTACCATCTTATTTGTTTAGAAGGTCGAAGAGACATTCGAGGGAGGTGAGTTAAATTGAAGTATCATCAGCTGTGTAAGAGACTGAATACAGCATGTTTTGCATCTACACCCATCCTTCCATCTAGATATCCATACTACGAATGAGGCTCGGCAATAGTACCGTCTAGTATACCATACAAGAGATTTGCCTTCACTCTATCGAAGGGAGGCGGCATCTCCGAGTACAAATGCTCGCCGGGAATATCTGTCACGCCATAGCAGTAGTACAGCATATAGCGAGCGTTCGCCTTGCCCAGTGGCTCGGTCTGGTGATGTGGGAAGCTGTCGGGAATAGGAGTTACCTCTCCTTCCGCTTGATACGTCCTGATGGTGTCCTGGACCTTGGGAGAGCTGGACAGGCAGACCTCGGCTATCAGACGGTACGTCATCAAGGCCGCGCCAGGCTCTGTCAGTCCCCACATCCCGGAAGGCTTACGCTCGGCGTGCGCCATGTCTACGACGATCTTTCGAAGGTCCTGGAATTTCTTAGGGTCGGCCGCGCTGACGTCGTATTGAACCCGTAGGATAGCCGGCGGCTTGGCCTGCTTGATGTACGCTATGTCGTCGGCATCGAAAGTCCCGAACTGCTCCGCGATCTGCTCGCTGAGGTTACCAGTCTTAAACGTGATAAGACTGTGTTCGGCTAGTTCCAGGATATTCTCCATTCTCCCGAGCTCCCACACCCCTTTCACCTCGAACGGAGTTTCGGGATTGAACAGGAGTAAATCATCCCGCTGCCAGAAGGTTTCCTGCATGAGTTTATGCTCCGCGAGTGCCTGGAAAGACAAGTCGTTGTCTTTCAGCGAGCCTCCGTAGAAGGCTTTCAGAGCATAGTACCTAGCAGCTTGAAGGATATCCTTATCGGTCGAGACGAAGTCAGCCATCGCGAGGCGGAGCAGCGGGTTGGCTTGCTCCGACCGTCGCACAGCTTCGTCCTTCGCGTCGCGAAATTCCGAGGATAATTGGCTAATGATGCGGCGAATCACAATTAGAAGCGCGTCCAAGCCCGTCGAGTCGACTTGGTCTCCCTCGGGGATACCGACGATGCTCTTGGGATAGTACGGCGCAGGAAATTGGACTTGTAGCATGTAGTCCTGCGACGGTTTGTCCCCAAAGTAAATGGTTCGAATGTCTTTTAGGCCCTCCGCAACCTTACTCTTGTCTAACGCCATGGTGTCGATCAGGTTGTGGACACTAGATGGTAGATAGTAGAGGAGCGGCGTAGATGAAGTTGTAAGTTTTATGATTTCGTAAAGTTGCGAGATTTTGTGGGATTAAACTAGGTAGCTACCTGGTACCTTAGATACTTATTTGTGCATCTAGGAAACGGCAGGAACTAGCTGTTTCATTACTAAGACACTCTACCCAGTGGAAAGTCGTCTGATGACTGAGGATTGGTGGGATTGGTGAATTACTAGGAGTGGGACTTATTCAGTTAAGGAATACCTAGCAACAAGTACGAAGCCCATATAGGCAATCTACGGACGCGGTGGCATACCTATTATTGGCCACTCCATTACGTATATAAGTACCTAATATAAGCTGCACGCTCCAATACCTGGCATTGTCGTCTATATAAGCTTTGAGGCTCGATCGAAAACTGGGGTCTCGCTAGAGCAGGGATGCAATTTGATTGGGTGCATCCCCAACATGTACCACTTTTATTAGATGCATCATTTGTCCGGAGCCTCCTGGTCTTGTTTCAGGGTAGCTGCTGTAGGACTTTGAAAAGCTATTACTGGCTTGTGCTCCCACGCGCCTCCCTCTCCCATCCACAGTGCACGCTAGTACAAAAATTTGGCTTCATTAGGACCACAGGTAGAGATTAACAATAACGCAAGTTTCCTATCATAAGTGAGGATTGGTAATTGGAAATGTACTTAAATAAAGTACCTAGTTAACCTATGTAATGTCAACGCCTAAAATTCGCGACGTGGTCCTAATCATTATAAATATCCACACATCAATTCTTACTCCAACCTCTAACAATAGCCTTGGTCAACCCTCACTCTCACTTTTGATAATCGAAACATTCATCTACGCCCACCATCTCGTATTGCGTGACCCGCCAAAGTTTTCACTAGGTACCTACCCGTTCGCGCGCAGTTATGGATGCTATTAAATTTCCGCCGAGACCCTCCGCAGCCACACCCACAATCTCGGCCCTACAAGCTAAGCTTGTCAATCAAATCGACCAGGGAGACACATATATTGAGCTGTACGCCACAGTCGTGGAGATGGGTGAGGAGCTCGAAAGCCAGGACGTGGTTAACGCGCATGATATGATCACGGCGCTCAGGGAGGATAAGGGAAGACAGATGACCGTTCTCCTGCACACAATTCCCAGACCTGTCCTACGCTCGATAGTAATGCGCATGGTCGCCTACGACTTCTGGGAGAGAGACTCGGACAACCGCACGCTCTTGTACGACAAGGAGGGACCCGGCGCATACATTGTCACCCTCTCGATCGTCGACCGTCGCGGCCACACTTGGTCTGTCAACGAGAATAAGGAGTTGATTAACCTCGTCGAAACGTACGCGCGCGCCATCGAGACGTATGAGAAACACTGTGATACATACGGTCACAGCCAGCTATGCGTTGACGAACTAGCCGCCATGCAAGTTGCGGCTAATATTGACAAGCAGTATGAGAAACTTGACTTCTCGTCGCCCCCAGATAGCCCAACTTCTAGCGTCGAGTACAGAAGCAATTCGGATGTCTCAGGCATTCCGGACTGGTGGTCGATGCCGAGATTCGTGAGCAGCAGCGAGACGAACAAGTCATGGTCCGTACGCCATTTGGTCTCTATGCTGCGCAAGCGCAACATCGCCGGCGTAGACCAGAACGAGCCGTCTAAGCAGAGCGTCTGCATGGTAGGGAGCGCGGACGACTTCGAGAAACACATACAGAAATACCGCCTCATCTCGGCCCTAAGGAACACCACGCACTGCTGGGGTCTTCTGGTTTCGTGCCTCAAGTACGCGAATTTAGAGCCTCAGGAGACTATCATCCCTGTATGCAAGGCGTGGAAGATCGAGCACATAAACATGGCAGAGATACTCGTGACCGTCCTGGCAGGGTCTCTTATATCCGTGGGCGGTTTGGATATAAAACAGCCCGGGACTAAGTCCGAGAAGAATCCGCCTAGCGACAGGGTCTTCGAGAGTTGTCGCCGTCATGTCTGTGGCGCAAAGCCTTGGTTTGAGGAGAACATGGCTCATAGCAATCCACCTATGAAGAGGCTCATAGACGCCGAACGAGAGCTGGAGAGCATGGACCATAATGCACTTCAAGAGAGCGTAGCCGAAGTTAAACGGCTAGACCAAGAGCTAACAGAGAAGCTCGCCAAGCTAGAGGCTATTGAAAAGCACCAGGAGGAGGATCAGAAGGTACTAGGTGAGGCAGAAGAAATTGTCCGGTTCTGTACCGATAATCCTGATGTTATCGATGCCCTATCCTTTTTCTCTTAAGGGGGTGAGGAAGAAGAGGGAGGAGACAATGGCCTTTAGATCTTACGTACGCATAGAGATAGCTAGACCCTAGTCTCGACCCCAATCAAACATGTCACCATTCTCTTCTACTCTAATCTCTAATATACTGAACATAGTTCCTAGGCACACGGACCATATAACGGTTCCATAGCAAGTGATCGTACGGCCCTTCTGTTGCACTGTCATTTGCTGTCCGGGACCTAATTCTTAGGTGCTTGGATAGTTGAAGTCATACTCTGTAGGAGACCTCAGCTCCTATTCATTAATAAGTCTAACCTAGTATTCCTAATGAGCAGGAACCTATTGGACATTTTGGATCATCGTAGTACCTCATATCAGCTGGATTCCACCCAGAGGTACAAGTTTTAGTAGACAGTGGACCTCGAATAGAAACGTGTGTATATCTGCACGAGTAAGCATTGTCGAGGAATTAAATATTAAATATTAAATAACCCGCAGTGTGATTGGCCCATTAGGCAGGTCATTCTGGTTTCCCTGTTTGCTCGCGTGTCTAAGTACCTAATGCCCCACGAACCCACCACTTCTCCTGGATACCTCCTTTTCTCAACTACCACTTTCACGCTTCAAGTTATCGTGCATCATCATAAAAACTACTACCAAGTCACGACGCGATGGCCTCGAACGAAGATAATACCCCCGCTTGGATGGCGGCGCAGGAGCAGATCGACCGCTTTTTCGACCGCGTCGAAAAGCGTCGCGCTTCGGCCGCGTTCATCCAAGGTCCCCACGCTTGTGGGAAGAGCACCACTATGCTGGCGCACCTCTTCGCTCAGGCGCAAGATAAAGCACCGGGTGCCCCCGTAGTCTACATCCTTCCGAGTCCCGTGGAGGTTACGATGCTCCTCCCGTATCTCACGTCAGAGGACTTCAACGAGCAGCTTTCCGTCCCGATTGCTGACAGCATCATTACGGAACCGGCTGAAGACTACTCGGTGCCGGCCGGCAAGCTGTTGATCACTGATTACGACCAGTTCCTAAATTGGTTTCTGAAACGTGACAAATTTCCGCTGGGCGATCGAGCCGTCGTCGTGATCGACCTGCAGACCAACCCGACCTGCGAAGGCGAGATCCTCCTCGGTCGTATCTTGGAGTGGGTCTCCTCGTGCCACGAGTCGAAGGATCCTGCCGCCGCCGTTGTGGCCATCTCACCATTTGCATCCCCCAGAACGGAGGGTATACTGCACAAGGTCGGTCGCAAGCCGGACGTAATCCGGATCCCCGCAGGCCCAGATCCACCCATCCAATTGACTCCTTTGGGAAAGTCTTGGAAGGAAGACGTGGAGAAGATGGCGTCCCTTAATACCGCCCCCATGTCCCCTGAGGACCCGCGAACCATGTTCGGAGTCGTCTCGATGCAGGATTTATTTTTCCGTAATCAGGTCGAAACTCTGGACATGGATTTGGCCCCCGAAACGGTCTCCGACTATCTTTCTCACGAGCGCTGTCTATTAGTGAAAAATAACTTGGAATTTTCGTTGCCATGGAAGGGATTGCGAGACTTTGTGTCCGAACGCACAATCCGCGAACTTGGTTTCGACCCCCAACACAACATAGTCATGCGGACGAGAGTGAAGACCAAGGTAGAGATCCTCAGGGAACAATCCTGGCTTCTCAAATCTAACGTCCCGCGCAAGGACGTCGTGTTTTATACGACGTCCACGCTCGACTACCAGAACCTGCCAGACCACGAGCCGTCCGGAACCGCGTACACCGCGGGCATATCGTGGACTCTCTTGCATTTCATAGAGCAGTGGCCGTCTAAGACGATCACGTCTATGCCGGTGAGGAGAGTCCCGAATGCGGAGGCTACTGTAAAAATAATAACGCGGCTCTTGACGCTTGGCTGCGCTGTACCATCCGGCTTAGGATGCAGAGTGACCGCCAAAGGAACGGAAATGCTGCACCTAATGAATCGGATCGAAAGTCTTAATAATTTTCAAGTCGCTTTCTTCCTAGCGTCGGCTAGACCTCGCGCAGAGCAGCTTAGGCCTAATGTGATGCGAGTCATCGTTCGGCTGGCAGCTCTTCTGCAGGTAGGCATAGGTAACATCTGTCGCAAGGTGGAAAATGCCAGCCCGCCAAGTCTGGACGAGGTCCAGCAGATGTGCAGAGGCATCGGCGCATCTCTTGTTCACAAAGGAGCCCTATGGATTGCCCTCGGCCTGTGGCAGGAGAAAGTACATACGGGACAAACTGCGTTGCTGGCATTCATAACCGACGGCGCCTTCCGGATGCTCTATCCAACCCCGTGGCTTATTCTCAACCCCGCCGCCATGTATGAGGTGCAAGGAATTGTATCTGCGCTCGAAACATTCCTCCAAATAACACCGTTTACCGACGGTGAAGAGCTGAGCGCGACAGGGCTCACGGAAGAAGAAGTCATCTTTATCGAACGTGAGCTTCTGTCCGCTTACAGATACAACATCGTGGCCCTTCCTAGAGATACACGATCACGACCGTTCGACGCCGGGTCTTTTTTAAACCTCAACGTTAGCAAGAGGGATATCCTCAACGTCGAGGAGGCTCGGGAAGGGTACCGGGGGGAGGCGGATAGATGCTTTGCCATCTACAGCGGCCTGGCCGTCAGGGGCAAAGATTATTTTGCCGAAGATGTCACCTTGTTGCCCGATAGCCTCCTTGAAGATGTAAGGGCGTATACTGGGGCGGGTATCACAGGATCCCAATAGTAAGAGACGGGGTAGATAGCTTTGATAACTCCATGTATTTAGTAATGCCTAATTGATATTGCTATGGCTCATTTAATCTGTAATGTGAGTGTATCGTAGCCTAATCTCACCTCTGAAAATGCACAATCGTCTACAGGGACTAGCTAGAAGGCCATATAGCTAAGTGACATGATCCCCATGGCGAGGCGCTGTAGGCTGCATAGGTAGGTACCTTAGGTAGTGTCCTGTAATTCCGTGACCTAAATGTGCCCTGTAGTTATGCACTAATAGCGCTGTAGGGGATTACCTGCTGACCGCTTGCATATGGCAGCCTAACTGCAGCACCCTTAGAAGCCGTCGTCACCCACGCCGTCTTTTTCCTTTTCTCCTTTTCTCCTACAACGTCGGCACCACCACCAGCATCTTCATCCACCGTAAGCATCACCGTAAGCATCGCGCCGGCAACGATTTCTATTGTTTTCCAAATTGCTAATGCTATAACAGATGTCTCACCGTGCCACCCGCGTCTCTGGAGCTGCTGCCGATGCCGCTGTCACCACCTCGACAGCATCTAAGCCTAGATCCCGGCCGTCCCGAAGGCGCAAGCCCGAGGAGATGGACGTGGACTCTCAGGAAGGTAGTCTCTCCGACGATTCGGACGGATCGGCTGGCCCAAACCAGATTGATCCTCCATCGGAGGAGGTCGACGACCAAAACCCTTTCGCGTCGGAATCCGACGAAGATGACGAGCCGGCCGGCGCGAACCCGGCCGGCAGTCCTTCGGAGGCTGACGACGTCGACGACGACAAATGGACAAGCGGAGATACCCACGATACCTTCGACGTCGATTTAAACGTCGACGGGACCGTGTACGCGTACCCGCCAAACCACGTCGCGCCGAACCCATTACCTCCGCGCACCTTGACGGCCAAGGAGGATATGCTGCTGGCCTCTTACAGTGGGCTTTCTAAGTCTATGCAGAACGTCGCTATGGTTTTCATGCGACAGCTAAGAAGCCTCGACAGGAGGACCGCAGCCCACGTGGGCAAAGAGCACCCGCCCATTACCATGGTCACATGCAGGTCGTCCATCCCAGAGGTTAAGTACGACGAGCACTGGACCCGGGAAGACGAGGACGATCTGCTGGACCGGTTTAGGGACGACCCCGTGGTAGCTAAGCTTGACAAGCTGAACGTCAAGAAGAACAAGGACATAATTCCCATGTGGAAGATTATCCGCCGCTTTCTCGGTTGCTTCCCAACGGACATCGTCAGTCCGCGGAACCACCTTAGGTATTCCAGGGCTGACGTGGACGAGGAGGACGAGGTAGATGAAGACCCTAACTGGTCAACGTCCTTCTGTAGAAGGCTCAAGGTGCTCGCGCTTCATCCGGCGTTCGGGTTTGATCCCAATCTCCTGACGCTGGCGCTGCAGTACGCGGTGATCTGCCGCACAGATTACCGCGGGCCGATCCCTTGTTGTAATCCGATTACTGATAACTTCTTAGATATGTTCCTAGCCCGAATGTGGGACCAGGACGGTTCAAAATCCGTGGTGAGGATCCATCGAGAAGTCGTCGCCCACTTCGACCGCCGCGGGAAGTGTCCTGCTAGTCCCATGTCGGAGTTGATGCGCCGTATCGAGAAGCGGGCCTTTAGGAAGAAGGACGCTCCGTTCAGGCCGGCTGAGGTTCCCGTTTTCAAAATATCCACGCGGGACTTGAACGTTGTGACCAGAGCCGCCAACGCTATCAGACCGTCTGGGATCCCGCGCGTTGCCCTCTCCGTGACTTCGCGTATCGTGCTCGCCGCGCAGAAGAGCCACGACGCGCCGAGGTCGCTGGACGAGCTTAACGAACTGCGCGAGAACCTTATCCTTCGAGATTGGCGCGACGAGATAGTGGAGAAGCGTCGCTCTGCTGCCGAGGCTGCCGAGGCTGCTGAAGCTGCTGCTGAAGCCACTGCTGCTGAGGCACCTAGGCGAAAGAGACGACGGGAAAGGGATGATGTGGGGTCGCATGCTAAGCGCCGACGTATCGTCGAAGCAAAGGCAGACGAAGATGGATATGAAGATGGAAGCTTCGCGCCTATATTTACAGACGACGAGGGTCCTGGTATTCCTTCTGCTGCCCCTACTCCCGCCCCCACTCTCGCCTCTACTCCTGCCCCTGTTCCTGACCCTGCTGTCCCTGCTGTCCCTGTTGACAGCGGCGATGCCAGACACGAGCAGCCAGAATCCAGCGAGTCAGACAGGCCCATGAAGCTAGTACAGGAAGAAGCGTTTGCTCCTTCTCCTGTGCCTTCTCCCGTCCCTTCTCCCGTCCCTGATCCCGTCCCTGATCCCGTCCCTGATCCGTTGATGCTCTTGCTCTTGCTCGCGGTACTATAAAGACGTACTTGGTTCGTAGCGCTTCCGTACCCGATAAGGGAACCGAGGCTGCTAGTTCCACTAATAGTACCGTTCTTGAAGGGTTCTATGTTCACCTTAGTATAGGCCGCAAGGTCAGTTTTCTGATGGGTAAGGAAGTCTCCGACCCGTTTAAAAACGCTGCTGGTCGATTGCCTTCCTGTCTACATTTTCTCGGACCTAAAAGGGATGAGTTCTTGGCCACATTTCAGAATCATACCCAGGCCCTAGACGCTAGAGCCACGGCCCGTCGTTCAGTTATGAGCGATCCGAAGCCTCGGTCGAGATACCCGGACAAGGAGAAGGAGGAAGACGGAAATAATGAGGAGGAAGAAGAGAAATAAGAAGAAAGGAGGAAGGAGGGTGAAACCTTCACAGAGATAGCTGAATTAATACAATCGTCCGTAATTATACTCCAAGACCAACTTGCTGAATTATCTTAGCACTCCATAAACTATTAACGTAATAGTAAAATTCTATAGTTTAAACGAATCACCTTCGCAGCATTTGTGGTAGAAGAGTATTTAGAAGGGCGCTAGGTCATCCTAACGAGCAATATCAGTCACGCTACTTGATCTCATACAAATATAAATGATTACCTTCCGAGTTACTTTTGGTTCAACACTTACAGTCTATACGAGATAATTATGAAGTTTGTAGCATAGACCTCGTGAGTCCCTCATCACGACTGCAAGCTGCTAGTCTACATGCTGCAACCAATATCACCTAGGCACAGATCTAAGATGGCGAAGTATGCATCGTAGAGCGTAGTTAGAGACTGTAAACTGAATTATCACCAAAAGACGCGTGTGGTACCTACCTAAGTAGATGCACGCCGTGGGCTTATCATTGAAAATACAGGTAGGTTAGGTACCTAGGGGCGCTGTGTTGCAGGGTTGCCAGGTTGCTAACTGGTTTTCAAGCTGCACTCGAAGCACACAAAATTCTGAAAATTTCTTCCCTCTTCTTTTTTCTTTTCCTCAACAACAACGCATTCACACCATCTTTATTTCGTCTATAAGCCGCCAACAACACCAATAAGATGGAGTGGAAAGTTACCAACGAGCCCTCGGACTCCGATCTGGAGCGAGAGGAACACGTATATCAACAGTTGTTGATAGACCATCCCGGCCTCTCGCGAGAGGCGTGGGACAATGTGATGAAGTCGGCTAGCAAGGTAGCGTTGCAGGGCCTTTTCGAGAAACGAAAGGAGCCTCCATGCGTTAGCAGGTCCTACGTACGCTACGTGACCTGTCTGATCGCATTCAGAAAAGGCACAAAGAAGCAGGAATGGGAATTCTACGAGGAAGAGCCCGAGACCCATGCCGAGCCTTTCAGCTTAGCATATATGGAGTATTGGTACGAACGAACCTACGGGCACGACTCTGCCAAGAACTCTAATGGGGTCGAGGGGAAAGATATCGAGAAAGGTGGGGAAGGCGTCAAACCTACGGACATCGCTCCCCTGATACCTCTTTGGCGGCATATCGCGGACGGAGTAAAGGTCGAGGAAGGTGAAGAGCCTTTCCAAATCACAATCCCCGCCTCCCGAGATATCACCAAGGTCCTTGCCGGCCCCGATCAGCTGGAGCGTCTCCTGGCCGAGTTATCCGACGAGTTGTGCGGCCGTGACGGCGTGGTGTTTTGTAAGGCCGGAGATATTCTCCGCCCTACGACCCTCTTCATGCGCCTACGCGCAGGCATCGACGCTACTTCTCCAGGCGTACAGGGGCGTTTTGTCCGAGCTTGGAGTACGCTCTGCATGGCCGCCGTGAAGGCTGTCGAGGAGGATGTTAGTATCCTAAATTTAGTAAGAGAGATCAACAAGTCAATTATGCTAGTCCCCACGCAGGTTTATCCCTCTTACAAGATGTATCAGAACTCTTTAGCCGGAGTGAACAAGGCAGAGGAGGAGAGCCGCCTACAGATCCTCCAGGCTAGCCAGGAGTCTGAGCGAATGGCTCGCCTCTGCGCCGCTCATCACCGAGAGATGGCCCGCTTGGCCGACGAGGTTTCGACAAAGCTTCTCGGGGGGGGCATCTCTATGGAAGAGAAGGCTAGGAAATTGACCAACTTCGTGGAGAAGGGAGACCCCGCGATCCCAATCGGCCGACGATCCGCCCGTGCGCGCGTGGCTGATATCGCTTACAAGAATGAAGAGCGCCGCGGCTCCATCTTGATTTAAGCCTAGACAATTCTATAGAAATTGATTATCAACTCTAGCCTCTAGGAGCTGCTGTGACTTCGTCGTCATCCTATCACATTCTTTCGAGATGTATAGATAGCTATTAATACACAATTGACGCACCACGTATTATGAATCTCTGAGACTAAAGTAGTAGACTTGTAGTTTGTTGAAGAGTAGCTTTATATCCTCGACGTAGTCAGAATAAAGTAGTATGAGTAACGCTATGTCTTGGCAGGGGTACTCCAGGGTAGGGGTCAGGCTAACTGATCTCCACTGCCTTTAACACGCCCGTCGGGTCGTTGTAAGAAGTATGAATTACGAAGATATAACCCATACCAGCCATTACTAAATAGTCTGTACTGACTTCTACCATTTTCTAGACCTAAGAAAAAAAATTAAGTACACCTTAAAGTGGGAGGAATCCGGGCGAGATAGCGAAAATATGGCATCTCTTCCTAGACACGATTTCTACTATTTTGTGAACCTCATTAGTGGATTAGATTAGGTACATAAATATAGGCCTCTAGATCACGCGAGGGTTATGCTATCAAGGTCGCCAGGAATGGCAAATACTTGATAAGCTACGCAAGTAATACCTGAATGAACTGGTCTCGCTAGGGTTGGTAGGCGAAATTAAACCATAAGAAACGTAGAATTTCTGATATTAGGAGGTACCTACCTTAATTACATTCGACTGTCTGCAAGAGCAACCTCTATTGCGAATGTTACTTAGTTGTCATTCCCATTTGGTCTTTCCTGCCAGGCCACTTAGTTTAGTTACAACCCCCTTAATCAAGACACGTCATAGGGTAAGATGTGTCTGCATTGCAACCGCAGAATTCATCACCGTACCTACCCAGATAGTGTATTGTTGCCGAGGTACCTATTTTAGAAGGTGTACTTCAGAAACCTTACGTAGGTACGCGTAAAGATCGCTGTGTCATTATGGAATCTGGCTGTATACCTGGGTACATTAGGTCTGTGCACCAGCTAAACTCGCGGCTTCCCCTTGTCTGCTGGTTGCCTGAGGTATATTTACTTGACCGTAGTTGCCCAGTATCCATTATGGCATTAGGTATGCAGGTGCCATCTGAAATAATCTAAACGCTCTCCGCCTTTGGCAGAATCCTCAGAATCCTGAGCTCGAAATATTAATAACACGCATCTCCCGTTCTCATTCTTCAATTTCAACATCTCAACTACAACATCAACAACAACAGTTCATAACACTATACTACCTAACACTATACCAACTGACACTATACAACCTAACACTACACCACCTAACAGTAACATTACCCAAGTTATACCCTTACTCTAACTCATCTACACTATCTTCAATTTATCCTCAGGGAACAATCCTGGCTTCTTAAGTATAATATCCCGCGTAGGGACGTATTATGCGACATACCCGCTCGGCCAATATTAGAACCTACCCGATGAGCCCTCTGGAACCGCATACACCGCGGGCATATCGTGGACTCTTGCGCTTGGTATAGCGGCCTAGCCGCTAGATGCAAGGAATATTTCACCGAGGATATCACCTTGCATCCTGATAGCCTCGAAGATTCCAGGGCATCAACATCTACAATACTCTAACAGTTCATAACACTACGCTATAACATAACCTATAACTTACCTACTTAATAACGCATCCACGCCATCTTTATTTCGTCTACAAGCCTAGATTAGGTACACAACATGCTTCCTCTGTGAGGGAATCACCAAGCCCGCCGGCGGCAGATGCACTACACCGCTCTCTACGCATAATAAAACTGTTTTTCCCCTTTCGAAATTCTAAGATATCTCCTCTCGTCAACAACATTCTACGCACTCTGATCTGCCATCACTAACAACCACCACAACCATCATCATTATCATCATCATCACCATGGCAGATTCGAATGTGAATAGACCCTCTCGCTCGGAGCAGTCCAGCGCTAACGCACGTGACGCCCCGCAGGCATCTTCGAAGCCTTCGAAGATCGACCAATCCCTGGACGAGATTATCGCATCTCGAAAGGGAGGTCAGATCTCCGCCGTGCAGAAGAAGAAGAAGAACAACGAGATCGAAGGCGCCGTAGATGGCGTCGTCGTGCAGAAGAAGCGTGCCGTCCAAGCTCTTGATAACGCCGCCGCGAGCGGTTTTTCCGGACGCTTGGTGGTAGCTACGGATAATGAAGTCGAGCGCCATTTTAAACGTGGCCGCCTCGTCGACATGACCGACCTTAACCCCAACCCGGCCCTAAACTTCGCGACAACCGGACATGACTACCTGACAGCCAAAATTTCGGAAGGAGAAGTCATGGAGAAGCAGCTGATACCCACATGGAAGCAGCAGAACGGCGGTCATATTCCGCCGACTTTGGTTAATTTCACTCGTATCCGCAAGTGTTCCTACTACCAGAACATCATACAAGACGATGCAGGTGAGGAGGACGGAGTGCAGGTGGAGGAGGAAGATCATCCTGACCCGATGCCCCGGCCCCGTAGACGAGGACGGCCTCGTCTCCGGTTGTGTGCTTCACAACACGAAGCAACACAGCTGTGACGAATGCTACATGCTGCAGACTCTTTCGATTGGCGTTCACTTTCAACTCCTAGTTGAGGGTCGCTCAGGTCTCCCTCCCATCCGCTCTCAGGAGTCTAACTGGGTGCACCTAGCAACCCACTTCCAGGACAGACGTCTAGAGGCGTACCCGCTGACGCGATCCTTCAGCTCAAAGCTTTCGGAGGAGGCTATCGCCTCCTACGACTTTAGCGAAGGCGCGTCAGTCTTTCAACTGGGATCGGATCCCCTCACCTGCTCCTTCGACGCCATGATCAAGAACTACGAGCGGCTTCAGAAGACCGAGTCTCCATCCGAGACGGTCGAGGTCGAGCAGGGGCAGGCTGAGGAGGAACATCCTCGAAATGATACGCCTATGGTGGATTATGCCGACGGCTATAATAGCGATGTCGACTTCGGGGAAGATTCCGAAGAAATCGTCCAGCACTTACCGTAGAAGATGCGGTATTGTTGGGTTGGGAGTTCCGGTTAGGTTGCTTTGCTTTGCTGTAATTAATAATGATGAATTGAATTCAAAGTCGGGCAGCCCCCCGTCACTGTTAGAGTTTATATCCGTGATGGTTGTCATACACAGAGTCAATGTCAGGATAGTATTGAACAGTTCAATTTAAACTAATAACGCCTGGCTTCTACCCTCTCATAACCCACTTATACCCTGACAGTCACCGCCATAGTCTCCCGTCTAAGTATGAAAATGTAGATACTGCTATCCTAAGGTTCAAGTAACATTGTAGACCAATGATCTGTGACATCAGATAGCTCACAATAATGGCACTATCATTGCTCCTATCTAAATAATACAACCTCCCGATACTGCCGAATGCATCGCCTCACTTTCTAGGTGAGAACTGCAGGTTCAAAGGTTCTAGGGAAGTAGTAAATACATCTTTCGCCTCTTTATCAAAAATTTCTCCCGTCTCGTCAGCCGCAAAGGTGATATCGAAGTGCTGCGCAAGACTGGAGATGGCGATCCGCAAGGTCATCAAGGCCAGATTCTTACCAGGGCAGCCGTATGTCCCTATAATAAATTATGTTAACCAACCCAGGTAACTTGGATTCCTAACCATTATCTTCTACTTACCCTGGCTAAAAGGCATATATGGAGCTTCGCTGGTTCCCATCTCGGCACTCCGCTCTCCGAATCGTTCTGGTATAAAGTCCATGCTCTGTTTCCAGTAGCGCGGATGCGTCTGGATTAGCTGTATGGGCACGATGACGGATACGTTTCCTGGAATGAACTGCTCGTCGATTTGGATGCCCTCCGGCGGCGTCCGTCGGTATCCTCCGGTAAGCAAAGCGGGCTTTAGACGCTGGGTCTCGTCGATGACGTTGTCCAAGTACGCGATTGCTTTCGCCTTCTCGTACGTCCAGTCCGCCGGGGTCGGTATGATGTCGTCGATCTGAGCTTGTAGCTTCTTCAAGACGCGAGGAAACTTGGCCAAGTAGAATAGAGCACTCGCTAGGACCGTGGCGCTCGTCTCGCTTCCCGCAACTATAAGCGTTCTGGCGTCTTCGGAAAGCGACTTTTCTGTCGGCGAAGCAGAAATGTCTTTTTCGATGACAGCTTTTAGTAGCCACGTCATGATATCTTGAGGATATTTCTCAAGATCAATATCCTGGTGACATATTAGAATTGCCGGTAATAATTTTTGGGTGACTTACCTCCCGTTTCTCTTCGACTTGCGATTGGCAGTAAACTAAAAAGGGGCGATATGCTTTTGACGCGCCTGGGATATGCCCGAAAATATTCAGCAACCAGGGGATATAGCTCAAGACGCCTACGATGTGCATATGGTCGCGAAGGCTCTGAATCGCGGGATGGTTTGTCCCGCTAGAGACGCAACCGAAGTCTTTCCCGAATCCGACCTCGCCCATGATGTCGAAATTGAGATACATCGACCAGGCTGTCGCATCTAATACTTTTTTATGCGAAATCTGACGGACAAGTTTGGTAACTAATGTTCTAATCCGAGGCTCGTACGTTTGCAATGCTGCGATTGAGAGCTTAGCCATCCCTATAATTATTCGAACAGGTAGCGTATCGAATACCTTTGATCGAGAATCCTTTATCCCAAGCCCTGTGTCTTCTCTTATGGTCGTTGGGGTCTTGCGAGCTGTGGAGGGATGCCTTTTTGGAATCGGCGCTGGCACCCATGTACGCAACTGGCTTGTGACAGTTTGTATTCGGACCATATATAATTGGGATTGCCGAGTCTCGAACGATGCAAAGCTCTCGCGGTCCTATCGCGGCGCGCTTAGCTTGGTGCTTAATATTTGACGAGACGGTTATGTTTATAGGTACCTGTACGAATGAAGTCGCCATACTTCTCGTGCATCTTGGCAACGTCATTATGGTACTTGACTTCTTTAGCAACCCTGAGCACGGAGAAGAAGCGGGAGATCTTGAGGTCGAAGGGCCCGGGAAACTTTCTCAGTCGATGAAAGAATAATCTGTAGATAACCATGCTCGAAAAGAGGCCTGCGTTGAAAGTCCTTGCTAAAACGCATAATCCAGCTGAGGCACCTAGAAAGGAAGACCCTAGAAGCATGGAGATGGAAACGATGCCGAACATGAGAAACAGCATAGCAGCAATAAGAGTATACATAAAGCTTTCCACGTCTCCCATCTGCGCGATGGTAAGGTGAAAAAGTACGCCTAAAGGCACCCCGAGGGCGGCGACTGAAGATAGTCTGCCTTGGTCCCACAGGCCGAGGCCATACGAAGAGATAGCGCGTAAGTAATCCATAGCGAACTAAGTAAAGACGACTGATTCGGGAGCATAAGATATTGGGCATATACGGACTAGTTGCTTCATATGTAGGAAACCAGAATAGAGTAGAAATGGCGTCGTCGTCATTTCGATGCAGCTATCGTAATTCTCTCACCATATCCTGGCCAAACCGAGAATAGATGCTGTTGTTACGCTTATACCTATACCGGTATGATAGCACGGATGTAACATAGAGAAGCAGGCTGAAGCACTATTTCAAGGCGGCACGTTTATTGGTTGCTTGGGATGCTAGTCATATGTAGGTATGATCCTACTTTTACTTTTTATCAATGATGACAAGGCTTGTCGACATAGCAGGCAGCTTGTCAGCTATCAATTGACCGTCCGCCAGGCTCCACGACTGATCTCCAAATGGTACATCTGCGATACGCTCTCCGGGCTCTGGTAGCGTTATCGAGACCGGTCCGCTAATGTCGCCGTACGCTCCGTTTACTACGCTGATCATGATTTGGGTTTCCCGTACCCAGTAGCTTATATCAAGTAGCTCCTGGTTATCAATGCGAATACTACCGTCGGGCTGACCGCCGAGCAAGAAGTCCCTCACGGGAGTACTAGTAACCACCGCCGCCATCTGCGAGTGCGCATCGAATAATTCCTGGCTGGTGGGCCACGTCCAGGCGAAGATACCGGTGGCGCCTCGGTTGAATGCTAGCGCGTTCATGACGAAGGCTTCAGCAGGTGTCGGATCGCGGGCCCAGTAGTCCTCGCCGTGGAAAGCTTGCGGGTTGTGGAACTTGGGTAGCGGCCACCGGCCCAGCCAGCGTTCGTATTGGACCAGGCCGTCGAGACGACGCGAGACATCCTGCGGGTTACCCGCACAGTTATCACACCCGCAGTCCCCCAGGGTCGTATTACATGCCGTACCCCACTTGGAGAATGTGCTATTGATTGCGATCGGATACGGATCTTGCATTAGAATATCGCCGGCCGAATACTCTCCAAAGTAGTAGTCTTGGCAGTTGAGAGTTACTGCTACAGGATGATACGGGTCTAGATCGTGAATGAGCTCCTGAGCTGCAGGCGTAGCGTCGAAAGGAACTTGCCAGCCGTCGGGTCTGGTAGATTTTAGTGTAAGCCGACGAAATTGTTAACTGTTAATCAACTAGGGTGACCTACTCGTCGGCCGTCCAGTAAGCAAACAGGGAGCTATGATGCTTGATAGTGCTCACCCGCTGTGTGACCTCCGTTAAGTTTTTATATGAACTACGTAGATCGAACATGAATCGCGTGGTAGATGCGTCCATGCTGTCGTACACCGGATTGGTATCGGCAAATCCCGCCAAGGAGATGATAGCATTGAGACCTTTTCCGCTACTGGAGTAGTCGCGAACGAATTCGTCACTCTCAGCTGTACTATTAGATCCGTTGTATAAGCCGTAGAACCCGTACGGTAGAAGAGGTACGAAGGCATCGTCTGTTTGCGCATTTCGGAATAATAGACCGCCGTTCAGGTTGTCAATCTTGGTCGCGCTCCCTCCTGAGGCGATATCCGGCAGATACCGAAACGAGCTATTCGCCGTATAGCTACGGCCACCAAGCTGCGACGTCCCGACTAGTACGACTTCATATGATGTTGATCGCGGTTCGAAAACAGACAGGTCGAAATCAAAACCTGAACCAGTTGCATTAATCGGCACGCTACCCTCGACTAGTGGTGTATCACCCTCGCCGCTATTGGATGCCAGGCTAATCGAGAAGTACAGATCCGTAAACGGTTCCGTCGCCGACTTTTCGTTAGTTGTCGAATTCTCCCACGGCTCGCCAAACCAAGGCGACAGCTCGGCCTTGACAACGAAGGATCCTCTTTCCTCGCCAGCTAGGTAAATACTATGCCGCGGCTTGAATTGCACGTACAAGTTTGGCGACCCGTCCGGGTTGATGGGAGCTGGCTCTGTCGTGTGACCGCCTGGCTCGAAAGACGGATATCCGGCTTCGTACACTTTTCCGCACCATCGCGGCCATCCTGGATGTTCCCCGGTTTCGTTTTCGGACTGGGCGCGCGTTATTCCCGCGAGGACTATGCCGCTAAGACATACAGATAGTCTCATTGTCGCTGATGTCATGAGCTTACGCGTATAGCACGATTCTAATTGAAGGCGACGGAAGTCAACCTCCTAGGACCCGCGCTTATTGCCTGCTGAAGTTGATACTCATAGATATGCAGAGCGCAACCGCATCGCCAGCTTTTACATCCTCAGAAACTAGGTTGACAGGGTAAAAACCATTTACAGGTAGGTAAGGTCTATAAAAAGCCAAGCCCAATTGATTGCGACGTTCCACATATTGAACTGCCTGTTTAAGTATCCCCAAGGGAGAAACTCCTGCCCCGCATAAGATTACCAATAAACATGCTGATAACCCTTTAAGTTTAGGTATAAGTAGGTCAACACTTGGAATGTTACGATAGTTCAGTGAAACTGCATGTCGCGATATAATCCTCAGTCCTAAAAGATATTGCTGCAGTGCAGGCCTGCACTAACATTGAAAGTCCTAAGCGATTGTAGTCATGGGTATTATACTAAAGGAGGGTAACGATTCCCAATACATCCGTCTGCCAAGTCCGAAATCATAATGCAGCAACGAGGCCAAGCGTCGCCAGCGCGACAACCGCCCATATCTTGACCCCCGTCAACGTACTCTGCTCGGCATACCGCCTAGGCCCATCGCTCGTCGACTTAGGAGCCGCGGTTGCGCTCGCCTCAGCAGCGCTTTTAGTTGAGAAGTAGACATCAAACTGGTCCATCGCCGCGGTCGTCCAGCTTGGAGGCGCCGGGCTAGCCGTTACGGCAGCAGATACTTCAGAATCGGGTAACTCGTCGTCGTACATGCGAGCAATGCACCAGTTGCTCGCGAAGGCGATGTCCTTGGCAATATTCTCCGGCACGTCGCGCTCGTAGACGAAGTACATGCAGGACTCGACATCCCCTGGCGGCCCGGTTCGGACGTCTTCTGTGACGTAGGGTGGCGGCGTCGCGGCTGCAGTACCGGAGCCCGTGGCGTAGGCGTAGTAGACCGTCTTAGTAGTAGAAGTTGTGCTTTCGGGCAACTCGCAGAACTGTATCTCGCAGCCCGTGTTACCCGGTATGCGCATCAGGGGGCGGTTCGCCATGTCGCAGCATTCTTTCAGAGACACTACCCCGTAATGCATGTCCGGCGGCGGATCCGCAGTGCTCTTAAACCCGAAGGTCACGCCGCAGGCGTATGAGGATATGTTGCGCAGGGCGTTGTGCGTGTTGCACGTGCTGTCGCTTTGGCTGCCTACGATACCTGCCATTTTTGCGGTGGCCTACTGAGAGATATCCTACGTCGCTTCAAAGGTATAAGACCTATATCTTCGTAGCGGTTACTGCCCCTGAACAGGTTTTGCTGGACAAGAGGGACAAGTGCTGACTTGCGATTCCGATGAGATGATTATAAAGTAAGCGGCGACTTATTACAGCAATAACGAAAGTATGAGAGTCGAAACTCTGGTCGGATAGCTGGAAGAGTGAAGACGAAAGGTCAAGTTCGGATTTAAATCAAGGCCGCCTCCTTAATAAATCTAATAAGATCCATGTCGATGTTAGCGACGGCTTGGCACCGGTGGAGTTTGCCTTCATGTTATCAATCCCATTAATGGCTTCATCATTAATGGCTTCATCTCTAATGAAGATGCAAAAGCGGGATTGTGACGACTTGGAATATCTTCAAGATACCATTTAATATAGTGTAAGTGATCGTCGCGATTAAGCTTTTACCAGGACGCGAATTAGAATTCGCGGGTGCTTTGTACTTCCATTGTTTCGGCAGGCGGTCAACTTAGACTTATCTTATCAGTAAGTCACTAAGTGGGGCACTACATTGCAATTGAAGTTTTCGAAGAAAAGTCGAGAGCTAGTGCTTCAATTGGACATCAGCCTACAAATACACCACTTAAGAACTTGCATATACGTGCATTTCTTTCGCAATGGCAGGTCAACCCTCAAAAAAGAGAAACCACCAGGATTCCAACACCAAATACAAATCTCAGAGACCGAATAAGAAGCAAAGAAAGGTCCCCAAGTATCACAGCGATTCAGAAGAAGAGGGCGCCAACACCGAGTTCCGACCCGTCAACCTCCTCGATTCAGACAATGAAGATCTCGACAATGTCGCCGTAGATGATATCCCATCCGGCTCAGACTCGGACTCGAAGTCGGGCTCGGGTTCGGACTCGGATAACGATGCGGCGCGCAAATCTAAGCCTCTCGCGAAGCAACGGAATAAACCAGCAAAGAAACCCGCTAAAGATGAAGCTCGCGACAGGAGTCCCGAAGCCGAACTAGAAGATGACGAGGACGAGAACGATGAGGACGAAGATGAAATGGAAGAAGAGGGTTCAGACGGAGACGACGATTCAAGATTTCAATCCAAAAAATCAAAATCAAAACGCAATGATCCCGATGCCTTTGCGACATCCATGTCCAAGATCCTGTCCACAAAGTTATCTACCACAAAACGTGCGGATCCGGTCCTTTCGCGCAGCGCCGAGGCCCACCAAGCAGCCAAGGACGCAGTCGACAACGCGCTAGAGGCCAAGGCACGGCGACATCTACGGGAACAGAAGAGATTGGCACAGGAGAAGGGGCGCGTAAAGGACGTACTAGTCGGCGCTGTCGACGAGGACGGCCAACCCGAGACTTCCACCCAAGAGATTCAGCAGACGGAGAAGCGCTTGAAGAAGGTGGCGCATCGTGGTGTTGTCATGCTATTCCGTGCCGTCAGGGAAGCGCAGGAGCGGGCCGCCGAAGCCGAGAGGGATACACGGAAGGATGGTATCGTGGGAGTTCAGAGGCGCCAGGAGAAGGTTAACGAGATGAGTCGGCAAGGTTTCCTAGATTTGATTGCTGGAGGCGGTGGGAAGTTGAAGAAGGGTGCGCTGGAAGAAGCCTAAGTTTTGCTTTATACGTGCGTATCCGGATTTACAATCGCATTTTATGGAATGATACCAAAAGTACTTCATGAACATGACCTCGTTAAGAGTTGGGCTTTGTCCTATCTCCAAGCCAAGCCAGTTATAGATATCCCGCTGCGAGTATAGTACATCGTATCGTATGGCTCGCTAGTTTTATCCAGGCTGCCAATTGCAATGCCACCACCGCACCAGTGCGCTACGCCTTACCTGTCGTCATATTGGTACAATTCGGTGGTTCTTGATATGTCCATCCCTCGCCTTTAACTCTAGCAGATCGCATCTTTTATTATTTCGAGCCGAAATCGCTCGCTTGCAGATTCCTCGTCATGGAGGGCAGCTTGACCCTTAACCCGTCTAGTTCCTTAGTCATAACAACCTGACAGCCTAGTCGGCTTGTCTCGGTCAAGCCGAACGCCAGATCTAGCATGTCATTTTCGTCATCTTCGGGCTCGGGCATCTTCTCGTAGTATTCGTCGTCTAGGACGATAACATGGCACGTCGAACACGCACACGAGCCACCGCATGCCCCCTCCATCTCTAGGTCGTGCGCTTGCGCAATATCTAGCAGGTTGTCTCCCTTAGAAGCCGCAATCTTGTGTTCATTTCCTTCCTTGTCGATAAACGTCACGTAGAGTCTGGCCGGAGATTAGCGTATTGTATTATGCTCTCGTTAAAAAGTCTTACTCCTCGCCTGGCTTAGGCGGATGTATATGTCCGTGCTGACGTAGAGGAGATGTGCTAAAATATCGGAGTATGGAAACGCTGGCTCGGGTGTGGCATATTAATGGCGTCTTAGATCTTATCCTGCTATATGTAGAGAGAGCAGGCCGCCTAAAATGCGATAGGGACTGGGAGGAGGAGAATTGAAGCTTATGTATGCTTCGAACGAGAGCTCGAGGAGTCGCCATTGTGTCGAGACGAGGTCCGAGGGGTGCGACTAGAACTCGGGGATATCGGTGACGAGGCAGGACGAAGAGAATTTAAGCTGTAAATATTGGAATAAGAGTAGATGTTCCTGATAGGTAAAGACTTAGTTAAATAATTGCCTTTACCAAAATGAGGCTCTTATTGCAGCATTACTCCATCTAGCGGGGGAACCAACAAGCATAAGGATCGGAGGTTGCTTGCATCTAACAAGAAAAAATATCGAACTAGGGTACTTGACGATGTTCAGCAATGCGATGCGACGACGTTCCAACGAATGAGAGGAAAGCGAATTGAATTAGCTCCGATAAAATCTTGGAGGCGGCCCGAGTACAAGGGACAAGCTTACGGTTGGTGACCGATCGTTGGAAAGTTTCGTTATCTTTTTAACATTAACTCCGAGATGCTCTTTTTTTTTCGTTTCCATTAAGGCTTATCTTATCGATAGATAGATACCGTTCAAAAATCCATACATTTTGGCACACAAATTCATTGGGTTTTGTATCGTACCACAAGCTTGGCTAAGCTCGCATTGGTTCCCCTAGCTTACCTAATACTAGCTAGACAACTCAGTCCCTCCACCCCACGATAATCTTTGTATCTTTCGCTCGTACAAAGATACTCGCAGTATAATCCTGAAGAAAAAAAAGGCAACATAGCTCCATCCCGCTCGAAATGTCCACGCCTAGAGAAGGAGTAAACCCCCTGCGTCCCTATTATATACCACCCTCTATAGGGGACCAGGCCGGGAGTCTCCCGTCACAACCGAATCCTTTCTCCCACGGAAATGCGACAGCTTCAACACCAAGCAAATACGCGTCTAGAGCTCGCGATATCTTTCCCGATATAGACTATAAGGATCACCTTGACGATATATCACCATCTACTATACAATCCGTCAAGAGTCTAGTAGACGAGCTATTATGGAAGTATACGTCGGTAATAATGGCTCAGCCCTTCGAGGCGGCCAAGACGATTCTGCAAGTGAGGAGTCAAGATGACCTCGGGGGGTTAAATACCCAAGCGGCACCGAAGACAGCCCCGAGGCCTGCCAGCCCGGTTCTATCGAGCCCGAATCTTCCTAGTCCGAACGTCATCGCCTCGGATCGCTCAGTATGGGACGAGGTATAACAACGAATTTACTATGGCTACTGTCTAGCTCTTGGTGTGGCGATACTGACATAATTGCAGGAAGGCGACTCCGACTCCGATCCGGAAGGCTCCTCATATTTTACGACTAATACGCCATATACGCCTACACCGCCACCAAAGTCGAAGAGGAGGGATTCGTCACCCGCAGCACCCGCCAAATCGCCTACGAGACCCGTAACCCTCCCACATCATCTCGCTCTAAAGCGGCCCGACTCGATACTTGATGTGCTGTCGCAATTATGGTCGAAGGAGTCGGTGTGGGGGGTCTGGAAAGGAACAAACGCCACATTTCTCTACACGGTGCTGCAGTCGCTATTTGAGAATTGGTCGCGCAGCCTCCTAAGCGCGCTATTGAACGTTCCTGATCTGGGACTAAAAGACGACGTCGACAGGCTAGTCGATGTTGCGTCGCCGTACCCTTGGGCTTCGTTGTGCGTTGCCGCAGCCGCAGCCGTCGCGACGGGCCTCATATTAGCCCCTCTCGATCTCGTCCGGACGAGATTGATCGTCACATCCACCGGACGTACCCCGCGGCGGACACTATCAACTCTACGCTCACTACCTTCGTGGCTGTGCCCATCTTCCCTATTAGCACCCACTATTCTCAACTCTCTCGTCCACCCGCTCCTCACGTTATCTACGCCCCTCGTCCTACGAACCCAATTCCTAATCGACCGCGAGCAGTCCCCTATGACTTTCTCCGTGGCCAAATTTTGCACCTCGTGTGCGTCCTTATTCGTCAAGCTACCGTTGGAAACGGTCCTCCGCCGTGGCCAGGTGGCGGTACTGTCGGAGCACACGTATCTGGATGCTCTCGATCAAACAGATAAGTTGGAGACGATCGTACCGCTGGGACGATACAATGGAGTGTTCGGTACGATGTATACGATTGCTACCGAGGAGGGCTCGAGAGCCGTGTACGCGGTACCGAATAAGACTCCGGCCCGCGGTAAGAAAGCGAAGCAGCCCAAGACTACCGCAGAGGTGGTGTACAAGAGGGGCCAGGGACTCGATGGTCTCTGGAGGGGGTGGAAGGTCAGTTGGTGGGGCCTCATAGGGCTATGGACGGCGGGAGTGGCAGGAGGTGGCGGAGAAGGAGAGTTCTAAACAAATACCCAGACCTCCTCGATCTTCAAAGCATACGATGCTGCATCGGCGACGGAAAATGCAGGGAGAGGAGCGGAGCTGAGGTATCCAACTTGGCATCCCAAGGCTATTCCCAACCCTGCATGATTTTATGTTCGAAAGGAAAAGCAAAGATGTAAAGCAAAAGCGCCTCATGAGATACGGCATGATTCCCCCATATACGTAACGTAACGAACTTGATTCAGTAGCGCATGATCGTGTAAATAGACATTCTTACGATTGTGAAAACTTAATATCTACTCTCAACTTTGATGAGACGCTCTTTAACTGAGGACATGAGGATTCAACTAGTTGTAATCAAACGCTCACAATTATACACCATATCCCTATCTTCCAAAGTACTTACTATTAAACGATATACGTTGGTTATACCAAATAAGGATTATTATACAAAGTACGAAGTATAGTAAAATCATCTGTGGAGTCAAAACCATATCTCAACTATTTACCTCCTAGTTATTCCTTAACAGCAAGAGGAACATAGTACATACTACTTATCATCTATCACGTTGTTTAAGATTAGATGACCCACTCGATCGGCTTGGCTTTGGATCATTCGCGGGTACTAATTTGCACCTTGTTCATAACATTGGTCGCGTTTCAGAAACGGAAAAGAGCCAAAAGAAAGTTTAGGTTTTTCTAGAATTATACTTCGTACTCCCCTATCTTTTACGATCTGGCGTTATGATATGAAACCAACCGGGATCACTACCGTTTATGGTCATCCGAAACGGCGATGTGGATCGTCTGAGATCGACGCAGGGGCTCGGAGTGGATACCTCTGATTTCCAGCCCTGCAGTTGCCCTACGCTTCTCATCCCGAGGTTGATCTCCCGCTGACTTGCGATGAGCGGTGCGAACCTCAACTCTCTTCTATGGAGCTCTGTTACAATAACGGCAACTCGAACCGGATCTACCCATTCCACCATCTTGGTTATGCCTGATCAAAGCTTTACGCTTCATATATATGATAGCCACGTCATGTTGTCGTATGCGTCTGATAAAATGGATTGTCCACTATATATGCTGCGAGATGTTGCTTTTTGCTTGTGATGAGGCATCAAGTTCTATAAAATCACTTTTAAGAGTTGCATCGCATCAACATTTGGGAATAATCAAGCTTAAGAATCGCTATATACTATCACAAGACCCAATCACCAGCTGATAGCTTTCAACCAGCCATACAAAAGCACGGCTCGTCAAAATGAAATTCCACAAATGAGGGCAGACTTGCCGCCGCGGCTCTACCGGGTGTCACGCCATCGTGGACCCAAAGGGCGGCTACCGATGGAGTGGTCGGGCCAAGAACACATCTCCCTTGACCGTTTAATTTAATTACGGCTTGGGCCGCGTTGGAGACGTTGTTCCCACTAGCAAAAGTCCAACCCCATAACACGATTTTGGCTTTCATTTTACATACACTACCTATCTACCAAGACTGAGGCTGATTTAAGCTGAAATTAGCAACCGTTCACCAATCACTAAGTAACCTTCCTATATTACTACCAAGTTCTACTGTTATCCCATTGAGTCCCAGACATGGGTCAAAAATTGTATCCACTCAACTAAACCAAACAAGTTCAAAGAATCACGATATTAAGCTCGCTACCAAAAATAAGATTTTAAAATGAGCATAAATTGCATAAAATACTCTTTTTAAGGGTTCGGGCAGTGGAGACATTTTTTGACCCATGTCTGGGACTCAATGGGATAATCCTCCTAAACAGCCTGTCGCTGGCCCAAACGTCGCATTGACTGCCAAGGCATAACATGACGTTGGCTGTAGGTCCCACAGCACCGAAAAGCTGGTTTACTAGTATTGTGAGTGCGTGCCATCCCGGCTGGTGACCAACTTCAGACGACGCAGGCCAAGGGGCTCCCCATGGTGAGTCTAGCGCTCCAATCACAATCAGATCTTATGCCGGTTCAAGTTGTCGAGACCGTCAGCGTGTGTCGGATCCTGCAATCCGATTCCTTCGGCACCTTAGGGGGAACCCTCGTATCAGTGGATCTTAGAGGACTGCAATTATGATCGCAGACATGGATAGGACGACACGAGTTGCCCTCGAGGCTCTATATAACATGAGTCGAGATACCACCTCTTCAACCTTTTCTTTCACCATCACCATCGGTTTGCGAAGTTGATTCCTTTAGCCATTCATTATTGTCTATCTTTTTGCCAGTCATTCTTTTCCACTCCCGGTGAGAACAGCTATCTTGATCGATACATTTTAACTACCGTTCGTAACAGAACTTGTTATCTCTACCTTTCACTCGCTACGCTATATTGCATCGACTATCGCAACCAGCAAAAATGGGTATCGCAAGAATCTCTCCCGTCGTCGCGGCCCTCGTGTCGGCTGCTACCGTCGCCGCTCACGGCCACGTCGATCACATCGTCGTTGACGGACTCTTCTACCAGGGTTACGACCCAACCAGCTTCCCTTACCAGCAGAACCCTCCCACCGTCGTCGGCTGGACTACCTCTCAGACCGACAATGGTTTCGTCGAGCCCAACAGCTTCGGCAGTGCTGACATCATCTGCCACAAGTCAGCCACTCCGGCAGGAGGCCATGCTCAGGTCAAGGCTGGCGACAGCATCAGCATCAGCTGGAACACTTGGCCGGAGTCGCACAAGGGTCCCATGATCGACTACCTGGCGGCCTGCGATGGCTCCTGCGAGAGCGTCGCCAAGGAGTCCCTCGAATTCTTCAAGATCGACGAGGTTGGCCTTATCGACGACTCGGTGCAGAACGGTTTCTGGGGCTCTGACGAGCTGATCAAGAATAACAACACATGGCTCGTCCAGATCCCTTCCAACATTAAGCCTGGCAACTACGTCCTCCGTCACGAAACCATTGCGCTTCACTCGGCAGGCCAAGCAAACGGCGCTCAGGCCTATCCGCAATGCTTCAACCTCGAGATCACCGGTGATGGCACCGAAGTACCTGCTGGTGTCTTGGGTACCGAGCTGTACTCTGCTACGGACCCCGGCATCGTCGTCAACATCTACACCACCGGTCTTACCTACACCATCCCCGGCCCTGCTCTGATTGCTGGCGCTTCCGCTTCCGTCCCTCAGTCCTCGTCTGCTATCACCGCTACCGGAACCGCAACTGTCGGAAACGGTGGCGCCGCCAGCACTACCAGCGTCCCTGCCGCCACGACGACTGCTGCCCAGACCTCTGCGCAGACCACTGCCGCTCCCACCTCGAAGACATCCACCGCGGTCGTCTCTACTCCCACGACCCTCGCCACGTCGACCCGCGTAGCAACTCTTACTACCCCCACCACCACCGCCGCCGCTACTGCCACCACCGCCCCGACCGGTGCCGTGGGCGCGCAATCCCTGTACGGCCAGTGCGGCGGCAGCAACTACGCCGGCCCTACTGCTTGCGCCGAGGGTGCTTGCAAGTCTTATAACCCGTTCTACTACCAGTGCGTCGCCACGGCTTAAGCTCGTGGGCTTATGGGTTGGGTGGCTGGGACGATGACGAGAGAACGTGTGTATAGTATATGTATACATAAGCAGCTTGGTTCGGGTTGGACGGTTACATTCTTGTATTTACGATTACGATTTTTGAATTCGAATATATTTTGAAGTGCATTGCGTCTGTTTGTGTGTCTTCCCAGTATCAATATCTTAGTGATTGTCGTTCAACGTAGTTCGGTATGTGCCTGTTTCCTTAGATACCAAGGATAAATATGGAATCGGTTCGCATAGCGGTGTCCGTATATCCGCCCCTTTATATTCTCTACCTTCTCATTCAGGAGACAATAATCTCCGATTAGTTCTACTGAAGTTCGCAAAGCCTCCAGATTACTCACAGCATATCTTAAGGCGACCAATCAGATTTCGATTATGCTCTATCTGTTGCCTATTCTAGAACGCTGCAGGGTTGTGATAGATGTAATACGGTTGTCATACCCTTGTAATACCCTTGCGTCTGGATTATAACCTCTGTACTACACCAGTTCCCTATCAATAAGATCTATCAAGCGAAACTATAGCTCTATCTCCTTAAAGCAGGCACTCTAAAAGCCTTAAGCGCCATGGATCCGCCTGCTATGGTTACCGAGCTTATAGCCACAATAGATGTTACTGTTATCATCATCATCCCCCCATCAATGTATTTCTCGTATTTACAACATCCTAGAGCAACTACGGTCGTTTATAAAGACAATACAAGTTGGAAAGTCCGGAGAAACACGCCAGAAAATTACTCACCTATAGTTGTCTCAGATGGATCAATCTTGCCCGCTGTACCCTAATCTACAGACCATTGCTTAGAGTCGCCTGAGCTAACTAAGGGATATACTATGCCTCATACCTCAGTATGTTCCCCTGTAGCATCATGTACATTGTAATGTAAATATTGCTGTATCGAAAATGCCCCTTTATTATCGAGGCATAGATATTGATTCCCCATTTTACGTGATAAATACCTTTTAAATTAACAGTGACATGTCCTTGATTCTGCTAGCTATGCTTTTCTCGTGTCAGATTGTTTACTTCCATACCTCACTTGTTTTGATCCAGTCATTGTGAAGGCTAGAAAATACCTAATAAACCCCACATGACACATGTTAGGTAAACGAGGCAGTATTAAAAGTGCAGATACTGTACAAGTGAATAGAACGCATCCTAGTGAATGACATGACTGTACTAAGAGATAAACAGCTTTAGGCTGGCCACTAAGGAAGGAGAGAGTACAGATGTAGGAACCCTAAGGGGGGAAGCAAAATCGAGAGAAAAGTTTTCAACTGGATTACTCAGGGTGGTAGATAAGCTTAAGCCTTTTCTGGAATATATAAATGTTTTCATCGTCATGTCAACCACTAGGAAGACACTAGGTAGACAGTTCAAGTGCAGCATGCGCATGTTGATTGACCACCGCTCAAACATACAACTCATTATTCTCAAAGCCATCCACCCGGTAATACACCTCGATAAACTAAACTATTTTAACGTATCCAATCAGACAACCATCCACGTCAGTATTCTAAAACTCCAACCAATAATGCTGTATCCTACTTTTTAGGAGAGCTAATCTTAAGCAAACAACGTTTTCTTACAACGAGGACCTTTACGGTGCAGCTGGCGTGTCCGAGCTTGCCACTGATTTCACCGACCTCGAAAGAGGATATAAACATGCCTCCCCCGAGTTCATCTCAACTTCTCGAATACGAATTGTGTTCCTCGCTCACCAAGAAACATTCCAAAGCATACAAGCCTTTCTTCGACTTTTGGTATCGCGTCTGACTTTACAGAACGGTTATAAATTATACAAGAGACCTAGGACATCTACCTATTCCATCGACTCAGTCTACGGTCTATTTATCTTGGTATTTACAATCGTTCTCGATTTCATACGACAGTTTAGCGACCCCGACCGTAAGTCAATCGATCAATAACATGATTATCGACCTGATCAGCTGACATATTTGTTAAGTAAACACCCTTTTCAATCAGGTCACATTCATCATGAATCAAATGCTGGACTTTGACTTCGATTACTCGGTTCCCGAAATGGCGGATGTCTTGACCACATCTACAACCTCTACTACAGCCCCTGACAATCTCGAGAAGCTCAAGAAGCGGAACGAGGAGCTGGAACAGGTTAACTCCGAGTTGCTTGGCCTACTCAAGAGTTTCAAGGATGAGATGAATGAACTGAAAGAGAACCTGGAGAGTACCAAACAGGAGATCAAGTCTACCCGAACCCACAACGCCCGGTTGCAAGGCGAGATATCGAGTTTGGGCAAGCGACGCCGTACAGCTGTCAAGACAAAAAGCAAGGATTTGGAGCTTTCCCAAGCCGCCGAGATCGCGGAACTCAAGGAGGAGTTGGCACAAGCCAAGCTCCGAGAATTCTCAGTACCGCGATCAGACACGAGCAACGCGTCCAGTGCAGAAGAATTTTCATTCTTCTTTAGAGATTCTAGCGCGTCAAGCAACTCGAGACAGGGCAGTGTCGAAAGCTCCAGGCCCAGAAAGAGACGTAGCCCAGGAGTAGAAAGCTGGGACAATTCCCTGGATGTGCTCCAGTTTGGCACGGGGCCGGGTAATCAACAGAATGCTTTGTTTAGCCAAGCACTCCAGAGAGACCAGAATCAGCAAAGTGTCTCGATGGCTTCAATGGCCCAATTTGGCGGATTCGCGGAACAACAGTCGATGTCGGGTTACCCGCAACTCTACAATCATGAACAGATGGAGGGACAGCATAACCAGATGTCCTGGGGAACTGGGTATCCTCCAAACCTTCAGCCTCGTCAGGGAAATGGTATGCCTTCATGCCCGAAGTTCCCCGCGGCATATCAAGCCTCACACTGGAGTTTCTAAGCCGCAGGATCCTACAGGTTCCTGTTACCAAGACCTTCGCCGGGTCGGATTATTGGTATTAATGGTATATCCATTGGATATGTTTTCTGGCGAATCATAGCGAAGGGATTTTACTTAATTATTTTCTTTTTTATTAGGGATTAGATTGGATGCCCAAGAGTAGATTAATGTAATGATAGCGACGATAATTAATAATAATAAATAAAACCATAACTGCCAGGACGTTAGTTGATTACCTAATGTTAGGTACATAACACAGCGTACCCACTCAAGTACCTAAAGGATAAGCGGGGTATCTAAATTTCTTACCAATCAGGGGCACGACTGAAAACATCACTCAATCAACATCATTCTATCTCACAATTCTCTCAAGCAATAAACAGGTACATTTATTATCTACCTAGTCTATTATTAATTCCATAGGTATACACTATATGCTACTTCCTCATATGGTATCCATGGAGTATTCCAAGTTACCCAGGTACGACTTCGGGTGACAAAGTGACCAAGTACATAGGACGATAGACCCTCCTTCACCACGGCTTCTAGCAATCCATCGAGCCATAGCTCATATCCTTCATCTCTCTGCTGCGGGAGCCTACATTGGCGAGATCCTTCGAGACATTGAGAAGGGCATACAGGCGGATGGGTCTACAGAACTAGGCCGCCTCGTCAATCTTAAATTAGATGGATATACACCACTGTCTCCTACATGACGTAGCGGTTAAAACATTATAGGTGGTAATATTTCGAGCGAAACCCTGGTAGTGTTTGTTAGTTGTCTTCAAAGTGGCCTTGACTGCTCTTTTATATGCAACGGTATCTCATACGTGTAGGATAATACAGCGATGACAAAATCGAAGGCATCAAGCTAAGTATTTTACTCGATACTAAATCTATTCAAGAGTATATCTATGCTAAAATACTGTCATAGGACCAACAAGTACGCATCGCTAATATTTATCCTTAATATCCCCTACAATCTCACATAGATGAACCCAATATCGAAGCCATGATATGCCCAAACACTACAGCACAAGCACACTGAACCCAAACTGCTTGCAAAACTTCACACAACAAGCCAGACAAGCGTGTCCTCTAATAGCAACATGCGCCCCGACAGGCTTAGCCAAAGTAAAAATCCTCAGCCGGTCGTCAGCCGCAGTCGGGATCACCGCGACGGCACCGGGTGGTCCCTCTGCCCCCCTCACGTGTGCCAGTATCTCGCTCAGACCTTGTCGTGCCACTTGCTGAACGTCTGCCCTGCGCGCCCAGTCTCTCAGCCAGGGTAGCGCGTCTTCAGGGGTGCACAGATACACGTCTGGGAATATGGCGGCCGCGTTACCGTCACCACCTAGAGCATTTATAGTGGTGACGACGTCCACCGACGCATGTTCATCATGAGGACATGACTCAATTCTCTCTGCAGAGGCGAGGGTTTTCAGTACGCCGGTTGGATCAAGAGCAGCGAATGTAATTCTGTTGCCTTCAGATTCGAAGGACCTAAGCAGGCAACATTCTAAGACCTGGTTGTCCAGAGGGTGAAGCTGCAGATTGAATCCGTACTGTGTCTGCTTAACCCCTGATGCGTCGGACGGCGTGAGTCTGGGCGGGATCACCGGTGCGCTTCGGGATGCTAAGACCGGAGTAACGCGCGAGTTCATGGCTACGATGCTACGGTACAATCTGTAGCCATGATGATTGAAAATCTTGCCTCGGCACCAGTGAAGTCGTAGGTAACTCTCGTCGTTCACAGGTAACTTCCAGTCAAGCGTAATCGCCGGCCATACAACCTGTCCAGAACCGCAAGATATAATCGCATTCCGCCGCTCGATTTCCGGTCGTCCCTCTGGCTCTCCGGCTAGCTTCCTGCATATGCGATGCCACTCTGTTACGTCGCAGCATGCCGTTTGTGCTCTAGAGATGCGACAAATGGCCGAGATCACCGTGCTTGGTGCAAACTCGGCGTTTTGCCAGATAAACGGGTTTGGCCGGACCATGAGCCCCTCGGAGTTCCGGAATAATGATAGTGCTAGGATCGTCGCGACGATATGCGCTATCTGTTCAACAAAGATAGTCGTGGGACCGGGTTGGCCAAGGGGGAATTGCGAACGGAAGCCTGCTAGCCAATCTTTGCGCTCGTCCTCGTGCCTCGCCTGTTCTAAAAAGGCGGCCGCCTCCTTATGTCCCCAGAGTGGCAACCCCATCTGCCTGCTTCGTAGGTCTTGCATATGCTTTCCTTCGCAGCCGCTGACGAGTTGTAGGATACTGTTGATGTCGGCGCGTTCCGGGAACGGTTCAAAGCGACCCGAGCTGATCTTCAGCACTTCGCTTGCCAAGATTCCCTCTTTATCTTCTTCCTGCGATTTCTGCCAGAGCTTAGACTTTGCGCCGGCGATATCCGTGGTCGTGTCACATGGCGACCCCCAGCGACTACGAGATACGCATCCCTCGGAGCACATTGTTAGGCCTTTTCGTGCTGTGGAGAGCGCGTAGGGGATGACTTCTACGGCTGCCTCGTTGGCCTGTCCCTGGTCTAGTTTGAGGGCATTTAACATGAGGCGGAAGTATGTGCGCATCGGAACGAGACCGTTGTAGTGCTCCGCGTGGCCTTGGTGGAAATTCCAATCTTCCCAGTGTGATTCCGAGTAGATGGCCCTGATTCTAATGGGTTCTGGAGCATCTTTCTGCGTTGGAAGCACGAGCTTTATTCCAATATTAGTCTCGCCCTGTATAAGCTTTTCATATTGTGGCGATTGGCCTTCCCCTATGTAGACCATGGGCTCTTTGCGCAGCCACCAGCGCAGAAAGGCTACGATCCAAGGTACGCAACGCCCCGCTTGGATTGTTATTGCCTTCGGCTTGCCATCATTAGGACCCCCCGCTTGGCGAAGTATCAATAACTCCGCTAGTTTGGCTACGGTATTCGTGTCAGGGGTCTTGGCTAGGCGGCCTAAAAACGCGGCACCGTGGTATCGTTTACGAAGCTCGTGAGATAATATTATCTCATAGTCTATGACATGGCTGGCAAAGTTGGAGAGGTTACATCTTGCCTCGACGGTGTTAAGTAGCGGATATAGTTGCTCGGCTGTAGGACATCGTATCTCTCCAAACTTGAGATGACGTCCCATCAGATTTGCTAGCACCTGCGCGCACTCGGACAGATTAAACGCAGTCACTAGAGTGCAAACAAGAGTGAGGAATCTCTGGCCGCCCGGTTTACTTCCAAGGTAGTGTGCTATGCCCTGGCTTGGGAAGCCGATAGTAACACAAAGGGGAGGAATAGTGATAGGCGTGAAATTTGCCAGGACTTTCTCCTTAACCTCCTCGCACGTCTCGTTGCAGATCCCCAGCAAGTCGCCGAGTTTGTCGCAGGCCGAGGCTATACCTGAATAGTCCTCACTAAGGAGGAACATGAAGTTTGTATTCTCCCAGGCATTGTTTACGTCTGCCATAGCTTTATTTGTGCTCGGCGACGTATGGTAGATTGTGACTTGATGTTCAGACTTGATCAATATGTTAATCCCGTATTATAGATACAGAATGAAGAACTGTATTATGGATGAAATTGGTGGGTTTGCGTTTAGGATGAACCGACGAGCGCGTCTGAACTTATATAGTAGACATCCTGCTGCACCCCGACTACCTTGTTGCTACAGGACTGACCTGTTTTACAGCGTATATTGTCTGTTTACAAGTCAACATTTGACGGTATCGTATTCACCTCTCCATACGAGATGATGGTAGTTCGTAATGGCTACATAACTCGCCTTTACAACATGATTATAGCGGAATAATCAGTGTGAGTGAGGAAACTATTGAGATGGGGCAGGGGTCAGCAAGAGTTGTTGACTTGAGTCCGTATCTGCTGGAGGGATGACACTTATAGCTCAACGGAAAAGGATGAAAAGAGCCATGACGAGGGACGACTATCAGATACAATACGAAGCATCTTAGCAAGAATGTGTATAAGTCAGGGTTATTCATGCATGAGCTCACTTAGTTAATCAAGTCACTTAACCAAGTCACACACAGCTCATATAAGGTTGCACAAATACTCGACTTATTCACGTTTATTAGCAAGAGTAACACGACTAGGCCACGTAAGTGACAGGCAACACCACCTTACAAGTCACAATCAAAACAAAAAAAGACTCATGCAGAAGCGAAAATTTAAAACAAATAGCTGTGCCTAGCTAAGCAAGGTATCGGTCCTCCATTCCGACTCCTTTCCGTTGAAACTGAGTGCCTGTGGTATACCGGACCAAGACCTAAAACGCAACGCCTATCTAATGCAATAGTGTGTGTAGTCGGGCTTTTTAAACCCCTAAAAACCTCTAATGGTACACGAAAGAGGAATCTTCGTCTGCGACTCAAGCCGCAACAACGCCTCTATAGCTGATAACGCACAGGCTCCCTCGTATGCTAATGACGAATATAGCACAAAAAATGCTTTCCGATACGCCGTAGGGAAATTTTGTGGTCAATGTGCCAGGGTCAGGAGCATCGGCCCGCTGGTAGACACCCGAATCTGATATCAAAAGGATACATCTCATACGTAAGCAATCGTCTGGTTAGGTTCAGTCGGAGTCTTCCATGTCTAGCGCATTTCGCTCCGCTTCGAAACTCTCTGCCGTGACGCCCAATCGCTCCCTTTCGCGTTGCCTCTCCTTCTTAGCGTCCTCGTCGTCATCCGCATTAGTAAGATCTAAGAACATCTTGTCTACGTCTTTATCATCTTCCTGTTGACCCTGGCCGATATTTTGTCTGCTGGAAAATGCGTGATCGTGGTTATGACTCCACACTTCGGACCCGAAGATCTGTTCGGCCCGCTTACGCCCGGTCTCGGTGCGGCGTAGATATGCAAGGGCTTTGTCTACGCCGTCCTCCGTCTGTAGATTGAAGCCATCATCTTGCCCGTGTTGTAGACGTTCCTCTAGTGTTAGAGACGGATCCGGTGCGATCAGCTGAGGACCAGTACCGCTGCTGGCGGATAGGAAGAAGTCTGGATGTAAACTTGCAGTACTATTCACGTCCATACCGTCAGGTCGAAGCGATGACCCCGGCCGGCTAGACGACACTGAGTTGGATCGCTGCTGCGGATGCGCGTGGGCCGGAGTAGACGGTTGCGAAGTCCGAGAAAAGTAGGCACCGGAAGCAAAAGAGTGCGAGGATGGACTAGTTGCGTTCGGAGGGGCAAGGCTATTG